ATCAAACGATCGCGTTTTTCACCCCAAAAATGACGACTTTTTCTATAATAAATATTGAATCAAATTGATTGTAAAGATGCAACGCAACACTGGAAGCTGTTTATATGAAACTTTTATATGCTAGATTTTGACATATTCACAGAAAACCTGTTTTCATATTTTTGAAAATTGCTCATTATTTTCGGTCTGAAAGCTGCATGTAATCAGCACCATTCGATGCGGCTTTTTTAGTTCTCTAAAGATGTATTATATTGTTGGATGTGACAACGACAGTTTTCATAGTTAAATTGGCAAAAACGTTCAAAGGATATCAAATCAAGTCAAGTTTGAAGACGAAAATACCCACTGCACAATTGCAAATTAAACTGCAGCAGTTACGGCTACCACGACGGCAGAATACTGGGACCAAATCTACTGGCCGTGACGTCGAACAGGGCGCTCTCTCATTTTTCCATATCCTCCTTTTTTTTATTCTTTTTGCAAAACGCGTTTAATATCAAACTACATTGGTTTTGGAACCCTTTTGATTGAAAATAACACTCTAGCTTCTGATAACACGGCCTTGTATTGTTAAAAGCACTTGATACTGCTTCTTTTAAGTGGAATATAGCAGGTACCGTTCGACAACGAGCACAGAAAGACGTAGAACAAGCACTAATCGAATTTGTTTATTAGGTTTCGTTTTTTTTTACCTGTTTGTCATGGACGCTGCTACCATTACTTCTTTGCTATCTCTGCTGTTTGCTTCTATGGTTTATTATGCCTGGTAGCTGCTTCTTTGGTCTTCATCTCTGGCAGTTGCTTTGTTAGTCTTTGCCTGGTCTCTGGTGTCACTCGTTCTTCGGGTTTTCTACGCTGCTGGTATTACTGTTGCTGTTGGTATTGCTGCTGTTGCTGTTGTTGATGTTGTTGATAATCTGGTGTTTCCTGGTTCTACTGTCTTCACTGTATGCTAGTTCTCTGGTCTATCTCTGGTGATTGCCTATACTCTTCTGGTCCATCCATGGCTGTGATAGGTTTAGTAAGCAATTTGTTTGGTCTTTAACTAGTCTCTGTTGGTGGCGTTCGTTCTTTGGTTTCTCTATGGTGCTGGTGTTGTCGCTGCTGTTGCTGCTGCTAATATGGTCTTTCCTGGTCTACTGTCTTTGGCGCATGCTCGTTCTCTGGTTTATCTCTAGCTGTGGTAAGTGGTAAGTATCTTCTTTCTTCTGGTCGCAATGATATTATAAACCTTCTTTGAAAGTTTATATTGTTACTTCCTTTCTCGTGATAATGCATTCATGATGTTTGCTTTGTTGCGCTTTTTTTCTTTTTCTTTTCTTTTCTTTTGTTGGTAGTGTTTCCTCTGTGGCTTCACACGAAACAAACTTAGTCATTATGTTGTATTGCAAACTTATAATACCACTGTTGCTTTTTCAGTTGTGTATATTTGTGCCATGTTGCTTTACATCCGACTATTACTACCATGGACGTTGCTCATGTATGCATTTTTATTGCAACAATAACAACGAGCTTCTTTGAACATCTTTGTTGTTGTGTTTGTTGTGCTTTTCTTTGACTCGCTTCGTGTGAGCGCCTTTTTTTTTTGCCTACATACTACTATACTCTTATAGTATTATGTTCATTTGTTCCTTTGATTATGTTTCTTTGAAGCATGCCTTTTCTACGTTGTGTGGATGTGCCTATCCCTGAAGCTCAACAAGACTTTATCCGAGGCTAGGAGGTAGATAGGCCGCCTCCACTTGGTTATTGCTACTTACTTTAGTGATGATTGAGGGTCTCAACGCCAGAATCTAAAGCTAGGTGGTGTAAGTAAGGCATGCTCTAGCACCTGGGGGGAATTTGATGATAGTGACAGCTATATTGCTATTATAGCGGCGCTTAAAATTTTGCCTCACATCAAAACAGGGGGAAACCCTCGCAAATTTTTTTTTAGGTCAGCGGAGTTTTCAAGCAATCTGATTGGCTCACAGGTTGAAGTAGCAAAGGGTTCCAACTAGTTGATTTCCTATTGATTTGTCGTTTAATATAATTTAGTGTTTGTAATAAAAGGATATCTAAATAAACATAATTTATAAAAGCTTATTTATTGAAAAGAATAAGATAAGGTGTTAACGTCTTCTTTGGGATTTATTATATGGTTTTACGTGGGGGATGTCTTAAACTTATTATGTAGAAAAGTTTTATAGATACTACCATCTCAACAGAGTGTTGTTTACGTTGTTGTTGTTACAAAATTTGATTTATGAACCATTGAAATTTGCATTAAAGGTAGCATGTTCCTTTACAAAACTTTAGCAAGAAGAATGGTAGTGTCATTGAATCCTTCTACAGTAGTTTTGATGGGTTGTCAGAAATTGCGAAATAGATAATAACTTGCTTTGTAGAGGTATGGCAAAAGTTAAAAAAAAAAACTGTGTTGGGCATTTTACGGAATAGGGGGTGCAGTGAAATTAGGTTTAAATAGATTTCACAAAAAAAATAAAGCAATAGTAAAATACAATAGAAATCAACTGTATTTTATTTTGTGTATAAAATGAACTGAAGATCCTGGAATTGAGTAAAAAAAAGAAGAGTATTTATACATTTGCATCTGGCTTGTAGGATTAGTGATGATAGAGAGCAATAGGTGCTGCTATTGCGATATCTGGCAAATGTTGTTGATGTTTGATTTAAAGTGGTAATCAATGCAGGAGCACTGGCCATAAGGGTCGATTTGAGTAACCTTGATGGGCTTGGGTGAGCTATCGTCATAGCATGATTTAATGTAACCTTGATGGTTTAAAGTGTGATGTTTGTTATTGAAGCATGGAATCCTTTATCTGGGATATTGTGCAACTATGGCAGCAGGGCATAGTTGTCATATTTGAATATGCTTGTTATTGATTTAATTCTATTTGGATAAAGATACCATCACCTATTACGACCATCATGGGTGTGATTGAATACACTGTGATCAGGAGTGATTCATTCACACGATGTGCGATATAAGCGTGTATCTTTACTTTAGTATTTTTAAATGGGTTTTTGATGTACATTTGAGCGCTTTCATTAATAGATCCAAATAGCATGAATTTGAATGAGTGCTATTTGATGAACTTTGGTTTTCAATTAAGTTGCGTTTGGGTGGCTATTTCATTACAGGGGGGACAGAGCAGCTACTCCAAAACCCGTGTCGATGCCAGTAGAGCCTTTTTTATATCAAGACCACTACTATAATATGTCTACATTGAAGATCCATGAAAACTAATGCTGTAGTTTTGAGAAAGACCTCAAAAATAGTAGATAATTTTTAGTTCTTCTTCGCACAATGAAAACTGCTGCAGTTAGATTGGTGCAGACTTAGTACATATTTTCCTTTAAACCCCCTTAAGAAGATATCTGAAAGCAGGCCTACTAATGCACAAGCCGTAGAATCACTTTGAAAAGTAAGATCATTCGATGAGCATTTGAACTTTGTTCAAAGTGAGTACTGAAAGAAGATGACTATTGTCTTTCACGTTTTTTTTTTTCTTTACTCTCATCACAGAATAAAATTTCGCATACATGATTATGCAAGTAAATCTGTGGCGTGGATCAAGGGATAATTCAACGGAATACCAACAAAAAAGTTGCAGATTCGACTCTCGGTAACCTCATATATTTCTATATGCCCTGTTGAGTCAAATTTCATTGATGTATGGAAAGAACAAGTAGTTATTTTTATATATTTTTTTGCTTTGGAAACGGTTTTGATGATCAATCTCGCAACAGCCTCTTCATCTTCTAATGCCAGGTTTTTTTTTTTCTCTCAGATGAATACCAAAATGAATGGCAACAGATCTATAATATAACGTGCAATGGTGCTAACAATTGCAGATATACCACCAAGCTCCAAAATGTAGACTATTAAAGAACACACAGGCTACATTTGGCACATGACACTATTATCATAGAAAAAATGGGGCTATATGGAACTTACTCTGGTTTTCCGATACATTTCGAATATCTGTTAGGCAGCCAGTGTGGATGATAGCAGCAATGCTACTCCTCCAGAGTATAAGCTAGGGGTAGTTTAAGCATTATTATTGAATGTTTCGAGCGGGACAACGTATTACAATGCGACATCACATGGAAACCAGACAAATTTGCTTTTCAAAAGCGTATTGCCCTTTCAACAGCAAGACATAAAATATATCCTCATCTACATGGAGCCATCGCCCTTATAGATTGATAAATTATATATATATGACACAAATCGTCTCATCCATCACACTTAGAGAGCAATATGGCTTGAATTCCTTGAGTAGGTGTTATAGCGTGAATCGTACGCTAAAGAAAATCAATGAAATATATTATCATTGAAATTGGACTATATTGCTTTGACAATGACGGTAGAGATGGTACATTGCAAGTGAGCATCCCTGTCAGACATTTGGCCCAACTTGGGCCTGTAGGCTAATCAATACCAGAAAACACGAAACATGCATTTTCAGTCAATGTCCATGAACATCTTCGGCAGAGGAGGACGATGCAGTAAATGGCACGCCCTTCTTGCTATTTAATGCTTCCATTTACCTTGTCTGTAATTGAGTTCGAAGCCGAATTGGATTCGCCAGTACAGTTGAGTCAGACACCATAATAGCCAGGGAGATCTGCAATAATGACGGCGAAACAAATCAGCATGGCTTGGCCCTTTTGTAATAGACATGTAAAACATTTTCTTCCCTGTATCTTGGCGTATCTCTTACTAAAATAGAATGGACTCAAACTCCGGGATGTATAAATAAATTGAATGGCCTTATTCATGTATCTACCTCTTTCATTACATATAAACTATATACTATATTATGACATGCACGCTTATAAGAAGGCTGTTAGTATGTCTAGCGCTGAATGTATTAAACATTTATGCTGTACCCATACAGAATGTTACTCATAATGCCACCAATACAGTAGCACGACTGCCATTTCAAAAAGTTCGAATTGTAAATGACAGCAGTAATAATCACAGCAGCATAATGCTTCAAGAGAGAACTTATTACGGCTTAACATCCATCTACAATGACAACCAAGTTCAATACCTTGTTAATATCCAAGTTGGCACTCCTCCCCAAACTTTTGTTGTCATTGTAGACACAGGCAGGTATGTAAATGCCATTATATGTGTTAAATGTGGTATCATTCATAACGTATGTTGTTGAAACAGCCCTAAGTTTTGGGTTCCGTCGATAGACTGTCCTGCTTCTCAATGTCCTCTGGTCAACTTCAATGCATCAGAATCATCCACACTCACAAATTGCAACAGCAATTTCACCATCACTTACACTGGCGGCTATGCAAAAGGAAGCTTAGTAACCGATCATGTCACATTAGCCGGCATCAGCGTAGATAATCAGGCATTTGGACTAGTGACATCCACTGAAGAAACTGTTACAGTAGATGAAAACTACAGCGGCATTCGTGCTGACGGTATTCTAGGGCTCTCTTTCCCAGACAACAGAACATTACAGAAGGGCTACATCTCCTCCATTCCATTTCACATGGCAGCAGATCAATTACTGACGGACCCCATCTTTTCCATCTGCACCAATTCGATATACCAAGATGGCTGGGCTGGCGACATTATTCTGGGTGGTATGAATACATCTGATTTCGTTGGCAATTTGAGCTATGTTCCCGTCGCCCCTGATTCCGTAACACAGCAATACACGTTCTGGCAAATATACACAAAATCAGTTTCATTGACATCTGCTGTGGACAGCACACTGATCACAACATCTCCCGACTTTGATCCTCGAGTGATCACCACGATCGATACAGGTACCACGTTTTCGTACATGAGCAACGAGTACATCAAATCCATGATGCGAGCTATCACTGGCCAAGTTCCCCGAGAACTGGATTCTGGATCTGGCTGTTATCCCATTGATTGCAACTACGCATACGCAGACGAGAATGATTTCAATGTCGCGCTTGAATTCTCAGTATCAGACACTGATAAAACTACACTCATCACTATTCCAGTCAATGAATTAGTAGAGCCAGTAGATAACACCAGTATTCAATATGCTCATCGGTGCGTGTTCTCGCTTTGTCCAACGTCAGCGCCTACCATGTTGCTCGGAGATTCAGTGATCCGAGCACTCTATTTAGTGTTTGATATGGAGCACAAGCAAATGGGGTTTGCACCTTCTTTGAATACACACAGCACAGTTCGCCAATACTGAATAATGTACATATAACCTTAACCACTACTAATTTAAGCGATACTACCAATAAAAGCAAGTTTCATTGTATTCTCTGTAGCACTTTTTTCCTTTTTTTTTTTTTTTTTTTCCTAGTAAGCCACTGGATGTGTCGTACGATGCCATGGTATACTGACAGCTGCAAGTTCAAGAGACGGGTATTTTGTCGTACAAAGTAGACTATATGGGATTTGTCGATCCCTTTTCATGTTGACATTTTGTAACCATTTTTGTACAAGTTGAGGGTGAATCTTGCTGTTTTCATTAATTATCTACATTAGTATCCCTTGTTTTTAACACCTAGAATGTCAGAATCTCTTGGCTTTTTCACGATGTGTAACGGAACCCATGTCTCGAACAAGTGAAGGTACCGTGTGTGTTGAAACTCCAATCAGTCTATAAAGAGGTTTAACTGAACATGTTTCATTGGATGGAAAAAGATCAAGGCACACTATTTTTGCTGGTGAAGCAATTTAGCGTAGTAGGAATGAGATTGTGTAGCCTGGATGGTGCTAAAAACTATAAAAAGGACACAAGGTAAATTATCCCCTTCTCTTTCTTTTTTCTTTCTTGCATTGCCGCAATGTTGTATATATCTTGGTTCTTTATTCTTATTTCTTGTACATGTCTCGCATTGAATGATGCCAAACCGATTGTAAATAATGCCATCAAGCTACCTCTCATCCGAAAATCAACACCTCACATTAGAAAACGAGCAGCCACCAGCAGTAAATATGCTCTCTTCAACCAAGATCATGTAGAATATCTGACAAAAGTCAACATTGGAACGCCCCCACAGGAGTTCCTAGTTACTGTAGACACTGGCAGGTAAATTACAGGCGATAATTAAGGCGTATCACTATGTGTAGACTAATACGTCATTGCATCTAGTGCCGATCTATGGGTGCCATCTAGCGTGTGTCCCAAAGACGAGTGTCCATATAGCAAATTTCAAGAAAACAAATCTTCCACTTACGAATCCATGGACTTGGCATTCTCAATTCAGTACGGAGCTGGCTCCATTGAAGGAAGTTATGTCAAGGAAACTGTCAATCTCGTGGCCAATACAAATCAGCAAGTTAAATCTCAACCTATCGGCCTTGCCAACAGTGCCAAAGATGGTATTATCTCGTTAGCAACTGAAGCCAATGGCATCTTGGGATTGGCATTTCCAGCTCTGACTGCCAACAGTGATACAGATCAAGCGTACGAACCATTCGTCTTTAACTTGGCTAGCCAAAAGCTGATTTCAGAGCCCGTGTTCTCCATCTCCCTTGATCAAGAGCAAATGATGATTGGTGGCATTGATAAAGAGCAACATACAGGCGATGTTCATTATGTCCCGGTGGTCAAGAACGAGAATCCCAAGACAGGCAGCTTAGATTATACATTTTGGTCAGTTGATTTGCAAGATGTCAAAGTCAACAACGAAAGCAGCAGCATTGTGACCAAGGAAAACAAGAAGCCTGTCATTTTAGATACTGGCACTACACTCAGCTATGTCAACAAAGAACTGGCAGATGAAATCGTCAAGAAGGTGACCAACAAGACGTCAGTGTCGATTGATTTGAGCTCTGACCTTTATACTGTGGATTGCGACCTCAAGAATAGCAACGTGAATGTAGAACTGGCCTTTTCATCTGGATCAGATCAACCCGTGCGACTGGAAATGACTATGCAAGACCTTATTCTGCCCCTGTTTGGCAGCGATAATCCCAAATGTGCATTTGGCATCACCTACAATTTCGACAAATCAAACACATTTGTATTTGGTGGCACTGTGCTGAGATCTGCGTATTTCGTGTATGACATGGGCCAGAAAAGAGTCGGATTAGCGACAGCCATCCATTCCAAAAGTCAAATAAAGATCTAGGTTGTGTAATACATGGTCTGTGCTTGGATCCTGTTGCTAATAAATTAAATGTGATTTGAGCATCCGAAGCAATGAAATGGACCTGAAATGTGGATCCATGGATGCATTTAGTTGTTAGTGCAACAGCTGTAGACTGAAAGTGAATACACCTGTCCTTGACGATGTAAGTATAATGTCACGCTTAAACCGCAATCCTGAGAGCAAACATGAATTGTACAACCCTACACTGGATGGTGTTGGTTATCTAATTATGCAGCCAAGGATCAAAGTCTATTTCAACAGCGCGCTCAAGACAACCAAGCACCCATGTGGCATATCAATTCATATTCTGAATTGCAGAGAGAGAGAGAGAGAGAGAGAGAGAGAGGAGAGTATGCAAATGGCTGTGTAAATTGTACAGTACGTGGAACTGCACAGCAAGAGCAACTGAGAGCAATCACCACAGAACATCTATCGATTCAACAACCGCTCAGAGAGCTCTGTTGTATAAAATCACCCCCACTTTTTTTTGAATGCTTTTTACCCTTTTCTTCTTTCTTTTTCTCTTTAAACCCACATTTTCCTTGTTTGCGTCTATTCGACTTCACTGTTTGCCTATACAGCTGAATTGAAGATTAGTAACATTGCAAAACAAGGAGAAACAACCACTACAACAACAGACAACTGTATCTGTATAAAAATAAAAAAAAAGAAGCAATATTCAACAATGGAGAATATCAACAAGAACTTTGTCAAACGTGTGCTGGCAGCAAGTCAGAGAAATTCAGCCGTACGAAGAGCAAATAGGCCTGGATACCGTTTCTCTGTTGGCATCATGAAACGCCGAATGATCAAAAAGTAGGCTTCATGTCTAGTGATTTACAAATGAGTTTTTGTATTGAAAATCTGTCATTTTCCGTAGTATTTCCAGTGCCGCTGAAGGAATGCAACGATTTTTTTCAAGATCGCCCTCTCCAGTGCCCCAACAACCAACACAAAGCTTGTCTGGCCAAGGAGATGGCAATGGCATTATTCCTTATGACGAAGAGACAGATGTATTCAGCTACATGAGTGCTGGAAACTCTGCTGAATACTACAACAATACGACTACTATGGCTTCTGCTGCAGATGCAGACACAAACAACAATTGGTGGTTTGCAGTAGAAGATGGACACATCCGTCCTGACAACGAAGAAGAAGAACTGAACAGTGATGACGACGACGATGAAATCAACTCGTACATTAGCTTTAATGATACTGTCACCGCAGACGATAATTTGACTTTTGTCAATGAGATTAGTACTGCCAATGACCCAGATCAACAATTGGTTGCCTCTACACCTGATGTTGTCACCGCAGATGAGAGCCTGTCTTTTGTCGATGAGTTTGATACTGCCAATGACCATAATCAACAATTGGCTCCATCTACACCTGATGCTGTTACCGCAGACGACAGCCTGTCCTGTGTCGATGCGTTTGATACTGCCAATGGCCAAAGCCAACACTTGGTTGTGCCTACACCTGATGCTAGCAACACCCAAGACCGTGTCTCTGCTGCTTTTACCTGGCTTGCCAACCTTGATCCTGAAAACCTCACGCCTGCTGACATTGAACAACTGTTATTGACCCAAACAAATGAGTTGGTCTTTGGAAACCTTGCAAGAGCATCCGCTGATGCAGATGGCAACTCTTTATCAAGTCCATTGGCTGAGACTACTGAAGCCGTACCAGAGACCACACATGAAATTCTACAAGATCAAATCCCATTTCAAGAAACCACAGATAAAGTACAGCATGACGATGTGTCTGGTGAAGAAACTACACATGAAATGCTACATGGTGATGTCTCTCGTACAGCAACTGCAGATGAAGTGCTACATGGTGGTGTCTCTCTTGACGAAATCACAAACGGCATGCTATATGGCGATGATCCCATCAAAAAAATCACAGATGAAATGCTGCATGGTGATGCTTCTTTTCAAGAATCTACCGATGAAACAGCACATGATAATGCCTCTCGAAAAGTAGTTACAGATGAAATGCCATATTCTGATGTCTCTTGTGAAGAAACCACACATATGATGCAACATGGCGATGTCTTTGAAGTGATTACAGACAAATTGGTATATGATGGTGTCTCTCGTAAAGAAATGACTGATGAAATGCCATCTGGCGACATCTCTCCTGAAGAAATCACTGACGAGATGCTATATGGCGATATTCCTCTTGAAGAAATGACAGAAGAAGAGCACTCAAGCCCTGAAAGCAGTGATGCAAGCCTCTCCTCTCCTCCAACCCAACATCGCCTTGCCACTGTGATTAAGGAAGAAGACAATCAAACATGGGTAAACCTCAACAACAGCCAAGACTATGTCAATACCGTCCATTCTCTCAGAGTTTCCAGTATACTCGGCAAAAGAAAGTTTGAGGATGAACACGATGACTTCACTCCTAATAAGAAACATCATCCTAACATTTTCTAAAGATGTATACTACCTCTCCTCTAGCCCAACATCGCGCTGCCACTGTAAATAAGGATGAAAATAATCAAATCTGGGCAAACCTCAATAACAATCAAAAATATGTCAATACCGTTCCCAAGTCTCAGCACAGTCAGCAAAAGAGCATTGGAGGATGAACACAATGATCCCACTCCTAATAAGAAATAGCATTTCCACTTTCCAAAGATTTATACCCTCCAAAACATTAATAAATACAAGTACAGTACATAAACAGTAACTCTTATACAGTTATTATCGACCCTTCATAGGGAGACATAGTTATCAGGCATCTGAGCAGTGCGTTGGGTTATGAATCTCAAATGACAATGTACTGGAATTTCGCATTTATGCGCATTCAAGAGAGACCATGGCTCTCTCGGTTGCTTTACTTTATTATACAATTTTAAATTACAATCTAGCAGAAGATACAAGAGCACCACCATCAACGACAATAACAGCACCAACAGTATATTGACCTGCACGAGAAGAGAGGTAGATACAAGTACCAGCAACATCCTCGGGAGATCCAACTCTGCCAATAGGTACAGCGCTGATGATAGCATCACCACGTTCCTTGAGAGTGGCAGCCATCATCTTTGAAGGGAAAGATCCAGGTGCGATAGCATTGACCAGAATGTGTTCTCTGCCCATCTTTCCAGCTAAATGACGGGTCAAGTGATGGATGGCGGCCTTGGAGGCAGAGTAAGCGTAAGTCTCTAAACCAGGAGGCTGTGCAACAATGTCAGTAATAGATTGAAGGGCTCCTCAAGTAACTTACTGCTTCACCGTTGATGGAACCAATGTTGATGACACGAGAGGGGATATCTTGAGTAGCATTGGCTCTCAAAAGAGGGAGACATGCTTGAGTCAAGGTGAAAATACGGGTGACATTGAGATTCATGACCTTCTGGAAGGCGGCATCAGGGTAGGAATCCAATGGAGCACCCCAAGTAGCGCCAGCATTGTTGACAAGAACATCCAAATCTACAAATCCCTCAGTACCTGCACAGAGCCTATAGTAAATGAATACATACGAGTCTCACGCTTGCTCAGTTCAGCAACAAGCTTCTTGATATCCTCAACATTTTGTAAATCGGCAGGTAAAGCAATACATTTGCCAGGGCCCAAAGCAGTTAATTTGGCAGCAACCTAATTGAATCCGCTTAATAATCGACTCGTCTACAGATCGACATGACTACTGTACCTCATCACAAGCTTTGGCTGAGCGACTGCTGATGTACACCTTGGCGCCGCCTTGGACGAAGCCCTGCTTCATGTCAGTTTCTGTTGATACTCCTCCATCCAAATCAAACTTACGGTGGCAATCATCTCACCAATGCCACGGGAGCCACCTGTGACAAGAACAACTTTATCTTTGACGCTAAAGAGATTTTGAATATCCATTTTTTTTTTTATTGTAAATGTAGTGAGTAAAAAAAAAAAAAAAAAAAAAAAAAAGAAGAACAAAACTGTGGGGAAATTATATATGCTGGATTAATGCCAATCTGGCAGTGAAAAAAACGCTGACTAAGATTAATTGAGCAAAGGAATCATGGTGGAAATAAAATGAATAATGCGATATGTAGACTGTTTAGTTGGCAGATGGATGGTAGAGAGGCAGTTCCAAGTTGGGTTGAGCCTTGAAAGTGAGTCTAAAGCTTGAATGCAGCTGAGGAGTGTATTGCGAGATCTTGTTGATAATAGCGCATTTCATGCATTTAGCAGTGTCTATTGGATTATGCTGATGCTGGTGCTGCATAGCATCCACCTGGACTGCCGCTGGAACCTCCAAATTATGGCCATCATTGCTGGGCTTGTTGAGCAGCTTGGCGACACATTCAGGCAAATAAGGACTAGACATGTTGTTGTAGAATTTTTGATAATAACGAGACAGAACTGATTGTGATTTCCCTTCCTTTTTATAGTACAAAATGTTCATTGTGGCAACAACTGAGAGGACAATGAAGCAACAACAACAACAACAACAACAACAAAAAAAAAACACTCGTTTAATTAAGGATCAAAAGACCATGATCTGACCAAACAACCCTCTGATAAGCTCATGATAGCGACAATTTTATCTTCGTCGAACCCCAGTGTGTTGATTCTGGCGTCTGGCAGCTCATTCATAGCAGATTGGTTTGTGTAATTTTCAATCGTAACTTGACATTCCCCTGATTGTGTAGTCAAATCCCATATTTTGATACCAGATTGGTCACCACTCACTAGTCTTCTCTTGGAAGCGTCTATAGCTAAAGCATCCACTCTGTAGGTGTGTCCATACAGCGTCTGTTTGAATGAAATCTCCAGTGAGTGCTTGTTGTCTGTCACCATATAATGCTTCATAGTGTTGTTTGCGTGTGCTGTGATGAGATGCGGTGGAGAGAAAGCCATGGCTGTGATCTTTTCTGAACTGCCATAGCTGACGGATGTTGATGATACAATGCCAGATGGTATCACTGGCTCAGAGTTCAGTGCAAATCCATGTCTTGACGACAAGATGGCATCAGAAGAGAGCAGCATTTCCTATTCACGGCATTAGCAAGGTAGTCCAACTATACACATGTTGAATCAAATGTACCTGTATACCCACGGATGTGGTATAGCTCCCGCCTGACAGCCCAAAACATACCACTGCTTTCCATAGCTCTCTCTTGCTGCTTGGGTATCTGTGGATATCAAGGGTAACAGGAGACCAATGCATCGGGCTTTGCAGCTGGTGTATCAGCTCAAAGGAGTTGACAGTTGCGTTGATCCGAAATACACTCACTTTCCCACTCTCTGTGTAGAGTATCATCATTGGAAGTGCCATCCCAATGGACGTAACCTTGTCCAACTGTGTTGTAGATGCAGCCAAGTAATTCGCCACTTCAACCACCTCCGTCGCCACCACCTGCCACAGCGTAAAACCGCCATTTGCATAGCCAGCTATCAAATGCTTCGTACTAGTACCATCATCAATCAGCTTCATGAATGTAATCTCGGTGGCATCAGGCTGCTCTATGGATTGCAAGCGTCGAACCAGGTGGGGTGTTGCTGTGTCTTTCTGGTATCTCCACATATTGATCGCTGATGCGCCCTCTTGTGCTGTGAATACAATGTCATGTGTGAATTGCAAGTGGTTTGGAGAGAGTGGGGTGGTAGCGTGGTTCACAATGTCGTAGATAGAGCAGTTGCCTAGCAGCCAATTGTGGTGTATTCGGTACTTTTTCTTCCAGCTTCCATTGTATCTTGACACTGAGGTACGTCGGTCATAATGACACTGTGATCGACTGTCCTCTTTGTACAGTGGATCTCTAAACCGTCGAATGAATAAAGGTTTCCATAGCTATAAAATAGGTTAGCCATCCGCTCGCTTCTGAATAGATATAGACATTACCATTTCATCGTTGGCCATACGAGACCAATGCAGGCTTACTGCGGCGCATTGTATCAAGTCTTTGAGAGATAAGAAACTAAATACTTTGAGCACTAGTTCTTTTGAGAATGATTTGATGACAAAATCAATCTTCTGTCCTTGTGCTCTGTGCTTCTCTTGGCCCTTTAGACGTTTTCGTGGAGGAGGCACCATCAATAATTGTAAATAACAAAAGTAAAGAAAGCGATACAGATGAGCACTTTCTCACCTCCCATTCAAAAAAAAAAGCCAGTTGTCATGACGGTTTTTAATGCACTTTGTATTTTTGATAGAGCGTCTCTAAGGCGGCATTGGTAATATCTTTGGAGCTGGTATCATCTGTGTCTAGTACTTGAATAGATGGATCTCTGGTTTCATCATGCAGCAGATGATCGTTCCAGCGAATGTACTGTGGCCACACAATGCGGTCAAAATAGCCTGGAGGATCCACCCAATATCCCTGCAATGTAACGTATCCTTTCCGGCTCTCTCGTCTTGTTTTCAGAATCTGCTTTGATGCCCTCACAAAAAACTTGTTGTCTAGGTTGTCGCACACTTGCTTATCACAAAACAAGAGAAAGCCTTCCACAATGACAAATATGATATCCTTGAGAGCGTCTAATTCGGCAGCCATGTCACTGAAATCCTTGAGTGATAGCAGATCTGATCCATGGTGGTTGTTCTGCAACGGCTTGTCCTTTTTTTGGAGAAATGAATAGGGGTCCTCTCTTGCTTTGTTGATGGCTCTGTTGAGGCTCTTAAAGTCAACTGCTCCAGGTGCATCCCAATTTGCTAATCCTGTCGTCTCATCAACAGGAATTTGGTCGTCTGACTAATCACTTCGCATTACTACTTTTTCGCAACGTATTCAAGGACTCGAACGGATTACCTTGAAAAACTCGTCTTGATTAATGACGACAACCTTGTTTAGTAGTTTCTTGAGCAGCAATGCTAATGTCTATGAGAAAAGCGCTATTCGCATCATTGACATGTTTACAGTGCATCATTATTTCTTACCGTCTTGCCTGAACAGGAGGGCCCACTGTTTGTAGTGTTGAATTCGTATGAGTAACTAGACACTACAAATGCATTGGCTTTTGACTTGCCTGATTCCAATTGTTACAACGAGTGGGTTGGGCATTTGCTTTTGTCTGACAATTGAAAGTGAGAGAAAAAAAAAAAAAAAAAAAAAAAAAAAAAAAAAAAATAGCAAACAGACAGACGTCTTATATCCACTGCAGAATCGTGGTGACACATTCACAGCACTCGGACAGTTTGTACCAGCATTTCCATAAAACGCAATTTATATTTGTTTTTTTTGATATAATGCAAAATTGGTAGAGTTGTTCTGTATAATCGAGCATTAGGCTATCCAAGTAACAGGAAACGGCAAATCAGCTCTAGGCCAAAGGTTGGACGAACCCCGAATTAAGCAAACAACCTTCTTTAATGGCTAATCCATCACTCAATCGCCATCACAGAGCTATTCAGGCACTTAATTTCCAATCTAATATAACTCTTGGTATCACTTTTCAGAGGGGTCTTTTTGATTTGATCGAAATGCATGCCTACAAATGCGCATGAATACGGCCAGATGAAATGCATACCATCAGCGGCGACATGGAGCGGCTCTCAAGCCAGATCTTCTGTATTAACAGAGCTACATACATTACGCCTTTCAAGTCGTCGGTTTCTGTTTGGTAATTACTTCAACTAGCACAGCGAAATCTGCAAAGGAGTCCAAGATGAAAGAGGGGAAAATGTAGCCACTGTTGAATGGCACTGCTTCCACTGAAGAAGTTTGCATTCTTGGGAGAAGGTTTAATGTGAATACAATCAAGCCGCCGTATATGTAGCTAAACTTTGTGCATCCGTTGACATGTACCATTGCCTCTGGTAATGGAAGTTTGTTTTGCCTGTCTTCAAGATGAGCAATCCTCAAACATCTAGTGCAACATTTAGTGCATGCATAGCCATGTTGGGACAGGCCAATATGATTCAGAAACATTACTAAACTTAAAAACAGCTGACAACCTTTACTTTATTACGATGCTGTACATGTTTTGATGATATATGTCAATTTGAATGTGGTATATTTTGAGTGATTCTATAGGTCTAGTGTCTCTGCAGAACGACCATGAACACGGTGAGGAGAGCAGTGAGAGTAGCAGTCGATGCAACAATAATGATGCCACGACTAGCAGGGAAATAACCTTTTGTCATGGCCACTTGAGAGTGAAAATAGCGAATAAATGCAAACACCATGTAAAACATGCCAATGACAATAAACGCCATTCCCAAGGGCTTTCCGATAGCAAACATATCATCTGCCATTGCAGGATCTTTCAGCATGTCTTTGTCTAAACGAAACAACTGTGTGATTGCTAAAATTAACAGGAGATATTTATGTCAGTGTTACATGTTCAGGCACTTGCTTTTACCCATGGTTTCAGTACACTTACCAACACCAATAGATATCATGGATAAACTAGTTCTAACCCAGGCCAAGTAAGTTCGCTCATTGGCTAAATGCAGAAGCAATAGAGAAGAACATGAATGAGACATTTTGTTTGAGAAAAGTTTTTCTCTTTTCAGGACAACATACCCATATGATCTCTAGCGACAGCTACAGTATTTTCAAGATAGAGAGAAGATGAAAAGAGATCAAAAAAGTCTTCCAGACGTTGAACATAGGCAACACTGTCGGTGGGCTGACGCTTTGATCTGGTTTTTGCATTGACTACATCATCCTCCTCATCCTCATCCTCATCATCATCATCCTGCTCTTCTTGAATGTCATCCATGAAATTGTGTAGTGTCTCGGTAATGCTGTCGCGCGAGTTGCGGCGTTGTGTTGGAATATAGTCCACATCGTCTGGGCCAACAGAGCGAATTGATTGAGAGAAGGACGGACAGCGATGTCTTGTGTTGGGCTCTGTAGGTTTGTGGTATAGGGGATCCAAGGATTCAGGGCAAGCTAAATACACTTGTCTTGTCTGAACAGTTGAAAGAAGAGGCCTTGATTCAGCCATTTTTATAAATATAGCAAAGTAAATAATAATAAAAAAAAAAAAAAAAAAAAAAAAAAAAAAAAACTGTATATCATATGATTTTGATTTCTTGCAGTTTTTATATGGGATCTTGAGAGCTTTCGTTGAAAAGGCGATTCAACATCTCTCTTGTGAATCCCGAGAAACATACCAATAGGGAGCATTGGAGCATCACATTATGTCTTGGATCTACGAAACTAGCATGCCAACATCTCTGGTTTAGCATACAATATTGAGTATAATCGATAGAGTAGCTATTCTGACTGTTGCAAACGTGCTGAATTATGGCTGTCTTTGCTAATGAAGTGTGATATATGCAAATTTGAGCTCTTGAACACTCTGTTCCTGAATATTTCTATCTCTAACTGAAACGTTATGGATGTCACTTGATGAATTGTCTTTCGGCTCACAAGATCTATTGCTGATGCGCATTTGTATAGACAACTGCTACTCGGCATGTGCTCATTTCATTCATAAAGTGTACATGTCCCCATAAAGCATTGTTGATCACTCAATACCGTTGTAACACCCTGACTTCATATTTCTGACAATTGCGCAATTTCATTGCTCATTGTAGAATAATTACCACGTTTGGAGATTTTGTATACTTTATGGAACCACCTGACCATCACCAAGACAATCTCCCAGTGTGAAGGTGTCCTGGAGAACTGCAAGAGCGAATCTATGGCGCTCGTGATGCGTCGTTTATCATCAGTAGCTATTACCATGGCATATAACATTGTTAAAGTATGGTGAACTGGCTACTGCCATGTTTATCTTTGTACAACGTACATCAAATAAGCTAGCATTGTACTATAATTGAGTTGTGCTTATTTGTTTTGCCATAATACAGCACTTGCTCCCATAACTTTTTGGATGTCTGTGTAATTTAGACAACGGCTTACCCAAGTATTTGCAAACACACTAGTAGAGTCGATGCAATTTCACTTTAGCATCAGTTTGGATAGCAGAAGAGACACTGCTCACTTTTGTGTGAGCTTGTGGCCCGTGAAAGATAGACGTATGTGCCAAGCTTCGAAAATCAACTCTTGCATATTGATCCTGTTTAAAATCACATTGTTGTAAGCGGACTCCATCTTGTAATAGAACTTGGTGCATGGCGATTAGTATAGAGAGCATCATTTGTCAAAAGCTATCCAAAAAGCTAATGCTGAATCATTGCAATCCCTTTGAGAAGCAGTGTGTTTGAGTCGATTGATTACTAGGCAGTCCTGACCAAGACAACAATTTAGCGTATTCAGTAGGATCCACATTTGGATAGAAAATTTACGACATTTACCTTATCAAATATGAGTGTTTATGCTTCGGATGGCTCTCTAACTCTGCTTCGTTTCGGTGAGAACCAGCCTGCGCAGCGGCAGCTCACGCTACCGATTACCTTTGTGTATCTTATAAAAATACTGCTACTTTTGTTTTGACCCTCCGCTTACACATGGAAACCCTTTATATTATCTGTGGATCTGATTCTTGTAGGATGCTCTACATCCATATACGCCTAGCTACTTCATATACGGGCAGACAGCATACTGGTGTTTCTTCTTTTTAGCCCTTAGTGTCCCTTGATACAGCAAAATATGTGTGCATTTGTGCCGTGACTTCTCGCGATAGAAGCCGTTTTAGATCGTCAGAATAGCACCAAACAGTTGCTCTCGTCTGGCAGTTACTTCCTGATACCTTTGCTCATCTTTTTGGGGACCAAAAAGCATGAGGTACCCCTCATATTTTTCATCGAAAATCAAACGATCGCGTTTTTGACCTCGATAATAAAGACTTTTACTATGGTATACGAGCCTTTCAGCACTTCGGGTGGTTTCCTGACCTACGCTTCGCTTCGGTGGAAACCAACCTACGTTCAAACGGCTCGCGCTGCCGCGGGCCTTTGGCTAATATCCCAAAATTAATATAGCCAAAATGTTAGAAGAGGAACCCTGATTGTTGATTGATATATAATCACTAATCATATGAGTGTTTATGCTTCGGATGGTTCTCACCGAAGCGTAGCGAAGGTAGAGAACCAACCTGCGCAGCGGCAGCTCGTGCTACTGATTGCTCTTGCGTATTTTATCAAAATACTGCTACTTTCATTTGGACCCTCCACTTACACATAGTAACCCTTCATATTATCTGTGGATCTGATTCTTATGTGATGTTCTACATCCATATACACGTAGCTACTTCATGTACGGGCAAGCAGCATACTGGTATTCCCACTTTTTAGTCCTTAGTGTCCCTAATACAGCAAAGTATGAGTGTATTTGAGCTGAATTTTCTTGCGTTCAAGGCCGTTTTAGATCGTCAGAATAGCCCCAAATGGTTGCTTTCATCTGGCAGTTACTTTCTGACACTTTTGCTCGACTTTTTGGGGACCAAAAAAACATGGTCAAAAATCGACCAAAAAGCATGAGGTATCCCTCATGGTTTTCATCGAAAATCAAACGATCGCATTTTTCATCTTGATAATGAAGACTTTTACTATAGTATATCTTGAATCAAAATGTTTCTATCAATCCAAAGCAACCTCTGAAATTATCTTTGTGGGACTTTGATATGTAAAATTTCGACACTTTGGCCATAAATCTCTTTTCATATTTTTACAAATCATTCAATAAGTGATTTCAAAACATCTATTTTACTTAGTACCATTGGAAGCGCCTTGAAAAGTACTCCAGGAAAGCTTAAGGAAGCATGGGGTGATTATCATACTTCACTTAGTCGAATCTGCAAAAATAGCTCGATCGAGTCCAAAATTATCAAAATATGTCCAATCTGGAACAGACTATGATTCTGGGTTTGAATTAATTTTGGCTGGTAGGGCCAGCTGGAAAACTCATGCCCTTTTCATAAGGCAATACAGTAGTAAATGCCCTCGAAGCGTATAGAAAGTAGGTGGAAGGTCATAGCACTATCGTTTATAATGATATTTTATTGCCTTCTATATCGTTCATAATGATATTTTATTGCATTCTATATTTAATAACGTTAGTCTGGACATTGACAATGCATGGGTTGCATAAAATGTCTGCAGTAAGTAATGAAATCTCTGAGGCTCTGAGACGTCGCTCAAATAAAACATTGACAGCATTGAGCAGAGGAAAGAGGGTAGAAATAACAGTGGTTTTTGTTGATTGATTGTAAAATCATTATTCTCATATGAGCCAGGACAGATAGATGCCTTGAAACTCAGGTTCCATATTAGGATTGTAAAGTGCAAAAGTACTGAACATTTATTATGTTATGATATTAAATCAAAAAGTTTCTATCGATCTAACGTAACCCCTGAAACTACCTTTTTGGGATTTTGATATGTAAAATTTCAACATTTTCGCCAAAAACCTCATTTCATAATTTCGTAAATTGCTCAATAATTTCAATCAAAATATCTATTACACCCAACACTGTTGGATGCGCATTGAAAAGTTCTTCTAGATATTTTAAGGCTGTAAATTTTTTTTTTTTGTAGGAAAGACGAGCTCCAGGTTTTAATTTAAAGTCCTTTAAATGTCATACTGAGGGATAGAAAAGACTGTTGGTGGACCCAATGTCTGCAATGAAGGGGAATAGGATATTTTTGAACTAAGTTGGGAAAGAAACCTACTACTAATAAGGTGCGACACCTAGAGCCAGTACAGTCTTGAGGAAATCGTCAAAATATAGATCATGGATAAGAGTACAAAACACCAAACGAGGACATCAGTACTACGTCAAAAAATCAAACAACTTGCGTTCACCAGGATTTGAACCGGGGATCCTCTCGTTGGCATAAGGGAGTTCTACCACTTCGCCCTACCACCAGGGACTCTTAAGGCTGAAAGGATGATCACAACAACTTTCATAGTCGAATCTTCTAAAATAAGTCGATCAAATCGCAAAAGGATCCAAAAGCAACGAATCATGACAGAAAGTCGAGCGGGATTGTAATCCGTTTTGGCTGGCTAAAAGAAGACTCTCCTTAATTGCTCAAAGCCCTATAATATAACGGCAATGATACCCACAGAAACGATTATACGAGAAAGCGAGACTCCTTCTCAAATGGATAGCGTACCCAACGTGAGACCCAAAAAGGACAGGCTGGTGACGTAAGAGGAGCGTGACATGATCCAAAGAAATAGAATAGCACACAGATAAAAATGATATTGCAGGTGAAGTTTAATTCAGAAACCTCCTTCTTTTGGAAATCCCACGGCCTTGTTTGATGAATTTCGCAATGTGTACTTTACTTAGAACCCTGAAAATAGTACCATTGAATTCCTCAAGCAATTTGCTTTCTAATGATGCACATACCTTCTAGTAAAATATCCTCTCTTTGACCACAAATTGGCCATTTACTTGCTTATCTCTCTTGAATTCATGTCCTTTTGTTTACTTTACATGTGATTTTTTTAAAGCTCAATTTTGCTTAGCAAATGAATTATTTTGATCTTGCATGATCCGAATACCTTCTAAAAGAGGAAGATCCCTAAAAAAATGATATCAAACGTGTCGACTCTTTATGAGATGCATGCTCTTGGCATAAGAACTAAAAACAGGTTGCAGGAATGATACACAAGAATGACCAACTCACTATGTAAATGTGGGCATATTGATGATATCTAGTAGCGCAAACACTTGATTGACATCATTGACAGCAACCATGATAGTTGGAAACAAGATGACTTGCACTGGTTCGAAAACAATCCATTATGTTCCATTCCATGGAGATTGCCGCAGTAATATTTATATGGCACGCTTGTTTTCCGAGGTATACACTTGTTTCTTGGTCCAGAATCAGTTATGCTGGCTCCGATGTGATGTAAACGACAAGTAAGCCAACCTTAACACTCGTATTGTCCGATTAGATGGACAGTTTATGACTGATGTAAACAACAAGAGAGATGGATCGAGAACTGTAATTTTAGAGAGAGAAATTAAGGGGAGGTAGAGAAAGATTACTTAATCAAGCAACCAGCTGCATTTGTTTCAGTGTCAAATGACATTTTTTGTTTACTTTTTGATGAGGCTGAGCCTGTGAGAAGTTTTCTGTTAATTGCATCTAGGAAGAGATGGGGGAACTCGTTTCATGTGAAGGTGGAAAAAGGGCTTTTTGAAGTAGCAAAATGGACATAACTCGAGACAGAAAACAGTTGAAAGCCTCGGACGAAGCGGATCAAATAGAGCAAGTGCCAAACGTCAAAATGGTACTATTTTCACGCGCTCAAAGTAGTATATCGTGGAGAAAAGTAAAAGGAAACGAATTTGAGTGTGGCAAGGATACTAGACTCACATGAAAGTCGATGAGAAGGATATAAATAGGGATTTTTTTCAACAGCTTTTCCCTCTTCTTCTTCATCTCATCTCTCTACAACAAGCAAAATACTCTATACATACAAACTCTCTACAAGACATTTGGGCTCTCTCTCTCTCTACATATGGTCAAGTAAATCAAATACTCTACTGTCTATTGGCCTCTACTACTGCTACATACAATGCCTTACAAATCCATGGTCCTCTCTACGTCTTTTGGTCCATGCTAGAAAAAGGCCACACTATCTTTGATACATGCAGACCTTGGTGAACTGTGCGAGTAAGTTATTATCTTGTTGGACGTATGAGCCATGTTGACTAACCTATTGATTACATAGTGCCGAAAAACTACTTTTTTGTAGGGACTGAGTAGGATCACAGCTTCATAATCATGAGTAGACTGCAGGACAAATCCTTTGGTCATGCTACGGGATGACCACAGGCTTTATTGCCGACGAGAATTGGGTTCAGCCCTATGATCTGAGATAAAGGTGTCTTGAGCGTGTCGATAATCTTGTGATAGGTGAAGCAAGTTTACACCTTGGTACCTGTTTATATAGTGTTGGTTCCTTTTATTGATGGTCAATTTTCTTTGCCCAAATGGTTTGTTACGCACTCATGCCACAGTACTTGTGTACTCATCTCATCTTTATCTAGTTGCCTCTGCCATCTCATGTTCTATCTCATCTAAAGCAAGCTGTCCTCTCCAAATGCTATCAAGCCAAGTTCTCTGTGCTTCCTACAAGCTCCTAAAATGACAAGACTGTTCAAATATACCATCTCTACATCTATACAAGGTCAAGCCCTATTCTCATCTGTGCTTCCTACAAGCTCCTAAAATGACAAGACTGTTCAAATATACCATCTCTACATCTATACAAGGTCAAGCCCTACTCTCATCTGTGCTTCCTCTTACTCAATCAATTATCAAGACAATTAATGCCTGACATCTATACAAGGCCAAGTCGTTCTTATATCTCTGCTACCTCTATCTATACAAGTCAAAATAGCCTCAAAAATCTGAAATATTTTAATCCATCAAGTATGGTGATCTCATAAACTCAAATACACATTAATAAAAAAAACAACCACGTCTTGTCATTAGCTTCAATATTATGCTCTTTTATGATTGCATCTTGTTTCAAAGCTTGTACTGTCCATTGATTGCTATGACCAATGTATTTTAAAGCCTGTACATAATTTAATCATATACATATAATTTAACGTCAAGAGATTTTGCCTGTATGTAATATCATAACATAATAAATTTATGGTCCCTAAACACTTTCAAAGCCTCAAAAAGGAAAGAAATTGATCTAACAAGTATTTTGATAGACTGGCGTTATCAAATATAGATTCAAAAAGAGCAGCATAGCTAACGATAATGCTATATGATCTGCCACCTACTTTCCATACGCTTCAAAAGTATCTATTATTGTATTGCCTTCCTGATGGAAAGGAGGGCATTGAGTCTGCCAGCCGGCCGCACCAGCCGCCAAAATTGATTCCAATCCAGAACATTATTTCTGTTCAAGATTGGACAGAAAGCGTCTTTCTTCGACTTGATTCGACTATATAAGTTGTGAAGATCATCCTTTGCTTCCTAATACAGGCCCCTGGTGGTAGGGCGAAGTGGTAAAACTCCCGTATGCCAACGGGAGGATCCCGGTTCAAATCCTGGTGAACGCAAGTTGTTTGATTTTTTGACGTAGTACTGATGTCCTCGTTTGGTGTTTTGTACTCTTATCCATGATCTATATTTTGACGATTTCCTCAAGACTGTACTGGCTCTAGGAGTCGCACCTTATTAGTAGTAGATTACTTTCCCAACTTAATTCAAAAATATCTTATTCCCCTTCATTGCAGACATTGGGTCCACCAACAGTCTTTTCTATCCCTCAGTATGACATTTAAAGGACTTTAAATAAAACATGGAGCTCGACTCCCCTACAAAAAAAAATTGCTTCCTAATACACAGTCAGATCAACCCCACCACCACTCTGCCATGCTGGCTCAACATCGCTTGCATGACTTACTCAGCAATCACCTCATCGAATGTACCCACTCAAAACATGATGGGCCACTTTTACCAACATTCTGTCGCGGGACCTCACGGTCGACCATCGATTATGTCTACTGCTCACCAACGCTATTTCAACAACTACACTCGTCCTCCATTGATTTTATGTGCTCCCAATGGACTGATCATGCCATCCTCAATACCACCTTTCAATTCTCCTCCTCTCAACAGGGTACTGGACTTTGGCGAGCTAATCCCCAGCTAGCAAAGAACGAGTACTTCGTCACCGAAATCCACCAGGCGTTAGACCAGTTCTTCCAGGAACCAGGTACTTCCCCTCAAGCACAATGGGATGCACTCAAGGCCGTAGTGAAAACCATTGCCCGTCGCATTGGTCGCCGCCACAGCTCTTGGCGCAACCGATAGCTCAAACGGTTTCAAAGGAAACGCAACCAGTTGTTCAAACGATATCAGAATCAACCAACCATTCTCCGAGAACGATTACCCGTTATCGAGAAACTCATCAGCGATCTGCAACAGGAGATCTCCATCCAACAAACCATTCGTGCGGGTAAAATGTGGCGTGAACAGGGTGAAACGTCTGCAGGATACCTCAAACGCACGGTCGCCACTAGACAAATTCAACGCACCATGTTAGTTCTCTAACATCCAGACACCCACTCCATCTGCGATACGGCAGAGACTATGCAGGATGCTGCAGTATGTTTTTATCGTAAACTATATACCACTGACCCCATAGATTATACCAGCATCTCTGAACTATGCAACACCATCCCTGCCTCAGCACAGATCCCAGTAAACAGCCAACCCACCTTGGAGACGCCATTTACCATCGACGAGATTATGACTGGTGCACAGCGGTCGCCCAACCATAGCAGCCCAGGTACGGATGGCCTACCCTATGAAATCCTAGCGGTGCTACTATGCCACCAACAAACAGCCCAACTTGCTCATGCCGTCTTCAAGGAGGCTCTTACCCTCGGTGTCTTTCCCGATAGCTGGCTCACTACTTGCATGTGTCTGCTCCCTAAAAAGGGCGATCTCACAAACCTGAGGAATTTTCGTCCCATCTCGTTAATCAACTGCGATGCCAAAATCTTCACACGCCTGCTCAACCAGCGTCTGATGCCACATATGCAACAATTAATCAGCCCCCAACAACTTGGATTCATGCCGAACCGCTTCATTGGCGAGCACGGCTTCACATTACTGTTGCATACAAGCATGCATCTTAGGCAACATTCACTTTCTCCTCAAGCCACCTTTTACAATGTAGCAGCATAGATGATGTTTATCGTATCACATCACATCTATGTTTACAAGTCCAGTCAATTGTGTGTTCACAGGTGCCTCAGGAACTACAATACATTCAATCTCCCCAATGTCAAGATATCGAGATCTACCTACACTACATGAAACATATCAACTTAGGTGGCCTCTCAACAAGCTATACCAACAATCTATAAGGCCCCAGTGGCCTGCTATTTATATACCATCTCAACGTAGTAGTCATTGACCAGGGATCTACCATATTTAAGCAAGCTAGATGCCCTGTAATAAAGAAGCTCTTTGCTTTCGTTTTAGATACAGTTGACAACTGATTATTATCATCGACTTATTATTACGAATTCACCAATTACAGACCACCAAACTTCTAGCTACTACCAACCATTCATCCACCATTGCTCTTCTTTTGGATCAAGAAAAAGCATATGATCGTATTCATCCCGAATATCTTCAACACGTTATGCTCCAATTTGGTATTCCACAATCTTTAACACACTGTATCAACTCACTTTTCTTCTCCACTAACATTCAGATCAACATTAATGGCCACATCACCACGGCACCTCTTCCTCAAGAAAGAGGCCTTCGCCAAGATGATCCACTCAGTCCCCTCCTTTTCAACATTGCTTTTGACCCTTTCCTCCGCTCCATTCAACAGAACCCTACTTTTGAGGGTTTCCATGTACAACAAGAAGCCCCACCACATCCATCACCTACTGCCGGCGTGGACGATCTAACCGAAAGCCTCACCAACTCATCCTCTCCGCCAGACTCCCCTCGCAACACTCCTTCAGTCTCTCCCACCCATTGCAATCCAATTAAGTACAAAATTCTAGCCTATGCAGATGACACATTAGTCTATTTGAAGAACTTTTCGGATTTTCTTCTTCTGCAGGACTCTATCAATACATACATGAAAGCATCGAATGCACTACTAAATTACAGGAAAACTATAGCCATTTCGCTCTCTGGACACCCACAACCAGATTGGCGCGAGTTTCTTGCTACTCACCAAATTCACCAAATGCATGACCGCACCTCTCCTGATCCAGTAACATATCTTGGCTATCCCATATGCTCCAGTCTATCCCAACGCAACCTCGCTTTCCAGCAACTCTACAACAATATCCAACAATGCATCCATATTCACTCCCAACGGAACCTCTCCATTCGTGGAAAAGCAACCGCTCTCAATACACTCATTTTCTCGAAACTCTGGCATGTCATGCGCAATTTTATTTTCACCAAAGCTCAATTACTCTCCTTACGCAGCCTTGGGTCCTCCTTCATTAACTTTCGTATCTTCCCCAAACTATCCTTTAGAACCCTTCAACAGCTTCGCCATCATGGCGGCCTCCAAGTTTTAGATCCCATTGTCCAATAACAAGCTCTCCAATGGCGCTGGATTTGCCCCCTCATTTTAGCCGCCTGTCATTCAACACTATTACCGACATACACCACCCCAAGCATTCCACTCCTCCAGTACACCTTGCAATTGTATTTCCACTCTACCGCTTTCTCTGATAACTTTTACTACTTACTCTTTACTGCTGCTCGACAAACCATCTGGTTCCAACATCGACCCAGTCCACACCAAGCTTTCCTTAACATACTCACGAATGTCATTACCACCATGGATCGAATACCTCGTTCCTTCACAACCTGTCACTTAAATTTTCATACAGGTTTATCATTACCTTTCCTTGAAATTATCTTACATACCGTCCCTTCTACTCACCCCCATTTCTCTTTTTTCACAGCTCCAGATCAAATGTTTGACCGACATCACGCCGTCCAGAAACTGCTCGCAATAGATGTGTTTACCTTTGACTTCGACTTACAAGTGATCCGTCTTAGAAATTGGACCTTTCTTGAGTTTTGCCATTATCCAAGAATATCTCATCGAGTTGCCCGTTGGATTGAGGAAGGCCAAATCTACCTCCAACCATTCTTTCTCGCTCTCTGCCGTCAGGCCCCTCGCCATTCATTTACCAGTGCCTCCTTTGGTGCCAACCCCCACAACATCCGCCCACTCATTCGCCGTCCAATCAAACCTATAACACCACTACCTCCAACACTGCCACTCAACAGTATTCAATACTACAAACACTTGGTTTCCACTGACATGCCCACCATCAACACTTCACCTCTTTCCCCCTCCCAATGGCGCCTCTTTTGGAAACTACCTATTCTCCTTCAATCTCGAACTGTATGGTATAGACTTATCCATCGAAAAATTCCCTCCAAATCGACCCTCCACCACTTCATCCCCACAACTCACCCTTCACCTTCGTGTCCTCTCTGTTTGACCCGGAGCCCGGAGGATATCCAACATTTCTTCTTTACTTGTCCTCTCAAACTCGCTGTATGGCGGTTCCTTGCCACTACATACCTATCCCACTCACCGATGACCGACGACGTCCTTCTCCCATTCCTCCACAGCATTCAAACTCTATCCATAGCTGAACCCACTCGCTCTGCCTCCTTACCTTTTCTAGAGCTTACCGTTTACCAAGTTTTCGCTACCAGTCTACTCTGTATATGGCAAGCCCACTGGCGCTCCATCTTCGACCATGTCCCTTTTGTCACCCTCAACGTTAACACATCTATTGCCCGTTCTCTGTCCCGCTTGGAATCGGAATTACAGTTTGATTTGTAAGTATGTATCCCCACGTATTTTATGGTCGTAATCCACTTCCTTGCTTCCCTTTTTCATTTCCTTGCCTTTAAAAATATATCCAGTCTTCTTCTTCCCTCATCATGACATTTAGAGGACTTTAAATAAAAAATGGAGTACAACTCCCCTACAAAAAAAAATTGCTTCCTAATACAGTCCCTGGTGGTAGGGCGAAGTGGTAGAACTCCCGTATGCCAACGGGAGGATCCCCGGTTCAAATCCTGGTGAACGCAAGTTGTTTGATTTTTTGACGTAGTACTGATGTCCTCGTTTGGTGTTTTGTACTCTTATCCATGATCTATATTTTGACGATTTCCTCAAGACTGTACTGGCTCTAGGAGTCGCACCTTATTAGTAGTAGATTACTTTCCCAACTTAGTTCAAAAATATCTTATTCCCCTTCATTGCAGACATTGGGTCCACCAACAGCCTTTTCTATCCCTCAGTATGACATTTAAAGGACTTTAAATAAAAACCTGGAGCTCGTTTCCCCTACAAAAAAAATTGCTTCCTAATACAATCTCAAAGTACTTTTCAAGACGCATCCAATGGTACCAAGTAAGGTAAATGTTTCGAATAAATTTACTGAGCAAATTATGAAAATATAAAAAGAGGTTTCTGGCCAAAAAGTCGAAATTTTACGTATCAAAGTCCCACAAAGAAAATTTCAGATGTTATGTTAGATCAATAGAAACATTTTGGTTCAATATCATAACATAATAAATGTTCAGTCCTTTTGCATTTTACAACCCTAATATGGAATCTGAGTTTCAAGGCATCTATCAGACCTGGCTCATATGAGAATAATGATTTTACAATCAATCAACAAAAACCACGATTATTTCTACCCTCTTTCCTCTGCTCAATGCTACCAACGTTTTCTTTGAACGACTGCTCGGAGCCTCAGAGATTTCACTACTTACTGCAGACATTTTATGCAACCCATGCATCGTCAATGTCCAGACTAACGTTATTAAATATAGAATGCAATAAAATATCATTATGAACGATATAGAAGGCAATAAAATATCATCATAAACGATAGTGCTATGACCTGCCACCTACTTTCTATACGCCTCAAGGGCATTTACTACTGTATTGCCTTATAAAAAGGGCATGAGTTTTCCAGTTGGCTCCACCAGCCAAAATTAATTCAAACCCAGAATCATAGTCTGTTCCAGATTGGACAAATTTTGATGATTCTGGACTCGATCGAGCTATTTTTGCAGATTAGACTAAGTGAAGTATGATAATCACCCCATGCTTCCTTAAGCTTTCCTGGAGTACTTTTCAAGGCGCTTCCAATGGTACCAGGTTATATAGATGTTCTGAATACACTTATTGAATGATTTGTAAAAATATGAAAAGAGGTTTTGGGCCAAAATATCGAAATTTTATATATCAAAGTCCCACAAAGATGATTTCAGAGGTTGCTTTGGATCGATAGAAACGTTTTGATTCAAAATATACCATAGTAAAAGTCTCCATTTTCAATGTGAAAAACGCGATCGTTTGATTTTCGATGAAAACCATGAGGGTACCTCATGCTTTTTGGTCGAATTTTGTTCATGTTTTTTTGATCCCCAAAAAGTTGAGCAAAGGTGTCAGAAAGTAACTGCCAGATGAGAGCAACCATTTGGGGCTATTTTAACGATATAAAACGGCCTTGAAGGCAAAAAAATGCAGCTCAAATGCACTCATATTTTGCTGTATTAGGGACACTAAGGACTAAAAAGCGGGAATACCAGTATGCTGCTTGCCCGTATATGAAGTAACTACTGTAGGGAGAAAAACTGTCCCGTTCTTTCAAATAATCTTGACTTTTACCCAGTATATTGCCAAAACTCAGAAAACAAAGCTACCCCATGCTGCGTTCGATAGAACAGCTTATAGGGATTACAGCAACATAAAAACCTCATGGCTGGACTATATTTTAATCCCAGTATAACCAGCTAAAGTGAGACGTGGCAAAAATGTTAGGTGGGTAATTCTAGATGATATAAAATGGTTGATATCTTTACTTCCAATAAACGTATCGAAGAAATCTAAAAAACTGCCCGCGGTATGCTCAGGATATTTAATATCCCAGTAGCATTCTAAAAATATAAAAGAAGCTAGTTTTTTCATATTTTTTCTTTATTTCTTTGCTTTCTTTTTTTTCAAAACTTTTATTATGCCTGCTCGTTTAACACAAGATTTGCGCAACATTCTCCAATCTTTGCTCCAACGTGGTCGTTCGTTCTCAAAGATAAAAAATTTGTATCCAGGAGTGGGTAACTCTACTCTTACAAGGCTCAGAAAACTATATTGCCCTGACCCAGCTAGACCTCTTGGCGGAAGACCGAAAAAACTTGGTGCCAAAACTATGTCCCTAGTGTCAAGAGGACTTTGATCTGGTGCTTTAGATAATCCGCGAGCAGCACAAGAAAGTTTAAGATCGATGGGCCATGATATGTCAATTAATGGCATCTGATGAATTCGTAATAATAAGTCGATGATAATAATCAGTTGTCAACTGTATCTAAAACGAAAGCAAAGAGCTTCTTTATTACAGGGCATCTAGCTTGCTTAAATATGGTAGATCCCTGGTCAATGACTACTACGTTGAGATGGTATATAAATAGCAGGCCACTGGGGCCTTATAGATTGTTGGTATAGCTTGTTAAGAGGCCACCTAAGTTGATATGTTTCATGTAGTGTAGGTAGATCTCGATATCTTGACATTGGGGAGATTGAATGTATTGTAGTTCCTGAGGCACCTGTGCACACACAATTGACTGGAGTTGTAAACATAGATGTGATGTGATACAATGATAAACATCATCTATGTTGCTACACTGTAGAAAGTGGCTTGAGGAGAAAGTGAATGTAGCCTAAGATGCATGCTTGTATGCAACAACTAAATTGCTTTCATTGAGACATAAACAGTAAGTGTCCATTCTGAAGAACATTAAAGGTGTGATTATACACTTCTATTTCCATTTGATTAAGGTTTTATTATTGTAAAAGACAAAATAACGTTAGACAGATCAATAGGAAACCAACTAGTTGTAGACCCTCGCTGCTTCGATCCCTCAGCCAATCAGATTGCTGGAAAACTCCGCTGACCTAAAAAAAAATTTGCGAGGGTTTCCCCCTGTTTTGATGTGAGGCAAAATTTTAAGCGCCGCTATAATAGCAATATAGCTGTCACTATCCTCAAATTTCCCCCAGGTGCTAGAGCATGCCTTACTTACACCACCTAGCTTTAGATTCTGGCGTTGAGACTCTCAATCATCACTAAAGTAAGTAATGACAACCAAGTGGAGGCGGCCTATCTACCTCCTAGCCTCGGATAAAGTCTTTTTGAGCTTCAGGGATAGGCACATCCACACAACGTAAAAAAGGCATGCTTCAAAGAAACATAATCAAAGGAACAAATGAACATAATACTATAAGAGTATAGTAGTATGTAGGCAAAAAAAAAGAAAGGCGCTCACACGAAGCGAGTCAAAGAAAAGCGTAACAAACACAACATCAAAGATGTTCAAAGATGCTCGTTGCTATTGTTGCAATAATAATGCATACATGAGCAGCGCGCATGGTAGTAATAGTCGGGTGTAAAGCAACATGGCACAAATACACACAATTGAAAAAGCAACAGTGGTATTATAAGTTTGCAATACAACATAATGACTAAGTTTGTTTCATGTGAAGCCACAGAGGAAACACTACCAACAAAAGAAAAGAAAAGAAAAAGAAAAAAAGCGCAACAAGGCAAACATCATGAATGCATTATCACGAGAAAGGAAGTAACAAAATAAACGTTCAAAGAAGGTTTATATCATTGCGACCAGAAGAAAGAAGATACTTACCACTTACCACAGCTAGAGATAAACCAGAGAACGAGCATGCACCAAAGACAGTAGACCAGGAAAGACCATATTAGCAGCAGCAACAGCAGCGACAACACCAGCACCATAGAGAAACCAAAGAACGAACGCCACCAACAGAGACTAGTTAAAGACCAAAGAAATTGCTTACTAAACCTATCACAGCCATGGATGGACCAGAAAAGTATAGGCAATCACCAGAGATAGACCAGAGAACTAGCATACAGCGAAGACTGTAGACCAGGAAACACCAGATTATCAACAACAACACCAGCAGCAACGCCAGCAGCAACACCAGCAGCAACACCAGCAGCGTAGAAAAGCCGAAGAACGAGTGACACCAGAGACCAGACAAAGACTAACAAAGCAACTGTCAAAGATGGAGACCAAAGAAGCAGCTACCAGACATAATAAACCAAAGAAGTAGACAGCAGAATAGCAGAGAAGTAGTGGCAGCAGCGCCCACGGCAAACAGGCAAAAAAAATAATCGAAACCCAATAAAAAAAATTTGATTAGTGCTTGTTCTACGTCTTTCTGTGCTCGCTGTCGAACGGTACCTGCTATATTCCACTTAAAAGAAGCAGTATCAAGTGCTTTTAACAATGCAAGAAGGCCGTGTTATCAGAAGCTAGAGTGTTATTTTCAATCAAAAGGGTTTCAAAACCAATGTGGTTTGATATTAAACGCGTTTTGCAAAAAGGGCAAAAAAAAGGAGGGCATGGAAAAATGAGAGAGCGCCCTGTTCGACGTCACGGCCAGTAGATTTGGTCCCAGTCTTCTGCCATCGCGGCAGCCGTAAATGCTGCACTTTAATTTGCAATTGTGCAGTGGGTGTTTTCGTCTTCAAACTTGACTTGATTTGATATCCTTTGAACGTTTTTGACAATTTAACTATGAAAATTGTCGTTGTCACATCCAACGTTATAATACATCTTTAGAGAACTAAAAAAGCCGCATCGAATGGTGCTGTTTACATGCAGCTTTCAGACCGAAAATAATGAGCATTTTTCAAAAATATGAAAACAGGTTATCTGTGAATATGTCAAAACCTAGCATATAAAAGTTTCATATAAACAGCTTCCAGTGTTGCGTTGCATCTTTACAATCAATTTGATTCAATATTTATTATAGAAAAAGTCGTCATTTTTGGGGTGAAAAACGCGATCGTTTGATTTTCAAGAATTTTTCCTTACTAGTACACATGAAAATCATGAGAATTTTCATGAATTTGCAATGACCTAAAGATTTTTGAGATAAAGCATCAGTAAGTAAAGCGTGGGCAAGGAGAGACGTTTGGCCCTATTCCGGGCGTCCACAACGCTTTGTAGCATGAGTTATTCGTGCTTCAAAATGGCTACATTTGGACAGAATTTGACCAAAAACAAGGCATAGTATGTTGTGTTGCCAAGAGAATCAGTAAATCACGGTTCTGTCTGATGACCCTGGTGTTTTGCATTGTACGGAAATTAACATCTAAGCGATTAACGCTTTTATTCTACTTCTGAGGTGCAGGTCTTTCTTTTTGAAATGCGCGACTACAGTGATTTTATAACTTGAACGTCAATGATATTATGCAAATTTGAATCTGACAACCTGCTCGGATTGAACGAGATGCTTATCAGCTTAGCAGGACACTTTTGATAATTGTCCACTACAGAGACGCCATATCTAGCCGTGAAGCTAGACGTAATAATAAAGCCTATCCACGATGTTAAACATTCATATCTTAGGAGAAATGACCGAAAACGAACAGGCTAAGTCAGTGTCAGCACAATAATTGGGGAAGCAAATAACAAAACTTTGTATCAAAGTCGAGAGAATAGAGATTCAGGATATCTGTAAAGTTTATAATACAAGATTCGACACCAGGAGGTTGTAATGAAATCGTGTTTAAATGGCTTCACGGATCTACACTGCCGAAAAGATCAGTTCCTGCCAAATTGTCCAAAAACAATCGCTCAATGCCAACTTTTGCTATAGTGACACATATAAGTTTCTTTTTGTGTGCCAGCATGAGTCATATAACGCCCTGAGTATATTTCATATACTTGATCATCACATGGATGTTTCTCTGCTGTTATTAAGGAAAAATGTGTTTTTTCCACCGTATACTCCAATTTAGTAGGGGTTGAAAACCTCATTTTAAAGGAAGCATTACAGGTGTTCAAACGACGACTCATTTTGTAGTAGAGCAAACACAGGGGAACAAGGTCTGATTAATAATAGAAAAGCCTGACAAAGTTGGAAGTTGTGCTGATAATATTAGTGTCGAAATACTGGTTTTATATATATATATATATATATATATTTGTTTAGTTTACGTTTTATTCGGCTCAATTACAGTGTTTAGTCGATGCAATACTGTGGGAATAGCATTTTTAAGCTGGGCGAGTTTGCATACGTTCTGTTAAAAGGCTTATCCAAGTTGAACAAAGCAAGCCACAGTCATCTGATCTTGAAAGCATAGCTCACCAACATGTCAAAGTGTTGATCGACTACTTGAAAGCAGCAACATTGGAGGAAGATCAACATGTCCAATGTCCCTAAATTTAAGAGGAGGATTGAAACTAATCATGCATATTTTATTCGTCATTGCGAAAAGAATAGCTACGTTATGCTTGGTGTTCTACTGTATACAGTATATAGGCTTGTTTATCTTCTTGTTTCCCAGTTTCTGACTGTTTAACAAAAAGTGTCAGAGTAATGCTGAATCGATACACCTTTTGTTTTCAATTCAGACAGAGTACACTCAAACTGCTGTGGATCAACGGGTTTTGTACAGTCTTTTACGAGAACTGTTTTGAAGCCAAACTTGATTGCATCCAGACAAGTCCATTTCACACAATAATCAGCAGCAAGCCCAACGACAATCACAGTTTCAACGTGGTGCTGATACAATATCTTGGCCAAACGTGTGATTTCCGAGTAATTGTTATCGGCAAAGGCGCTGTACGAATCAACACGTTCATTCATGCCTTTGTGAACAATGAAATCAATATCTTTTTCATCCATTTGCTTGGATAGCTCTGAGCCAAATGAGTGTTGCTGTCATTGTATGAGTATAAAGAACAAGACACACATATCATTGTACACAATTACCACGCAGTGATCCGGCCACATCACTTGTGTCTGCTTGACGCCTTCGTACTCAATTTCCTTGGTCTCGAATACCTGTTTATCGGCATGGTTTGACGCAAAACTGATGTGATTCTGTGGATGCCAATCCTAAAAGAGCATTATTGATTATTTGAGTCCTCACTATAAATTCACGACTGCAATACCTTGGAAGCTACAATCAACCCACCTTGTGCTTTCACTTGCTTGATGAGACTATTCACAGGTTGCAAGATGCTATTTGAATCAGCCACTGCCAGTGATCCCCCTTCAAGGAAATCGTTTTGAATATCAACTAAAACAAGTGCAATTTTGCTCTACTCGGAGCGAGATTAGCATGAACTCAACCCTGTTATCTTTATTGAGAAGTATACCATGTTTTACAAGAAAAATAATTTGAAAAAAAAAGAGAATCCCGCTGCCTGAAGAGTAATCAGCACATGTAACCTTTTGAGTTATATCAGCATAAATGTGGCTTCTTTCAGCCAATGATCCGCGCAATTTGACTGATTTATCAACACTAAATTACACTTGTATTGTTCACGTTATTCATTCTACATCTTCAAGCGGTGTAGCATGAATCCATTGTTAAGCAAAAAAGAGGATCATTATATCATTTCAGTCTGTGCCATGATGATTCCCTTGGAACTCCGGGTATGTTGGATATCAAAATGAAAAAAAAAAAAGGCATTTTGTATAGCTTTACTTTTTTTTTTTTTTTTTTTTTTTTTTCTTGACTCTCCATTGCATACCATGTCCAGCAGAACACCCAACGATATACTCATGAAGAAGGATACTCATTCTTCCAAAGGCAGAATATCAAAGAGGAATACCCAGCCAACGAGAACATCGACACGCTTAAGAGATGTCTTTATCAACAGTGCTCAGCGTGAGGAATTGATAACTGCATGTTCAAAAGGCGATGTAGCCAGAGGTACAACAGTTGTGTGTGTAATGGCATTGGGTCTATCATGTAACTCACTGCCCTCTTTCCTAGTATCTCATCTATTGCAAGAAAAGAAAGCAGGCATCAACCCAGACCTCATTCGAGATTCAAAATTGCGTACGCCTTTATTAATCGCTTGTGCTGGAGGTCATGCTGCCGTTGTAAGACAGCTGGTTAGATTTGGAGCAAATGTGAATAATCCCATGGGCGATATAGTAGGGAATAAACCGCTTGATTTGGCAGTGATATCGAATGATGTGGATACAGTGCTGGCAGTGTTGGAAGCTGGAGCAAAGGTAGCTAGCCATGACAGTAGTCAACAGCATGGCATGGCAGACGATGGATTGCCAGTGGAATTGCGACGAAGAGCAGCGAAGAGGACACCTTTGGATCTGGCAAACTCTAGACTTGAATTACTCATACAACAATCAGAGTCCAAGGGAACCATCAAATCAAACACAATGGATCAAGTAAAGCAGGTAAGAAATCATGTATGAATGGGTTCATTGTTTATTGGCTCTTTTTGACATGTTTACCATAGATCATTCAATTGCTGACCCACTTTCTACCGCCAACCTCTGTGGATGAACTGAACGAGCTAACTGATAAACTGTCATCTATCAACATAGCAAACGAAAGCACCAGTGAGGATAACAGCCTGTACGATCAGCAAAAGAACAACGAAAACATGTTTGTCATGAGGAGTCTGCGAGACGTCATTTCCAAGATACAAATCTAAAAGGAATCTACAATGTTGCATCATGAATGGACTGTTTGCCTCTGCTGCTGAATTGCTCGTTGAAATGCTCGTAGTCCTCTCGTGTAATGAATAAAAACGTATCGGTACCAGACCACAAGCACAGTTCAAATTCATCATCTTGGTCGCATGATTGCTTGAGCATATCGATTACTTCCTATACACGCAAACTCAGTATCTCCTGCCATTTGCCAGCGCTCTACAAAAGGCCTACCTCTTGCGATAATCCCATTGATTTGGCCAATGCATGCGTATCACACAATTTCTTCTCTTTGACCAACTTTTTTAGCTTGTCGCTGTATTTGTTGAATCGGTATTGCCGCTTCTTTGCGTCCTTTTCTTGTAATGCCTGCATTTTCAACTCTTCCTTGGCTTTTGCTTTGGCCAGTTTCTCCCTCTCCTTTCTACGCTTTTCCATCTCATCTGTCCTTTGTATGGATTGTTCCATCTTGATACGTCTATACTCCTCTTCATCGGCCTCCTCTTGTGCTCGTCGCAGATCACGTTGCTGGTCCATGTACTCCCTGTATCGTCTCTTCTCTTCTTTTTTCCGTAATTTATCGCCCCTCTTTTTGCCTACTTTTTTTACGCGAACCGCACTGGAGGATCCTTCATCATGATTATCATCAGAAGCATCTTGCTCACCATCGTCTTGGTCATCACGGTCATGCAAAAACTGCTGCTCAAACGCCTGTGGTTGGGTATTGATAGGGACTGTATCATTGTCAGCTTTGAGTGCATTCATGTAGATGGACATGTATATATCAGACGTTACCATGCGGAGGATTTCTCTGTCTTTGTCGAATGTCTAGCAGCACCAGAATACCAACAATACATAATATAAGAGGTATAAATACAAACAATGGTAGTCCCTGGCCGTCTTTATCTTCAGAAGCCATCTTGAATGAAGTGCATGGAAAGAGCGAGAGAGCAGAGAAAGAAAAACAGCCGGATTTCCGCAATCACAACATTTGCGTACCCGCTCTCTGAATTCTCACCAAAAGCAAGTTAATCTTGAGCAAATCAATTTAGCATTTCTACCATGTGGATGCCCCAAAGCGCATCGTAGTGTCAGTTCATACCAAAGGCAGGTGCAATCTCTATCAGTAGGTGTGCCATGTGCAGTGTGAGGTTGTGGAGGGGTTTATCGCATACTTGATTTGCAGGAATGGGCCGATGCTGTGGACCTGCAAGTTGGCGACAGCTGGTATTTCAAGCAGGCCTCTCAACATCTTGATTGCATTTCACAACCAGACACCCAATGATTCCTCCCATCGACCAAACAACAAGACGGTCAGATGCTCCCAAGATTTCCGTCGACTGTATTTGGCTGGATCCGCCTCTTTATCAATCGTGAAAATGTTACAGACACATGTTGCCGACTACATGTCCCTGCAAGTGACGTATATTACTTGTAATGAAGCATTTGATGCTCGATCGAAAATAGGATAATCGAGTGTAATATAGAGAATGACGACTTTCAATAAAATGGCTACTGGAATAGTGCTAGTTTGATTTCCATTGTCTGTTTATAGAAATCAAAAGAAGCATTTGAGTAGCACATGATGGTTGTATAGATGCTGCTCTCGTTTGACCAAGAGACTTTTTTTTTTTTACTGCTGTGTGCTGCTGGCCGTGGTAAGAATGGATTCCATGGCTCTATAACAGAAGCCCACTCTTTTTATCACTGGCACGCCGCCCTGCAGGATATCATGCGTAAGTGGAAAACGGAGGTTTGAGCATTGAGTGGGGACACAACGATAAAGTGATTGCCTTTTAAAGCAATGATCTATCGTCATTTCCAAGATTAAGGTTAACTTGTATGAGAAGCTCCAGCTCCTGTTTCTACTATATCTTCTTGATTTTTGCGTTGGCTTTGCTTTTCTCTTTTCTCTTTTCTCTTGTTCCTTGTATAAAATAAAAGTTTAGAAATGACAAACACTATGGTAAACGCACCTCACAGCAGTACATTGGCCATTCCATCCTTGTCTCCTCCTGAATGCGCCAACACCGCATCAAGCACTGCGTCTTCAGCATCATCACCACGAAGGTTATCACAGACAATTACAGATATCGTTACAGGATCAAACCCAAATACAACTCGCAGTAGATCAGGCTCCTCGCCAAGGTCGCCTTCGCCTACCCATGTAGAGATACAAACCCCAAAGAAGCTGTCTATTGAGTTCGAAGGCGGAACACACATCATTGTGAGACCAAATCGAATCATTCGAGGTAACGTACAAGCAACTCATTTTTACAAGCTTGCGCGTATACTCACGCCAATTGCAATTGTATTAGGCGTTGTTCATCTCAAGACGCCGCAGCCCATTCAAGCCAGTCAAATCAGAATCAGAGTAGGTACCGTGTGTATCAGAGCAAAAGGATGCGGCATTAATACAAGCATGCGCATAGTTTCGTGCCGAAGAAGTAGCAACAGCCAAAGTAAAGGAGTATGGATTAGAGAACAAAATTGAACGCATTGATCAGTCCATCACCACCTATTTCGACGTGAGTACCAAAGTGTGGGGAACGGAGCCCAGTGGTAAGTTTGTGGTATATTTTGTGTCCACTTCAATATTGGCCTTAACACACTGCATTCGAAAGCCTATTTAATGAGTCCGTGGGAGGTGATTGAACCGGGAGAACATCAATACCCATTTGCATTAAAGGTAACCTGAAAATTACGTACAGAAAAATCTAGTGTCTCATGTGATGTCCATGATACTAGTTTCCCAATGTGAATTTCCCTCCCTCCACCGATGATCCTGTTGGGTTTTCGATTCACTACATTTGGTCTGCTCACTTGGATGCCCCTTCCTTCAACCCGGGCGCTCGGTCAAAAGAATACATTATGCCTTATAGACCCATTGTCTGTGCTCCCCCTACAAAGGAGTGGGAGTTTACTCAAACAACCTATCAGGCGGATAAAAAGACTCCAATCGCCAATGTCAAAGCTAAATTACCAAGAAGAGCATTTTGTCCAGGTAGGTTGTGAGGTGGAATATGTCAGAGCGTATCTATTGATGCCATGTTGTATGTCTTGCAGATGAGGATGTTGATATGGAGTTGCATGTGGATAGTATTCCAACGGATCTCGTGGTAACCAACGTCCACTTTACGCTCAACAAATGCTGCACTGGCCAGATCCAGATACAACGGGGTCTAGCACGCAAATCAAAGGTCAGGAAAATCATTGGCGGCTCTCTTCCTGTTGGAGGCAATGGAGGAAGTATTCGTTTGCCAGTCAAGTTCCATGTGCCTACTCGCCTGGTGTCACCTAGTTTCCTCTCCCGTCATATCCGAGTGCACTATGAGATGGTGTTTACTATCCAATTCACAAGCCACGGTGGCCTCCTCAAATCCACGCCAAGCTGCGAGTTCTCTATACCCATTGGCATCACTAATCTACCGCACAACCATCTCTTGCACATTCCCAACCTCACTTCTGTGCAATCTTACCTTCAATCAAAGGAGTCACCCATCTTTTTTGATCCATTTTTAGATGAACCTCCTTCGCAATCCAGCATTCCAAGTGAATTATGGGGCCCTTTGACAGCTGCATTGACAACACCTCCGATCACGTCACCCCCAAATTACTTCAGTTTATCGGATTTGCCATCCCAATTCATCCAGAGAGATCGAGAAGAGCGTACTATATTCACAAGTCGATTGATCAAGCCTGGTATGGCTCAGGAGTTGGGTGATCCCATCGCTATTGTGTCCGAGAATAAGGACTGTGAGTGGTAGACTCTTGTAAATATATACAGTATCAAATAAAAAAAAAAATCCATGTACTATCCAGCCTCTATACGGATATGAATACATACCACACACAGAGATGCGTTGCATATAAGACATAAAGCCTTGTTTAGTCTGATGAGCCTAAATTTTACATGAATTTGTTTGTAGCACAGACCAAGCTGTGTCTGTTTTATTATGGATGGGTAAAAAAAAATTATGTCAAAGATACGTATATGTACATGGATTAAGAATTAGAGGAAGAAATCAAGTGCAGGTATTATAGAAAGGGAATCATAGGCCGATTAAAACAAAATTGAACTGAGCGCAACAAAGATGACCAAGGCGAGTATGGGGTCTGTAGAAATGGCTGCTGTGGATGAGGATGCTGCGTCTACCCGGGTAGTGCTATCGTGTTGACGCTTGACAAGTGCTAATTTGTCTTGAAAATCATACTTTGTCTGGGCAGTGTAGACGTCTGTTTTATTGTCTGATAGTTTCTCCTATATGTAGAATGGCAGTTTAGACACTGCCATGCTGTATTATGATGAAATGACAGGTACCTTTACTGCTAAACAGCATGAGATGAACGCAAGCAGACACAGTGTAATATTGAGTCGCATATTGCTGGGGATAATGAAAAAAAAAAAGCAATCGAATAAAATTTTACAGAAACATGCCGTTATATAGAGGGTTTTGATTTGGGATTGTTTAACCTTTTCGCAATGACGTTCAATGAAATCTGAACGCATCATTAAGACGCCGTTTATTCGCTCGACAGCTTAAATGTTGATGGGATCAGTTAATTACTTGGCAAATCACTCGCCAATGTGCTCAAGCCGCTTGGCACAATTAAAGATGGTGGTTCAAGTACCCATGTTCAGGTAGAAACCCCTCTCGGGTTCAACGTTTGTTTGTGTTTGTCATGTACGTAGATTGGGTAATTGGATGCGAGTGATGATTAATGATAATTGCACGCTTCATTTATTGCTAGGCTACTGTACATGTGAATACATTAACAAACATGAATGTTGAGCATACATGGCGTTGTTCGCCATACACCTTGACCTTTCTAAACATGAGGTAGCTGCATCTTGTTAATTTAGACAGCAGCGAAACCTGTTGGACGTACGGTATTGCATTTGCCAACAAAATAATGCAGTCTCCAGCAGATAAACCTGATTTGAGATGTCTACAAGGCGTGCCCAAAGGATCAAATGCGGCATTACATAGTTGGCCTTTCAGTGCCGACGTTTGATAAACAACATTGCTTGGTATTGCTACACCCGAGGCATGCTGTACCAGGATTTCGACCACAATGCCATGGCTCCGCTTCACATCTCAATGATAGACAACAGTGATCACTTACACATCGGGCTTAGAGATCGAAGCCAAGAGTTTTGTACCCGGTCAATATGATGCGTCAAGTAGCATACAAGCGATCTTCGTAACAGGCGCTATTTTTATCGTGAAAGACTTTCAAATACGCATCAAATCGCCATCATTAAATTCTAGAGAATTGCACATTTATACCAGATACAAAATCATATCGTCAGGAGATCCGTCAAGAAGCGCACTTCAAGGCTTTACTCGCAGATGAGTAACTTTGTTTGTCCAGCTGCGTAAATCTGAAGGCGGTGTAAAACTGTCCAACGGTCGAATACGTTCCCTATGGTTCTGATCATCAAAGCGTCGACTAGTCATAAAATATGCAGTGATTAATACTTGTTCATCGCATATAAGAAGCGCGCTGTGCTACTCTATATTACATACCCGATGGAGAGGATGCTGAGAATGAGTATATAAAAGTTGTTGTCGGATACCCTTGATAGATATGAAAGCTGGGCAGAAATGAATCAAGGAAAGGTCCTAATGAAGCATAATTATCAGCCACACATACGAAAATGAAATCTCACAATCTTAATAGCCTGGGCAGATTATTCAATCAACTTTTAGAATTTTTATCAAAAGCAGCATTTCTTTCAGTCAAGCCAGTTTTTCAAATGCTATAGAAATGGCCAAATCCTGATGATGTTTAACATGGTTGTTCCACCAGGCACTTGAAGAAGCACCAAAGAGTAGGCAAGCCATATGCAAACAGGTCAAACAAAGCCCTAGAAACTTTTTTTTGTTTGTAACATTGTGTGGCCAAGCACTTGGTGGTTTTGAGAGTGGCAATACCCAAAAGCCGATATCAACTAGAAGCAGGCTTAGAGATGAGCTACTTGGAATTCATGTCTGATGCAAGTGATTTGGCTGAAGAGATTTCTTAACGTGCCTTGTGCAATCCCTGCTTTTCTAGCTTCCGTTTACATGATATCATTATGTGCTGATGGTAAAAAAAAAAAAAAAAAAAAAGAGAGACATCATTATGTAATGTCAGCCATACACGCCAGGAACAAGATAGATCTTCAAAAAAAAAAATGTAGATCCGTTTAATTTTATTTGAAACAAAACGAATGATAAAATGTATATATACAGCTGTGTACAAGAGAAAAAACTTTTTCGACGAACATGATGGAAGGATAGTAGTGATGCTATTAATGGTCTATTTAAGGTGTAGTAGGGTATGACAAGTTCTACATGTCCAACATGATGGGATCCTCGGTAAATCAACAGGAGCAGGCTAGTTACAAGCAGCTTTAAAACATGAGTGAGCTTAGTGCAACGAAAATGACAAGTGCAAAGATGGGATCTTTTGACGACACTGGTATTGTGGATGAGGATGGGAAGTTCACTGGTTCCTGTTGTTGTCTAGATAAAAGAGATCTGCGCTGATGGTTCATCGATCTGACATGGAGCGTATTATTTTGTAAATAGTAGTGGATTGACTGCTGTGGATGTTGCGCCTAAATGAAAAATGTGAATATCCTGATCCAGCAAGGAGAAACCGGGATGCAGATCCCTGGTTCCTTGTATAAACAACTTACATTTGTTGACAAGCAAATGGATAATACAAAGAGCAATGGAAAGAAGAGGGCAGATAAGCGCATTTTTGTAGTGTTTTAGTGATTCAAGAGAAAGAAAGAAAGCGAAACAGGAAAAGGCACTAGTTTTTTTTTTATATATGATCCAGGTAGCCACATTGAGGCTTTTTTTTCTTATTTATCATTGTAGTACCATCATGACGTTAAATCTGCCCTTGTTTGCATTTGAACGCCGTTGCAAATTTAGCTGTTTATTTCATTCCCTTCCATTCATCCCCCCCCCATCTTTGTTTCCCTTTTCCTTTTATTACCTCTATACACAATTTCGCCACATCTTCTTTTTCATCTTCTGCGAAGCCCTTGAGAAAGAATACAAGTGAAAAGCAAATACAACAGAGTAAATCAGTGGGAAACTAAACCTTAAATCTTGAATTAACCTGCTGTTGCCAGGGCAATAATCAGCATGTCTTTTATCAACAAGTTTATTGATAAAGCAAAAGGCGCTCGCCAGCAAAGTCAACCCGACCATCATACCCCACAAAATAGCAACACTAGCAGTAAATCCATCTCCTCCATTGCAACACATTCTACAAATCATAGCTCCTCTCATCAGACTGATTTCTCTACGGTCAAGTCGTCCACATCTTCCTCAAATCATCACCATACCAAACAAGATGAAGATCTAGAAGGTAAATATCGGCCTACTTGTTTCTTTCCTCACATCGCTCTCCTCTTTTCCGTTCTCCTTAAAACTTGATTCAACTGTTAATCTATATAATTAGATTTGATTGATTCCCTTCAGCAGCTGAAAAAAGATAAACGTAATTTCGTCTTTTTTTCCTTCACGCACATTTCATGGATTGAACTCAATTAACACACTCATTTCTCATTGTAGCTGCTAAATCAGACATGTCGGCATCTTCAAACACAACCGCAACGACCGCTACAACAGCAGCAGCAAAGAGCATAAATGAAATACAGCCACAGCCGATGCAACACCAGCGTAGTAGCAACCGATCCACACCCACTTACACTTCGGTATACAATGATCAGTCAATCATTAAGCAACGTCAGGATCGCCCTCGACTCAAATTAGCGGACTTCAACATGTTGCGTACGCTCGGCACAGGTTCATTTGGTCGTGTTCACCTTGTCCAATCTCGTGTTAACGCACGTTATTACGCTGTAAAGGTATTGAAGAAATCCGAAGTTGTTCGGCTGAAGCAGGTGGAGCACACAAACAACGAAAAACACATTTTGGAATCAGTAGCACATCCCTTCTTGGTGAATATGTGGGGTACTTTTCAGGATACGGTGAATCTGTACATGGTGATGGATTACGTTCCTGGCGGTGAATTGTTCTCGGTACTTCGTCGGTCAAAGGTAATTCTCGGCCATCTTCCTTTCTATAGAGTGATTGACTCATACCTTCTTTAAATGATAGCGATTCCCTGATCATGTCGCCAAATTCTACGCTGCTGAAGTGATTCTTGCTATCGAGTACATGCACTCGAAAAATGTCATTTATCGCGATTTGAAACCTGAGAATCTATTGTTGGACAGTCAAGGACACATCAAGATTACTGATTTTGGTTTTGCAAAGCATGTTCCTGATATTACTTGGACATTGTGTGGTACTCCCGATTACCTAGGTAAGACAGGACACTGTGAATACTACCTGACAAAGCATTGCGCTGACAACGACCTCCAATTAGCCCCAGAAATCATTCAGTCAAAAGGTTACGGTCGAGCTGTGGATTGGTGGAGTTTGGGTGTTTTAGTTTTTGAAATGTTGGCAGGGTAAAGTAGTAATAGCAGTAGATGGATATTTGGCACTGGCTCACTCTTTGTATCTCTAGCTATCCTCCATTTTATGACGACGATCATCTCAAGCTGTACGAAAAGATTCTTGCAGGTCGCGTCAAATACCCTCAGTATTTTATACCCAATTCCAAAGATTTATTGAAGCGTTTATTAACTGCTGATTTGACAAAGCGTTATGGTAACTTGAAGGATGGTAGTGAGGACATCAAGAGACATGCATGGTTCCAGGGCGTTGATTTCAACCGGGTGTTGGCTCGTCAAATTAGACCTCCTTATGTCCCCAGCATTCGTGGTGAGGGTGATGCTAGTCATTTTGACAGATATCCTGAAACAGACGAACAGTATGGTAATGAGGCTGCTCCTGATCCATTTAGAAATCTTTTCCCTGATTTTTAATGCTCTTTTTTTTTTATTACTAATATATTATTTATTTTTTGATATTTTACATTGGCTATTGCCATTGATTTTGAATACTCTCTTCTTCATTTCTTGTATATACACGTTCTTCTAATTTGCTGTAAATGCAATGCAACTTTGGCGATAGTTGAGTGTATCTTTTGGAATCAAGGTATCCGTTCAACATTGATGGCTTCTCATTTTAGTGGCTTGCAGAGATACACTCTAGAGACCTCTGTACAGATCCCCACTGAGCATATAATGCTGCTCTGCATAACATTCTGAAGTTTGTATTGACAGGCATGCTCATGAGATTATGAGTGGAGAAGAATGACACATTCGACTCAACCCTCAGATGAGATTGGAGCTAATCATCGGTGAACATAAGTGCATTCGGAATCTGCTATCCTTCCCTATGCATACTCTGATACAAATTGTATAAATGCTCTCGTCACATACCGAAATAGCTGTTCAGCCAGTGGCGGTAGTCTCTTTTAAACGAATCAATGAAATGCATACTGCCTACCTGCCATGCTGAAATACTGCAGACGATGATTAGCAAGTTGCGATTACATACACTTTGATGGTGAGCCAGGTTGACTGGCGTTGTCAGGTATTATAATGTTCAACAAAAGCAAAAGAAAGTATTCAAGCTAAGCGATAGTCCTTCCAAATTCATGATCCCCATTTAATCTGCATGGCAATTGTTACTGTCATCATCAGAAAGGCATTTTGGTCAGCCAACAGAGCCAAAACAGATTCAATCTCAGAACAAACTATTCTGCCCAAGATTGGCTAAATGTTTGTTTTTTTCGACTTTTTTAATCTATTCTGTAAGCTTCGACTATGTAAGCTGTAATGATCTGCCCGTACTTCCTAATACATTCTTGGAGTACTTTTCAAGGCGCTTCCAATGGTGCTAATTGTAGTAGGTGTTTTGAATGAAACCACCGAGCAATTTAATAAAATTTGAAATGTGGTTTTTAGCGAAAATAGCCAGATTTTGCATATGAAAGCCTCGTAAAAGCGGTTTCAGAGGTTGCTTTGGATCGAGAGAAACATTTTGAATTAATACATACCATAGTAAAAGTCTTCATTTTCAAGATGAAAAATGCGATCGTTTGATTTTCGATGAAAACCATGAGGTACCTCTCATGGTTTTTGGTCGATTTTTGGCCATGTTTTTTTTGGTTCAAAAAATTGAGCAAAGGCGTCAGGAAGTCACTGCTACTCAAGTACAAGTGTTTGGTATCATTCCGGCAGCTCAGAAAAGTCTACATGTCAAGCTATGAAGGTCTGAAAACTGTCCAATTTGGTTGTACTTTTGCTTTATGGCTTTTATTTACACAGCATGAATCACATCCTTGATAGCTGAAATATTCTGAAAAGGCAGTTATGTAGCCTGTGCAATTTCTAATCCAAATAGAAGGCATATTGATTTCGGTGAAGCTGATTCATGCAAAGTTTGATGCGATATGTTGCTGGTAAGCTTATTAACAATGGAAATGGAAATCCGGATTTGCTGCTTGAGCACTATGGTTTTACAATTTTGCTTGGCTACGGTAAAACCCATTAAAACTGATATTACCAAATGCTGAATTAGATGCAATCTAGCTACGCTCGTCGATGGTGTCGCTCTGCGGGCTGTCGCCGTAGACATTTCAAATCAGCTATATAAGTAGATTTAAACAATCATTTATTAATTTAGAGAATGAGAAATCGAATTTGCTGATGAATACTACAGTTTTGAACCTTCGCTTCGCTGTGATCAAGCCCTCATATAGATCAATGTTACCAAGTATTGGATTAGACGCCTGTTTACCATGGTTTTGCACCTTTGCTTCGCTACAGTAAACCCCCCCCCCTATAAATCAATGCTACCCAATGTTGGATTAGATGCTTTATTATGTTCTTGGTGGAGGGGCTAAACCCCTCCCCATTGCCGGCTTCGCTGGTGGTTTTATTCGCCTTTGTTCTGGTTCTCAATACTACCAAATTTTGAAAGTATTATACTGTATGATTAGCCACAGCTTCTTGGCGTTGAACATTTTGTTAAAAAACAGGGTTTTGTGATGATTGAATTGGAAGGACCTGCCATGCATTTAAAAATACCATACTAGGCAATGAGTATCTATCAGTGTCGCGTTGACATTTTTCAACAACCCACCTTCAACAAGCTTCCTTCCTCTTATTGTATTTCAAAGAATAATAAAATGAGATTTATTGTTTAATATGTAACAGGAACAAAACAAAAAATATAGTATAATAATATAAAAAATGATGGTGTTTGTTTGAAAGGGGGTAGTAGTTAATCTATGTGCAAACGATGTCGTAAGTTGCCATATTTCTCTAGTTGGAAACAGGCTTGTGAATCATGGCCTCTCTGCCGGGACCGACACCAATCCATTCAACTGGAACACCAGTCTCCTTCTCGATGAAAGCAATGTATTTCTTTGCGTTCTCGGGAAGATCCTCATACTTTGTGCATTTAGAAATATCGGTTTGCCAGCCAGGAAGTTCAACGTATTCAACCTCGACCTTTTCAAGGAGATCAAGATCAGCAGGGAAAGAGGGCAACTTCTTGCCATCCAAATGGTATGCAACAGCGACCTTGATGGTGGGCAATTGATCGAGGATATCGAGTTTAGTCAAGTTGAAGCTAGTATAACCGTTGATCATGGTAGAGTAGTTGACAACAACCAAATCCAACCAACCGCAACGACGCTTACGACCAGTAGTAACACCAAATTCAAAACCAACAGTTTGGAGATGTTCACCAATTTCGTTCAATTGTTCAGAGGGGAAGGGGCCGCCACCGACACGAGTACAGTAGGCTTTCACAACACCAATGACCTTATCTACCTTGTTGGTAGGGACACCGAGACCAGTGCAGACACCACCAATGGAAGTAGCAGAAGATGTGACATAGGGGTAGGTACCGAAATCAATATCGAGCATCAAGGCATTGGCGCCTTCAACGAGGATGCGCTTACCAGCCTTGATTTGTTCATGGAGGTAGGGGATAGTATCAATGACATAAGGTCTAACACGTTCAGCGAGTTCCTTGTAACGCTCGAGTTCAGCCTCGACATCATATTCAAAGTTACCATAACGCTTGCGCTTGTTCTCGACCATGGTTCTAAAGCGAGCAGAAAATTCTTCAAACTCATAGAGATGGTGGACGCGGATACCAGAGCGAGAAGCCTTGGAGGAGTAGGTAGGACCAATACCCTTACCAGTGGTACCGATACTGCCACGGCCCAACTCGATCTCCTTGAGACCATCGACCTTTTGATGGAGATCGAAAACGAGATGAGCACGGTCGGAGAGGAGGAGACGACCTTCACAGTTGAGACCTAAAAAAAAAATTTTTTTTTTGATGTTAATAAATTGCATCTACACTAAATTTCTTCTCTTTTTCTTTTTTTTAAATCTTTTACAACTTTTTATATTGGAAACTTACCCTTAGCTTCGAGCTTGGCCTTTTCCTCGAAGAAAGAAGGCAAGTGGACAACAACACCGTTACCGATCAAAGCAGTACAGTTGGGGTTGATCAGGCCTGTATCTAATGTCAGTCTCTCCAACACCACATCTACTAGCCAGCAGGATACACTTACCGGAGGGCAACATGTGGAAATCGTACTTGACATCGTTGACAACGATAGTGTGGCCAGCATTGTTACCACCCTAGAATGACAGATGTTTAGTTTCCGAGAGCAGAAACAGTAAATGGGAAAGACTTACAGCACAACGAGCACAGACATCAGCCTCGCCACAAAGGATATCAGACAATTTGCCCTTACCCTCATCACCCCATTGAGCACCGAGGACAACAGAAAGACGACCCTTTTGCAATATAGACATTATGTTTTAAGAACAGGAAAACCAACACGAACAAAAGCTCGACACTTTTTCAGCCTTTAAATAGATCTAAATTTGAGACTTGCAATCTGACAGGGAAAATGTTGAATATTTTAGATGTTGGGGCCCCCGAATTTGATCAGTCCGAGGATGACTCATGAGTGAGTGCTAAAAAATTGCTCTGTTTCAGTTCTGTTCGGTTATTGGATATATAGTCCCTGTAAGAAAGGGTCCAATGGATCCTCTGGCCGATCGTAGGAAAGCGGGATGATTGAGATGATAAGCAGTGTGATTCATTAGAGATTGGCCCAACTGTAAGGTAGCGAGTGTGGGAGATTTCGAAATCATCTTACATCCAACATGCGGAGGGCTCGCATGTCAAATATGATTTTCAATCTAGTAATGATCTGTTCTACTCCTTGAATGACAGGACTTGACATTTGATATCTTGTGAATCGTTGAAAGCCGATATATGTCTTTCAGCCATATATGAGGCTGTTCCGCATCTCGGATGCAATTGTTTGTTCCCTGTCCTACACATTGGAAATAGCCTGCGCAGGCTACTACATGAGATGCCAAAATCAACAAGTGATGAAGGTTGCAAAAAATGAAAATGTTTTATTGAATAATACAATGGGAAAATAATATAGTCTAAGGATCAATGAATTAGCGAGTAGAATTAGCTGCTCTCGTGGTTTTTTCTTGTTCTTTACGGAAGTAAGCCTTACGACGCTCCTTGGTCTTGATTTCTGTGGTTTCAGCAATCTTGGCCCTCTTCTTTTCAAGCGTTTCGCGACGCTCTGTATCCTTGATCTTACGCTTGCGGTCCTTTTCGTTACGCAGTGTATTTAACTGTTGCATTAATGTCACAATCTTCTTTTCTTCTGGCTCAAGAACAACAGCTCGCTTGCTCAAGTAGGATTGCTTTTTGCTCTTGGTTGCTTGTTTGGGTTTGTTGGCAAATGGTAATTCAGCTTGGAGTGATTTAGGCACCTTCAATGCGTTGAATCGACGCTCTTTTCTTTCGATAGGCTATAAAAAGATGATGAGCACGAAACCCTTACAAGTTATACAAGCAATGCCTACCTTGTAGATCGAATCCACCTTTTGCGGAGCATGTAAACTCAATTCCTTTCTGACTTGACCTGTTGTACGCATACCTTGCCATTGCTGCTTGGAGGATAATAGCAGAGATGTAACAGGGTTATAGAATTTACGAGGTTTGATAGGGTACCAGGCTCTCAAGAACACAATATCTGTTGAATAACATGAGTCTCTGCTGCTTTTATATAACATGATGAACATACCACTCATCAACACTTTGTCTTCAAATGTAGCACGGAAATGACCCTCAGGCTTGGGCAATGCTTTCTTGACTTGACCACGGATACCAGAGACGGTACGAATATTGGCACCTTCAAATTTAGCAACTTCCAACGAAGAAGTAAACATGTCTTTGATGAATGCTGTATTTCTGTACACTTTAGTAGGATGACCTGTCAGCTTTAACTTTTTGACAATCTCAGCAGATTGACTAATATCTACAACAACGCCGGTAGCACTGATACGGAAAGATGCCTATACAACACAATGAATACAACATTCAAGCCAAGCACTATAGAATACTTACAGCTTTGCTATCAGCCACGTTTTGCACAGCGCAGAAACCAGTATTGGGAGTATGTACAGGACCATAGAATGTGGCCAAACAATGCATATGTTCAGGCGTATATTTCAGCATACGGTTACGAGTACCGTCATTGAGGGAATAGATGGGAATACTCTGGAAACGTCTCCAACCCATTGAGAAGATGAGAGGATCATTGGTCTTGAGGATCTTTGGATGCCAACGATGGCGCTTGATTCTGACTTGGACCCAGCCAAACTGATCTTCCGTCGTCAACAGACCACCCACAAGCACAGGGTACGTAGGATCAAAGTTCTCGACAAACTCACAGGGCATTTCCTTGATCAAAAGACGCACGTAGCTACCAGGACGATAACCTTCCACCATGGCTCTGGTTTGAGGATCATCGTTTTCGAATTCAAGACGGTTGGTCTCCAACTGTTGCTCAATTTCTGCCTTCTTCTTTTCGTAAAAGTCCATCTTGGGTCCATCTTCCTCATCGCCAAACTCTTCAGTGTATTTCTTGCGAAGTTCCTCCTTGCGCTTGGCAATCTTTTCACGCTCAACCATCATGGGGTCACGAATCATGGCTTCTTTGTCTCTCTTCTTGCTCTTTCCACCTTCTTCGTCGTCACCCTCACCCTCTTCAGCTTCGAGATCTTCAAAATCGCCCTCTTCGTCTTCTTCAGGAGCAAATGCACTTTCACCATTGCCAGCATTGATGTCACCAGTAATGAAACGGTTTCTGATGGAATCCAAGGTATCCTCATCATCCCACTCTTCCAATTCTTCAGGATCAATGGGGTCACGACTACTATCAATGATCTCTGCGGTGTTTGTGTCTTCTCTGTTCAATTTGAAGAATTCTTCTTCTTCAGCATCCTCTGCGTCGCTTCCATCTTGTTGCTTAGATTCATCGCCATAGTTGCCATTGAGGATATCTTCAGGCGTCAGATCGAGGTTGTTATAGATCAAAGACATCAAATTGGTGCGTCTGTGGTTGGAGAACATTTCGCTGGCTTTTTGCTGAAGATTGGCCTTCCAACGAAGCTCACCAGCAAGGCCCTCGTCGTCTTCATCATCAGAGGTTCTCTTTCTACGGCCATCCACCATGACCATATCCTCATCCTCGTCATCATCGCCGCCCAAGTCACTGTCACTGTCAGCAAACTCAAAGTCAGGCTCTTGTCCATCCTCATTCTTGTCGTCCTTCTCGCCCTTCTTGGGGATATTTCTAGTGTCGAACTTGCTTAATGCTTTACCACGGCGAGGTGCGTCTTCATCATCGTCGTCATCTTCTCCTTCATCCATAAGAGCATCATCGTCCTCGTCGTCGTCGTCGTCATCGTCATCTTCCATATCCTCATCGTCATCTTCCTCGTTGCCAAAAACAGCACGTCTACGAGTTCTGCCACTGGCATCTTCTTCCAATGATTCCTTGACGTCAGCAGCTCTGACAGGAGCAGAGCCAGAGAAAATGCGCAATTCAGAGTCTTCCAGCTGAGAAGCCAACGTATCTTGAGCGTCTTGCAAGTTCATAACGAGCTTCTCACCAGTGCCGCGAGGGATCATCTCTTCATCTTCCTCTTCAACAGGTTGCTCTGTGCTGTCTTGGTTTTGTTGAATCTCGGAGGGAGCATAAGCAGACTTCTTTGTGAAATGTCCAGGCACATTAATGTAAACAGCATCCTTATCGTACATGACACCACCGACATCAGACATGGGAGCATAGATCAGCTTGTTTTTTTCATCCAGGCGCTTACGTTCCTTGTCAGGCAATGGGCAAGGATCGGGCAAGACAGAGACATCGGCTAAATAATGATCACCAGCACCAGGAATGTGCACACGCATGTTGGGCTTGAGATTGGTACCACGCAAGTAACCATACAGAGTGACAGTACGATCGCAGTTGGGTTTGCGGTGCAATAATTCAGGATCTGTCAGGTCCTCAATGCGATCTGCTACTACGTAAGGATGTGTGTTACGCCAAAGAAGAGGTCTGAACTTCATGACAGAGATAAAACGGGACAAGTTCTGGATCTCCATGTTGGGATATCTGCCATTGATAATACCAGAGAGATAAAACAACTTGGCTCCTTGATAGATTTCAGTCCAGAAACGGTTCTTCAAGCGCTTCTTGGTGGTTTTGAGTGTCTTGTTGTTGCGAAACTTGTCCAAATGAGTGAGGACACCCATCACCTTGGGGAAACCATGGGATTGCAAAATGTTCAAAAATTCGAATGTTTCCTGCATCATACAATGAGTTGGCTAGATCTCAATTGACTCGCTCTGTGCCGTGCACTTACCATTTCAAAACCAAAACTAGCATCAATCATCAGCAAGACAAGATCAGCGACCTTGGCTACATCAATCATGGAGTTCATGTCGTTGTTACATTCCATAAATGTCAAGCGTCTCTTCTTGCCACTGACAACGGTGATAGGACCCTTGATTTCATTCAAGTTGTGCTTGGTATAACGCTTGACTAAAGAGCGGATGAGGGTTGATTTACCAGTCTACCGAAATCACATTAGTACATCCTAGATGTTACTTGAGCACATTTACTTACACCAGGAGGACCCACTACTGCGATAACCACAGGAGGTGATTCAATGGGTGTACGATCTACCATAGGCACATGAAGCTTCTTTTCACCGAGATCATTGTTTCTTCTGACATTTTTCTCGGCTCTTCCAGCACTTTGAAAGGTGAAAGCCTTGGGATTGCTGGATTTTTTAGCATTGCTAAACTTGTTTTCCTTTTTGCGTTCGACCTTCTTTCCAGCCTTCTTTTTGATGTGTGCTTTTTGAGTTCTTTCCTCCATGTTGGTGATTGAAAAAACAATGAAAACTGAAAGATGTAAAGCAGGATCCCAATGTGTCAAATTTTTTCAATTTCTAGATTCAAGCTTTTTTTTTAAACTTTCGGTTGCAAACCAGTCACCGTACGATTCAGGTAATTAGAATCAAACATTAGATGTCGTGTACCTCAATCTCATGGCCGTTGGATGGTGTAGTCGCCACGGCAACACCTGTTCATGTGAACCACTTTCTAATCTATCATTCTACCAAGCGAAAACAGCATTTGGGTATGATATGGTAGGTTCATGCCTGCATCATGCTCTCAACATCCAATGCGAAATGGCATCCAACATTGGGATACTTTGCAATGGCATTTACTCTCTTTTCAACAGAGATCTCGTTGCCTATTTTACAGCACGAGATAGCATCAATTCATGCCTCTCATAATGCATATTTACATGTAGTATAGCATTGATATCAAGAGATTCAAGATGGCTACCGGTGACTCTCTTTCATACTGCTACAAGCCTTAAAATCTTACATAATACCGTTTTGGCATGTGAAAAACAACTTGAATACCCCACACACACACCAATTGCCTTCTTTTATACCTTTCTTCTATATTCATCTCTGTTATTTTATTTAGTACTCTTATACCTACAGCTTTAATCACTCCAATATTCGACATTAACATATCGCAGACAAGAATCAAAAGGAAATTATGGTCTCAGCAGCAAACAAACCCACAGGAACACTGAAAAAATCGAAATTATTACCCTCTTGGTTGCTGAAATTAATTGGCATCACATCTTTGGCAACTGCTGTCATCAGCTTTACAGTATATTGGTTCAAAAAGTACCCTCCACGTCGCAAGATCAGTGCCAATGATGACGGCAATGAGGCAGCTAGCAGCAGCAGCAGCAGCAGCAGCAATAATGCAGCAGAGGTGAGGCTTGATGGATATACAAGGCTATTTAGAATGACTCATCCTATATTTTTCAACAGAACACTGCAGATAAGTGGAGCAATAAGCTCTTGAATGGCTTGAAATCAACAGTTCGGAAGAATAGAAAGCGAATGACCATCTCATTGAAAAATGTAATATTGCATAGAGTGGAAAATCAGGAGTCAATATTTGGAACTAAATGGCTTATATAGACCGTGCTTTGGAATCCTTCACCTGATGTAGAGACACCTATTTATGCATTCCGAGAACATAGCATCCAATTGCTGACTCGACTATCCTATTTATACGACATCTATGTGTTGGTTCATGTCAATTCAAAGGAGGAGCAATCCAACATTGAAGCATTATTGAGTAATGCATCTGTGTTTTCGGATCTACTCGATCATCGCAAAGTCATTTATTGCTCAGAGGAGGAGGGCAAGATTCACATTATTCGACATATTGAACCATCGATTCACATTGAAGGTGGCTGGGAGATGGACGATGGTGAGGAAATTGTCAAAAAGCTGAAGCCATTTGTTCATAAAATCATCTGGTTGATGACAAAGAGAAGAAGAGATTCGTTTAGACCTGAACATATCAAGCAAGATGATCGCTCCATATTGGGCGCTAATGTTGAATTGTCAGATTCACTGATAAACACATCAATTGCTCAAGAAGTTACACAATAACAAATAAATAAAAAAACTTGTATACAGCATCTTGTTTGGGGTATCTGCTTTAGGCGTGGCACTCCTCCTGAAGATCCTAAAGGCAGTGAGACTAGGGTGAGGTTTACGGTAGCTCTGCAAACATATTTTTGTCAACCAGCCACTGTATCAAATGTTGAATCCTTCTGTTTTGTAAGAGTGACTCTTGGAAGCTTCAATCTCGCTACATTTCGAGCATTGATACCTACGCAAATTTTCAGTAGTATATACAGGATCGTTGGAGAGCAAGAGAAAGAAATAAGCCTGCAAACGTCTCCAAGTGCTGAAGGAAATCAAGATGAATCATGTGGCTTCAATCATATTGCGTGCAGTGATACAATGTCTGCAGGGGCACAGAGGCTAGAGTCATATTACTGCTTATAGTATGTTGAATCAAAACATTTGAATGCTTCTATAAATGCTGTTTGCCATGAATTCATTGTTTCCTATCTCTCTGTTCCATTCAACAAGATGAAAAGCTCGCTCTTATTATTATTGTTGATTAACTTGACCACAAAATGTATAGTTACCGGCAATCTAATAAGACTACCCATCCTCAAACACGCCACACCGCATATCGTCAAAAGAGACAATATACCAGCAATCCCACTCTTTAATGCTAATGCCAGAGAGTACCTTATAGAAATAGGGTTGGGTTCACCGGCTCAAATGTTCAACGTAACGCTAGACACCGGCAGGTAATTAGTGTAAACTACCATTTCAATCAAAGTGATTAATTTACATTAATTGCTACAGCTCAGATCTCTGGGTGCCTTCTTCCAGTTGTCCAAAATCAACTTGCTTGTATTCTAGATTTATAGAAAAAGAGTCTTCCACCTTGAATCTGACAAAAAAAGTATTTGATGTGCAATACGGTAGTGGATCAGCGAAAGGGCTTGTAGCTTACGATACAGTGACCATTGGCAACAATCTCTCATCTGCAAATCAAGTCATTGGCCTGGCTAATACAGCATCTGGCATGTCGGCCTCGTCCATCACAAGAGTGAGCGGTATCTTGGGCTTGGGATTTCAAGGCCTACTGAGAGACCCTTCAGAGGACACATTTATACAGAAGCTACTCAGAAATCAAGTCATCAAGGAGCCTGTATTCTCCATTTACTTGAATCGACAAGCAGACTATGGCTACACAGGCGAGATTGTGATTGGCGGTTACGAGACGAGTCGATTTACAGGCACATTGAGCTTTCTTCCTGTGGTCAACTACAACAAACGCGGTCAACCTAATCTTGGGAGAGTGCACACCGATAACAATGACGATATGATGTACAAGTATTGGACAGTGCCAGGACAAGCCGTGGCAAGTTACACGTCCGATGGTTCCAAAATCTACGAAACGCGATTCCCTGATGTTCAACCAGCGATATTAGACACAGGCACCACATTGTCGTATTTACCACAGGAGAATGTTGTAGAGATCTTGGAGACAATCACTAAAGACTATGCGCCACTCAAGCTAAATGGAGGAGCAGTTCAAGCCTATCAGGTCAACTGCAGCGATTTTATCACGCAGGAAATGTGGTTTGATTTCCAGTTCTCACCCTCAGTGAACACATTTTCGAATTCGCCAGTGATTATTCGTGTGCCACTCAAGGAGCTTGTGTTGCCTCAGAACACAGATGATATAAATACAGCGACCACATGTTTATTTGGACTTGCTCCTATTTCCAGTGGATTCCTGTCGTCTATTGGGTCTGGATGGATTCTCGGACAGACGGTTCTGCGCAGTGCGTATGTTGTACATGACATGCTAGAGTATCAAATTGGTATTGGAGCAGCAGCAAATGGCTATTTTTCGCCTACCATGGCGGCATCATTGTCAGTTACTAAATTAGCATTTCATCATCATTATTGCTTTGTATTTTTATCGTTGCTCATCACTATAATAAATAGCTTACTTGTGTAACGAGTATGACAATGTCTAGATGTAATGTCTTGAACTTATTAAACTATTATGCCAAGTGATGGTTTCCGTTTATTCCATGGATTGAAACTCATTTTCATCTTGCTTTTGCTTTGCTGGTGCAAAGAAAAGGGTAAAATAAAGAGGAAGAAAAAGAGAGCTGGTATCTTTGACAACATGCGAGATCTCTTGGCAAACAACTGTAATAAAGTTATTCCGTCTAAACTAGTGAATTAGATACATTGGTCATAGAAAGCGTACATTTATAAAGAGACATGCTTTGTTGGGTTCTTTACACTCTCGCTCTTTGCAATTAAAAACCTCGAGAATTCTTTTTTAGTTTTCTATTTTTGCTTTCTTTCTCTTTCTCTTTACTTTCTCAAATGTACATTAATATTCAATCTGCCATTTTACTGTTGCTCGGTACCTCTTCACTTGTGGCTGCTGCTGCTGCTGTTCCGTCAAATAGCGAGAAAAAGATACTTCGTGTACCTATCAGTCGCAAAATTAGGCCCGACCCTGTCATTTCATCAATTCAACAAAAGTCTGGCTTGAGCAAGAGAGACCCTTTCACTGCTTCTCTGTACAATGACGCCGGCTCACAATATCTCATTGATGTGAGCATAGGTACTCCTCCTCAGAACTTCTCTGTAACATTAGACACTGGAAGGTAAGGAGCAAACTGAATTTTCTGTAGCATGCCAAGATAATTAATACCTCAAATAGTGCTGATTTGTGGATTCCGGGCTCTGCTTGTTCAACAACCGAATGTCCAAATGGCCATTTTGATCAAGCTGCTTCTAGCACATTCAAGTCTCTCAATGAGGAGTTTGCTCTTGTGTATGGCATCGGTAGCGTCAATGGTACTTATGTCACTGATACTGTAACCATCGCTGGTGCTACAATCCAAACCCAACAGTTCGGTTTGGCCTCGACAACATCTCAAATCTTGACAAATCCAAACACCATCACTGCATCTCAGATTGTAAAACCTTCAAACGAAACGCTCGATCTTAAACTACTTGCTGCAACGGCATCCTCCAAAGATGTTAAAGCAAACGGTATTCTCGGCCTCGGTTACCCTAAATTAACAGCCGCTTCAAGTAAAGGCCAAGGAACATATAACCCCTTTGTCTTCAATTTGGTGGCAAATAATGTGATCTCGGACCCTGTTTTCTCCATTTATTTAAACAAAGCTAGCTCTTATGGTTGGGTGGGTGAAATCATCTTTGGCGGTGTCGACTCTTCGAAATACACTGGAAACATAACCTATCTCCCTGTTGCTTCGCTCTCCTCGACAAAATCATCGTCATCGTCTAATAAGAAGCGTGCTACTCTTCCCAAAAATGACAGCAATTACTACTGGATGGTCGGTGCTCAAGGTGTTGCCGTAACAAACTCTTCCTCTTCCTCTTCTGCCACTACAGTTAATGGCACTGATTCAAATGCCATTCTCGATCTTTCCTTCTCAACCACCAGCGCCTTCATCTTAGATACTGGAACCACTCTGACTTACTTGCCTTCTAAGATTGCTCAGCAAGTAGTTGAAGCATTTGCTGGACAAGACTATACCATTGATGCTGGCTCGGGTGCTTATATCATTAGCTGTGCTGCTGCTAAATCTACTACTCAACTCGAATTGAAAATGGGATCCTCTGCCAGTGCTGATCCTGTTGTTTTGTCTGTACCTGCTTCTCAATTGGTCATTCCCTTGGATGCTGACACTGCTGAAGCTGCCAATTACTGCTTGTTTGGTATTGCTCCTACTTCGAGCTCAAGCGTAGGTAACAACCTATATTTGGTGGGTGACTCTATACTGCGTAGCACCTACATGGTCTATGATATGGGCAACAATAGAATAGGTATTGCGGCTGCAACTGGAGTCGATGGCTCCGTACAAGGTGTTTCATCTGCATCCACAAGCGATGGTGGTGTATCGCTCTTTAGACATAACCCTACTATGATTGCTTTGGTTAGCTGTTTGTTAATGGCTGCATTTGCTTTCTAAATTTAGAATACACAGCATTGTTTTGTTTGTAAATAATATGTAAAATAATCACCAAAGTAAATAAATCGTCATTTTCTTCACTAAATATCAAAGGTGCAGCGCATCTATTTGAAGATGTTTCCGCGCATCAGCATGTATCATGTTAGTCAGCTTATTGTAAAAGCTTTTCTCGTACCTTTTTAATGCATCGACTGCGTGGAATACTGAAATAGATATAAAACTTGCATTCTAGAGTTGATTCTTTTACTTCAAGCCGCAAACTAAAACATATATTTCCGTTTTGCTAAATATTCACTAATTTATAATGCCTGTGCAACATGCTGGCCGCGTTCATCTCCGTAAATAACATAGTGAGAATGTGTATAGTTTGCAGACACCAAATTTGAATATTTGAGATATTTAAACAATTTGTATAAATAAATAATATACGTAGATATCAATTATTCCAATCCAAATCTAGCAGCAGGTGACAAGCCCATTTTGTTTCGTATCAATAGCGCATACATTTTGCATCAACATATTTAACACTGCAACAAAGTCGTTTGATTTTATATGAAAGCTGTAATGGCGGTTTACTCATCTGGACACGTTTTATACGAAATCGGCACATCTAGGTAGATACTCGAAACATACCAATCTCGCTATAATGCACTCCTAGGACAGCGCTTGAGCTCAATGGTAGGAGTATTTCTCGTCTTAATGAATGAAGTATCGATTTGAAAGCATCAATCATCGTCTTATATGAGCATCATGCCGGCCAAGATGAGCATTTTAGATATCAAAAGCCTCAAAACTCTTCGAATATTGTGAATGTGAACCGGTATGAAGGCTGGGCCGCTGTTATTTTGGCTTAATAAAACTTATACTGTGTATCCCAGTCTAAACATACAATATGCTCTTTTCCTTGTATAAGAACTTGCTAATAGGATGAGGTGTAACAAAACGTTGTGTTCAAAACCGCTTGGTAATAACTTGCTTCGTTGTGGCGCGGCAAATGGTAAAAGCTGTGCCGTGTATTAGTATACGCAAAAGAGGGGACAGAGCAGCTATTCCAAGCTCTATGTTGATGCTAGAACCTTAATAATATCAGTACTACTATATGCCCACACTGAGAGAGGTTGCTAAACATATAAAAAGGAATTTTTAGCCGCTACATTGGTTGTCATCAAATAATAAAACGAAAAAAATTAGTGTCAAATACTATAATAAATAACCAGTGTTTCGGCACTATTATCAATAATACAACTGCGAATTCAACCAGGTTTCTTTTACATCAACTTTTGCTTTTCTGTGTTTGCTCTACAAAACGAGGCCTCGGTTGGACACGTACTATTTTATCAAATATCCTAGCAAGGCCTCACACTAAAGATTTTGGGCTATTATTCTTATTCTTAGGTCCTTTGGGTAAATCATGTTGTTCATGATTTACAAATCATTCGTTTTTAGGTAGATAGTAAATCTACTTATATTATAATAGTTCATCATTATGTTGTATACGTTAGCATAATGAAAATTATATAAATGCTTCCTCTGGATGCATTCTCAATAAAAGTGTAATTCTTTGGCAGTTTCAATTTTACATTGTATTTCGTTGACATAACACGTACTACGATACTTCCTCTCAGAAGTCGATTTTTAACACCCAAATTAATTTGCGGATTGCAGTGGCGAAAACATGTTGTTTTTTTAGCAACAACAGCACGGAAACGTCCATGTGATGATCAAGTCTATGAAATATATGCAGGGCGTTGTTGTATGACTCATGTTGGCACACAAAAAGAAACTTATATGCGCCGCTGTAGCAAAAGTTAGCTTTGAGCGATTGAGTTTGGACAATTTGGCTGGAGTTGATCTTTCGGCAGTGTAGATCTGTGAAGCCATTTAAATACAATCTCTTGGTGTCGAATCTTGTATTATAAGATATGCAGATACCCTGAATCTCAATTCGCTCGGCTTTGATCCAAAATTACGATGTCTGCTTCCTCCCCCATTGTGCTGACACCTACTCAGTAGTCTGTTCGTGTTGTGCCAGAAGGGCTACAACTGTCTATAAAGATTAAGGTATTCTTGATGGGTAGATATGTCTGTGTTGTGCAACAACATGGACAAGCTATGATAATTGAAGTGCATCTCAGCTATCTAAGTACTGAGGTTCACCAGATGTGATAGGCGTTGTACAAGATAAATTGCTACTTTGGCATTCAGAACTTAGTATAAATAGAATAACTCTTGTCTTCATCAATAAATCTTTAGTTTTTGTGTCTGATCTTATTCAAATAAGTCTTTTCTTGATTTTATAATATTGAACATTTTTTATAAGCTACAAATAATAATCCTTTTATTCTTTGTGCTCAACAGAAATTAATGTAGTCGCGCATTTCAAAAAGGAAGACCTGAACCTTCTCAGAAGTAGAATAAAAGCGTTAATCGCTTAGATATTGATTTCCGTACAATGCAGAACATCGGGGTCATCAGACAGAACCGTGATTTACTGACTCCCTTGGCAACACAACCTACTACGCCTTATTTTTGGCCAAATTCTGTCCAAATTTAACCATTTTGAAGCACGAATAACTCATGCTACAAAGCGTTGTGGAAGCTCGGAATAGGGCCAAACGCTTCTCCTTGCCCACGCTTTAGTTACTGATGCTTTATTTCAAAATGTTTTAGGTCGTTGCAAATTCATGAAAATCCTCATGATTTTCATGTGTACTAGTAAGGAAAAATTCTTGAAAATCAAACGATCGCGTTTTTCACCCCAAAAATGACGACTTTTTCTATAATAAATATTGAATCAAACTGATTGTAAAGATGCAACGCAACACTGGAAGCTGTTTATATGAAACTTTTATATGCTAGATTTTGACATATTCACAGAAAACCTGTTTTCATATTTTTGAAAATTGCTCATTATTTTCGGTCTAAAAGCTGCATGTAATCAGCACCATTCGATGCGGCTTTTTTAGTTCTCTAAAGATGTATTATATCGTTGGATGTGACAACGACAGTTTTCATAGTTAAATTGGCAAAAACGTTCAAAGGATATCAAATCAAGTCAAGTTTGAAGACGAAAATACCCACTGCACAATTGCAAATTAAACTGCAGCAGTTACGGGCGGCTACCACGACGGCAGAAGACTGGGACCAAATCTACTGGCCGTGACGTCGAACAGGGCGCTCTCTCATTTTTCCATGCCCTCCTTTTTTTTTGCCCTTTTTGCAAAACGCGTTTAGTATCAAACCATATTGGTTTTGGGACCCTTTTGATGGAATATAACACTCTAGCTTCTGATAACACGGCCTTGCATTGTTAAAAGCACTTGATACTGCTTCTTTTAAGTGGAATATAGCAGGTACCGTTCGACAACGAGCACAGAAAGACGTAGAACAAGCACTAATCAAATTTTTTTTATTGGGTTTCTATTATTTTTTTTGCCTGTTTGCCGTGGGCGCTGCTGCCACTACTTCTCTGCTACTCTGCTGTCTGCTTCTTTGGTTTATTATGTCTGGTAGCTGCTTCTTTGGTCTCCATCTCTGACAGTTGCTTCGTTAGTCTTTATCTGGTCTCTGGTGTCACTCGTTCTTCGGCTTTTCTACGCTGCTGGTGTTGCTGCTAATGTTGTTGTTGGTGTTGTTGATAATCTGGTGTTTCCTGGTCTACTGTCTTCGCTGTATGCTTGTTCTCTGGCCTATCTCTGGTGATTGCCTATAATCTTCTAGTCTATCCGTGGCTGTGGTAGGTTTAGTAAGCAATTTCTTTGGTCTTTGTCTGGTCTCTGGTGTTGCTGCTGCCGCTGCTGTTGTTAATATATGGTCTTTTATGGTCTACTGTCTTTGGTGCATGCTCGTTCTCTGGTCTATCTCTGGCTGTGGTAAGTGGCGAGTATCTTCTTTCTTTTGGTCGCAATGATATAAACCTTCTTTGAACGTTTATATTGTTACTTCCTTTCTCGTGATAATGCATTCATGATGTTTGCTTTGTTGCGCTTTTTTTCTTTTTGTTTTCTTTTGTTGGTAGTGTTTCCTCTGTGGCTTCACACGAAACAACCTTAGTCACTATGTTGTATTGCAAACTTATAACACCACTGTTGCTTTTGCAGTTGTGTGTATTTGTGCCATGTTGCTTTACACCCGACTACTACTACCATGCACGTTACTCATTTATGCAATTTTATTGCAACAACAACGAGTTTCTTTGAACACCTTTGATGTTGTGTTTGTTACGCTTTTCTTTGACTCGCCTCGTGTGAGTGCTTCTTTTTTTTTTTGCCTACATACCACTATACTCTTATAGTAGCATGTTCTTTTCTTCATTCTTTTATTATTATTATGTTTCTTTGAAGCATACCTTTTTTACGTTGTGTGGATGTGCCTATCCCTGAAGCTCAACAAGAACTTATCCGAGGCTAGGAGGTAGATAGGCCGCCTCCACTTGGTTGTTGCTACTTACTTTAGTGATGATTGAGGGTCTCAATGCCAGAACTTAAAAGCTTGGTGGTGTAAGTAAGGCATGCTCTAGCACCTGGGGGAAATTTGATGATAGTGACAGCTATATTGCTATTATAGCGGCGCTTAAAATTTTGCCTCACATCAAAACAGAGGGAAACCCTCGCAATTTTTTTTTTAGGTCAGCGGAGTTTTCAAGCAATCTGATTGGCTCAGAGGTTGAAGTAGCAAAGGGTTCCAACTAGTTGATTTCCTATTGATTTGTCGTTTAATATAATTTAGTGTTTGTAATAAAAGGGGTATATAAATAGATACAATTTAAGTTTTTCTTCATTCAAAAGTAAAATAAGGTACAAACATTCGATCTAGCTTTTATTAAACTGTTTCATGTGAGGGGTGTTTTGAATTTATTATGCGAGCCAAACTATATAGCGTCGTCTCTGATTTATCAGAAATTAAGTATTTATAAAAAAGAGTATGAAATTAATCAGGTAAAGAAGAATATTGTTTATTACATTGAAAATAAGAAGGTTTATATACTATTTGAATTGAGGGATGTGACGTGAGGATAAGATATTAGATGGGTTGATTTGGGTGATAGGATAATAAATCCAATCTATTATCCTGAACATGCCATGATATGGATCGTAATTGAATCCTGTTTCATGTCAAAGTTTATGATCTGATGTGATCGGTGCTTGAACTGCTTGTTTCTACGGTTTAGAAATGATACATCAGACTCTTATATGTATCGTACCATCTGATGTGCATTTCAATTCTGTACGAATTTAATATGAACTGGGATCATTCGTTACTATAAAGAAGTTGACGTTTGAGCGATCAAAAGATGAGAGTATGCAATGCAACATATTGATATCAAGCCAAGAGTAGCTCGCCAATCTTATATTGAATCAATGACAGTTTGGGAGTTTTACTCCAGTCAGATATGTGGTTTGATGAATCATGTCTGAAACGGATTCTCTAAATGCGAAGAAACACTTAGTCTAACCATATTGAAGTGAACTAGACTAGATTCCCATCATAAACAGAACCCAAAATAAATGTCATCTCAATCAAACCATGCTACCATCAGCAGATAGGCATGCATAATAATAGTATTAGCATGATGATAGCAAGGGTTAAATGCTCTAAAATAAGAGATGACAGATACTAAAGTAAATGTCAAGGGTATTGTAATGTGTTGTAACATAAATATACCTAAAAAGGATACAGGCTCAACAATAAAGAGCTATTCTTTACGCATGATTCAAAAACCATATATTGAAATACCGTTCTTGATCCATCAGATCAACAACTAAATGACCCAACAAAAATATATAAAGTAATGGAATTACTGGCAACTACTAAACTGCTGCCAGATAAGAGATATAAACCAAATAATATAAATAGAGACGTAGAATATACATTTTATTGCACATTATCCTAATTTCGAATAAAGAAGGATTTTAACAGTATTCTACCTGCTTTTTTAACCCCCTTTTTACTGCACATATATCACATCAGATTATAAACTTTGACATGAAACAGGAGGATTTAGTTACGGCTCTAGTTATGGCAAGTTTAGAACAATAGATTGAATCTACTATCCCATCACCTAGATCAACCAATCTAACACCTCATCCTCAGATCACACCAAATCCCTCAGTTTGAATAGCATATAAATCGCCTCATTTCCAATGTAATAAACGATATTCTTAACCTGATTGATTTTTTATACTACTCTTTTTTTGAAATATTTTATTTCTGATAAATCCTGGTCGACGTTGAATTAGTGGCGTGTCCATAGCCTCCTTAATAAGTTCAACGCTATAGAGAGGATGTCTAATCTTTGCATTTTGGTTTATAACATGCAGCTACTGTCGAGCTTCCACTTCAAAGCGGCCTGTCCAGAAGAGAAACCTGTTTTGACGGTATTATATATCTAACTCTTCTAGGATACTCCAATTTTGTAGCAATGAAAACAGTTCATATCTAAGCAGATAACATACTTGTATTGCCGCTTATTATCAAAACACAGTAAAGCCTGGATACATTTTAACATTTTTCTCGTATTAGAAGCCGTTTCAGACCACCAGAATAGCGCTAAATAGTTGCTTTTTTCTAGCCGTTACTTAAAGGCACTTTTGCTCAACTTTTTTGAAATCGCCAAAAATCAGTCAAAAATTCACCGCATATTACCATACTCTTCGATGTTTTAACGACAGAACTTGAAGTTTTCTACACTCAGTTTAGTGGTTGAATCAACGAGGGTCAGCTTAAATAAAAAATAAAAAAAAAGTTTGGTTGTAAATTTTTGGGCACAATCCCCTCCAATCTCCCCTGGCATTTTGATTTTTTCTGCTTGCATTTTGAGTTTTTTTTTGCCTACTTTATACTTCACTTTCGCCTACGTCGTTTCATTTTGGCCAAACTTCTGGCTTGCTGATGCCTACATTTATTTTCTTTATTTAATCAATTTTGCGTGTATTTCTAAGCTGCTACATATGGTGGTCCTCGTTGGCATCAGCAGTGATATCTACATAGAGGCTCTGACGTTTGTTTACTTGAGATAATTACCAAACCAAAGCTGCTACATACATTACCATAGGCAGAAACAGTTAAACAGCCATCCGTTTCTAAAAATATCCGAAAATGAGGAAAGTAATCTAATTATAATCGACATTTGACGCCATTCAAATTAATTGTGTTCCACAGACCCTGTAATTTGTCCTCAATATTTGTCTGATGAGGTGCTTGTTCTCGAAAACCTTTTTTCTCTTTCTCTATAAACAAATATCACCATGAGTAGCATCGAAGACGCAAAGCTTCTTAAGCAATTGAAGAAGCAAGAACTTAAAAAGCTGGACAGAATGAAGCGAATCCAGAACGGAACTGCAACTACACATGACAGAAGGTTGTATAAAAAAGAACGTGACGCCATGAAGCGCAGACTTGCAGAGCAAGAAGCAGAGAACGTTGCCAAGAGAAGTAGAAGTAGAAGCAATGGCAGTGGATCTGCAGATGAAATGTACGCACGACTTGAAGAGGCACGACAACAAATGGATGAAGATGCTGATGAGTTTGGTATGTGGGTGGACGACGACAGTCAGGATCATCCAGCTCCAGTTGAACGTGTAGAACGAGTTCACAATCGTAACTTCAACCCGAAGAAGCAAAGAAAGCAGTTCTGGGCGGAAGGCAGTGAAGCATTGCTCACTGCATTCATCGAGTCTTTCAAGAGGTGTGGCGAGCCCGACTTTAGACTCGAGAAGCCCTTGGAAATGGAGAAGCCTGCTAGTTGCAACTGCTCAATCAGACGCACCTCTGACTTGACTGGATTCATGTTTGGTGGTAATTGATCGTACAAAATTAAGCTTTTCATTTTTTATTGATTAAATTGCTGTTTTAGGACCTTCGAAGTTCTCGGTGGCATACTGTGATCATCAATCTCTTTTGGAAACCCTTGTGCTCTGTCAGATGCTCCCAACTTCCACTCAACAACCAAAATCGGCAATCCATTTCTCAGTTTTTGAGTATGGTAACATTGCCAAGCTAGATGGCTATGTTTCCAACCATGGATTCACCAAAATCTACAATTCTTGGTGTTTGCAACGAGGTGGATTCAGCAAGGACGTAAGTCTACCCCTTGGTAGTATGATGTCCGCTTACATGTATTCTTTGATTGTAGTTCATTTCGATGGATGCCTCTGTATATAACATGCTTCAAGTGATTTACAGAAATGTTCATAAGCATGCAATGGATCGTCTGCGTGAAGAGAATTCGTTGGCTTTGCAAGTAGGTTGCTATGCTTGCCATGTAAGTTACATGATTATCGTATGCAACTTAGAAAAGCCTGGAGCATCTCTCTAAACAAAAATGATAGGGTGCTGAACGCAAGTTTGTGTCCATGGATGGTAATTTTTCGTGGAGAAGACGCAAAGATCGCAACTCTAGCAAGAACAACTGGGAGCAGGGCATCTTTGCTCCGTCAAGAGCAGAGAGTGCCTTGGTGGCACCTCCTGAGGAAGTTGAGCGGTTCAATGATCACACTGAGGTCACTGACGAAGAGGTACCTGAAAGATTAATATATGAGGCACTTTTTAATAACAATTATGTCAAATCAGTGCTTACTTCGAGATCTTGACAGTGACTTCAAGGCCGGTGTTGACCATAGACGACAAAATGGCAACCGATTTGATGAGTGTGGTGTGTTCTCTTTGAACTGTGCCAGACATGGTATTGTCGAGCGTATCTTTGACATCTTTGGTGGCGAAGGGTAAATCAACAAGGAAAGATGCGACCTAAGAAAAGCTAACATCATAATTTGTAGACGCAAGTACGCTTTGGCTGCAATCAGTCATGTGGTTGATAACTTGGGAGACCAAGAAAAGCTGGCTGTCTTGTATGACATCGTTTGCATGTGCCAAAAAAGAATAGAGGTAAGCATTCAGCTTGTTCACTACTCATAATCTTAAATGCCTTGTTTGATTTAGGAGTCTGTCCCTCTCATAAATAGACATGACCCCATCTATGGCGTAGCCATTTTCCATGCTTTGGCTCACAGCCTCAACTGCCAAGTCAAATACTTTCCAAGATATGTGAAGGGTATGGCTCTCACAGGTAAGCGACTATGAATTTCTCTGTGAACTGTAAGACTGTTATTAATTCATCCAATTTATAGATGGCGAATCTGTTGAAAGAGTGTGGTCCCACTGCAATCATTTTGTAAGCATGTCTCGCAATATGAGCAAGGCCAACCGACACGCTCTTTTGACACAGGTCTTGGACAAGTATAGAAGTGACAAGATAGATTCTTTGGGTAAGGACCTCGCATATGTTGACGGACGGAGACTGACATAGCTGTCATTCTAGCCTCTTACATCAACAGAAAGTACAAGAAGGTGCTTACAAAAATGCGTCTTCTCAACATGTCGATAGCAGAGTACAAGAATTTGGAGCAGGAGTGGCTCAAACATGCAGATAATCTCTGTATTTTTCCTGATTTTTCTGGCCTGGAACAGATTCAAAACAGTGCTGAGAGAGTGGAAGCTTTGCGTAACGCAAAGGTACACTATCTGATTTTGGTTGCTCAGCATATGACGCTCATCAACAAGGAGACAAAGAGGTAAGCTTTTAATCAGTAGAGAATTACAGATCTAACCTTGTTGTGCTTGCAGCAAATTTACTGGGTATCATGTTGAGCACTTGAGAAAGACCTTGCTTGTCAAGATCCAACTCATGGAGCGCCAATTTGAGTTCTTGCCTGTCAACAGGCCCAAAAATTTCAAGGATCCTCTGTTTGGCGAGTATCATGTCCAAGTCAAAGACTGCAGATATGATGCTCTAAACAATTACCTTACTCACCTCCTCTTTGCCATTGTCATGAGAGAGAAAAAGCTGCATCAACCTGCAGGCTCCTCTGGTAAGTCTTATCCAAGTTTCGGAATGGCTGGCAAGGGTCTAATGAACAATCTATGTAGGAACTGCCAAGGCAGCCCGTATTGTAATCTCTCTTGAAGCATTGCACCGGCTAACCGAAAAAGTCATTAGTCGCATCAACGCTTTAGTGTTAAAGTATTTTGGTAATATAAGCAATTGAGTGGTTAGGATTTTGTACTCAACAATATTCGCATTAGATGGTGCTGAAGACAAGATGAAGATGACCGTTGGCAGGGAAGTTGAAAAGCTGAGAACTTCAGCTCAAGGTGAGAACATCTTGGGACTGTCGGATGCCCTGGCAAACTGGCATCTTCTGAACAGACACGTCGAGGAGGCAACACTGTTAATTGTAAGGCCATCAGATGAAGCCACCACTTGAATCGTGTGCTCACCAAATCCAAACAATAGGAGGAATCAAATAGGTTTGTCTCCAACCTTACGAAGGAGTATGATGAGATGGAGAGGGCTTTGAGAAGCCAAGAGAGCCATTTGCTGAGAAGGCAATTCCTTCAAACTTGTCGCCGGCTCTACGTAGCCAAGAAGACCTTGCAGCAGGTCAGAAACCAGGTCCAACCTACCATCAGTCTTACACCAACCCCAGATGGCTCAACCAACGATCTGGTGGTCATTGAATATCAGCAGTTTGAGTTGCTCAATGAAGGTGATGCTGTCGCTGAAGAAGATAGCGAAGATGATGATTTCGCGGAAGGTGGCGATGATGAAGAAGACCTACAGGAAGTCTTACGGGAGATCGGGGATGCGTCATTGGGTAGGTAGAGCATTTTCCTTTTTTCCAATCCATTAGACTTTTCTTTTTCTTTCATTTACTTTATAAATTTCCCAAAAGCTGTATGTTATTACCAAAAAAGGCTATACTTGATCTATTTTTGATAGATGATTGCCTTCACCAAGACGAAAAGAGCGATTGGTCAATGTTACTACAGGAGAAGGGTTGCTGAAATTTAGAAATCTTCTTTTTCTCTACTGATTTTTTTTTGTCTGGTAAGTCCAGTTGCATACGTTTGCAGTAAGACCTAGCCCATGTGTTCTCGGTTTAAATCAAGGAATGAGATGGATCGCTTTCCTATTATTGTCAACTGCCTGATTCTATGATATGACAGAGCTATTGCCATTTTTATTTAAGACGGTAGGTGGTAAACGTCTAGTAGGCCAGAATACCTTCAAAATAGGGGAGAACTATTGCCATTTTCTTTTCGAGGTAAGTGTGCTTCTATTACTATAGTAAACCAATATCAATAAATTGCCTTTCTACCCTTCATTTGATCTCGTTTCCCTTGTATTGTTTATTTTTGCGTAAAATACCGTTCACAAAAATGCTACATAGCATAAGAGTGTTTTTTTTCTTATTGATTAAGTCATGATTCGATAGAAATAATGTCGAAATACATTAACAAAGTTATGCATCACCTTGAACCACGATGACAGTTCTACACACACGACACTTTCACAAAAAAACAAAGCCAAGATCGTGCCTTGAACCAGCACCTTTACTTTGACAACTAGACGCTCTACCCAAGCAAAAAAAAACATCCCAGATAATTTCTAAGAATTTATATTTCTATATTGTATCTTGTAAAAAAATTGCACGTGATCAATTTTTGTTATGTTGATTATAATGTTGATTACTTCGTATATAATTGCTATATACTATTAGACGAAAGTATAAATAATACAAAATATATGTATAATTGGTTATAATTTATTAAATTGCAATTTGATGCCTAAATTTACCGTCAAAGTGATGGCATGCTTGGGAATGTTGGTTTGAGATGATACCAAGGACCAATTACCATATAATACTTGGTAACATCGAGCGGCAAAGCATAAAGAAAGATAGAAAAAAATCAGTTTCAATTGCTTGTGATAGTACATGGCTAGAGTGTACCGTATACAGCATTTTTGGTTGTAGGTTATTAACAAGAATGTCAGCAAATGACAATATGATACGAGAAGACATAGTCTGTGATCATTAACGTAGTGTTTTGACATTCAAGGATTGCAGTAATCAAAGGAGCATATATGGCTTGAAGTGGAATAAATTTTTAACAGTTTTGAGTCTTTGAAGTTGTAGCTCGTACAGACAATCCATAAACCACTGCATAGCTAACGTCTGAAATGTCAAATCTTTCATTAGCACTTCCCTAAACATATGCCGTATAATTCGTTAACGGTATACATCGATTCAACTTAAGTGAATCTACTGTTTGATTTTTTTTTCTTTCTTACATGTGTCGTCTTTTGATATATCTCATGTCATATTGTACTATTATCAACACATGGTAGTGGCTATCCGCCATTGATACTCCTTTATGCGTTGTTAGTGTACTTTCACAATTTTTGTTTGTTGACAGCTGTACAATGATTCAGAATACTATATATTATCACTTCTAGATACGAAGAAATGTGGATAACGCCTGCTCTCAATTTAGACATTAATTCTGTTATTCTGACGGCACCAGATTGTCTTTGAACCTGCTGAACATCCCAAACGTGTAGTTTATAAGAAACTTATTTGGTTTTGGTTTCTAAAATGGTTGTTGGCAAGATATAGTTGTCAAGCCCAGATACCATCATATTTCACTTTCCCTGACAATCAGATGTATCACAGTAGAACAGACGTAGAGTACGCGATCATGAACAAAGACCAAGCAACATCTGAACCACTACTTGGTATTTCATTAACAAACGAAATTTACAAAGCCAACGTGTACTAATCTTCGAAGAAGCTTTTATTCCTCAAGATTATAACGCGAGCGCGCTTCAGTAACTTGCTCCTGGCTGGCCGTACCTTCCAATGTCGAAAACAAAACTTTGATCCTTTTCTTGATTTCAAATTCATTAAAAAAAGAGAACATGAAAGCAGTGAAGTAAAGAAAACAAGGTCTCCAAGAACGATCATTTCGTCCTCTCATTGCCATATACAATAACATGGTCTCCTCAAGAGGGTTTTGCTCAATCAGAGCAGCATCAACCTTTTTAAAGATGAGCAACCAGTCTCCAACCTTGTCGCAGAAGTCCATTCCAAGATAGCGCTTGTTGTAGTTGCTCATGTTTAGCTCCGTTTGGTGGCGAAAGCGAAGCGTGTAAAATGCAAAGCACATTCGGAAGATCTGCATCTCGGAAATGGGCGGCTGCTTACTCTTGGTGCGCTTCAATTTGAAATCATTGATTGCTGCCAACAAAGCTTGCCAGATGTTCTCCTGATCACCTTTAAAATCGTTGACTATCTGGTTGCCTCATCACGCAATTTGTTTCTTCTTTTGTTGTCGTTTTTCTTGTCTTGCTGCTTTCTTTTCTTTTCTTCTTGAATTTCTTCCTCAATTATTTGTTGCTTCTTCTGCCCAATTTCCTCGGCAGTAGGGTGAACAACAATTGCTTCAGGAGCTACTGTCAGGGCTGCAGCATTAGCGGCTTTGGGCTTACTGCCTGCCCGGTAACCGGTTTTCTTGCGTTTTGGGGATGCTGCAGTGGTAGTATCTGATGTAATATCTAGTTGGAGAGCAGCTGATCTGTTGCGTGTTGTGGGTGGCATAGTATTTATGTGGTGAAAAGTGAGCTGTATTAACTGAAGTTGTTTCGTTAAGAGAGATTCAAACGTTTAACAGTCGTCAACAGTTGGGGTCCCTCTAGATGTGGGAGATGCTATGACCTACAATCACTACATGAAATGGATATAACTAAGCATTAAGGTCTTTGATAAGTGGTTTGAACAATTGCAATCGAAGTAAAATATGATGCTCCATGGTAACCATTATAGATTGCAGTATATAACAAGAGTATGGCATTCAAATTCATAGGCCCATGGCAAAAGATACTCCATGCCTATGGTACCTTGCTCTATACTTATGGCACTATATACTCCATACCTATGGCACCCTGCTCCATACTTACGGCACTTTATACTCCATACCTATGGTACCCTGCTCTATACTTATAGCACTTTATACTCCATACCTATGGTACCCTGCTCCATACTTATAGCACTTTATACTCTATACCTATGGAACCGAGTGCCATACTTACGGCATGTTGTCTCGTAGGGAACTGCGAATTTGCTCGTGTCTCTATCGTGCCAATATGAATGCTTGAATCATATCTTGTCATTGCTCTACGTTGCCCGCGATATTTGTTTTTGTAGCTCGAGTTTCTTTATCATCTGTGCAATCCTTGACTGAAAAAAGGAAGGTAAAGGTCAAAGATCCAACACAATGCTACTTGGTGTATGTGATATTAAAATAAAAACAAATATTTACTGAACTTTTGGAAGAATATTATTTCAATTATCATTTTCGTCCCCTTGAGCGTTGCTCTTATCTTCATCACTGTCATCATCATCAGCTCACAGCTTTTCAAAATAGATGGTTCTGTCCTTAAAGCCCTGAAGCAATGTATCCATCGAATTGTCGCCGTCATAGACATCGAAGGACGTCTTCCCGTCACGAACAGGAGGAACAATGCCAGTGGGCCATCCAACCATCTTCACGCCCAAACTACGCATCTTCGCGTCATTGAACAAAGACAGCCAAGGAACACATTTGTATTGTCTTCTGCTAACTTCATCTATCCTCAATAAGATTAGCAATCCTATTTATTTAAAGATTATATACTATCACACTTACTGAAGGCTGCAGAGACTGCAATCTGCAAACTTTTCTTCATGTCCGTCTTGGTTCGCTTTCTTACTGGCTCATGACCAGTGGCAGGAGAGGTGATAACAGCGGCATGGGATGTGATAGCAGCAGAGTGAGCAGATGGGCCGCGTAGCTTTGCTGGGATCGGCAATTGCTTAGAGTTGGGAGCGCAATCTGGCACTCTGGAGGCGCTGTTGATGTCCTCTTCATCTTCATCATCGTCACCACTACAATAGCTACGATCATTGTCGTCTCCATTGTCACTCTCATCATAACTGCTGAAAACGCCTTCGGAATCAGCCTCAGCATTTTGATTATCCTCGTTCTCATCGTTCGTGTCAGTATCAGTACCAATGTCATTACCAACAACGTCAACAAAAGCGACATTGACAGCATCAACATCCACATCAGATTCAACAAGAGGAGTCACCTCAGCCTCATCGGCCTCAGCATAACTGTCATCCTGGTCACCAAAAGCCGGCAAATCGATAACCGCAGGCACTGCGGCAGGCAAGACAGGATAATGCAATTGCTTGCGTTTTCTTGTCTGTCTATGAGGAGCGGGAGCAGCCCTTTGTGCTTTAAAAATCGGTTATCAGAAATGATGAGTTTTGCTGTGCCAAATGCATTTTCCAAATCATTTACCTTCAGTAAAACGCACTACAGAGTTGCCCAACACCATTCTTCTCAAACAGCTTACGATTGAGAATGTTGAGAGTTTAGCATTGACAGTATTGACGCATTTCGTTGTCATAGCTATGAATCAATGTGCAATCAATTTTTTTAGACTCTACATTGTACCAGCAAGACGTACAAGAGTACTTACCTGAATTACTATACAAGCCTGGAGGATACAATTCCTCATGCAAAGTATCAGTGTACGTTATCAAAAAAGCATGGGTGTTGTAGTTGGTCATCAAATACTTCAGATTGTTGTTCATTTTCTTCATATCATCTTCAAATTGCTCGCTTCTAGCAAGCAAAGAAGGAATTTCAGCATTGTTTGTGGCGGCTGCAACTGACTCCAACCGCCTTCTTTCATTCTCTCCAAGCACGCGGTACTCGGCTGAAGTCAGTGCGGACAGCTCGCCAAAGGACAATCTCTCCTCCTTAGGCCTAAGCTTGTTCTTGGCAGCCATCTCTGCCATAAATACCGACCATTCAGTGGCTGGAGAGCCTTTCAACATCTCTATCTTGCCGTGGAATTCGTCCAGCTTGTCAATGAACAAGTTGCCACAGACGAATCGGCGAACCTTGTCTTCTGAAAGCCTGTGGCTGTTGTCATCACTGTTCACGAAATCGTCAACCAATTTGTTGACATTGCGGAAGAGCTCTTTTAATGAGCTAGTGGTCTCTTGAGCAGTGGGCAAGTATTCAGGCAATGACATTTTAGTTAATAAAATTAGGAAGAAGGAAGTTTGAATTGCGTTTCATTGGCTCTATTAAATGATCTTTACTGCGTTCTGATACGAATGTTTACAATTGTTCGTCACATTAAATCTAAGGTTTACGGTTCCCCTGATTGAGAATAAAGACTGACGATTGATGACACTGGATTAATTCCACAGGTTGGATCCAATTAAGCAACATCAAAACATATATTCTGCTTATTCATATCATATATGGAAAAAAATTGGTACAGGCCATCACTAATGAAACCACATCCACTGGAAGATCTCATCAATGCTTGCATTTCAAATATCCTAGACACTGATTTATATCAGTGGGACGACATCGCCCCTCACTTGACAATTCATAATGGTCAAATGATGAAGATTCGCGATAATGACATGACTTAATCATAGCTAACTATATATTGCACTGTCCTGAGTATTCTGCCTGAATAATGCGAAAACTCTCGAATCTAATCTTCTTCCATTTGATACAGTCGATCATATTATAAAATTTACATCCCCAAACTAAACCTTTGAAAATCAATATTACCTCGCTATGATTATCAAACAAGGCCAATATATAATCCAGATGGCAGAGCATTAGTCTTACAGCATACAACGCTAAAAGAATCATACAATACTTATCAAAATGTTGTTTGAAAATTGAGTAAATCGTTGGTTCTTCATACGCGCCTTTTTCGTGCCATATTTATGAATTATAAAGAATGGGAGTAAAAGGTATACTAAGCCCCAGGAACTGAGACGTTATTCTAGACCTAATCATAGCATTGTAGAGAGAACAGTGATCTATTCCTGTCGTTAATTTAGAGCCTGTGTAATCTATCCATACATTTTGCAATCTAATAATAAACCTCTCCACAGCCAAATGCTCAAGCTGGATATGAATCATCCTACGCGCAGCAGCGTGTTCCCACCAAAAGACGTTATAACGTATTTTTAGTATGAGGAGCCAACAAACGTAATATGTACAGCAAGTAAAGGCTTTCATTTTGATTATCAGGCTTGCTACGTTATCAAGTGTTGATACCACGTAGACAGACGTTCTTTTAATGGGCTTTTTGGCGGTTTTTACCGCAATGATCGAATCAAGGAAGCGCATGTAGAGGGAGCATTTTGGCCAGAAATCGCAAATAGTGGGCTACAGAATATGAGAGATTTTTATTTTTTATTTTTTTATTTTATTTTTTTTATTTTATTTTATTTTTTTTCCTACTCCAAAGGGAGGCTCGATGTTTTGACGGTAAATTTATATAAAAAAATTTACAAATTTACTGGTTAAAACAACGACAGTGTTGTTTCACATAGGTCAAAATTAAGAGGGGTAGGTACATGGTTTTCATCGAAAACCAAACGATCGCGTTTTTGACCCATAAAATGAAGACTTCTGCTATAGCATATATTAAATCAAAATGTTTCTCTCGATCCAAGGTAATCCTTAAAGTTGCTTTTGAGGCCTTAATATATTACATCTCGACATTTTGGCCAAACACCTTATTTCATATCTTTTGAAACTGCTCAATAGGTTCATTCAAAACATTTATGTTACTTTGCACCAATGAACGCGCCTTGAAAAGTAATCATAGAAAGCTTAAAGGAGCATGGGATGATCATCATTATATATATAGTCGGACTTAGCAAAATGTCTCAATCAAGTCGAAAATCGTCAAAATCTGTCCAATCTTGCTATGATAAGAGATGGCGTTTCAATTGGTATTGGCTGGCTCCTGGCTAAATGCCTTTCTATCGAAGATAATCGATGCTTATATAATGCCAATTAGAGGGCAATTACGAACTGAAAAGTAACACAACTTTGACAAACTGATTTATATTGTACCGCAAATTTAAGCCCCTGGTTGATTTTGACCGTTGCAACATTTCTCCAAATGGGAGTTTTGATGCAAAAAGCAAATTGTTTACACTGCTGCTTTCATTGCACTTGTTGCCAAAAATATAACACGGAATTGGCTCGCACACTTTTTTCGCTGCATTCTTTTTTTGTTATTATTTTATACAAATTGAATTTTTTTTTTTGCGTAATTGAGATGAATTAGCTGTAAGCATAAACGGAGAATACAAAAGATAGTTGATATGATAATGAATAGTACAATTGTAAATAGAGATGTTGGGTTAAGAGACATTGCAACAATTACTTTCGTCTCTTGGCACCACAGCAAGCACCCCAAACATCCCAAACCACAGCAAAGATATAGGCAGCAAAAGCCAAGAAACCCCAAAAGATACTCACATTGTAAAAGTTACAGAATTTGCCACCGTCTGTACATTTAAATTTAACCGCTTCGACAATGACACCAATACCCCATAATACAGCAAACAACAAATCAATAGCAAACATGATAGGTCGGTTCATCTTGGGCGTCTTTGTCATACGTCGATAACAGTAAAAGAGGACATGATAAATGGAGTATATAATAGAGAGAATTGCCTGCAGGTAATAGCTATTAGCATCGACACATACTAAAGCGCACTGATCGCTGATCAACTAACCACAGCAAACAAATAATAGAAACAAGCAGGCGTATAAAAGGGAACATCTTCGCCAGAATACTGTTTTAACAATTTAGCATTTGCCAACAAAAACCACTATATTCTTCCATCACACTTACGGGTCGAGCGCCAGCTGCAAAACCTAAATGTCCAATACTTGTTAACAAAATGCCGAAACGGAACCAGAAACGCCACTTATTAGGAGTATGGTATGTCTCTCCATTCCAAGGATCTGGTTCTGCTGATGAGACAGTTGTGGCGCTTGGCTTAGCATTGGAAGGTGTAGGTGAATTTTGAGGATATCCAGCGGCACCGCCTGCTTGCAATGTTTGATTGCCGTAAGGTGTTCCAGTGTATCTATAAGCGTCATTGTTGCCCGGTAATGATTGATTTCCACCATAGGGAGATTGAGGAGGAGGCCCATTTTGCGCTGTGTCGTATGGAGATTGGGCAGGATGTGCTTGTGGAGGAGGAGGAGAACTATAAGCATTTGTATCGTACTGAGTCTTGTTGGATTCATCGCCCCAAGCATTGTTGTAGCCTGTAGTACTGAAGCCAGGCATAGCGTTATTGCTGTTGTAGGCATTACCGTAAGCTGGTTCGTCGTCGTAGGCATTACCAAAGCGTGGCCCGCTTGTGTTTTGCTGGCTGCCTGATTGCCAAGGGTTCTGATCGAATGGATTTGACATATTTTGTGTAACAAATATTTAATATAAAGCGAAAGAGGAAAGAGAGAAGGAAAAGCCGAAAAATGGATAGCAATTCCTGCTTTAAAATGTTGAGTCGCGGAGGTCACGCACTATATCATCATCACTCATATCATCATCCAACATGAAAGCATGGATTACTCCGAAGAAACCTTTTCTTGCTCAAACCACACGGCAGGTTTTAGATTGAACGTGGTAAAACAAAAAAAAGAAAGAAAATCTGTTTCTCTTCTCTTTTTCTCTACTCGCCTAATTTACTGTCAAGATGGTTGTGAATGCGTTTATGCTCCAAAAGAAATATCCCAATTTCCAAGTCAATGATATCAATGCATTGATTGACAAATTCGAGTAGGTTTTTCTTCAACTTTGCTTGGTTTATGAGCTTTGCTTACATTGCGTAAATAGAGAGTGCGATTTGGATACAGATGGCTTGCTAGATCAGCGCGAAATTCAACAGGCTTGCAAAGACACTGGCTACAGCGACAATTATGACGAAATTAGAGCCAACTTGAAGCAGGTGACTACAAGTGCTACTGGCAAGATTGATGTAGAAGAATTCATTGACGTGAGTATTGTCGGGGGGAGAGGGGTTTTTACTGGCATTGTCCACCTACCGGAGATACTAAATTCACGTCAAACATCTGTGTAGCTTGCAAACAGGCTAAAGGAGGGTCGCAACAAGGGCGCTTTTGATGTTCACCAGCACAAGATTCGTGTCCAAGGCGCCAACAGTGATGCTACCCATACCATCAATGAGGATGAGCGCACTGAATTCACTCGCCATATCAACAGCGTCATGGAAATGGACCCCGACGTCGGTTATCGCTTGCCTATCCCCACCAACACAATGCAATTGTTTGACGAATGCCGTGATGGCCTTATCTTGTGTAAACTGATCAACGATGCTGTGCCAGACACTATTGATGAACGTGTTCTCAATGTGAAAAAGAAGATGAACAACTTTCAAATGGTGGAAAATAACAATATTGTCATCAACTCGGCAAAGGCCATTGGCTGCTCCGTAGTCAACATTGGTTCTCAAGACATTATTGAAGGCAAAGAGTATTTGATCTTGGGTCTTATTTGGCAGATTATCAAGCGAGGTCTGCTGAACAAAATTACTATTCAGCAACATCCTGAGTTATATCGCTTATTGGAGCAAGATGAAACGTTGGAGGAATTTTTAAAATTGCCTCCCGATGTCATCTTGTTGAGGTGGTTCAACTATCATTTGAAGGCTGCTGGCTGGGAGAGAAGGTAGTGTGTGTGTGTGTGTGTGTGTGTGTGTTGTGGTCTCATATTCAAAGGACGCTTACTGACAGAGTATACAGAGTCAACAATTTTAGTAAAGATGTGTGCGACGGTGAAAACTACACCATCTTGTTGAACCAGATTAAGCCTAATGAATGTTCTCGTGCCCCTCTGCAAGAGCAAGATGTCATGAAACGTGCTGAAATGGTACTCCAGAATGCAGAAGCCATTGGCTGTCGCAAGTATCTCACTCCCAAGGCAATGGTGAGTGGCAACCCCAAGCTCAACTTGGCCTTTGTCGCCCACTTGTTCAATACACATCCTGGTCTTGAGCCTTTGACAGAAGAGGAAGCTCCCGAAGTGGAACCATTCGATGCTGAAGGTGAACGTGAAGCTCGTATGTTTACATTGTGGTTGAACAGTTTGAACGTGGAACCTGGTGTATACAATCTCTACGAAGACCTGAAGGACGGTTTGATCTTGTTACAAGCTTTTGATAAGGTGCAACCAGGACTCGTTCAATGGCGTATGGTCAGTAACAAGCAGCCCTTGTCTCGATTCAAGCAGTTGGAGAATTGTAATTATGCTGTGCGTCTCGGGCAAGAGAATGGCTTCTCCCTGGTAGGTATTCAGGGTGCTGACATTGTCGATGAGCAAAAGACATTGACGTTGGGCCTTGTTTGGCAAATGATGCGCGAGAATATCGTTCGTACCTTGCAGTCTCTGAGTGAAGGTGGTAGAGCAGTTACTGATATGGACATGGTAAAGTGGGCTAATGAAACTGCTCAGAAAGGTGGAAAGCAGAGTAAGATGAATTCTTTCAGAGATCCATCTCTTCGTACTGGTGTATTTTTCTTGGATGTGCTCAATGGCATAAAACCCGGCATTGTGGATGCCTCTCATGCCACCGCTGGCAATACAGGTAAGCTTTCCTGAGGAATGGTTTTATTGTGCAATTACTCATTTGTCTCTGTATCTCAGACGAGGACGCTTTCAACAATGCTCGTTTGGCTATCTCTATTGCCCGTAAGTTGGGTGCTACTATTTTCCTTGTGCCAGAGGACATTGTGGAAGTCAGATCAAAGATGGTAGGCATCGTAAGCAATAATATGCGTCATAAAACTAACCAAATTGTACAGAATTTGACCTTTGTTGGCAGTTTGATGGTTGTTGATCGCCAAATGAAGAGAGCTTAAACATCCAAGCAAAGCTTTCAATGAAGTTACACTCTATTTAACATTATTCGATACGTTAATAAATAATAAGCATACATGAAGCAAAATTCTGGTGGATTATTGGGGGAAAGAGCTACGAGAAATTCGTCTACGTATCCTACTTATTGTTGAGCTCTGTTCAGAACCATCAATTTGTATTTATTTCTCTATGGGATCGAGATTCTCAGAAAACCAGGTAGCGAATTTGACACAGTTGGTATCAATGCCGCTTTCTTGCAAACGTTTGCTTGACAAGTGAGAGTTTTCAGGTCTTGAAACTACTGCAGTGTTAAAGATAGCTCTACAGACATTTTCTTTTTGAATATTTACCTGCGGCGGCTTTATCCACAGTATCTTGAGGAGTGAGATGATCAATAGGAGTATTCAAAATCTTGCCAAAGATTTCTATTACAAACTATTAACTCGATGCCTACTATTCCACTCATCTCCAACATACCACACACTTGGTACTTTGTGATACTCTCTTCACCTGAGAAATGATAAATGCCCCTGATATCCTTGTGATTTTCAACCTTGGCAACTAAAATGCGCTAAATAGCCAGGTTCAGGTTATACAGATGTCGAACATATCCTTACCAGCTAAATCCTTAAGCACTCGACCAACATCCTCAACTGAACTAGGTATAAGTACAGAATCTATTAGAGTTGTAATGTGATATTTACTTACCATTGGTAGGGTAACGGCTTGCCACGTTATCAACAGTTACTTTTTTATCGTGGTTCTACAGATGAGCAGATTAATTAAAATCATGCGATGTAGACTTTTACAATGAAACAAATACCAGAACAACGTCAATCAAGACATTGATTGCAGACTCAGCGTTGTATTCGGTGCTTCCGTATAAAATGGGTACACGAAGAATCACGGCCTCGGGGTACACACTCTTGATAGCCTCCTCACCGTCCAATTTAGTTTGGCCGTAGAAGTTCAAGGGGTTAGGTTTATCTCCAACCTCATAAGGAGGAGCGGTACCGTCAAACACATAATCTGTACTTATGTAAATTAGCATGACGCCATTGTCTTTGCAGATCTTGCCGAGATTTCTAGGGGTCTCCACGTTCAACTGTGTTTGTATGTGGCTATCAGACATGTGTAGGTCTTGAGATCATACACAGATACACTTACGTGCAATACAGCATCTTGATCTCTTTCAGCGACATCAGGGCGACGCTCAGCAGCACAATGAACCAACACTAATCCGAGAAATGTTGGTTTTTATTAGATAAAGTCGTGAATACACTTACCATCCGGCTTCTGCTCCTGTAAAAAGTGCTCAACTGCCTTTGCGTCTGTCAAATCCAACTAATACATACAATTTAGTCAGCAAAATTCTAATGATAGTACAATACATATAAATCACTTTGATTAAATCGCCTTTTGAGCGAGAGAATGCGGTGCCAACCACTATTGAGAGCAACGCAATTTCAGAACTACTATGGCTGTCAAGATTTGACTCGCAACGTACCTTGGCAGCCAGCGTCTTTGAATTGCCTGAGAGCGGCTCTACCCAACAAACCAGATGCACCAGTGATAACAGCCTTCATTTCAGTAAAAAAAAGATGAGTGATAATGATGAAAGAACTAGAACTCGAATACAGAGAAATGACATGATGTCCCGAATGACGCTTATTCAAAATTATCTTGGTGTTTTTCAATTTGGTAGGTTTGCATACACACATCAAATTTGGGCGGCTGTTTCTAGTTCGCTCATCAGTTCCGTTGTGGGCTATAAATTCCTTCCTTTTTCTTTTTCCTTTTCCTTTTTGCTCTTCTTTCTCTCTTTCTTATAAAAAGAATACAATTCAGCATGGAGGCAACGTTAAATCACTCTAAAGAAAATCAGCCCATTACAACTCCTGTTGATAGTTTGTCGTCAGTAAAGACAAATTTCAATGCCATCCAAGACTGGGACCATGATGTGGAAACCATTCCTCGCCTCCAAGTTGTCGATGAACAGCAGAAATTCACGTAAAGCAGTTTTAACAATTGATAGAGTGTATAAACATAACATTTGAATTGCTAGTGAACAACTCCCCGATTACATGAAGACATGGGGTTTAGCAGATGCCGGCTTTAAATATGATGTTGTAGCCGTCTTTGGCTCTCAAAGTACCGGCAAAAGTAAGTAGCTTTCGATGCAATCACACAAACAGCCTGCTCATACCATACTACACCTAATAGGTACTTTATTAAACAGACTTTTTGGTACTTCATTTGTTGAAATGGATGAAACCCAACGTCAACAGACCACAAAAGGTATCTGGCTGTCTCGTGGCAGAGGCATGCATGTTCTTGTGATGGATGTCGAAGGCACAGATGGCCGTGAAAGAGGTGAAGATCAAGACTTTGAGCGCAAATCAGCACTGTTTTCTATGGCAACGAGTGAGGTCATTATTATCAATCTATGGGAACATCAAGTTGGTCTTTATCAAGGTGCAAATATGGGTCTTTTGAAAACTGTATTTGAAGTCAACCTGCAACTGTTTCAAAATCAAAAGAGGTAATGATAGCTCATTTGTGGCAAACACGTGTGTGTGTCATTGTATTCATCATACCATTTTTCATTCTGTGTTATAGTAAGGAAAAGACGTTGCTTCTGATAGTCATTCGAGACTTTGTTGGTGCAACACCATTGGAAAATTTGGCAAAGACATTAAAAGCGGATTTGGAAAAGATATGGGAGAGCTTGTCAAAGGTAATGAATGAAATGGGGAGATGGAGATTGTACTCAGTGTGCTGATCAAAGCGTTGTTTGATAGCCTGAAGGTCTCGAGAACTGCAAAATTACAGACTATTTCGACTTTATGTTTACTGGCTTGCCTCATAAAATTTTGCTGCCTGAAAAGTTCGATGAGGAAGTGAAGAAGTTGCGCTCAAGGTGAGAAATGACAATTTTTTGTTGGGGGTAACCAATGCATTGACTCCTGTATCTATCAAATCAGATTTAATGATCCTGAGAATCCTGATTTTGTCTTCCGTCCGGAGTACCATAAGCGTATTCCTGCAGATGGTTACAATATGTATGCATCCAGTATTTGGGATAAGGTGCTTACCAACAAAGATCTGGATCTGCCCACTCAACAAGAATTATTGGCTCAATACAGATGTGATGAAATCTCCAATGTAAAGTAGCGATACCACCTAGCAGATGCATTACTCGTTTGCTAATTCAGTTCGTGTAGGCTGCTTTCGAAGTATTCAAAGAACAAATCGCTCCATTCAAATCACCCATTCTCGAAAAGAATCAAATCATCCCTGAATTGGGCGAAAAGATGAAGGCAATGAGAGAGGAAGCAATGCAGACGTTTGACAAGAGTGCATCTCGTTACAACCAAGGCGTTTATCAGAAGAAGAGATCAGAGATGCTTGCCAAGTTGAATACTCAGTTGGGCGTATACTTTGTTGGTCAACTGAATAATTTGCATAAAAAGGCCATCACCAATTTCGACGAAAATCTGCAAAAGCAATTAAAGACACCTGGATACAACTTTGCAGAAGCTGTTTCCTCTTGTAAAAAGGAAGCTAGCGATATGTTTTTGAATGGAGCTAAAGGTAGCATAGACATGATATCAAGTACGACGATTTTTTTATTGAACTCTACTGTTATAGCCATCATTCTATCTGATACAGATTGGTCCTACACTCATGAGGAGGAACTCTTGAACGAGGACTTTACCGAAATATCATCCAGAGCTCGAGTAGAAGAATTCAAAAAGATGAACAAGGCGCTTGAAAAGCAGATTGAGTCTGAACTTGCCGATCCTGTCGCCCTCGAATTGAATCGCCCTAAGAGTGACATGTGGCACAAGATCATCGAAACTTACAAAACTACAGTCTCTGACGGTGAAAAGCTGCTAGCTAAGAAAGCCAAGAGTAAGTCAAGGAAGATCTTCAAAGCAAAACACCAACTGACACCATGCATTGCTAGGTTTTGACTCCTCTGAAGAAGAGATAGCCAAATCCACTACCGATCTCAAAAGACAAACATGGGTTGTTCTCCGTAAAAAAGTGGACGAAGAATTGGCTGACAATTTGTTGTTATTAAAACTTCGTAACAGGTACGTCAAACTCATCAATTAAGTTTGACCAAGGTGGCACTAATAGTTTGCTGTGATAGATTTGAAGAAAAGTTCCGTTATGACGACAAGGGACTTCCTAAGGTGTGGAAACCTGAAGACGACATTGACTCTTACTTTAAAAAGGCTAGAGATGAGGTAATTTCCACTCGACCATTTACTAGTGCTTCAAACTGATGATTAACAAACTGTGTTTTCTTTATTTAGACGTTGTTGTTGGTCAAGATATTCTCCAAGGTCGACTTGAGCTTGGATGAAGATTTCGAGATTGAATCCACCGATGATTTCGACTTTAAGCAATCACTCACAGTTTTGGGAGAGGCCAAACAGATCGATATCACCAACAGGTTCAAGCGTGAGTCGGATGCATTTTACTTGGAAGCCAAGCGTTCCGTAGTAGCAACAACCGCCAAGGTCCCATCCTGGGTTATCATCATGATGATTGCGCTTGGTTGGAATGAATTCATGACCATCCTTAAAAGCCCGATTTACCTTGTGCTTTTCATCCTCTGTGTCAGTGTTGGTTATGTTGTCTACGCTCTCAACTTGTGGGGACCTGCTGAAAGAATCATCACAACTGTTGCGAATGAAGTCACTAAAATGGCAAAAACTCGTCTTGCAGAGACCATCAATACCACTGGCCACGGAAATCAGCAGTATGAATTATCTGATATCAAGGACAAGCACGATTAGAAGAAAAGCGAGAAAAATACATTATGTAAATACAGAAATGACAATCATCCAAATATATAAATATTAAACACATGCAAAATACTTAACTATTGTGTGGAACGTTTTGCTGTCAGATCGATGACTCGATTATGCTTTAATCCAAAAATATGAGGGAGGCATATGAAGGTCTACAACCCCCTGTTTAAAGATACATTTTAGATTGATTTGACCTATAAAAAAGCAATTGGAATGCCCATCCAAATTTTATCGAGCATTCAACGATTGACTGCTACGTATCGAATGAATTTCCAAATATGGTCAAACATGCAGGAACGGAAAAATTTATGCAGGGTCTATTGAAACACCGAAAGACTTTTTTTTTCAATACAGTGGAGAGTGCTTTTCTCACTTCAATGCAAGGTAGAGGGTAAACCACATGCCTTTAAAGCAACTTTTTAAAGCACAACAACTAGATTGAACTGAAGATCATGAAACAAATGTATTACATATGGTAAATGGTAAATTACTCTGTAAAGTAGCATTTAGCCGCATGTGCAATTTCTTTCACCTTTTGGCTTTCTAGATGATTAATACTCTTTCTGACATGAGAGGTAACTATGTGGAATATTTGCATAATAGTGGGAAGCTCCCTCGGAAAGAACAGAAGGGGGTTTTGCCCAAATACAAGAATACATGAACAAAAGGAGGCTGGAGAAAGGGAAAACTATTCTTCAATCAATTTATTGGACTGATTTTAGTGCGACCATTGAAACTTTTGATTGCCATTGATTGGAACATTCAGAGCTTCCCCACATTTAATGGAACAACAGGTACAAGACAAACTTTGAAGAATATACCATTATTTGGGTCTGGTGATACAGTATTATTCAATCTATTGTAATCTGATCTCAAGCTTTATGTATGTGCACGGTTTCAGAAAAAAAAAATGATACGACAAATATTTGTGACAAACATGAATACCAATTATTAATCAGATTCTTTCTGTTGATAATCAACATTTTTCAACTATTGAATGCGGGGCAGCATCTTAATGTCATCAAGTCATTCCGGTTATTATTTCGGTGGCTGCATTACAGGGTCACCCAGTTGATATCCTTGTTGAATCGTTGTAGCCGAGAGTATTTTCGATTGGAATACGATATTGATTGGCTGCAATCTCCAAAATTATATATCAGCCCATTTATACGAACAAAAAGAAAAAAGTCAAAGTTAAAGATGTCTCCCATGTGAAATTATACAGAGTTGTCAACGGAAAGATTGCCATCTAAAGGGCGGAGTAGCATACAAATGCTGCTGACAAAAAGCAAAATTGAAATTTGTGTGAAAATTAAATATAACAGACGGTGTTTGATCGCAATTCTGTTTAGTCAGTTCAATTAAGTGATTCGTATATAAACCCTACCCCGCCTTTTTCGTATTGTTTGAAGTTTTTTATTTTGTTTTCTCCAAAATTCTACAAAAAAAAAAAATGACCTTTGATAACAACGTTGCTACCAAGTTTCCTAAGCTTGCGCCCAAGGGCCCTTCTGGTGAACTCTTTTTGGCTAACGAAAGAGCAAAGGGCACTTTTGACGTCAATGAGCTCGCTAAATTCATGTACACTGAAGAGTGGTTGCAAAAGATGCACAAGGTACTCGAAGTGATGGAGTCCGAACCTGCTTTTGATAAAACCAACCGCTATTATATGAGCCGCAAAGACAAAATCTCCTCTTCCTTATGGAAAGATAAGCGTCTTATAGAGGTTGCAAAGTAAGTAACACCGCTGTTCATTTGATGCCTTGCTCCGATGATGAATGTACTCATGGGTTCAATTTTAGGGAGCAAAACTGGGATGAAACAGATACTCAAATTGCCAACTTTTTGTTTGATCAATCCAGTCCTGTAAGTAAACTACTGGATTGACAGCACCTGTCAGTTACTCAAGCTGATGTTCAATAGTTTACCCTTCATTACAACATGTTTATTCCCACTTTGAGAAATCAAACCACTGATGAACAAAAGAAACTCTTCTTGGAACCTGCATTGAAGCACCGTATCATTGGTTGTTATGCCCAAACTGAGGTAAAGTATACTATAAAAGCAAATTAAGGGAGGGAGATCGAGTATTAAATGATGCCATTCTGGTGTTTATTACATAGCTTGGTCATGGATCCAATGTTCAGGGCCTTGAAACCACTGCCACTTACATTCCTGAAACCAACGAATTCGAACTTCATTCTCCTACCTTGACTTCTGCCAAGTGGTGGATTGGTGGTCTTGGTAAGGCTGCCAACCATGCTATTGTCATGGCTCGTTTGATTACAGACGGTAAGGATTTGGGGCCTCATCCCTTCTGTGTCCAAATTCGTAGCTTAGAAGATCACACTCCTCTTCCTGGTATCACTGTGGGCGATATTGGACCCAAGTTTGGTTTCAACACTGTTGACAATGGTTTCATCATGTTTGATCATTACCGTATTCCTCATGTCGCCTTCTTGGCCAAGTATTCTCAAGTCAAGGCTGGCACTGGTGAATACTCCAAGCCTCCTAATGCCAAGTTGTCTTACGGCACCATGGTCTTTGTTCGTGCCAACATTGTGTTGGGCGTCCGCTACGCTCTTGCCAAGGCTACCACCATTGCCATTCGTTATTCCGCTGTTCGTCAACAATTTGTCGATGCTGCCAACCCTAGAAAGTGGGATAACAAGGTCATTGAGACACCTGTTCTCGACTATACCATGCAACAATACCGCCTTTTGCCTGCTGTCGCTGCTGCCTACGCTTGTTTCTTCACTGGCCGTGAAATGATGCGTCTTTACAACTTGAATCAAGAAGCTATGCAACAAGGCAACTATTCCCTCTTGGCCGATCTCCACGCCAGTTCCTCTGGTCTCAAGAGTTTGACTACCACCATGGCCATTGATGCTATTGAGGATTGCAGACGTGCCTGTGGTGGTCATGGCTACAGTATGTTCTCTGGTTTGGGTCAATTCTATCAAGATTATCTCCCCAATGTCACTTGGGAAGGCGATAATTACATCCTTACTCAACAAACTGCTCGTTACTTGCTCAAGACTTTCCGTAATGTTGTTGCTGGCAAGGCTGAGCCCTCTGAATACAACCAAACTATCACCTACTTGACTCAGTTCTTGGAGAACCCCAAGGCCAAGTGTCCCGCTACAAAGCCTGAAGACTTCTTGAACCCTGAAATGATTCTGTCTGCTTTTGGTTTCCGCGCTGCTTTTGGCATCGCTCAAGTTGCTGAGCAAATTGATCGTCATGGCCGTTCTTGGAACTCCATGTTGGTTGAAATCAGTCGTATTTCCAAGGCTCACAGTCAGTTCATGTTGATCCGTAACTTTATTGTTACTCTCCAAAACGACGAACAACTGACCAAGCCCGAAAACCGCTCCATGGTCAAGGTCCTTCGTTTGCTTGCTTCTCTCTTTGCCCTTCACACTATGGAGAAGGAGCTGTCTGAATTCCTTGTCTCTGGATATTTGAGCGCTGATCAATCCGCCATGTTGAAGGAACAAGTGATTGCCCTTTTGGAACAGATCCGCCCTGAGGCTGTTTCCTTAGTCGATGCTTTTGCTTTGCCTGATTACTTTTTACACTCTGCTTTGGGTCGTTATGACGGCAAGGTCTATGAGTCTATGACTGAAATGGCTGAAAGAGAGCCATTGAACCACACTTTGGTTGTTGATGGTTACGATGAGTGTATCAAGCCCTTCGTGGTCAAGGGAACAAAGAAATTGGAAGGCTCCACTCAACCTGCCAAGCTGTAAATACTACCATATAATTTATTTGATTCTGTACTTTATCCTGCATCTATTACCTATAGATAATACGCATCCTTGTCCCTCCCTCTTTTATACACATCATTAACATGAAAAATACCTTAAAATTATAGACATTTTATATTTATGCAATTTGCAGTTGTGTACGTGCCTCAAAGAAGTAGCAACAAGTGTGAGAGACTCACATGCTTGAAACTCAGAGATGTGATCATAACATTCACTGTAATGCACTTTTGCTTCCTTCTTCTTTCTCGAATAATACAGTTACTACACTAGTTAAGCACTATGCCAAAGAATAACGCTCTCATCTCTGACCTCGTTTTGCCTGAAATTGAGCGTCAATTGGCGCAGGATGACTCTCTTTGGCCCAATGTTAAAGGTTTATTCATCATCACTGTTACGAAAAGAAGAAAGCCAGCAGCAATATGGTATGAATCATCTTGACCATTCAAATGAAGAAATTGACAATCTTGAAATCTTGTAATTATGCGTAAAGGTATTTGCTTTTGCAAGGTAATCAGAGCTAAAATCACGCGTCCAAAGCACCTTTTTCCACTCGATCTAAGCTGTAAAATATAGGAAATGAGATTCAGCCTGTAATTACTTCAGACAAGGCAAAGGCTCAAGAATCTGCAAAGGGAAAAGTAAAGAAGGTCAAGATTCAGGTGGAGGATCATGATCTCTTGAACTTTATTACAGGAGGGTAACTTTCTTCTTTGCCCAAAAGCATTTGGTTCTTGCTAAAAAGAATCCATAGTTTAACTGGCGTCAAGGCCTATATGGCTGGAAGAATCAAGGTTCGCGGAGATCTTGTTCTCGCACAAAGACTGGAAGAAGTTTTCGAGAGAGCAGGTGGAAGAGATGTAAGTTTGGAGCACAAGCCATCGAGCTGCAACTAATCTTTTTTGTGTACGAAGCGCGCACTGGAATTCCTCAAAAACAACGAAGATTTGATGGCCTTGGCTAATAGTAAATCCAACAGATTGTAAAGACGTCTATCGTAAGGCTTTGCCTTGTGTTGTAGTTCTAACTACTACAAAATAAATGAATTGCCTCTATCGTTTGTAATAAAATTTGACATCAATGCAAGAAATGGTCAATAAATGCTTGAGTCATAGTGTGAAAGTTCTTCAGCTCTGAACTAAAATGCATTTACATTACAAGGCAATATACAATGGACAACGCAAGTAATGGAGAAGCTTGAGTCAAGTCGTTCGTGCAGTAATCTACTAATGGAGCACTTCAATCGCTTGAATTTCTTAATGTCATGTTACTGCTGTGTAAATCCTGGCTTTGCATTGCACCAATCCACGCAAAGAAAATCATGCAAAATGTTGTTTCACAGCGTATTATATATAAGCATATAAAGATATTGTCATTGACGACGATTTATACTCTACAACTCTTCAATACGTCTCATGTAGAGAACGAATTACTGGTACGAAGAAACCAAGATCCTCCTGACTACAATCAACAGAAACCCTGAAGCCATCTTCAAATGACACAATTCAATGATGTTAATCTACTTCAAAGTCAGGTGAAATGCAACATGAAAAAAAAAAAAATCTTGGATACAATGATACCCAACACTTTTTTCTTCTACTTCTTTTTTCCTAACTATCAACATCTGCTATGGGTATCACCATAAATTCTCCACTTCCTTCGAGCTTGGCTTGTAAGTAAATCAATTGCTTTGTCATTTATAAAGCGTCACCCTGTTCTCATGCATCTGCTCATTTAGCCGAATGTCGAAAAGCAGCTCGTATATTAAACAGTTTTACAGGTAAACTTGGAGCTATCACTAAACACAATCATCAAGACAATCTGAACAATTGCTTGGCGGTATAATAGATAACGGAAAGGGCGTAGATTTTATTATCCCTCCTCATATTCTCAGTGATGCAAAAGGCTTGGCAATCTTTACTGTGCTGAAGGCTGGATTCTTATTCTCGGGTCGAGCAGGCTCAGGTTTAGTCATCGCTAGGTAACGAGCCTCCAACTTAATTGTCTGTATGCATCTTCTCATATAACTCTGTCTCTTTAGATTGCCCGATGGAAGTAGGTTGTTATATTTAGACTATGATTAAGTAATTGACTTGAGCATGATATCAGATTGGTCGGCACCTTCTGCGATTATAACAGGCGGAATGGGTTTTGGAGGTCAAGTGGGTGCGGAACTTACGGATTTCATCATGGTATTGAATACAACATCTGCTGTAAAGACATTCATGCATCATGGTTCAATCACTCTGGGTGGAAATATTTCAGGTAAATGGATAAACATTGTTAATATAACATGCTTGTGCTGATTGAATCCGATAAAAAAAGTTGCTGCTGGACCTGTCGGTAGAAATGCTGAGGCATCAGGAACCGCATCCATCAAAAACGTATCTGCCGTTTATTCATACAGCAAAACTCGAGGTCTCTTTGCAGGCGTTTCATTAGAAGGCTCTGTGATCCTTGAACGTTTCGACGCAAACAAGAAATTATACGGTGGCAAGGTGAAAACTCGAGACTTATTGAATGGAACGATCCCTCCACCTCCAGCAGCAGATACACTTTATTGCGCACTTGAGCTCAAATCTGGCCATCGGGGAGGTGGAAGCTTCGGGCATATGAATAATTACGATAGTTCTTATAGATCAGATGGTCGCTACAGCAGTTCTGATCGCAATTATGACGGCAACACTGACCCCTATAATCGATATGATGACACACCAAGCGACAGAAGATCAAACAACACTAGCTATGACAATATGGACTCACCCAATCGCACTTTATTATTTAATCGTGCAGCTGTTCATAATTTAGCTAAATCTGGAGGAGGTGGTAGTGGTGATGGATTAAGCTCCAGCATTAGAAGCAATGATCCTGGCAACAGAGCGAGAGGAAGCAGTATTCCATCTTGGAAGAATGACAGCAACTACGATTATGACCTTCCAAGACAAATTGCAGCAGCACCATCTCCAAACCTCACGAGTTATGACAATGCTAACAGTCGGGCCTTGGTCTTGACTAATGACAATGAAGATTCTCGTGCTCGTGCCTTGTTCAACTTTGCAGGCGAACAGGATGGCGATTTAGTGTTTCACAAAGGAGACATCATCACCATTGTCAAAAAATCAAATACTCAAAATGACTGGTGGACTGGAAGAATAGGTGGCCGTCAGGGCATTGTAGGTATCATTAAAGAAGGGCGAGAACATATTAACTCATATATCTCGTAGTTCCCTGCCAATTTTGTCGAGCCATTGTAATTTCATCAAAGCTGTTTAATACTGTACATTACTTTCTAATACAATAAACTACTATTTTACTAATGATGTCGTTCAGTATATATCGTCTTGTTTGGCCTATCCAAAAGAATTTCGTTTGAAATTCAAGTTACTGTTATTTCATTCTCATAATTGTTACATTGAATGCTATCAAACAATTTACATATCAATTGAACAGATATTATAGCACGAAACCGATTCAATGGATACATTTTAATGTACAAAATGCTAGATTCTTGCCCCATTCTTAAATACTTCCACAAAGCCTTGTATAAAATTACTTTTATATGTCATTAAGAGGAGACAGCCATAAGCCGAAACACCATAGTTCAATGTTGGTGCTTGGTTTTACTTATTTCTGCTTACATACTAGCCTATGCAAGGGGCCGATATCACATTTAGATGTGAATACTGTGCTAGCCGGATCATATTTGTGTTGCACAAAATCGGTTTTATCGAATTACTTGCCATTTTTAGGGCTAAATGCTGATAAGAATGTTACCTCTAAATGATTGCAGTCCTGGGAACTTTCACATTTTCATATGAAAAACCAGAAACGCAAAAAATGTCATTCTAAAAGAGTTCGACAATGTTGAAAATGAGCTCATTCAATGTTACTTTGGTTCCCCACATCCTCATGATTTTCAACAAAACAATTCATCGTTTATAAGAAAAGAACGCTTTATTAACTCTTGTTTCATGTTTTTTCAGAAAAAAAAAGGAGGGGTAAAAGAATAAATAGTTGTATTATAGCAAATGAATAGATGAATGTTGTGATTTCTTGTGCTTCTTTACATCTTTGATCTCTTTGCGACACCTAGCTCTATTAACTTGAGGAAAGCAGCAGCAAAGTCGTCAAAGAACTTTTGTTGGTCCTTAGCATAGAGCTCAACATATTGACGGAAGGGTTCCTCCAAAAGTGCCATATCAGTGGGCAACATCATAATCTCTCCTTCATCTTCGTCAACGAATTGCTTGGGACCATCCCACTTCTTTTCAACCCATGTAACATTGAGCAAAAGCTTGTAGCTATACAGTAAAAGACATGAGTTGATATGATCAAACGAGCAATCTCACGATACTTACAATTGGTTAGAGAAACGAGTGGGATTATAAGTCCAAGGACCATCGAAACCAGAGCGATCAGCATGGCAACGACCAACAGTGTGAGCACCAATCAAAGCAACAGTTTCTTGCACAGTGAAGCCCATGCGAGAGACAAAGACATCAAGCACATGGTCCTTTCCGAGAGCAGCATCAGGAAGACGACCAAGAGGAGGGCAGTCGGTCTCATTACCCTTATCGCGACGACCACCAGTCCATTCAATGTGAGGACCACCCATTTGCTCAACTGCAACACATCCAGCAAGACTATTAATTGATGTTGGATGAATATCATAAAAACCCTATGAATTTCCGATTCTACCACTTACGTCCACAAATCAGCATATGAGATCCATGTGTGCTTGGCCTTGATAGGTTCAAGGAAGTGTCTGGCATGTTCTAAACCAGCATTGGCAGGATCCTCTGCTTCAGCTTTATAACGCATGGTAGCGCCATCACTGCCGCCATCCTTGTGGTTCTTATCATAGGTACCACTGGCATGCCAAGCTAAGCGAAGACTGTGAAATGAATTAGACATTGAGAGATCACAGCAAACAAGGTTGACTTACACAACAGGAGCAAATGATCCATCATCATATTCTTCATTGGGGAATGCCTTGGCAATGTCTTCTCTCACTTCAGTGTATTTATCGGGAGAGGCTTGGGATGTAGACATTTAAGTTATTGAGAGTGAGGGGGGAGGGGATGTTTTATCTAATGAAAATGAGAATAGAAAGAAGAAAAAGAAGAGGAGGGAGTGGAGAAAGAGAACCAATATAACGATGGATGGGATCATTGGCCCGGTCACTGCGCAAAACCGAGTAATTTTGACATACAGCGGCTCATATGGTTACTGCAGAAGAAAATTTATGTGCTTATGCAATGGAATTGATTTCACATGGAGATTTAATCTTGTAAAATGATTGTTGTTTGCAATAATCGGGTTCCAGCGGAATACATGTGAGAACTTGCCACCAATTTTATCTCTGTCAGCAAAAATTGGATTGAGGATCTTAACTGTTACTCAATCTCTCCACACTTTGGTTTGATTGGAGGATCGCTTCATTTCACATGCCCTTTTCGAATCACTCCAAGCTCAGTTGGATTGCTATTGCAAACAATTATACCCTGCTCAAGTCACTTTCCCCAGATTATATTCATGACACATCAAATATCAGTTGTTGTGTGTGTGTTTTTTTTACTGCCATTTAAATCTTTCTTTTTTTGTATTTCCTCTTTTTCTTTCTCTCTCTTTCTCTTTTATTATACAAAATTTATAATATATAAACATGTCTGATAACGTTGCTCATGCTCTTTCTGGTAAGCCATTCCGTAGCTTGATGTAATGGCGAATGAATCGTAACATTCAATTCGTTTTTTAAAGGTGCCGGTGGAGGTATTGTCTCTATGGCCTTGACCTATCCTCTCGTTTCCATCAGTTCTCGTCTCCAAGTTCAAAAGAACGATGCTAGCAAGGATGCTTACAAGGTAAATCATACATACAATGCGTACCTTGATTTCATGTAGAATGGCACATGAATGACGGGAACTTAATTTTTTTAAAATTGTAACTGTGACAATAAATGCTCATCGTCCATTGTCCATTGGTAGAACACTTTGGATGCCTTTGTCAAGATTCTCGCCAAGGAAGGCCCCAAAGGCTTGTATTCGTAAGTTTTATATAACATCATAACGTGACGATACCTTGTTTGCATGATGCTGATTGAATCAAATGTGCTTTCTAGTGGTTTGAGCTCCGGCATTTTCGGTATTGCCATCACCAACGGTAAGTTTTATATCAAATACCATTAAAAGATCAAAGCGACTGATAAACTATTTCATAAGGTGTCTACTACTACTGTTACGAAGCTGTTAAAGCTATCTTTGAAAAGGCCAAGGGTAAGGGTAAGCCCATGAGCACTGGCGAATCCATGCTTTCCGGTGCCATTGCTGGTTGTGCTGTCGTTATGGCTACTCACCCCATCTGGACCGTCAATGTAAGTTATATACTCTTTTGTCTGTGGGAAGACGCATTGGAAAAAAGTCGGTCATCTAATATTAGTCATGGTATTTCTTCATTTAGACTCGCTTGACAGTTAAGAAGGGTGTTGAAGGTGATGAGAAGGCTGCCAAGGCCAATGCTCTCTCTGTTGGTGCTCAAATCCTTAAGACTGAAGGTATTGCCGGTCTTTATGCTGGTGTTCGTGCTGCTTTGGTGCTGGTCATCAACCCTATCATCCAATATACCGTCTTTGAGCAAATCAAGAACAAGGTCTCTAAGCACAAGACTCCTGGTAACCTTGATTTCTTCCTTATGGGTGCTATTTCTAAGCTTTGTGCCACTGCCATCACTTATCCTTACATTGTCATCAAGTCTCGTATGCAAGTCAGCCAACAAGGTGAAGAAAAGTACAGCTCCATCTTGGATGGCTTCAAGAAGATCATTGCCACTGAAGGTGTTACTGGCCTCTATAAGGGTATCTCCTCCAAGATTGTTCAATCCGTTCTCTCTGCTGCTTTCTTGTTCCTTGCCAAGGAAGTTTTGTTTGACTGGTCTGTCTGGGTCCTTGTTCTCCTCGGTGCTCGTAAGGCACGCATTGCTGCCCCCGTTAAGGCTTAATTAACAAATCCCTACCTTATGTATTCTTTCACTTTTCTACTTTTATAATAAAATACAAAACACTTTAGATGGCTATGATCATACCCAAACATCAAGTACAAATTAGTAATAAAGTTCAAACGTGGGCATCTCCGCTAATTTACGAAGTTAATTACCCATTTGATCGAAGTGGATCTACCACATTTTCAGTTGCATTGTTCAGTTATGTATTACTGGAGTTTACAGCCAACATATCGTGTGTACTGATCATAAATCACATCAAAGACTCACATTTATATGGGCAATTTACAGCATTTAGACTGATCAAATAAAAAATGCATGACAAACAGAAAACAGAGTATCTAAGCTAAGCTATAGTACATTTTCATTCGCAAACCCATTCTAAGTAGGCTCAGAAGCATCGATTACCCATGATGAGAGGGTCATTGTTGATTTTGCCCGTAGAACTCAGTTTATTCTCCGACCTCTTTTTTTTTTTCTCTCGAAATGGGAATTCTTGATCAATTTTCGACTTGATCTATCTATTTCGCGAGATTCGACTATGTACAATGTGATGATCATCCCATACTTTCTAATACATTCTTGAAGTACTTTCTGAGGCGCATCCAATGGTGCTTAATACAAAAGCCATTTAGATTAATATTTTTGAGATATGCTAGAAAATACGACTTGAGGTTTTTCTTCAAAATGTCGAGATTTTGTATACTGAGGCCTCATAAAAGTAATTTCAGGGGATGCGCTGGATCGAGAGAAACTTTTTGATATGATACATACCATAGAAAAGTCTTCTTTTTTGAGGTCAAAAACGCGATCGTTTGATTTTCGATGAAAACTATGAGGGGTATCTCATGTTTTTTGGGTTCCCAAAAAGTTGAGCAAAAGATGTCAGAAAGTTATTACTACACAAGTACAATTGTTTGACATTATTCCGATGGCTCAAAAAGGTCTACATGTCAAGATGTAAAGGCTTGAAAACTATCCAATTTGGTTATGTATTGCTTTATAGAGTGTATTTACACGGCATAAATCACATCTTTGGTAGCTGCGATTTACTGGAAAGGCAGTTCTGTAGCTTGTGCAATTTTTAATTCGAATAGAAGGCATATTGATTTTAATAAAGCTGATTCATGAAAATTTTGATATGTTATGTTGTTGGTAAGCTTGATAATAAAGGAATGAGAACCCGAATTTGCTGCTTGAATACTATGGTTTTGACTATTCGCTTCGCTACAATCAAGCCCTCGTATAGATCAATACTACCAAATGCTGGATTAGACGGCTGATTACCATGGCTTTGCACCTTTGCTTCGATACGGTAAATCCTCTCTATAGACCAATGCTATCAAGTGTTGAGTTAGATGCGTTAGTATGTTCTTGTATATAGTGAAGAAGACTAGGATAATCACCAGGTTGCTAGCAGTTTGGCTTCCAGTGGAGATTGCTGTTGAACAAGGCGACAAAGATCTCGTCAGCCAATATCTGGCATAGATGCCTTTGTATTTTACCTCAATTCGATAACTGCAAAATCCATGTTTTTGGAGATTATTTTTTTTTATTGGATCAATTTTGAAGCGGACAACCACTGCGAAATGTCTAAAATCCTCTATTTTGGTACAATTGTCGAAATAAAACACTTTGCCTTTTAACTCTACATATAGCCTTCATATCTCATAAATATGTCAACAAGTGTTGCCCTTGGGAAATACCAATGAGTCGGGTTGCCCTGAGGGGATCTATCATTTACAGATGTCAAATTTCAGGAACCAAGGTAGATAAAAAAAAACCCCGCTTATGCTATTATATAGCATGGTGTTCTGTGTGAAATTAGACATAACGTATTTTGATATCGTTTAATACAGAGCCAAGACTGATGCCTTATTCTACTTTTTACGTATTTGGCGACTTTTTTTTTATGACAAGCACATCTTATAATTGTTTATTAGTTTCAATCTTACCAGAAGATACCGTTGAAGGGCATAATTAATTCACGCCATGAGAATACATATACTTCGTCTCAGCAAAACAAAAACATGTCAACACAACCTTCAGATATATGATGGAGAAGAGAAAAGGGCCTAATATGAGCTGGAGTTCCTTGCAAATAATTTTCTGATCTGGAGTAGCATTTACAATTTTTCTGTGGGAAAGCAACACGATGGGATCAATACTGTTTTTGATTTGATTGATTGAATATAAAAAGAAGACTGATCTGGTACAACCACTCTATTTAATTTTAATAGATTCCTCTTCCGCGCTACTGATGAAGTGGCCTATACTCGATATCAGTGGTCTCAATACCTATCTGACCTAAAGCGTGATGGGGCTTAGGATCAAACGATAAAGGCGTGGCTTTGTAAAGCACTTTTTTACATGGTGAATGTAAGCAGTTCGTGATCCAAGAATACAAAGAGAAGAATTTGTAACCAAGAACCCAATATACATGTATTTAAGCCAAGGAAAATGGACTTCTTTAGATTCTTAATAAGAACCAGGAGCCTTGATAGGTTAAAAGAGGTCGTTGATTGTTGTGATGTTCTCAACTGAAACACCTATTTGAGAATTGGCGTAGTACCAAATCAGCATTGAATGTATCACCATCTTTTTATCTTCATAGTGCACACCTGAACGCGTGCTTGCTGATGTCTTTGTATTGACGGAATGCCCTTGAGAAGCTTCCTTTTTTTTTTTGGAAACTAATAAAGAAGGTTCTCTTGTTTGATTTGATGGATAAGATTTCTGCGATGCTAAATGCAGCTCACCCAATCCTAGGTACGTTTAAGCTGAATCGTAGGTATCGGTCAATCATTTTCATGTACGGTAAGAGTGGTACTTGGTTTGGTGGCACCATTTTATTCAAACGCTATTTATTGTCATAGTCATAGCACATATGGACACTGTTCGCCGGGATGTGCACTGTATCGTGTAAACGTAATAGGCAAACATGGAGTCTTTCATCACCGAGATGAGAATCTACGTTGTTTCATGCCCTCCGTAAGTGTTTGTTTTTATGCCTACAGTGGCAAACAAACGATACATGTGTGGGCGTGTGTGTCTTGTACGCCTGCCGTTTTAAACTGCCCTTTCTATTAAGCTTCAGGATGCATACAGACCGAGAGTCAAATTGATAGGGAGGGAATTGACCCACTTTCCTTGTTAATTGCTACACCTAAAAGCGGGTATTCTAATCCATTATGAACAGCGAAAACCAGTTGATGTAGCTTGACATGTAACACAAATACTAAATATTAATCAAGGGAAACCCAATTTTTTGGCCAAAAATCCTTTAAAAACCTTCAAGTTTTTCTTTTCTCGTCCTTTTTCCCTCTTTTTTTCTTCTTCTTAAAAAAGCTAAAAAGGTAAATGTCTTGCGATGTGAACTTGAAAGCTTCTCCACACTGTTGGAATGTGGAGAAGAGAGAGAGAGAGAGAGAGGGCATTTGATTCTGAGGAGGCGATTCTTCATTGTTAAATGTTCGCGTTTTATCAGAAAAGAAGACTAACACAAGTGAATTATCTCGTAGATGTCAAAGCCTTTCAAACCGACTACTTGGGCGGCTATCAACAACGCTACTCTTCCTGCTGAAGGTGCTGGTAACCAAACCTTTGATAACCGTATCTTGGCTGGTGCTGTTATCGGCATTCCTGCATTCATCTCTTATACCTTGGGCTTGCCTCTCTGGGCCTTCCCTATTGTTGCTTTGGTTTTGTTCCTTCCCCTCTTGGCATGCACCCTTTACCTCTTCTCTCGCTTTGCTCCTCGCTATAGAAACCACATCCCTCTTCCCGGTAAACCTATTGAACACTACTTGACCTTCCACGATGCTGAACTCAAGGCCAAGTACAATGGTCGCAATAAGATCCCAATGGAAACCTTCTTTGAAGCTTATTTTATCGGTAAGGTTGATTTCAACGGCGATGCTTTGGAAATTATGGAACTTCGTCATGATTGGGCTGCTTTTGAGTTCACTGTGGGTCAATTCAAGTTCTTCTTGACTCAATGGCTCCCTGAGACTTTCTGGCACTCTCGTGAACAAGATGAAAACCAAGTTCGTGATCATTATGACCGCGGTAACGATTTTTATGAAGCCTTCTTGGGCCCCCTTATGGTTTATACTTCCGGCATCATCTCTGATCCCACCAAGCGCGAAACTTTGGAAGAAATGCAGGAGAACAAGATGAAGCTCGTTTGTGAGAAGCTCCACTTGAAGGAAGGCGAGAAGCATCTGGATATTGGTTGTGGTTGGGGCACCTTGGTTGCCTATGCCGCTAAGAACTACGGAAGTCAATCTACTGGTGTCACTCTTGCTCGCAACCAAGTTGCTTTCGGTGAGAAGCGTATTGAAGAATGGGGCGTCAAGGGTAAGGCTAACCTCCTCTGCATGGACTACCGCGATATTCCCAAGAGCGAAAAGTATGACAAAATCACGGTAAGGATCATTGTTATTAACCGAAGCGCTATCGTTCCTGTTGTTACATTTACTGACTTTTAACCTTGCGCCCATCAGGCTGTTGAGATGGCTGAACATGTTGGTATTCGTCGTTTCCAAACCTTCCTCTGTGAAATCCGTGAACTCTTGGAAGATGATGGTCTTTTCTATATGCAAGTTGCAGGTTTGAGAGCTACATGGCAATACGAGGATTTCATTTGGTAAGTTATCTCTGTCATTGGAATTACACGTGAAGGTTACATTGAAGATTTAACGTTTGTAACTTTACTATATAGGGGTCTTTTCATGGCTAGATATATTTTCCCTGGCGCCGATGCTTCCACTCCTTTGTATTGGTATCTTCGTCAACTTGAAATGGCTGGTTTCGAAATCCACAATGTCGATACCGTTGGTGTTCACTACTCTGCTACTCTTGACAGATGGTACGAGAACTGGATGAAGAACAAGGATGCCATGAAGGCCAAGTACGGTGAAAAGTTGGTTCGCATTTGGGAGATCTTCCTTTCATGGTCCGTCATTTCTTCTCGTCAAGGAAGCGCTACTTGTTTCCAAATTGTTGCCAACAAGAACCGCAACTCCTTTGATCGTGCTCAATTGATCTGCAACCGCACAAACCCCTCTGCCTGGAAGAGCAAGACTGGTTAAGCGACCCCCCAATGTATAGATCAAACAATAACCAAAAATTATTACATGTTTCTTTTATCCCCCCCCCCTTTAGTCTACTGTACAAAGTGTATGTACCAAAATAAATATTTATTCAAAACATCCATTCAGGCACACGTGAGACAAAGCGCTTGTTCTTCATTTACGAGAGCTTGATGAGGTCCAAATAAACACATTATTATTGTTATCCACTGCGACAATTGTCTTGGTGTCATACGAGCAAGATACATCGCGAATCATTTCACTGGACATGCTGTGCGATAAGATCTACGTGGTGCGTGTTAATGAGGCGTGTGTATTGACCCCAGATAGCATACTCACTCGGTTTGGTTCGAATTGTTCTTTACTGCCGTCCTCCAGAGTTTTACTCTCTTTTTCATTACCAATGTCATAGATGTATATCTGTCCATCATAGTCTCCAGCTAGTAATACTTTCTGTCCAGCAGCCTCAATCACTTTGAATTTGAGGCCCGTGCAATCTGCTGCGTCTGGCCAATCCAATGACAGTTTGATATCTGCATCAGTCCTTGTGCTGTTTGCAGGATCCCATACTAGAATTTCCATATCTGCTGATCCGCGCGAGACTATGTGGATTGTAATGTCAATATCAAAGCCAAGATTCACGAGGATTGGCTTTACCTATGGTATTGTATAATGCACTCTTTTCATCTCCATCTTGGCCCACAATACAAACATCATCCACATACCCTTCATGCCATTCATCTCCTGCAGGGTATTTCGTTGAACTTTCTACATGTGATACTGTCTGATGCTTATTTCCTTTTGTTCTTTCTGATCTGAACTTTGTCGCCGTTTGACGGTATTTATTAAGCTGAGCTGAGGAAAGGTTGAATTCGATCATGTCGCCATTGTTGCATCCAACTACCAGTCTAGACAAGTCGTACGATATACTCACAGCGGAAGGATCGCCTGATTTTGGAGGTAAGATGAATTCAGCCAAGCATCTATGGTAGAGCAAGTTAGTGCTCACGCTGGATACTTGTGGCCTTCTTCTCTTACAATGAGTCGTCCATCTTCTTGGTAGGTGATCCGATATCCCATAAACGAACCGTTTTATCAGCAGAAGCGGCTGCGTAGTAACACATTAGTAAGCTGTCGTACATTACATCCTTGTCAACCTACTGAACAACCAACGGGGCTCTGTTTTGGCAAATGTCATGGCCAAAATTGCCTTCTGGTGGCCAAACAGGTATCGATAGCAATCGTTTTGCAAAGGGTTCAGTAGTTTGACTGATCCTAATCGACCTGCAACTGCCAAGACATTACAAAAACTCACTTCATCCCCATCATCCAACAAGTTTCCATCAAGCAGATCCTCTCCTTCCAGTCGAGTCCAAGCCATACAATAAAAGATTTCTTGGATTTCGCTGTGAGTGTACTTTTTTGTGTATTTGCCCAATGCTGGATCTGCGAATAGAACAGTATAGGATCCACAGAGAGCAAAATTTTGAAGTTCACCTGGCTTTTGTCGGTCAAATGGCCCCACATCGCTGGCGACAGGTTCGAATTCGCAGCACCAAATATCCTTACTGTCCTCTGTATCCTCCTTGTCTCTTACAGGGACATTGAGTTCGGTGTGTCCCTTTAAAACATGCTTCAAAATGTAGGTGCCATCTATGCGTTCAATCAAATGTCAGCATTCATATAATGACCTTCAGTGTTCCGTTATTCTACCTAGCAATGGCAGTTTCTTGCGGGATGCATGACTCTTTGCGGTGGTCTTTTTGGGTGACCTTGATGGAGTTGCGTTCGCGGCCTTCTTCTTGCCCAGAGGTTCAAAATTGGACTTCTCGACTGACAATCGTTGGGCTGCTGCTCTGCGGGTGGTAGGCTGATTAGGTATCTTTTTTACAGCTGCTTGGTGATCAGAATTTGAAGCTTTGTGTCTCTTTGCTGGCTGCTGATCCTCTTGCCAGCTACTGATTCTCTTTGATGCTCTGGTTGCTCTACCTGTTGTGGGTTTGCTATCTAAATTGTTCCGAGAAGATTGTCTTGTTAGCGTCATTGTAGTCTAAAGATAATTAAGCTGTAGTTAAGTTAAACAGTTGAAAAAGAAAAAAAGCCTGACAGGCGCGACTACACCTGATTTAATTAAGGCGCGCGATGAAGGACCTCGCGCCCAGGTGACAACTGTTATTATCAAGCACTGACTGTCTGGCCCAAGATGTATGCATGCCTTCATATAAGATACAAAGAGTAAAGTTCATTTATTTTGGTATCGAATGCTTACGGTGTCTCTGACATTACACTTGTGTCGATGATGGAGGCATGGCGAGCCTCGATTTGTATGTACACTTTAGTCTCATCAACATTTGGTACAGGACGTCTCATGTCGCCATGCTTTTGATGATAATATGTAGCCTTGCCATTGACGATGAACTTGAAATACGTTTCGTACAAAGACTCTATGTGAATTCTCTTCATGTCTGGCTGGTGTGTGAAAGAGAAGACAAGCGCAATGTTGGTATCAGTGCTTGCTTCGTCTTTGTAGGCATTGACTTGAGTTGAAAACGTCTCCAACGAAGGGCACTTGTCCAAGATATTCCTGAATGTCTGGTTGATGTTTTGAGCTCCAAGAACGGTGAGCTTGAACTGGCAGTAAGAAATGTCCAAATGCACAAGTTCACAAGGCTGGTAAACAAGAGCATTTTCACCGCTGGACTGAGACATGAGAGCTGGCGCTTTTAGTGCTTTGATCTGTGGGGCACTGTTTAGAATGGACACAATTACTGTGGGATTGTGCTGCAATAGTGAGCCACGGAAGGTGTCAATCTCGACCACTTCCAACTGAGGAATTTGTTCCATTAATTGAAACATGGTATGGCCATACACGCCATTGAAGACGTACTTTTCTCTCTCGTTTATGGTTAATTTCTTGAGGCTCTTTGTCTGACTGGATTCTTTCAGAAACACAAACTGATCTGTCGATTGTCCATCCACGAATACTGTCAGATCTTCAAGTGCGACCTTGTATTCTTCCATCACTTCCAAGGTGGGTCGAGAGATACGGTCAAATTGCATACTGTACTTTTTCAGCCGCCAGCGATTATGCATAAATAAGTAATCGTCCGCAAGATCTGTACTTGATAATGCTGGATACATGAAGTCTGGATAACTGAAGGAGAAGGAAACCAAGTTTGGAAATGTTCTAGTAAAATACCCCAGCCATCTTACTCCATTATAGGCCCCAAAGGTCAAAGGGTTGACAGTAACCTCCAGATGTTGAACATTTGGAATCAGTGCTGAAAGCTCTGCAGCTTCGTTTTGTCTCCAATGCTCTTCCTCGCTCAGGTAGCCCCTATCGTCGGTATCTATATCCCCTTGGTAGTCGTAAGCAGTATCATCGCCATCTTCATTGCGATCGTCCAAATTGAGCAGCCTCAAAGTAGTAAATTGTTTGAAGGCGTCGCGGTTGTTTTCTAAAGTACATATTATGAAAGGTGCGTTCACTGCTGTCAATGAATGAGCGTTCGAGGCTAAATGAAGAGGTATTTCCAAGTTAAATTCCACACAATCGTTCGAATCTTGTGGATAAACCAGTTTGATATCTTCAAGTTGAGTTGCAGTGGATGTCTCTTTTAGCAAAGCAGTTGATATCTGATGGCGATTGCTACCATCATCAATCGTTTTTATGTGTCGCCATTTTGACACAGCCATCTCGAAGGTTTGCTTATCCTTGCTATTGTTCAAGGGAATGTCTCCTACCCAATGCAATGTTGTGATGTTGGGAAAGATGTGAGGCAGACGAGCAAAGTCTTCCAGCTTCATCGTATTTACACTGATTGACAAGACTACGACGGACTTGCCGTAAGTGCCTTCAAAGAAGCGCAGCAATGGAAGGTATTGTGAATGAGAATCAGCAGAATCCTCGGTGACAGCATGCAACGACACCTTTTCAAACAAGCCATTGGACCGAAACCAAGTGCACCATGAACGACATGTCAGTGCGCCCTCTTGCTTTTCTCGGTGAGAGAGGTGATTTGATACCAAGAGAGCAACTTCTAAGGGCAATTTGTTCATAAAAGTGAAGGAAAGGTAAATTTCTTTTATTTTCGGATGCTCTCTTTCTGACGTTTGCCGGCAAACAATGTGCGATTGGAGGAGATGTGCTTAGGGGCTGACTATGGATGTGTCCCCGCCTTGGACATTGCTGAATAAAATTACAATACTTGATATAATGCAAGGAACGGGAAGAGATGTAGCGAGCAAGTTGGCAATCCAAATAATAGTATAGACCAAGATTGAACATCATATTATTGTATTATCCCGCAAAATGGAATCTTTAAAGCTGCCAGATTTTGACCACCTAGATACCATTTACAGGCCAATTGAGCATCTCAATGCCATAGCATGAGCGAACCTATGTACAGCTGTTGTCTTTTTTAAAAGCCTAAACGGCTACTGATTGGAGAAACCCCATGAGTGTTGTCTCTATTAGTGAGCTAAACGAGGTTAATGCGTCGAATTGGAGTGCAATGTCGAGATTCAGGGCATACTATAAAACCCGATAAATCAAGCTAGAAATCATTTAGAAACACAGAAGCAATGGTACCAAAAGCCTTACAGAGCTTAAATCAAGAAATGACATCAATTTGGCATGTTTGATTTGTATGGCAACCATCACTTGCCCACGATCTTCAGATCAAAGCAATGCAATCAGGACATCTTGTCACAAACTCATCGTGACTATACAATCCGAAGAGTGCAAAGATATCGATTGATTGAAAAGGGTGTAGTATGTATGCGAGAACTTTTCTTTGCTTCTTTACTTACTTTTGCCCTTAGTTTCCGTATATCACACATTACTTTTTTATTTGATCTCTCAAAACAAAAAAGAAAAGATTAGAAAATGGACCAATACAGCGATCCTCGTAAGTAAATCATCAATGATGATTCTACAAAAGAGCTACATGAAGAGGTTCATGATAAAGGCTAAACTGAAAGCATTTCATCTAGAAGAAGGCCAGTTAACTCCCATGGATACGGACGACAGAACAGCATTATCGGTAATGAACAATCATGCGCTTTGGTATGTTATGGACGACATGTACTCATCAAATATACAATGCTTTGTTTTGGCAGTGGATTAGCTGGTTTTGCTCGAGTAAGAAGCATCAGTACTACACAGAAGTCGATGAAAAATTTATTGAAGATCCTTTCAACCTCATTGGATTGAACCAGCATATTCCTCTATACAAAGAAACGCTCGAGATTATTCTTGATTTGGAGCCTGATGATGCCATGTACAATCGTGTACCCGACCTGAGTTTACTAGAGCCAGCAGCAGAGCTGCTATACGGCCTCATTCACCAAAGATATATCCTAACAAAGATGGGCATGTTGCAAATGGTACTACTCCATGGATAGTTTGCTCAATTAATGCTATGTCTGCTCACATTTCATTCCTTGATAGTACGAGAAATACGAACAAGGGGACTTTGGAAAATGCCCTCGAGTCTTTTGCAACGATTGCCATCTATTGCCTTGTGGGGAGCATGATATACCAAAGCAGAGCTCAGTTCGCCTCTTTTGTCCGAATTGCAAAGACATCTATATACCACCCAACCCAAAATATCAAGACATTGATGGTAAAGAAAAAAAAAAAAAAAAAAAAAAAAAAAAAAAGCTGATCCACTTGATAGCACAGCATCTCATCCCTCTTGTTTGCAGGCTCGCATTTTGGCACAACGTTTCCTCATTTATTTTTCCAAGCATTTCCAGAAAGTATCAAAGTGGTTGAACCGAATATATACGTAGCAAAATTATTTGGATTTCGCATCAGTGACTTATCAGCTGTTGGTCCTCGTATGCAGTGGTTAAGAATGACGAAAGATAAGCCTGTAGCAATTACAGCAGAAGGGGAGGAGGATGAGGATGCGGAAGACATGATGGCTTGATTTGTCTCGATTCGTTTTTTTAATTCTAATGAAAGTTACAAGTTTTTATTCTTTTGATGCTTGAGTCAATTCCTTTAGTCTATTGATCTCTGCTTGCATAGTGGATATCTTATCGTCTTTCAGGCGCGAATCTGTCTTTAGTCGAACAATGTATTCATAGGAATGTTGTAATAATAAAACTTTGCTCATCAGTTTAACTTCTTTTTCTTTTTCTTCCCTGACAGATTCCTCTTTTTTCTCAGAGTCATTGACCATGACTTCTACAATTTCTCTTCTGAGTGAATCGAAGCTTTGCTTTAAAGTATCCCGTCGTCTTTGCTCGGCTACTTTGTGCGCCGAACGTCTATTTTCTATGCCAGGTGTCTGGACCTGGTTGATCAGGTGACTGTTTCGGAGATCCGGTTGCAAGAAGGGAGATATGAGTGGTTTGAGAGATCTTGGTGAAGAGGTTGTCATGGGAGAAGAGGGAGCCAGCTTTCTTTTCTTTGCTGCAGATGATGACTCTACCACAGCTGAGGGCGGTAGCGAGGGCATAATATCCGCTAATTCCCTCTCTTGTACGGGTGAATCTAAGGATGCTTGACTGAGATGATGACTCATATTCATAAGAGATCCAGGTGTAGCAGGTATTGTAGGGAGGTTTATATGGTGGTTTTGAGAGGAATGAAGCTGAGGGCTTGCCAATGCAATCTTCTGTCTCAAACTTGGGCGTTTCTTGGTGTTATTGTTATTGAATGGCAATGGTGATGGTGGCGTTTGGGACCGATTGGATAACATGGCAAGCGGACTCTTTCGGTAGGTTGGAGATATAGTCGGTGAGATTTTCATCTGTTCTCGTAGTTTTGATTGCTTTGCTTCGATTTGTGCCAATTGCTGAGCAAGCAATGTTGGATCTTGCATGGCATTGACAGAATCAGAGGGTACATTCGGGTTGAGCTGCTGATCAACATTTGGCAGCAATGCAGGTGAACTGAGGGGCGTAAAGTACTGTTCACCTGGTGGATCTAAAAACTGATAGATTTCGCTAAACCTCGGCGTGATGGCAGGCGATACAAGAGGGGTCAAGAACTCCTATTTAAAAAGTATTGTAAATACATACGGTGTAATTATATAAATCAAGCAACAAAAATTGTGAAAATCGCCTTATTTAGGAGTGCCATGCCCTTTTCCAGCGACAGAAAGCGTATGTACAGAAAATGTGTAGAATTTTTAAAAAAAATACGCACCTCTAGTTCCTCTGTGTGAGGATGTATCGGGGGCGTACAGTAGTTTGGGGTGGGCAAAGGGGTCGACAGAGCTTGCTGAGGCAGAAACGAAATGTCATGGTGTGCCATGTTGGATCCATTACTACCATCAAACTCGTTTGGTAGAAACTGTAGATTATCAAATGCGAGCAGATCGTATTGCAGCTGATCCAGCAGATCTTGTTGATCCTGTTGCTGCTGCTGCTGCTGCTGCTGCTGCTGCTGCGATTGTTGTTGATCCAAAAAGCTGTTTTCTACAGGATCCATAGTTGTCGAAAAAGAAAGAAAAACAAAGAGAAAAGATTTTTTCGTTGAGAAAAGCTTAAAAGAGTTAAAAATAGGCAGGAAAAGGGTATTTTATATATCGGTGCAACAAGATTAATAAGGATTTGCTGATGCTTTTGAGTTATTATTGTTGGAAGATTGTCTATCTGCTTGTCTCTTGACAAGGTAATTCAGCTTGTCCATCACTTCCTCTAGCTTCATTTTACGTTCTTGCAGCTCCAGATGCTTCTGAATGGGAGGATTCTCTCGTGCAAATTGTTGGATTTGACGGCGATCCATCTCATACACCAATCTGTTATCCACCTCACGAGGAAATTGAAAGAAAAACTCATTTAGTAGCTCAACTTGAATAAACATCACAGCCTGCAGGGAGATAAAGTGCGTTAGTCATACTACTCTTAATGAGGCATTTACATCAAACTCACAGTGTAGGTCAGCTTTTCAGCAATCACATTTAGAAATGCCTCGGGGCAGTACTGCTTGTTCTCGGACGATTTACATTGGCGACTCTTCAATGCTGCAATACGGTACTTGAGAATCATGGCTCTGTCTCGCAGATAGATGGCATCCTTGGCCTTTTCGAGAAGCTTGGGGTTGTAGAATGATTTGACAACTTCCTCCTCTTCGTCATCTTGGTAAACAGCATCTTCAATTCTCTCTTGACGGCGGGTCTCTTCCTTTTCTGAATCCAGCACATAGTTGATGGCACTCTTTAGTTTCTTCTTGCCAACCGAGTTCTTGATAGCATTCGCCATTTCATCGCACATTTCAAGCTCTTTCTCGAGCAAAGAGATGGAGCGCTTGACACCGTCGTTCCATTCGCTATCGGTCACCTCAACTTCGAATTTGTAGGGTTTGATGGTATTTTCCACTTGATCGCTAGTAGCCAAGAATTTAGTCCTTAAAATCTCGCTTGTAAACTTCATGATTTGCTTTCTTGTTTCAGGGTGGTGGCTAAATGACTCTGCGTTGGCCAGTCGTTCCATATTGTTCATCAGCACATCCACTACTAATTGGGTGGTTGATCTGCCAATGCCGCTCTTGGTCAGGGCGGCTGATGCGAAATCTACCTTGTACAGCCAATAAATATCCTCTGATGAGGCCTTTGGCAATTCCGCGATCTTGGGGTCACACCAATATTGCTCTGCACAGATATCCAATACTCTCTGCTCCAGCATCGTGCGCACTTCATGTCGTACTTGAGGCTTGCCAAAATTATTGGCAAAATCTTTGAAATCGTGTTTTAGGCAATCCATGGTCTCTGCTACGTAGGATTCGGCTGTCACCCTTCTGTCATTGTATTGAACTTTAAACTGATATTTGGCTTCTTCCAGCTCACGTTGCACTGCATCCACAATACTGTAGAGCGACTTGCCCATGCTCTGCTCCAGCACATTCATCAATTTGTGTCGCAATGTGGAGGTGCCGACTTGAATGTCTCTTTGGTTGAAGATGAGGTGAGATCTAAAGTAGGATTCTTCGCTCTTGATCAGGGCCCGGGTCATGTTTCCATCTGTCATATTTTCAGGTGCTTTGCAGACGACACCAATATACCCTAAATGCAAGGGATAGTCGGTATTGCGAAGAATAGCAGCACCCACCTGAGGTGGCACAAGGTCCATCTTGGTAATGACACCGATAGTGCGAAGCCCTAGGGGGTCCCATTTTCGACTGGCCTTGAGAGCAGGCGAGTTGGCCAGATCAACATTGGCGCTACAGACAGCCAAAATGATGTTGGGCCCACGGATATACTTTTCGCATAAATCTTCAATCTTGTTCTTGAGTGTCTCTGGTTGATTTTTGTTGGAGATTTGGATATAGCCTGGCAGATCAATCAATGTGAGGTCTGGAACGTTAGGAGAGTAGACTCGAAGTTCAATGGGCTTGTCAGACACGCACTCAGATTCGGAAACAGCCATGTTCAAATCAACCAGCGTCTTTTGAATCTTTTTAAAATCGAAAATCTTTCCAAGGCCCAAATCAGGGAATTCGCCGTACTCTTCTTCTTGATTTGGCGTATGGATCAAGGTCAATTCAATGGGTCGTCTTGTCACCATGTTGCTTCCTCTACAAACATGACAACGGATCTGAGCCACACTGCCGCACGACATGTCCAGCTACTTACTTTGGTAGGAATTCATGGCCAACAATAGCTTCAAGTACAGAACTTTTACCAGAACTCTGTGATCCAATGACAACAATGCTTGGTAATTTCAGCGTCTCATTATGGTCAATGGACATCAGTATGCTGCGAATCTCGATCAGCTTTTTGGTCAGCATCATCAACTGTTCGTCTTGTGCACTAATGCCATAGTCATTCTTCTTTTTTCTTTTGCTTCTGCTCTTTTCTACAGCTTCGTCCTCGCTCTCCTCCTCCTCCTCTTCATCGCCATTTGAGTAGAGTGTGAATCCAGCAGCAGCAGCGACAGCAGCAGCCGCAGCTGCAGAGTCTCCACCTCCACCTCCATTGCTTCCTCCATCTCCATTGTTTCCTCCTGAATGCTCTGATTTTGTTGATTTATGATTAACGGCTTTGGATTCTTCGACTTGGGTTGATTTCGACAACAGCAGGTTTCGAATGGACTGAGGTAGTCGTAAATGCAATTCTGGAATGGATACATCGATGCCCTGCACTGAAGCTTGAGCTTTCTGAAAGAACGACTCCACCGAATTCAAGCTATCTTGAACAAACCCTCTGCTTTTGTTTGCCATATCTATATGTTGAGCCCGTTTAGCAGCTGTTCATTTCCATTGACTTTAGTGAGTTACCTTGAAATTTGTTGGACGCAATGCTTGCTGTTGTGATAGTTGTTCCTGCAACGATAAAAGGCAAACGCACGGTTCTCAAAGCAAGCTTGGGAATCGACCATATGCTGATGGCTCTCATTTGAGGCTGCAAGGCTAATGGCGTAGTGGCATGATAAGTGCGAGCTCGAGTCGAATGAAACAGCAGTGAAGGTGGCGCTACCTGATGACGAGTAGCTGATGTATCGCGCAAGTGGTGATAGGATACTCTAGGTCTAGCTATCGTTGCTCTAGGGTGCAATATAGTTTTACTTGATCGTATGATACTAGACAGCATGCTGTTGTATTCGCAGTAAAAAAGTAAACAAAATGTTCTGGGTTGCTAAATTGCAAGTATTTAATAACATCCAATGCCACCCTCAATACAGTCACTGCGACCACGAAGCTCTACAAATTGACATGGTAAGCAAGCGATCAAGCAAAAGCTGGAGTATGAAGGGGCGTATTTGTTTGAAAGGGTATGATTGATGTGTGGTAATGAAATCTAAATCAGAAGCGCTGAGAGCAGGATGTCTTTTCTCATCCATCGCGCTTTGCGATGGAACCCCAATTATGTACCAGGAAAAAGTCCTATTCAACTAGCCTCATTATACATTCCAAACGTCAATAGTAATGCCACTCAAAACAGGAACTAAACATTTCAGAAATGTAACAACAGTGCCTGGTCTCTGCTAAACAAACATGCACATGTCTTGAGTCTTACCATTAACATCTCCATAAAGACGAAGCATAAAATGAACTCTACCGTCGTATGTATAGTTTAAAACACTTTTTTTCTTTTTTTTTATTGTGAGGTATATATACTAAAAGTTATGAGCTCCCAAATGATATTGGCACCTGTGTCCAAAACCTTGGTTCACCGTCAGAAAATAAGTTTGTTCACGCATAAAATACATATATATCCAAAGCAAAAAAAAAAGTCGACACCTTAGAAGAGACGGTGAGGCTTACCCATGGAAGACTTCAAGTACAAAGACTTGACGTTTTGCCAGTGCTTCTTCAACAAGGAGACAAGGAAGTTGACGGACAACATGATGTTGGCAATCAATTGGTCTTCAGTCATACCGACGTGACCAACAGCGACACCGAGACAGAGAACCTTCTTCAATTGGAACTTGATGGTGGCACGGAGCTCGTTGGCCTTATCGGTCAAGGAGTCGTTGTGAGAGACGGGAGTAGGGAACTTACCGACCTTGTGGAGACCAGGACCCAAGAGACGAGGAATTTGCTTGATCAAAGCTTCGGAAGCAAGGAAAGCATCGTACTTCTTGGCGAGCTTCTTGATGAGCTTCTTGTTCTTGTTGAGCTTCTTAAGATCATCAACGGATTGGAATTCCATACCGGCACCCTTGGCTTGATCACAGTGGAAAGCATCACCGAGAACACAGACGGTCATACGGGGACGAGCGACGTTAGGGAGCTTGATGGTACCAGAGAAACGCTTATCACGTTGAGGATCGTAGTTCTTCAAACCAATTTGAAGTTCAACAGTTTCAGTGAACTTACGTTGCTTTTCAGTAGAAGCAGTTTGGATTTGGTTGACAATGTCTCTGACGGCAGAAGCGCTGACCTTGCTATAAGATGAAAAAAGTCAGCTAAACATGTTTCATATTCACGAAAAATCCATGCCATGTAAGAGAGAAAATCCCAGACCTTTGATAGGGCTTTCCATGCAGGTGTATCCAGCCAGATGGATGGATACGTGAGATGGATACATAGATGGATGGATGGATGGATGGATGGACGGATGGATGAACCTTACCTCATATTAGATACGAAAAGAAAAGAGGAAGGAGAAAATTATTTGCATCGTTTTGAGAGCTCTTTATACTACACGGCCAGTAGGACGTGATTGGCTGTCATGTAGGCTGTAACACATTACGTTGCACGATGTATTTCTTAATTAACAGATCTATAAATGACAGATGTGCATCTAGGGGTAGTCTGAGCCTGCTATGATTACTGTACTTCTACATGTTGGGTCTGTGAAAAGTGTTGATTGCCATAACAATCAGCACCAATAAGCAAGCAGAATTTGAATAGCGATTTCAGTAACCAAGTAGGAACTGATCTGGAGATTGATGGGAATAACCGGCACTTGCTATGAAGAGTAGCATAGAATAAAACTTCATGGCACACGATCTACTGATAGTGTTAAGTTTGATGAGCATATCCTTGAAAATGTAAATTAGGATGAACGTGGATAAATTTACATTTCGCACTAGGGGCTCGCTTTTGGATAGGCAATTTGCAGCGACTAAACCTAACAGGCAAAGAAACACATAATAAAAGTAAAATACGGTAGCCAGACGAAGCGATAGTACTCTTTGATTCGCAATTTCCTTCTTATTAGCCTCGAAAGCACCACTTACCCACGGTAAAAGGCTATTGATTTTACCAGCCAAAATTGTGTAAATTTCGATATAAATTTTGTTTCAAGATTGGTCAAATTCTAATCGAAATTGACTCAATTGACTTATTTCAATGAATTCGACTATATAAAAAGTGATTGTTGTCCCATGCTTCCTTAGGCTTTCCTGGAGTACTTTTCAAGGCGCTTCCAAAGGCACCAATTGCAAGAAGTGTTTTAAACTAGCTTATTGAGCAATACCGTAAAATATGAAATGAGTTTTTTCCCCCAAAATTTCGAGATTTTGTATACTGAGGCCTCATAAAAGTAATTTCAGGGGATGCGCTGGATCGAGAGAAACTTTTTGATATGATACATACCATAGAAAAGTCTTCTTTTCTGAGGTCAAAAACGCGATCGTTTGATTTTCGATGAAAACTATGAGGTACCTCTCATGCTTTTTGGTCGATTTTTGACGATCCCAAAAAAGTCGAGCAAAGGTGTCAGGAAGTGAGTGCTAGACGAGAACGATTGTTTGGCGCTACTCTGGCAGTCCAAAAGGGCTTTTAGCGCGAGAAAACACGACTTGAATTCATCTATATTTTGCCTGTGTTTTATAAAATTTTGAGCAGTGAGAGGTAAAGCAACTATGCTGTATGCCCGTATATGAATTGTCTTTATCAATACAAGTGCGGAAGTTGGTAGCAGGCTCAAATTCTCGGCTGTTACTGGCTTACAGACGGGTTTCACTTTGTAGTGAAAGGTTGAAAAGGTGCCATTCCAGTATGTGTTGGTCGCAACACCTGATAACACAACATAATATGGGCCCCTAACAGCGTTTACAGCTTCTTTTGGATCATTCTTCATAAGAAAACTAGTAACATTTGGTAGAAAATACTGTACAGACTATGAAAAGGCCACGAATACACATGATCATGTGCAAATACAACTAATCGAGTTTATTTGAAATGCATAGGTTTATAAAACACGATGCTTACAGACTACTGCAGCTTACAATTTTTCATTCTTGGCTGTGTTTTCCTTCATAAGATTCAAGGCAGATCTACAGATACGACTGATGTTAATACGCGTGACAAATGAAGAAGTGGTATGTACGACACTTACCCGTGCTTGAACCATTCAATTTGTTGATGATTGAATGTATGATTCAAAGGAACATCCACAGTGGATCCATCTGTTTTATGCAAGCGAAGAGTCAATGGCTTTCCTTCCTGGAAGTCAGTCAAGCCAAGGATATCAACCTTGTCTGAAGCGTCCACTTTGTCGTAATCACTGGGATTAGCAAAAGTCAAGGGAAGCATACCCTGCTTCTTGAGATTGGTTTCATGAATACGGGCAAATGATTTAGTGATGATGGCAGCGCCGTTGAGGAATCGAGGCTCCAAAGCAGCGTGCTCACGAGAGGAGCCTTCACCGTAGTTTTCATCGCCTACCACAACCCAGCGAACGCCTTCCTTTTTGTAATCACGAGCTGTTTCAGGGACACCCTTATATTCACCAGTAAAGACATTCTTGATACTGTTGACTTTGCCTTCGCTGCTCTTGGCGCCAATGAGGAAATTGTTACTGATGTTATCCAAATGGCCACGGTACTTGAGCCAAGGACCCGCCATAGAGATATGATCCGTAGTACATTTGCCTTTTACCTTAATCAAGATGGGGACGTTGGTGATATCCTTACCATCCCATTTCTGGAAAGGCTTCAACAATTGAAGACGGCTGGATTTAGGATCAATAGCAACATCTACTTGACTACGTTCAGCAGGTGGTGCTTGATATGTGTTCTCTCCGGGATCGTAACCACGAGGAGGCAGTTCGTGGCCGTTGGGAGCTTTCAATTTAAAAGGCTTGCCACTGGAGTCAATGAGAGAGTCTGTGATAGGATTGAATGTCATGTCACCAGAGATAGTCATGGCGGTGACAAGTTCAGGAGATGCAACAAAAGCGTGAGTTGCAGGGTTGGCATCGTTACGACCCGTGAAGTTACGATTGTAGGAGGTAATAATAGAGTTCTTTTCTCCTTTTTGAACATCCTTACGGTCCCATTGCCCAATGCAAGGGCCACATGCATTAGCCAAGACAACACCACCAGCGTTTGTCAAGATATCCATAATGCCATCACGCTCAATTGTAGCACGGATTTGCTCAGAGCCTGGGGTAACAGTAAACTTGGCCTTGGCTTTGATACCATGATCAATGGCTTGTTGGGCAAGAGACGCTGAACGGGTCATGTCTTCGTACGAAGAGTTGGTACAGGATCCAATGAGGCCCACCTTGAGTTCCTGTGGCCAATCGTTCTCAAGGAGAGTTTCCTTGAATTTCGAGAGGGGAGTAGCCAAATCAGGTGTGAATGGACCATTGATATGAGGCTCCAGCTTGTCGAGATCAATTTCAATGATTTCATCATAGTGAGCACCTGAATCCGCCTTCAGGTTTTCAGCAAAGGATTCCGCATACTGAGCAATATCACCTCGCTTTGTTGCGCGAAGGTAATCGGCCATACGATTGTTGAAGGGGAACAAGGACGTGGTAGCGCCAATTTCAGCACCCATGTTACAGATGGTGCCCATACCAGTACAAGAGATCGAGTCAACGCCTTCGCCAAAGTATTCAACGATAGCGCCCGTGCCACCTTTGACGGTCAGGATGCCTGCGACCTTTAGAATGACATCCTTGGGAGATGTCCAGCCATGCAATTTACCGTGCAATTTCACGCCAATGACCTTGGGACACTTGAGCTCCCAAGGGATGCCAGCCATGACATCTACAGCATCAGCGCCACCTACACCGATAGCAACCATACCTAAACCACCTGCATTAGGCGTATGCGAATCTGTGCCGATCATCAGACCACCGGGAAACGCATAGTTTTCTAGAATGATCTGATGAATGATGCCAGACCCGGGTTTCCAAAAACCAATGTTGTATTTAGCAGTGGAGGTAGCCAAGAAATCATACACTTCCTTGTTGATATCAATAGCACGCGCAAGATCCTTATCACCGCCTACTTGGGCTTCAATCAAGTGATCGCAATGAACCGTGGTGGGTACAGCCACTGAGGGCAAACCGGCAGACATGAACTGGAGCAATGCCATTTGTGCAGTAGCATCTTGACAGGCAACACGATCAGGACGCAATCTGAGGTACGATTTGCCGCGAACGATATCTTGTGTTTCAGGTTCGTCCAAATGTCCATACACAATCTTTTCAGATAAGGTCAAGGGACGATTTAATCTGTTTGTGATCTTAGTATAAACGCGTAATAGACTACCATAGGGCATGTACTCACCGTTTTCGTACAATTTGAAGATTGTCTTCAATGCGTTGGTAGTTGATGTACTTGTCTTTTTCGAAATTAGACATGGCTACCTTTTGGGAAGCCAGGCTGTAGGACCGAATAGACAGTGATGTCTATATGTTCGCATGTTGAGGTGAGACAAACGAAGCACAACATGCGAGGCAACAAGGATGGTGCCATCTCATCAATATAAACTCACCTTGGCCACCTTGAAGAATGCATTTCTAGTGAGAAGCATGGTAACAAGAATAAGCAAAGAGTAGGGGGGGGGGGGTTTGTTATCTGTGAGTAATGAAGAGAAAAAGAAGAGAAAGAGGTTTCAATGTGAGAAAATTCGTATATCGAAACAAACAATATCGTCATCCACCCCTATTAGAGTTACCATGCAAAGGCAAGTGCAAGACAAAACATCTCTATATAGGCATGTACAGTCACCATGGTTTGATTGAATGCTCATATAGATGCGTAGATACGAACATTATGCATGGCATGCTCTAAACCTTGCGCAACTGACCCTGCAATCCTGGGTGGCATTCGATTCTGATATCAAGTTCCGCTGCCATATTCATGCAGTGATTTTCTCCATAGACTGTGAGTGCTCGTTTGATGGACATCTCCACTGTATAATCGTAAATCATTATATAGGTAAGCTTCATCTAATAAGCACCAACCTTCAATGCCATTGCAAGCACAAAACCTGCTTGACATGTCCAGCTGTGCCACATTTGTGTAAGCACACATCAAGTACATCGTCATCCACTTCTTCATCCACTAAGATTGCCTATAAGTATGTTTATCCGAGCCTAAATAGCATGAAAGTCCTTTTTTACGCATTTGTTTACACTTCTTCCCACCACTCAAACATGTCTTTCCGTCCACCGCGTTCATTACCCATCTTAACATTATTCCATAACGTCAAGTCAGAGAGATCCAAAGCAGCACTCGCTCTACTCCAAAGCAGGCAAAAGAACGCCTCTGGAGAAGAAAAGTATCGCATCGATGTCATTGACGAAAACCAACAAACGCCAACCGACACGCAACTCAAGCAAGTAGCCAGTTTTCTCAAAAGCCCTGCACCCTGGAAGGAAATGATGTTGAATGATCAGATTACCAACGCACACGACGCCTTCAAGGCATTGAAAGAAAAGCCTGATTTGCTCAATTGTCCCATTGTGGTCGACTGGGAAAAGGGAAAAGCAGTGATCGGATCTCCTACATTGGATGCCGTTGAACAGTTAATTCAAGAGAGAAATAAATAGTTTATTATAATACAAGAATGAATAAAACGATGCTATATATATATATATATGAATTGTATGTATACAAAGGGTGGGGAATCATAATATGTATAAGAGTGTAAGAGAGAGAGAGAGAGAGAGAGAGAGAGAGAGTATCTATTTTCTATGCGACTTGCCAGAACTGTCAGTGTCATCTTCAGCAGAGACTGCAGGAGCAATGTCAAGAACGACAATGTTGCAGGTTTCCTTGATTTCTGGTCTAGGTTCAACTGCAAGATGATGTGCATGCGACAGTTCAGGTCTAGTGTGTGTACACATTGGAATGTTCTTGACCCATTCATCGTCTAGCACTTGTTCCAGCGTACAGCGCTCAAGAGGGTTAGGGTTAAGGATGCGCTTCATAATAGGTCTTGATTCGCGGGGTAACATCTTAAACAGTTTCTCGGCGCCAAGCGTGGATGGAGTGACAAAGTTCTTGTAAGACTGATCCTTTTCAGGACGAGGCAAACGCCAAGGGAATCGACGAATAGACATACAAATAAACACAATAGCGCAGGACCACAGATCAGTGAGACGAGCATCATAATCGGGTTCAGTGAATTGCTCTGGAGCAATGTAAGGGTCAGAGCCACAAATGCCCTTTGATTTATGCACCCGTGTTTCGTGAGGATACTTGTTGACAACAGCACAACCAAAATCAATGATCTTCACAATACCGCGTTCATCCAGCACCAAGTTATCCAGCTTCAGATCTCTGTGAGCCAAGCCCATACTTTGCATGTAGGAAAGACCATTCAGCAATTGACGCCAGCAGCAAGCAACTTCCTCACGAGACATCTTTCCGCTCATCACGATATTGAACAAGTCATTTGGTGCAAATTCCATAATCTCGAAAAAGTTTTGGCCTTCCTGGATGATGTCTAGTGTTTCAATTACATTGATATGATGTAAGGTAGACCCGATACAGAATTCAGCAGTAACCTTCTTCACGTATTCCTTCTCTGGCTCGTTAGCTGATCGCTTTCTAAATTGCTTGACTGCAAAGGTTTTTCCGTCTGTACTACGACGGATCAAACGAACTGAACCACCTGCACCTTTACCTACAAAGCGGCCTGTGTTCAAATGTTTATTAGCTTCTTTTGGTAGCGAATAGCAACAGTAAACAACTTACCCCACTTGCCATATTTGCCTTCTAAATCTCGGTTAAATTCATTTGCAAACGAGAGTTCACTTGAGCTCTTGACGGAGGGTGTCTTTGACTTTTTGTCAATGCTGTCCTTTTTGGACGATTTCTTCTTGTGCTTGTCACCCTTGAACAGCTTTTTCAGATCTTTAAAAATAGTGTCCTTCTTTTCAAGATGGTGGAAATGTGTGTGATGATACTCTTTGTTGTAATTGGGTCTCTTGAAAATGAATTGAGATGGGGTGGTAGGTCTCACTGGCAATGATGAAATACTTGCTGAATGTGGAATACCTTTGGCATCAAGGGAAGAAGATGCTATTGAAGATATGTCATCAGAGGATGAGGATTTCTTCGTGCTGTTGTTGAGTGTCTGTTCATCACCGCTGTGTTGAGGCGATAAGGAAGGTGGGGTATGTACGGCAGTAGGTGGTAGTGATGGTGATGGAAATCCCACAGAGGATGTTTCTGACGAGATGCCGTCTTGATTGCTGCCATTATAGCGATGAGGGGTGAGCAGTGGTGTTCCAGGCATGGAGACATCTGGAGTTACATTTTCAAACCGGTGTACAGCATGCTTGTTCTGGAATATCTTGGCTGGTTGATTGAAATCCACTTTCTGTAATTTATCTGCTAATTGATGCTCTGATGTGACATGCGTTGAGTCAATGATGATGGAATGTTGTGAGCTCATGCTAGTGTATATATGTATATGTGTATGAAAAGTAAACAAGAAGAAAAGGTATAAAAAATCTGATTCCAAGCAAATCTTCGTTCCCTATTTATATTCTCGCTCAAACATTTACATTATTAATATCAGAGTTCTGTTATACATGAAAAAGTGGGGGGAGCAGTGTATGATTACCTTATAAGGAAATAGTATATATTATAAATAAGAAAAGCCGATTGAATGGAGTTATTTGATCCACCGCCTATTTCTCTCGTTTGTATCTGATGTGAGGGGTAGAAACTGACGTAAGATGAATCCGCCATATTCTGTATTCTGACACTATGTTCATATCATTTTCGGCGGGTAGTATGGCATCTAATACAGAGATTCAAGGGAAACTTACTGCGGACAAGTCGGATAAATAAGGGAACGTCATGGTGGTAAAGATAGATCCGAAAGAAGCTTTTTTTTCTTTTGGTCCAAGGAAAAATGTGTGCCCGATGGGACCGAGAGTAAATCCGGTGCTTTCATATGGTCCTTTTTTACCTCCTCTTTGTTTCTATGATACATCATTCTATAGACCACAACTGATGGCAATCACTGGTGACATTTAACAAACAGGCATTTGGATGGCTGATCTAGATTTCATTCGTATATAGATATTTGATCTAAATATAAGTTTTTGATTTCCAGAAACATATAAAAAAGAGTCTGGAATTGTTTGATTGACTTAGTAATAGGGTAGCATGGTGCGTGTGTGTGTGTGTGTGTGTTTGTGTGTGTGTGTAATCCCCTATCGCTCCTTTCCGCCGGGAAGACATTTATCTCACATTGGGGGTGCCATTTTCTTTTTGTGAGCTGGAAAAAAGATGACACATAAATGATAGATATGAATCATAACATCTAAATTAGCCTCATATCGTTGTAAAATGAAATGCTATCGCTTTAGCACATGGTTAGCTCAACAGATTGATATGTGTGTATGCGTGGCATGTGTAACATGATCCACGCTCTCCTTCTGTATAAACAAAAACATTTCTCTTCGACATCCTCCCTCTCTTTCTTTGATTAGCAGTGTAATACAAAAATGCAGGCACAGTTGTATCTGATTTGTTTATAAAGTCTAGATGGCTTGGATCACGGCCATATTTGCTGATTCTGATCAAATATACACACATGGCTTTCATTTCGTTGATAGTGCTTCACATCTTCATCGCTTCAGCCCCCCAAATATACACACAGATCAATGTTGTTGTTGTCTGAATGGAGTTCAATGTACCGTGTAACATCCTATTTAATAGTTCTTCCATGCTCCTTCTTGAGCAAAGTGTTACAGAAAGAACCCTTAAGTTGGTTTAAGCGGGAGATAATTGATCCGACTGTGTATACATACGAACGCTGCTGCAGATCGTCAAACAATTCCTGATGAAAATCAGCAGCGGCACCCCGCATTCTTTCTCACTCATGCGAAACCCATACACAAAATCCATCCATGCTAATAAACAACTTGATCTGGATCTTTTCTTAATTACACACATATCCATATAAAGAAAAAACACAGTTTAGTATACTATTTTTACGGGTAGATTGCGCATCAGGATTTGATCTTGAACTGATGTCGAAAGAACAAGCAGAAAACTCATGATTTTACATATATGTTGAAATTAAGAATTTTGTCAAATCATATATGCATAGATGAAACAAAGTTTTGATTACCATTTCTGTGCATGATTCTATGCTAATGATAGTGCCCTTCTGGTACTGTCAGTTGATTACAAATACACCAAAGAAAAATGCCCAATATGCGGTCTAGATGTTTGAACATGGAAGATGAAATTGGGTTTAGGATTGTATTCATGGATACACCTATTTACCTAAATACGCGGCTTATCTATGCTTTGGTTCATGTGCTGCTTACACACACACTTCCAATAAAATTCAAAATTCATGCTAAAGACCCATGAAAGTGTTGCTAATACGTTCCCAGCCTAAATTCAACATAAAAGCACGAATACATATTAAATTTTTCTCCTCTCTTGTTATCAATTCATTTTCAAAATGCCCAAGAAGAACAACGCCAACAAAGACATGACTCAAAAGACGGATAAGAACCGCCCCAAGTCGAAACACGACAAGAAGGAGGAGCAAAAAAAGCACAAGATGATGGTTTGTATCACAACCTAATATGAAGGATGGTTTGTATTCTAAATCGCACATGTGTGTCGACAAAATAGAAAAATGAAAAGGTTGCTATGGCTAAAAAAGGGTTTGAAACTGGAAATGTTAATTCCAAAAGCTCCTAAATGGATACGAACTTCATGCAGTATCGCATCATCGCTTTATATACAATGTATATAGTATTTGTAAATCAATGGTATGAAATGATCAATAAAATGCTTGATTTTCTGCCGGCTTATGATGCCAATTCACAGTTCCGTCTTGATTGTCAAATTCTCGCCGGGTCATGGCACATTCACATAGGTTATGTGAGGAATTAAGCTCTTGTACATCAGAATTCACTGTCGAGCAAGTTTGTTTGCAGTTTTATGAATTAATACATGAGATGATAACGTATACGACATTTCTGATAGGTGCCTACAGTAGCCGCCGCTGTGTATAATGAATTGAAACCATCATTGTGGACCTAGAGCTGATTTTGTAGATTGTAGATGCCCTCAAACTAGCAAATCTTTGCTCTTGTGCATCAGTAACGATGACTAAAATTGAGTTTGCCACCAGCCGCCAGCAAATCAATTGAAACACAGCATATTTTTTTTTTCTTCAAGATTGGCCAGATTTGAGCAACTTTCGACTTGATTGAAATATTTTGCAAGATTTGACTATGAACATTGTGATAATCATCCTATACTTTCTAATGCATACCGTGAGTACTTTTCGAGGCGGTTCCAATGGTGCCAACTACAGAGGAAATTTAGATTGAACTTTTTGAGTAATTCTAAAAAATATGAAATGAGATTTTCCGCCAAAATGTCGAGATTTTGTATACTGTGGCCTCATAAAAGTAATTTTAGGGGATGCGCTGGATCGAGAGAAACTTTTTGATATGATACATACCATAGAAAAGTCTTCTTTTTTGAGGTCAAAAACGCGATCGTTTGATTTTCGATGAAAACTATGAGGTACCTCTCATGCTTTTTGGTCGATTTTTGACGATCCCAAAAAAGTCGAGCAAAAGTGTCAGGAAGTGAGTGCTAGACGAGAGCGATTGTTTGGCGCTATTCTAGCAGTCCAAAGCGGCTTTTAACGTGAGAAAATGCAGCTCAAATGCATCCAGACTTTGCTGTGAATGCATATATTTGAGCTGTAGTTATAGGCATTGTTAATATGCTGTCTGCCCGTCCACAAACTTTCCTCCTTGATCCAAACGTGTAGCATTGCAGAAGAGTCAGATCCACTGGCGCAGGGGTTCTCTGATATTAGTCGAAGGTTATGAAACGAAATTACAGTATATTTGAGTAGGGTTTGCAGAGTGGAGACGCAAAATTGCTCTCGACCTGTGCTCGCTTCTTGTCGCCATATGTTAACTTGGTATCTGAACTGTTACTGATTGCTCCGGGTCATGAGAATAACTATATCATAGGGGATTGATGGTATGTGATGGCATCGAGCGTGTACTGCACTGCATCTTAATCAATTTTGCAAGCTCACTGCGATTGTTGTCATTATAAATGATCAACTAGCTTTTACAAAGCTCTTCAAGTGCTGCCCCGGCGTGCCAGTGAGGGCAAAAATTACTGCCTAATCTACTAAATGTACGAAATCCCAACCGAATGGATAAAGCAGGTAGTGTCTAACATGTATCACCCGGCTCATGTAAAACTGAGCACACGCCGGTTTGATGACTCTCCTCCTGCGATAGTCCCCACCTCTTTTTCTATATTCTGGTACATCAAACAAAGGCGTTAATAGCAAAACATCGCTCAACATATTCTTGATGGAAAACTCATAATACATGCAAGTTCATATATGATCTGCCATGCATTTGGTCAAGGAAGCTCCCCTCCATCATCATTTACTATTTCAATAACCGATTACTTGGTTAATTGACCAATACCTTCTCAAATCGTTTTGTATTCCCCTTTCCTTTCTTCACAACTTTCGAGTAATGAATCGGCTTTTATTGGGACTTGCAACTCTCTTGTTGTTAATACAACAAGCATGCTCTATGTCTACTATCATCAAACCGGGGGAGGTGCAATGTTATCACGAAGAGCTTGAAGTGGGGGAGAAAATCACCGTGTCCTATCAGGTTTGTTTATAAATGAAGCAAGATCAACGCTTGTTTGACCGAATCACTCATGGATTCTCGTTTACTACAACAATTAGGTTGGTGATGGTGGAAATTTGGATATTGATTTCTGGGTAAACTATTGCAAAAGTCAAAAAGTGAACCCCTTTTTCTGATTTTCCAGCATCATCTAGTTTCAAAATCCAACAAATGCTATTGTTATTTCAACCACAAGAACTTCTTCCAACTCGCACACACTTCAAGCTAGTATTGAAGGCAGATATACCTATTGTTTCAGTAATGAATTCTCTACGATCAGCGAAAAGAAAGTCGGTTTCAATATTCATGAAAACATCCAAAAGATCCATGAGAGCATTAAAGGTACGCCTCTCTGAACTGCAGAGCAATTTACTTTATCCCCCCCCCCGCAATATTGACTATACTCTTATTAGAACACACTTATCCTCTTGAGAAGGAAATTGCTGAATTGGCTGAGAGCATCTTTGCTGTGAAGGCTCAACAGGAGTACATTGTCGTTAGAGAGCGTCAGCACAGAGACAGTAAGGACGATGAAGATATTTTTGAACGCGATAGATGTAATAACGCTGTAATTCGTTAGCTGCTGAAAGCACAAATGCCCGTGTCAAGTGGTGGTCTATCACTCAGTTAGGCTTATTAGTTTCTGTTTGTCTTTGGCAAGTATACTATCTTAAACGCTTCTTTGAAGTCAAAAGAGCTGTTTAAAGTATGAAAAAATAAAGAATCCCATAACAATAGGAGAGATTAGATGCGAAATTGGATTCATGTTGATATGATTTCATAATGCAATTGCGATCGTTCATGTCGATGAGCAACCATGTAAATTTGTAAACATCTGCCGTATTTTCAATCTACTTGCCTTCAACATTCTGATAATGTTCAGGGCACAGAAGTTTGCAACGCATCATGTATCTCGGCTTGCAAAGAAGTGAACCTCTAGATCAATCCTATATATCAACCATCTCCCATTAACTCGACTAGTAGCTGAATACAATTAGTTATTATTTGTTTATTCACTTTTTTTTTTTTTTTTGGATCTAACCAAGAGATCGATAAGTATAATGCTGTACAACTCTCTTCCTCCGAAGAGAATCAAATAGCGCTTACGCACATAACGAAGATAAAGGGGTTGATGATGGTATTATCTAACCGCGAACATACTTGACCTTTTGCTTCTTGGGTTTAGCAGGAATTTGAGGTTGTTGAGCGGCTTGTTGAGCTTGCATTTCAGCCATGGTGGGAAGACCTTGAGCCTTACGTTGTTCATCAGCAAGAGCTTCAATTTCGGCCAATGTAGTGGTAGGAGAGACAATCGAGTTAGGCACATCTCCTTCCTTTTGACATTGAGGCATGAGCTTTGCAATGGCAACAAACAGCTCTTTACGAGAAGTGATTTCTTGCTTGATAAAAAAGTTGTTCTTGTCCTTGATTTGAACACGAACACGACCAACATTTGCCCAGTCGCGAGGATGGCGTTTACCCTAATGAATCAAATGTTTAGTATTGCCCCTCTCCGCATTGATGGACTAGATCCATTACCTCGTATACAACAGAAAATCCCAATTTCTGACAAGCAATTGCCATATGATAGGCGTGAGGATTCTTCACTGACTTTTCCTTTGCAATCTTTCTACCTTCTTGAGCTGATTTGTCGGCATCAATGTAACAAGGATAGACGCAAACCCAACTACAAATGCTGTAAGTGTCAACTTTTTCTATACTAAGCAGCAGATGCTTCTTACTCTTTGAATTCCTCTGGACGCATTTGACGGGAAATACCATTGGGTCCAGATGCGACAGTAGCCACAGATTCTCTAGCAGGAGGGGCTGCCATGGAGGGAGCACCTCCACCAAGACCGCCACCCATACTTTGCATCATTTGCTGAAGTTGAGCCATATCGGGCATGCCTCCTCCACCCATACCTCCCATGCCTCCCATGCCTCCCATGGCGCTCATCATGCTACTCAAATCAGGCATGCCGCCTCCCATATTGGGCACGCCACCAGAGGGTGCCCTTCTTGCTGATGCTGATGATGAAGAAGGCTCGCTAGGAAGAGGAAAGTCCATATTGTCGATATCCATATCGTCGTCATCGTCCAAAAAGACATGATTCTTTTGCGTCTTTTTCAAGTTATTGAGCATAGACATTCTGTATAAAATTCCACTACACGAATAGAAAGCAAAGGAAAGAAATTTGGAAGCTCATCTGGGAACTTGATATATTGCAGCTTCTTTTACCGTCACAAGAGCACGATTATAAATTCAAACCTGAAATGCAAAAAGAACAGGCATTTCTGTTCTTCTTCACAACCAGCAAAAACGACACACCATGGCAAGCACTTTAAGAAATCAAACCTTGATGATAGGAAAAACAGGATCATCTGTAGTTTCATTTCAGGTAAGAACATTGTGAGGCCTCTAATTCTATATTAAATTTTCTAATGGATGTGAATTAGGAAGAAGATGCTCAATGTCCTGTATGCAAGAGTGACAAATACCTTACGCCTAATCTCAAGCTTCTCGTGTCGCCATGCTTTCATAAAATGTGTGTATGTTTGAATGCCTTTATAATGACCTTACTGACTCAATCTACAGGTGTGAATCGTGTATTGATCGGCTGTTCAGCGCAGGCCCTGCGCCCTGTCCGATCTGTCAGCAAGTGTTGAGAAAGAACCAATTCATGTCACAGATCTTTGAAGATCTTGCAGTCGAAAAAGAAGTTCGCATACGTAAAAGAGCGGCTCGAGTGTAACGTATATACATGATATGATGATTGCGCAGTACTAATTTGAATTGGTACAGATTCAACAAAAGAGCAGAAGATTTTCCTAGTCTACGAGCATACAATGATTATTTAGAAATGGTGGAGGATATAAGTATGTTGTTGGGCTGTTGGGCTTGAATAGAATGCAAGCATTAACGATTTGCTTGTATATAGCGTTCAATTTGATGAATGAAGTGGATGTGGCGGAAACGGAAGCAAAGATTGCAGCCTATGAAATGGAAAACAAAGACAGTATTGCAGCAAACCAAGCCAAGAATGTCAATGAACAGCGCTTCAGAAGCTATCAAGACGAAATGGAAAAACAAGAGAGGGAGCAAAAGAGAGAGGAATATCTTCAACAGTTGGAGGAGGAGAGAAAGCAAAAGGAGATGGAGAAATCGGATATCATCTCAGAGCTTGCTTCAACGAACAAATCTGCTCAGGCAGTAATACAAACAAGACAAGCGACTGCGCTAAAAAGATCATCTGCTCTTCGTCAGCAGCAACAGCAGCAATCGGAATCCAGTAGAATTGCCATGCCGTCCTGGATTACTACTGCTATGGATACGGATGCTGAGATGAGAGAGAATGAAGCAAGAAACTTTGATCCACTGTCATTACAGTATGAATATACCTCTGGATACACTGTTCGTGAAAACTACATTGATCCGTAAGTCTCTTTTGTGTGTGTGTGTTACATGTGCTGATATTGACACTTTGACGATTGCTAGATCCACCGAGTATTTACACAACAATAAGCAAGCTAAAGCAGGAGGTTATGCACCAAAATTTGCACACCAACGAGCATTAATGTCTGCATTTACTGGTGTCTTGTGTCAGCCTATAGACTAAAACGGGTTTTATTTGAATAAAATGTACAGAAACAAGGAAAGATATATTTATAAGAATGTGGTGCTGCGTTGCGTATGTATGTATAACATGGTAATTTTCTGCGACTTTGGTTTCGATTGCATAGTACTTGTTGATCTAATGGATGGCTTTTCATGTTGTCAAATTCAGCAACTTTTTTTTTTTCATTGTTACATTGAAATACGCAAAGAGTCGTAACAGAAAAACCAATTGTACATATACAAAATGAGCGCACAACGAGTAGTGCATTATTAAAAAAGTAATAGAATCATGTTCATCCTTGAATGACACAGCTGAGTCGATACTTCATACCAAGATAAGATAGGTACATTCTTGTTGGAAACACGCGAATGCTTTTCAGATGAGGAAAGTTCAGATCTATAAAAAAAAAACATAAAGAGTTGTTTGGAGGGTGAGAATGGCTTATTATTGATTTTTCTCATTATTTACCTTTAATATCAACATATATACCTTTGATGATACAATAAAGCAAAGAAAGCTGTGTGAATAATATACTTTTAAAATACGACTACTAGCATCATACCTCCTAGAGTGAAAGCTTGTTCAATTTTGTAATGGTTATTGGATTGAAAAGGAACCCATTTATTATCTCGAAAGAAAAGCCAAGTTATCTCTTGTGGGTAATCGTGAAGTGTATCAGAATTACTGCCATGTTCGTTGGCGTCTTTGGCAGTAGAGGAATGCGGTGGGCATTCTCTGGGGTCTACGACAGACGGTGGCGAATTGCTGTTATTGGGTGTGAGAGGTAATCGACTGTTGGTAGTATTATGATTATAGTAAATGGCTTGATATTGGTGATCCATGTTTGTGTGTATGTAAAACAAAAGATTCAGCTACTACTAGTTGTGTATCTTTTATGCTGATAACTGCCTTTGATTTGCCAAACAAAATACAAAAATGCCAAGGGATGTTCCTCTGTGGATGGCTATAATATAAAGAAGGGAAGAAAGGAAGACGGGAACAATAGTAGTATATAAAATTTATATGTAAGTATCAAGTGGTAGGGCCAAATGAGAAGCGAAGATTACGTCGTACAAATTATTGACCTTTACATGCTATTTCGTTATACTACACACATGGGCATCATGCTTGGGTGAACTTTGATAAACATAAAAAAAGTTACTTTGCATGATCGGCGGTACTCAGTAGCTGAATGTTTCAATCAACGAGCTGCAGGGCTACTACAATCTCCTGCTTGTTAGTATTGCATTTCAAGATCTGATGTGATTTGACTGTTTGCTCTAATTAATTTGATTTCAATTGTTAAGTATCATATAACTAGCTAATCTATCTCGCTACGCTCGATGCCGGCGTCGCCCTACGGACTCTCGCGAAGACATTTCAAATCAGATGCAATAAGGTTTTGGTATATCAGGTAGATTTTAAACAATCAATTATTAGTTAGCAAAAGAAAAGTTATCTCGGAGCCAGGAGGAGGAAGAGAGAAGGTATCTGCCTCAGCATCCTTTTTGCTTACACTGATATCAAACAAAGCCTATTATTGGGACAACGCGAAAGAAAATCCAAGTTTTATGCAGCATTTGTGCATCACAATCGCCATTTTCTGATAATAGAGCTGTCATATCATTCGCTGCTGCTGATGCTCTTAATAAGATGGCGACATAAAGCTGGTCAAAAGTAAATACAGGACTTGTGTAAGATATACAGCAACTTTTTTGAGACAGTGTCATTGCAAAAGACACCTTCATAAGGAAAAACTCTCCAAAAAAAAGTGTTTGTGCTAAGCAATTGTCCTTTCAATTTCATGATCCCCATTTAATCAGCATCGTAATCATCATTGCCATCAACAGAGAGGCATTAAGGTCAGCCAGCAGCAAGCCGCCGCAAAAATCGATTCAAACTCAGCCTCTTTTTTTTTTGTTTAAGATTGGACAGATTTTGTCTTTTTTTCGACTTTTTTAATCTGTTTTGTGATATTCGACTATATGAACTATTGTTATCATCCGATGCTTCCTAATACATTCTTGGGGTACTTTTCAAGGCGCTTCCAATGGTGTTAATTGTAATAAGTGTTTTGACTGAAATTATTGATCAACTTGATAAAATTTGAAATGAAGCTTTTAGCGAAAATGGCCAGATTTTGCATATGAAAACCTTACAAAAATGGTTTCAGAGGTAGCTTTGGATCGAGAGAAACATTTTGAATTAATACATACCATAGTAAAAGTCTTCATTTTCAAGGCGAAAAACGCGATCGTTTGATTTTCGATGAAAACCATGAGGTACCCCTCATGCTTTTTGGTCGATTTTTGGCCATGTTTTTTTTTGGCCCATAAAGTTGAGCAAAGGTGTCAGGAAGTTGCTGTTACTCGAGTACAATTGTTTGGCGTCATTCCGGTGGCTCATATAGGTCTATATGTCAAGATACGAAGGATTGAAATCTGTCAAATTTGGTTATGTTTTGCTTTATGGCTTTTATTTACAAGGCAAAATCATATTTTTGGTAGTTGCAATTTACTGGAAGGGAAGTTCTGTAGCCTGTGCAATTTCTAATCTGAATAAAAGGCATATTGATTTTGGTGAAGCTGATTCATGCAAATTTTGATGTGCTATGTCGCTGGTAAGCTTATTAACAATGGAAATGAAAACCCGAATTTGCTGCTTGAATACTATGGTTTTTTACCTTTACTTCGCTATGGTAAAGCCGCCTCTAGGCCAATGTTACCAAATGTTGAATTAGATGCGTTATGCTCTTGGTGGATGGGCTTAGGACCTCCTCCAATCCCTCTCTCCAATGCTGGTTTCTTCGGTTGTTTATTCATCTTGTACAGCACTCAATTCTTTAAATTTTTGAAAGGATATGATTTGTTTGTATACTTTTTTTTTGAATGTTTTACAGTATATTTTATGAAGTATATGCTTTGATTGAAACCAAATTAGCAGTTATCAATATAATAATGCTCTTTTCTACGATTACACCTAAATTGCTAGGCATTTTTTTATGAATTGTGGATGTATGAGGCTTCGCCCATGATCTCCATCATCCATGTAATTAATTTTACTTGATCGTTGTGCAATGTTCTTGAAGCACCAGAATTCATCTAACTATATGTTTTGCTACTATTTGCGCTCATTCCTCTTATATACATGCTATACTTGAGATGCTTCATTCATCTTGATAGTATAAACACCAAGAAAAGGCTAAACCTGTCCCTGAATAAACATGTAGTTTTGACGCGGAGATGGATTGCATCAGTTCCAAATGTTCTACAGACGACGATGCTTGTTTGCATTGATCCGCAACGAGCTATAGTGCAATTCGAAGCAGACGTAGCAGCACAAGGCTCCTTTTATTACTTCAAGGAGGTACGTTTCCTGCGTTTGTTTTTTATAACAAATGCTGATACTTTGTGCGAAATGGAGATCAAGAGCTATACTAATAGATCTTGCAACAGCTTGATTGCACAAGTGAGGTAGAATACGAGTGCTGAGATTTTTACCATTCTTACTAAACAGCATTACGCGAGATTATCATTTTAACATTACACAGTATGTCTTTATTGAACGCACGGAACGTGAACATGGTAGAGAGGATCCTTTTTTGTGTTGATATCTCAAGAAAATATAGTGTCGCACATGATTGCCTTGTACTGCATCTATAAACTCCATGAGCTGTTGTGTTAGTGCCAACATTTGTGAAAGATCTCGCTGCTTTTTGTGTGCCAAGTTCTTTCATAGGGTGGACATAGACAGTAAATGGCATTAGTAGTGTAAAATATGTGCTTTCAATCAACGTTTGGCAAGAATTTTAGAGATATACTGAGGTTGCAAGAAATCCTTGAGCAACAACCACATTTGCATACAATTTGACGCTCAGTTTGATCAAATCCTTAGGATATGTTGCATTGTAGCAACTATAATTCCCAAATAATCCAAATTTAACATTGAACGTTTGCATTGATAGCATATATATCAGAAATGATGATGGGAAACACCTTGAAAGCCCTTTGAGGATCTTTCGTATCAATAAGTCTCTCTTGGTGACCAAATAATCATGTTCTTTTGCATGATAAATGTTGGGTGCTTATGTGTGCAAGCACAATGAAAGATTTTCGTAACGCACAAGGCCACGTGCAATCATTTACCTTAAAAATGCTGTGTAACTCTGCATGGCCAAAGGAAAAAGGCGACATCCAGAAAGCGAGAGCATTGAAATTATAATTGCAGCAAGAAGTCTCGTTGCCAAGGCTTCCCCTCATGATAAAATCAGCAATTATTAGCTATGTTTTATATCGAACAAAAGAGTTTTGCATCAATCAATAGTTGATTTGAGTCGGGATTATCCTCATTTTAAGCTACTGGCAAGACATTTGGTGCTCATGTCTGAGATTGTATCATCTCATATTAGTAAAAAATTTTCATCTCATTACAACAAGCAAAGAAATGCTTTTCCCTGCACAATAGCAGTAAGAAATGCAGAGAAGAGAAGAAAGAGTTTCACAGTAAAATCACCGAAAAAAAAAATTGGAAAAAAGAACAAAGATTTGTTCATTAACGGGGAATCGATCAAGAATGAACAGCATAAATGAACATTTGAGCTATCCTTTGTACTAAACAAACTGCTATTTTGACGTCATAAATTCATGTTTGATGCCTAAGGCTACTGCTTACACGAGCACACGTCCTCACACTGCAAACTATCAAGGGGTTACAATAATAATAAAAACAAATTTTTCTCGAGTATCACAAATATAAGAAACCAATTTTATTCAATGTGAAATTCATCCAATGATGCATTTTAATGAGTTTGAAACAACAAGCCATCTAATGCATCTTTTTTCTATCTGAAATATGAATACTTAACACATTTCACAAGAAATAAATCGAGAGAAACTGACGGATGAGATGCATAGCAACAAATCTACACAAATATTATGCTACATTTGATGTGCTTTGGAGGATTTGTGACCAAATCAGATCGAAACTAAATAGTCTGTACAGTCACATTGGCCATAGTGAGGCTCAACCTATCTTGCATTGATTGGTTAAGCCTTTTTTTCTTCTTTTTTTTTTTGCTTTAATTTTTTTGCAAACACATTTTATACTCTTTTCCTTTTTATTTTAGCCATTAAAAAGAAGCACTGAATACCACCTTTCTTCTTTCTGATATTGCTGATTTTCACATTTATAAAGAGAAGAATCAAAAGTAAGCGTTGCATAAAACTGTATCTAGATGCGATTTTCTAAATCACCAAATCCTTTGCATCATGTAGAGAGGGAAATCTAAGCAAGCAGGAAAAAATATAAATCTCGCTTTAAAAAAATCATTTAATCATGGATATACAAGGATATCTTCCTGCAAAAGAGGAGCGTTCTGGCCTTCATTATGCAGATCGCTCTAATGACCGCATGAATATGCCATCAACCTCAGACTACAAACCAAACTTCACTGCAAGTTCAAGCACATCCAGCATCCCAAAGATATTGCCAACATTGGTTGAAGAAGACGATGGTGCTAGCAACGAAGATGCCGCTACATTTACTTACCCCATTGCCACTATGGTCACCCCGGCTCAAGAGGATGCTAACATGGCATCTTCCTCTTCCTCCTCGTCTCAAGATCCCGTTGATCGTGAAAGCTTAAATCCTGCTCTATTACTCAACAGATACGATAAACGCAAGAGTAGTCCAGCTATCTTAGGCTTACCATTTGGGTTAAATCATGAAGCTCAACTGAGTTTACATCTATCACAACAAAGAAATTCTATTGAAGCAGCCATGTTATTAGCTAATTTTAACAAACTAATGGCATTTCCAAAAGCAAATGAACTCGAGCATAAAGGTAAATTATCGTTTATTCTCATGTTAAGAGAAAAAAAAAAGAAGGGGAGGTGGAGGACAAGAGATACAAAAGCTTAAATATAGCATGAAATAAGGAGACACATTATGCGCATAAAATATTAGCTGATTACTAAAAAAAAAAAAAAAATTTTTTTCATACAATTTACAGTCCATCCTCAACAACAACAATGGCAAGATGATATGTCAATCCCATCACAAAACAAAAGCGCTTGGGGCGATGTCTTGATCAATGAAGCAGAATCGAACCGTCGTCATTCATATGATGTTAATATGAGCTGGCAAACAATGCCTGAGGCGTTCTTGGAAAGACCTGACCTCTTACACAAAGCAGCAAGCACCAGTACATCAGTGAATGCCCCCGCCTCCTCTTCCTCTTCGTCTCTGAACACTGCTCATTCTGATGCGCCTGTCTTCAAGCAAGAAAACCTTTACAGTCATCACACTCCAACTAAAGTTTCTTGGAGTCACGATGATTTACATCAATTACAATCACAACATCCCCATCATCAACAGCAATCACAGCATCCTTACAGCTCTGTAGAGTACTCAAATCATCCCATTTCTCCTCGTCAACATGGTAGGCTCTATCATCCTACTATGAGCTCTCCCCTTGTTCCTCATACCTATCAACACCGCTACCCCCCTCCCCATCCTCAACAACAGCAACAACAGCCACCGCAACAAGCTGATCAACATCATCATCATCCTGGTGGAGTTTCAATGTTACATCCTCTTGCGCGTCAGCCTGATTTATCTAGCAATGTTGGTGTGAAGCGTGAATTAGACTCACAGCAACCACAACCACAACCACAGCACTCTTACTATTCCTATACTTTCCCGCCTCAGCACCCTATGCAGCAGCGCTATTACTATCCTAATAATGGAAAATTACCACTACCAACTCATCCAGCAATGGAATCTCAGCAAGGTCAGCATCCACATCAGCAGCAGCAACAACACGCTTCTCCCATCATATCTAAACCGAAGCGCAAGAAGCAAAAATCTTCCAATTCTGATGACTTTGATGAAGAACTTGAACAAGAAACGAATGAGGAAGACTATCCTGATATGTCAGCTCGAGATGTCGAAGCAGCAAGGACTGATCCAGAAGCCAGACCTCGCAAACAGAAACTTCGCTTTGCTGGTGACAAGTATACGCCAGCCTGGGTTAGATATAACGGTCAGTCAAAGGAGGGTTTATGTGACACATGTAAGCCCGGTAAATGGTTACAGCTCAAAAACAGTGCATATTGGTAAGGATTGTAATAGTGTTACATGCATAAATATTTATGTTAATCTTTGAAAAAAGGTATCATAAACAATTCTTCCATGGTATCTCTTCTGTCTCTGGTAAAGAATTCGTTCAGCCATTAGAAACACGCTGGGTTGATCAAGATTTGGTTGAAGGGTTATGCCATCAGTGCCATACATGGGTTGCTGTGAGCAATGTTAAAAGAAAGAATAGCGTACTTTGGTATCGACATGCCCACAAGGTGAGTAAATATTTGTGCTATATCATTCATCACGATATTCATCTTTATTTGATTGCTAGTGTCACGTTTATCACAAACCAAAACCAAATGTACCAAAGAAAAGATAAACTTGCCGGAAACAAAAACAGATGACGAAAAAAGATCCAAGAAAACTAAACATCACCTAGAATATATCTTTCTTGCAAGAATCCCAGAAAACACATTTCTCCAATATTTATTACATATATTTCCCCTTTTCTTTCATAGTTCAAGTTTCGTTTAATTCCTCTTCATATATTATTTTTTCTTTTTCTCTCTCTCTCTTTTTTTTTTTATTTTCCTAAATGTATGTATATATAAAATGACAATCAGCAGCTTCCATCTAGTGCATAAATTTCACCTCTCTTTTTGCATAAATCATGCATCACACTGCTAATTTCATAAAACTAACCTGAGATTTTTCCATTGTTGTAGTTAACAAATCTTTGAGTGAGATGTGTATCTGAATAATTCTCGAACAGTGGTGGTGGCTAATTTGAATTGCATACAAGCAGATTTCTAAATCAGAAGCCATAGCACTAACAAGTAAAATAATAATGTAAAACGTTCATGCACCAGGCTTGATACAGACCACCACCTTAAAAGTTCTTATGGACCACCTACTGACTCCATACATATGACACTTACTTGCAAAAGGTATACTACTGATGCGTCTAAGACGGAATGTTATATATTTACGCTTGTTTCTCTCCATGATGACGCACATGCTTGTGGTCTGGCTTGTCATTGCTTTACATTGCTTATATGTATACGAGTGTTTATGCTTCGGATGGCTCTTTACCTTTGCTTCGCCTCGGTGAGAACCAACCTGGGCAGTGGCAGCTCGCGCTGCCTATTGCCCTTGCGTATCTTATCAAAATACTGCTACTTTCTTTGACCCTCCACTTACTCGTGAAAGCCCTTCATGTTATCTGTGGACCTGATGTTTATGGGATGCTCTACATCCGTATACACGTAGCTACTTCATATACGGGCAAGTATCATACAGATATTATCACTTTTTAGCCTAGAATGTGCCTAATAACAGCAAAACCTGAGTGCATTTGAGCTGCGTTTCCTCGCGTTCAAGGCCGTTTTAGATCGTCAGAATAGCACCAAACAGTTGCTCTCATCTAACAGTTACTTTCTGGCACCTTGGCTCAACTCTTTGGGGACCAAAAAAACATGGACAAAAATCGACCAAAAAGCATGAGGTACCCCTCATGGTTTTCGTTGAAAATCAAACGATCGCATTTTTGACCTTGATAATGAAGACTTTTACTATGGTATACGAGCCTTTCAGCACTTCGGGTGGTTTCCTGACCTACGCTTCGCTTCGGTGGAAACCAACCTACGTTCAAACGGCTCGCGCTGCCGCGGGCCTTTGGCTAATATCCCAAAATTAATATAGCTAAAATGTTAGAAGAGGAACCCTGATTGTTGATTGATATATAATCACTAATCATATGAGTGTTTATGCTTCGGATGGTTCTCACCGAAGCGTAGCGAAGGTAGAGAACCAACCTGCGCAGCGGCAGCTCGTGCTACTGATTGCTCTTGCGTATTTTATCAAAATACTGCTACTTTCATTTTGACCCTCCACTTACACATAGTAACCCTTCATATTATCTGTGGATCTGATTCTTATGTGAGGTTCTACATCCATATACACGTAGCTACTTCATATACGGGCAAGCAGCATACTGATATTCCCACTTTTTAGTCCTTAGTGTCCCTAATACAGCAAAGTATGAGTGCATTTGAGCTGAATTTTCTTGCGTTCAAGGCCGTTTTAGATCGTCAGAATAGCCCCAAATGGTTGCTTTCATCTGGCAGTTACTTTCTGACACTTTTGCTCGACTTTTTGGGGACCAAAAAAACATGGTCAAAAATCGACCAAAAAGCATGAGGTACCCCTCATGGTTTTCATCGAAAATCAAACGATCGCATTTTTCACCTTGATAATGAAGACTTTTAATATGGTATATCTTGAATCAAAACGTTTCTATCAATCCAAAGCAACCTCTGAAATTATCTTTGTGGGACTTTGATATGTAAAATTTCGACATTTTGGCCATAAATCTCTTTTCATATTTTTACAAATCATTCAATAAGTGATTTCAAAACATCTATTTTACTTAGTACCATTGGAAGCGCCTTGAAAAGTACTCCAGGAAAGCTTAAGGAAGCATGGGGTGATTATCATACTTCACTTAGTCGAATCTGCAAAAATAGCTCGATCGAGTCCAAAATTATCAAAATATGTCCAATCTGGAACAGACTATGATTCTGGGTTTGAATTAATTTTGGCTGGTAGGGCCAGCTGGAAAACTCATGCCCTTTTCATAAGGCAATACAGTAGTAAATGCCCTCGAAGCGTATAGAAAGTAGGTGGAAGGTCATAGCACTATCGTTTATAATGATATTTTATTGCCTTCTATATCGTTCATAATGATATTTTATTGCATTCTATATTTAATAACGTTAGTCTGGACATTGACAATGCATGGGTTGCATAAAATGTCTGCAGTAAGTAATGAAATCTCTGAGGCTCTGAGACGTCGCTCAAATAAAACATTGACAGCATTGAGCAGAGGAAAGAGGGTAGAAATAACAGTGGTTTTTGTTGATTGATTGTAAAATCATTATTCTCATATGAGCCAGGACAGATAGATGCCTTGAAACTCAGGTTCCATATTAGGATTGTAAAGTGCAAAAGTACTGAACATTTATTATGTTATGATATGAGCCAGGACAGATAGATGCCTTGAAACTCAGGTTCCATATTAGGATTGTAAAGTGCAAAAGTACTGAACATTTATTATGTTATGATATGAGCCAGGACAGATAGATGCCTTGAAACTCAGGTTCCATATTAGGATTGTAAAGTGCAAAAGTACTGAACATTTATTATGTTATGATATGAGCCAGGACAGATAGATGCCTTGAAACTCAGGTTCCATATTAGGATTGTAAAGTGCAAAAGTACTGAACATTTATTATGTTATGATATGAGCCAGGACAGATAGATGCCTTGAAACTCAGGTTCCATATTAGGATTGTAAAGTGCAAAAGTACTGAACATTTATTATGTTATGATATGAGCCAGGACAGATAGATGCCTTGAAACTCAGGTTCCATATCAGGATTGTAAAGTGCAAAAGTACTGAACATTTATTATGTTATGATATCGAATCAAAATGTTTCTATCAATCCAACATAACCACTGAAATCATCTTTGTGGGGTCTTAATATGGAAAATCTCGACTTTTCGGCCAGAAACCTCTTTTCATATTTTCATAAATTGCTCAATAAGTTTATTCAAAACATCTATCTTACTTGGTACCATTGGATGCGCCTTGAAAAGCACCCCAAGAAAGCTTAATGAGGCATAAGATGATTAGTATATTTTGCATAGTCGAATCTGGTAAAATAGTTCGATCAAGTCGAAAAATATCAAAATTTGTCCAATCTGGAGCAGACGATGAGTCTGAGTTTGAATTAATTTTGGCGGCTGGTGGGGCTGGTGGGGCTGGTTGGCAAACTCAATCAAAAAGGCAATACAGTAATAGATGCTTTTAAAGCGTATGGAAAGTAAGTGACAAATTATATAACATTGTCTTTAGCCAAGCTATCTTCCTTGTATTCTATATTTAATAATGCCAGTCTATCAAAATACTTGTTAGATCAATTTCTTTCCTTTTTGAGGCTTTGAAAGTGTGTAGTGACCATAAAATATTACGTTATGATGAGCCTTTTGACTCTTCTGACCTACGCTTCGCTTTGGTGGAAACCAAACTACATTCAGGTAGCTCGGGCTGCCGCAGGCCTTTGGCTAATATCGCAAAATTTATAATAATAGCTAAAATGTTAGAAGAAACTTGATTGTTGATTGAAAGTAATTTAATATAAAATCTCTAATCGTATATGAACCATGCTTGTCAAATGCCTATCAACTCAGCTTTCATATTAGAGTTGTAAAAGTGTCCAGGGACTATAAATTTATTATGTTATGATATGAAGATGTTGTTTGCCAATATTAGGCAGCTATTTAACATCAAGTACCGATCAAGGCTCAAAAATCTTTGCTCGTATCAACAAGCATGCTCATGAGATCCTCTTGAGTAACGAAGAATAGCAACAAGCTTAAAATCATATTACAGGGATGCCCACATTTGGCTCGATCCTCTAAATAAAATTGGACCTAATTGCTGGCAAAGATAGACGCATTCAGAATCTGCCAATCGTCAACGAGAGTGGTGCAGTCCTTATTGCCAATGTATATATTCTGATACAAGTTTTAATGATATCCTCATCACATATCAAAATAGATCTTCAGCCAGTGTCAGTGGTCTCTTCTAAACAAATCAATGGAATGCATACTGCCTGTATGCCATGTTGAAATACTGCAAATTGTAATTAGGTGGTTGCGATTGCATATATTTTGATGGTGAGCCAGGCTAACTGGCGTTGCCAGTTATTTAAATGCCCAGTAAAAGCAAGCTAATGTATTTAGGCTAAGCGATAGTCCTTTCAATACCATGATCCCCATTTAATCAGCATCACAATTATTATTGTCATCATCAGAAAAGCATTTTTGATTAGCCAACAGCGCCAGACAATTAAAACTCAAAACAAAGTTTTCTGTTCAAGATTGGCTATATCTCTACTTTCTTCGACTTGTTCGAACGATTTTGCGAGATTCGACTATTTAAATTGTAATGATCATCCAATGCTCCCTTAAGCTTTCTAGGAGTACTTTTCAAGGCGCTTCCGATGATGCCAAGTAAAATAGATGCTTTTAATGAACTTATCGAGCAATTTTAGAAAATATAAAAGGAGGCTTTTGGCTAAAAATGTCGAAATTTTGTATCTGAAAACTTCACAAACGTGATTTCAGAGGTTGCTTTGGATCGAGAGAAACTTTTTGATCTATTATATGTCTTGGTAAAAGTCTCCATTTTCAAGGTGAAAAACGCGATCGTTTGATTTTCGATGAAAACTACGAGGTACCTCGCATGCTTTTTGGTCGATTTTTGACGACCCCAAAAAAGTTGTGCAAAGGTGTCGGGAAGTTACTGCTACTTGAGTACAATTGTTTGGCATTATTCCGATGGCCCAGAACGGTCTACATGTCAAGATATCAAGGCTTAAAAGCTGTCAAATTTGGCTGTGTTTCATACATTTGCTTGTCATGAGGCGTGTTTTTGTTATAACAAATAGGCGTGAAAGTATTCGTATGCATCAATCTGGATCTAGAGCATACTGCTATATCCAGATATTCAGCTGGAAATGATAGGTTGAGTACCATTGCTGTATCGTTGTGTCATAGCAAAATGATACAGCTTATTAGTGAGACGATGGCGGTTGTAAGGCAAGTTGGGCATTTTAAACGCAATAGATAGTCTGTAAAATCAATTGAAATAAGGTGGTCCATAGCTCGATAGCTTAAATTACTAGGCGGTCCGTATCATATCCGTTTTCATAAAGATAGCAGAAGGAACCTTATTACGTACTTTCAATATACAGTGTTTACTGACAAATTGGAGGAAAGAAATAATCATGACTAACAAATGGCACATGGAGATTATGAGCACAGAAATCAAAATGATTAAATATCAATATTGTCTATCACAGATCATTCGATTATATTCATGATCTTGAGTGATACATCTTGGGTAATCAAATTTTAGAGTCGATCTTTTCCATGTATAAAGACATGAAACAGCAATTGAAATCAGGGTCGCTCCATTGGGGCCCTTAACTGCGCGCATAAAAGAGGAGCTTTGTGTAATACCCAAGCTTGTTATTCATATAAAACTACCCACTCTCATCAAATGAAACTTTTTTTCATACATGTCTTATTTTCATATACTCCTAAAAAAAAACTGATATTAAAATTCAAGGTTTCACTGATTCAGATATGCATGATGTAGAAATGGCTACGTCTCTCTCTATCATGATACGCAAGCAAATGATCCGAGATTCACGGCCTGCTTACAAATACGAGGGAGGTTATTTTGCGTGCCAATGCTACAATATGTAGATGCTCAAAGGGTCTCATAAAATTTTAAAAAAAAGAATACAATTGTTTCATTTTGTATGATTGATTTATATAAGCTGATCTTTATCCTATTCTTATGAATTGTAAAACCACGTTTGTATATTCATATTTATAATCAAAAAAAAAAAAAGAAATTGAATCAGGAATTAGGGTCCAAATGTAAAACTAGAGTTTTGGAATAAAGGTTGGATGATATTGTCTTGTTATCTATGTTGGAGCAACATCTGATAAAGTACAGGGCATCGTCATTGAGGTACCAAGAATGTCCATGCCCTTCAAAGCCTTTTTTCATAGTCAAGCTCGACTCACAGCGCAAATATATATTTAGAAACTTCTGTGGATCAAATATAGCGAGTATAAATGAAGGTTCAGAGACATAAAGTGTAGTTTTTCATCTGAGTAACTTGACGTAAATGACAGGTATGGTGCATTGTGCTAAAACAGGGAATATACAGACATCCAAAGTGATCTCAGTTTGTTTTAGAACCTGCATGTGATTACCAGCTTATATGTCATGCTGCAACATTGTATATGAAACCGGCTAACTGGTCCATGAGTACTACACTGCATCTTACTAACGAATCACTAAACTTCAAGAAGAAAATGTATAGTACAGTTTATTTCTGATCAAGTAACGTATAGTATAATTTAAAGGGATATATGTTGTTAAGATAATGAATAACAATAGACTTATTCGGGTGACATTGAGTTTTCTCTACTGGAACTAGAACGCTCTCGTGTGCGGATTGCCTGACGCTTATTCTGAAACCATATTTGAACTGTTCTTGGGCTCATACCTAGCTGACGACCCAATTCAGCTCTTAATTGAGTTGATGGAAAGAATGTTCTTTCGAACACTTTGTTCAGTACATGTAATTGCTTTGAGGACGCTCTTTTTCTTTTAGCTTTTAATGGCAAGTCATACTCTACATCTTGATCTTCAACGCCAGCGTTTTGTGAGTTTGAGTTTGATGTTGTGAAGGAGAACACATAAGATGAATTGGAGGAGGAAGATTGCCTACGCTCATCTAACAGTTCTTGCTCAATCTTTTTTGACTCAGTTTGATGTTGTCGTGAAGATCTACGCTGATGCTTGTCAATTAAATAATACGGATGCGATGATATAGGTGGCGATCTTCGACTGTAGTTAGCTTGATGATGGTTGTGATGATGGCGGGTATAATAAGAGTAGTGGTGGTGGTGGTGGTGTTGTTGTTGTTGTTGTTGTTGTTGTTGTTGTCCTGATAGCATCATATGAAGGTACGAATCATCTTGATCATTTAATAAAGATGCAATGTCCAATATCGAGGGTCTCGCTTGCTTCTGTTGAGGCTGATGGATCTGAGCTTGCGATTGAGGTTGAGAATCAATAAGCAGACTACGAACAGAAAGCATTTTCAAGTAAATATAACTAAGCGAAAAGAAAGAGAAAGAAAAAGCTAGTTGAAAGATGTGGCCATATAAATAGCTTGTTCCCAAGGTGTATCACTTTATTGATTCAGCAATTAATCTTATTCAACATGTCCGCAGATACTAAATAGAAAAAGCAGACCACTTTAAATTAAGATAATACGATGTGGCATCTTGATGCTCGGCTAGTGGAGATTGACATAAAACTTTATCAGAAACTTGGTTTTATGTTCTTTTTTTCTTCAAATGTAAGCATTTTCTACGCCGTTTCGGAAGCGTGGCCGAAAGAAAGCTTGACAATGAAGAATGTATTCCGAACTAAGAGACTTTTTTTCTTTTTGCATTTGAGATGCTTCTATCATTATAAATCATGAAATCATGGTTTTAAAAGATCAGTAATACTGAAAACTTGCATAGCATCAATGTGTTGATTTTTGTACGACAGATAAAAGGTTCATTTAGATAAAGCATCAGCAGCACAGTTGGATCCATTTCGTTTTTCACATCATCATTGATAAGTCTAGTTGGACATCAGAGCTTATTATTGGGCCTTCAATGATGTTTCTAACGGTAACCGGAACTGATAGGCCTATTTCATTACTCTGTTTGTAAATTGTCTCATCATGCCATTATGAAGGTCTTTTCAAAGATGGAATCTTTCCATGTTAAAGTTGATCGAGTGAGGAAGAGGCGGGATAGCTTTCGTTTGTGAATTCGTCTTTCTCTCAGGAAATGACTAATTTTAACATTACCAAGCCCTTCAAGTGAGCAAATGCATTGCGAATTTGTGTTGGGATTTAGACTTTCTGCCTCAAAGAACACTGTGGGTTTCTCGAAGCAATGCTACGCTGAAATTACTCATAAAAAAGTTGCATGCGGCATATACACAAGACTCTAGACTCCATATCGCTGGCATGATGGACATTCATGCTAATTCCTCTTTATAGTCTTCAAGCTTGTTGAAAAAGATGCCATCTCTTCTATCGGTTCCTTCCAATCCTACATTCACAAGAACCATAGCGACATACTTGATTCAATAAGAGCTACATTTGATGCATTTTGTATCTAACTGTTTCTATTATAAATTGATATTCCAATTGAATAGGTAAATAACATTGAGTGTTTGTGCAATATGTTCCTTGATTCCAATTGATTTTTTATTCTTTTTCTATAATCTCTACTTTAGGCGCTATCTTCGTAACCACTGACGGGAGTGCGAGCACGGTTGGGAACTATCAATTCCAACGTTGATCAATTTTTGGATCACAACTATCATTTACTGCCACAATAAACTTACGAGGATATGAAATGGGAAGAGGTTCATTACCCTTGAAGCCGAGATATTCACGTCTGAACTTGGGAACTGTGAGAACCATGACAGGACCTAAATGCGGGGGGTTGATGTGAGTTAATTTTACAATTGTTGCATACTACATATGCTTCAGCGGATTTTTACCGGTTGTTCCAAGAACAAAGGACCAAAAGATAACAGGTCTTTCGATAGCAAAACGATTTAAAGCTCTGAACATGTTGATGATTTACAGAAAAAAAAAAGAGAGTGGGGAGTGTGGATTGATCAAGAGTCAAGAAATGAAAACTATTTTGTTTTTCCTTTTGGTACCTGCCCAGATGGAAGACAGATTCAACATCCTTTGCCGTTGATGACGTCTCTGAATCCTCACAAATAGTCAGCATGACAGTTCGTCTATTTGATTATAGTTACATTTCGAGTCTTCGTATGTGAACAAAAGTGTTTTTAAACTTGAGAAACTCTAGTATAGCAATCAGATTTTTTTTTGGTCTTGATATACTTGGCTAACTCACTTGAAAATGTTCTTTACAATCGAGTCAATTTGAAGGCTCATCCCAACATTTAAAGCCAACTATTTGCCTTTACTGGGAATCATCCCATTTAGGCAACATTGAGGCCCTTTGATCTTTGTATATTAAACTGTTTTTCTGTAGAATTCAAAAGCTTGTAGGCACCAGTATGAAACAACAGCTGTTTTGCCATATCTCAATATGCTACACTGAGGCTCTCGCTTGAAAATCATATGTAATCTTCTTGAGTAGATTGACAATTTGGTATTTCGCATCAAGGTCCGCATGTGGACGAGCAATTCGCAACGATTGAAATAGTCATATATGAAATTGTATAGCAAAATCAATTGAAGCTATATAAACCAAACTGCATTAGTATTTAAATTGCAATTTTCTTCTGTTCCCTATTCATTAGAAACACAAACAATGAGTAGTTTCATTATGAGCATTATGTCCAGCCAGCCAGCACTCATATATATTTAAACTCAGAATACAAATTTACTTTTTAAGATTGGCCAGTTTTGATTAATTGTCGACTTGATCGATTTATTTTGCTAGATTCGACTATAGAAGTCTAGATAATCATCCCATACTTCCTAATGCATTTTTGGAGTACTTTTCACGGCGCATCTGATGGTGCTAAATACAGGAAAAATTTCTAACAATCCTATTGAAAAATATTGGAAAATATGAAATAAGGTTTTTGCCCAAAATGTCGAGATTTCGCAAATCAATGTCTCGTAAACTTGTTTTTTAGGGGGTTGCTTTGGATCGAGAGAAACATTTTGATTTAAGATATACCATAGCAAAAGTCTTCATTTTGGAGGTCAAAAACACGATCATTTGATTTTTGATGAAAACCACGAGGGATACCTCATGGTTTGGAGTCGATTTTCGACGATCCCAAAAAATTGAGCAAAGGTCACAGACAGTTACTGCTGGATGATAGAAATTGTTTGGTGCAGGCTAAAACAGCTTTTGACGCGAGAAAACGCGGCTCAATGCATCTAAATTTTGCTGTGTCTTACATACTTTTAGGTAGTAAACGACATCGCTAGTATGGTGTCTGCCCTTAGATGAAATTTTCTCGTTGGAACAGACGTGGAGCATCCCTAAAGAGTCAGATTTGCAATGACAGGCGAGCTAGGGCGGGTTCTCGCATTAAAATAGAGAGTTGAAAAGTTGTATACTGGCATATTTCAGTAAGATATAGCAATTGCATCTGTATTTACCAGAAATCATCAGTTCTTTTGTTGAATCTGGATACTACCATCTGATCAAGGCAAATGCCTGTTGAAAGCTCTTTATGCACCTTTTTAAACAAAAAGCTTATATAGAATGATGCTTTAAGTTACCTGATAAAATCAAGCATCTACCATAAATTTAGACGATTTTGCTTCAAAATGGTTCGCAACACTTTGAACTGTATCTCGTCGACTGCATGTCATTAAACGAGTTTACTGCTGCCTACATAAAAATTCGAGCAACTGACTGCTGTAGCAAACTCAAGGTTAAATGCTTGGCTTGTGGATGCGCAACTGCTATGATGACTTGATCGCATAGACAGGGTTTTATCACCTCTGAAACTACTCCAGGCCACCAATGCGAATGTAGCTACGAACATTTGTTTGAAACGCCGGTGAATGTAGTGTAGACGCCCAGTCTTTTCCCATTATCGCTCTGGCATTTTCTTTATTACAAACGAATAGACACGACGCAACATGATAGACAAAGTAACAGAAGAGTCATCCAATGCTTCCAATACAGCGACTGAAGAAAATACAGTGACAACCATACCCAAAGCATTACCTGACCCAAATTGGTCCGTCTTGGATACGTTCAACGTGCACGACGACACTGAATTATTTGAAGAAGCTTTGATTCCTCCCGAAAACTTCAACATGGTGTGTGAGCATGTGTATCGATCATCGTTTCCCAAGAAGAAGCATTACAAATTTCTAGAAAAGCTAAAATTGAAAAGCGTGCTGTAAGGTTTACATGTAGAGCCGTGCCAATGTGAAAACCTCTATCTCACAATTATTATTAGAACACTCATTCTGGAAGAGTATCCAGAGCAAAATATGAAGTTTTTAGAAGAGCAGAATATACAATTCTTGCAGTTTGGTATAGCAGGAAACAAGGTAGTATATAGAGATGCGAATACAACACGATTGAATAACTCACTGTGATGTAGGAGCCATTTGTGCAAAGTAATTTAAGAGTAGAGTGGTCAGCATGTCATCTTATTCACATTTGATTTCCCATAGTTCCAGAAGACAAGATCAGTGCAGCATTAGCAGCACTACTAGATAAACGAAACCACCCCATCTTGATTCACTGCAACAAGGGAAAGGTACAATCTACGTGGCTTGCAAGTAGACGACATGTCTAGTTAACATTTGCCCCACTATAGCATAGAACTGGTTGCTTAATAGGATGTCTAAGGAAGATCCAGAACTGGAGTCACACATCTATATTCGATGAGTACAGAAGATTCTCTCACCCAAAGTCGAGATCAATGGATCAACAGTTTATAGAACTCTATGACGCAAAGCAGGTTTGGCCCTTAGTCGATAGAAGATATCTGCCCAATTGGCCAACTTTAGCAGACCCTTTCTACTAACATCCCTCCATTGAATAACCGCTACATGGGCAAATGACTTTGTTTTTTTCAAGAGACAATGAAAATTATTCTACATTTAAAATGAGCTCTTTACATTACATCTTGTTTTCTCTTTTTTCTCTGAATAAACACTCACAGAAAATGTTGAATCCAAATGCTCAAGGTAATCTATCTGCTGTACCAGAAAAATGACTTGGATAGCCATCTTTCTGGGTCCAATTTGCCAATTTAAAGTTTACCAAATGTTCATGTGTATCCCATAGCAAAACCCTTCAAGATTGCTGTGCCTTCCCATGAAAGCAGTGATGAAGACGACGTTCCACTAGCCCAACGCAATCGCACTGCAGCACCCTCGAAACCCGCACCCATGAATCAGGAGAGCAGTGATGATGAGGACGACAAACCTCTCTCTCAAAAAGTGGAGTGTAAAAAGCGCGTTGGTGAAACTAAAGCAGACCAGAATAGCGATGACGATGTCCCATTGTCCAAGCGAGTTGCGCTCAATGCTCGCAAGCCAGCCTCCTCGTCAGCCACTAAACCCATCAAGCAAGAGATTAAGAGTGATAGCGACGATGAAGTGCCTCTGGTAAGGGAACAACAACATTTTCAATTATAGAAGTATTTAATTAAATTTTTGCGCAATACAGGCCCAGAAAAAGGTAGCATTAAAAAAGGTTAAAGCCGAGCCAATGGATGTAGACAGACTTAGTAGAAAACGTCCAGCAGATACCAAAGCAACGCCAGTAAAGCGCGAGAAGAAGGTGAAGAAAGATGCTGAAGATCCTGATTTCTACAAATGGTGGGAGGAGGAGCAAACTACTGAAATCGAATCTGATGACTCTGTAAAATGGACTACGCTTCAACATAGCGGTGTCATGTTTCCTCCAGAGTATGTTCCTCATGGTGTCAAGATGAAGTACGATGGTCAGCCTATCACACTGAGTCCTGAAGCTGAAGAAGTCGCTTCTTTCTTTGCTGCCTTGTTGGAAACAGAGCATGGCCAAAACCCTGTATTTCAAAAGAATTTCTTTGAAGATTGGCAAGAAGTGTTGAAGAAGGATCCCAAGGTAAATAGTGATTGATTAGCGTTGTGTAAGGATGATGAATCATGACATTGGGTGGCTTTATAGAACCCTAAAATCAAGGAATTCAGCAAGTGTGATTTCAGGCCTATCTGGAACAAGTTTGAACAAGACAAGGAAAAGAAAAAGGCAATGACCAAGGAAGAAAAGCTCGTAAGCACAAGCAGTTTTATTGCTTGAATCATGGTATTAATAGCGTGTGTTTGCATGACAATTGTAGAAAGCCAAGGAGGAGAAGACAAAAGCTGAAGAGCCTTATCTTTATGCTCTTGTCGATGGTCGCAAGGAAAAGGTCGGTAATTTCAGAATCGAGCCTCCAGGCTTGTTCCGTGGCAGAGGCAGCCATCCCAAGACGGGTAGACTCAAGAAGCGTGTCCAGCCTGAGCAAGTGACTCTCAATTTGGGTGTCGATGCAAAGATTCCTGAGCCTCCCAAGGGCCACAAATGGGCTTCTGTTGTTCACGATCAAACTGCCACGTGGCTAGCTACCTGGAAGGAGAATGTCAATGGTGCCATCAAGTACGTCTTCTTGGCTGCTACTTCAACTTGGAAAGGTCAAAGTGATATGCAAAAGTTTGAAAAAGCGAGAGAGCTGAAGGTAATCACTATTGATATGCAATTTTCAGTGTTACTCAACAATTCCTATAGAAACATGTTGCAAAGATCCGTAGCGATTACAATAGAGATTTGAAGGATAAGTTGAGTGAAGTCCGTCAACGTGCCACTGCCATGTACTTGATTGATAGACTTGCCCTGAGAGCTGGTAACGAAAAGGGTGAAGATGAAGCTGATACTGTTGGTTGTTGTTCTCTTCGCTACGAACATATTACATTGGAGCCTGACAATATTTTGCACTTTGATTTTTTGGGTAAAGATTCCATTCGATACCAGAACTCTGTTCAGGTGGAACCTCAAGTGTACAAGAACATCAAGATCTTCAAGAAGCAAGTGGGAGAGGGACAAATGATCTTTGATCGATTGACAACTGCTGGCCTCAACAAGCATCTGAATAGCTACATGAAGGGCCTCTCTGCCAAGGTGTTCCGTACCTATAACGCATCCATCACCTTCCAGCAACAAGTGGATGAGCTCACCAAACCCGATGACTCAGTCGCTGATAAACTTTTATCATACAACCGTGCTAATCGTCAAGTGGCTGTCTTATGTAACCATCAGAAATCCGCATCCAAAACACATGACCAGATGATTTCCAAGATTGGTGATCGTATTCGAGCGCTCAAATATCAACGCATGAAGCTTCGAAAGCAGTTGTACGCCTTGGATCCTAAAATGAAGAAGAAGCCCGAATACGCAGAGATAGAATCTGATCTTGAAGACGAATGGATTGTGGAACATGAGAAGAATTTGGTGGAGAAGGAAAAGGAAAAGATCAAATCAAAGTTTGAAAAGCAAAACGACAAGCTGATTGCAGAGAAACAGCCTCGTATGCCTCAATCTGAACTAAAAGAAAAATTGAAGGCTGCTACTGAACTCCAAGATCGCTTGAAGAAAGAACGTAAACTAGCAAAGATTGAACCAAGAGCAAGCATGACTGTAGAAAAGTTGATTGCTGCTATCCAAAAGATTGATGAACGCATTGCAGCTACAAAGAACCAAGCAACGGATAAAGAGGAGAATAAGGAAATTGCATTGGGCACTTCTAAATTGAATTACATTGACCCTCGCATCACTGTTGCTTGGTGTAGAAAGCATGATGTCCCTCAGGAGAAGGTATTTAGTAAAACCTTGTTGGAGAAGTTTAGATGGGCACAAACGATTCCTGATGACTGGGTAAGTTGGTGTAAGGACTGTATGTTGACCCTGTTGTGCTGATAACTCTTGATAGAAATTTTAATTACGAGGATCAAGAACAAGACATACCTGAATCTTCCACTATATAACAAACAATTTATTCACATATATTCGCACATTTAACATTAGTATGATCACTTCTGGCAATAAAACTTGTTTTTAGTAATTGGCGTGAAATAGAGAAATGATACGCAGATCACTGTAAATGTGGTTTAGATTGACTTTTTATGCTTCGATCTCCATTTGACATTAACATATCGCCAAAAACTCGATTTTGGGCCGAAACGGGCGAGTGTAACACTTTCTTGAAATGGGCATCAACTCCTCATACGGGCCGAAATAAATGTAATTTTTATTGCTGTTGTACCTAGAATCCAATGATCTCGATGGAACGGTATTAAGCTATACGAAATGACTATAAATACAATGTACATTGATCTTGAGAGCAGATACACTTTCTCTTTCTCTCTCTCTATTTTTTTCTTCATATTTTAAGCTATCGTTGTTGTTTCTCTCTTCATTGTATATATTTACCTTTTTCTTCTTTCTTTTTGCTTTAAATCGTTTATTCATCTAATTTAAAATGTTGGTCGACTCGAGCCCTACAGACAGCAGCAGTACCAATAGCAACTACAGCATTTCTTCCTGTGCAAATGATATACCCTCTACTATAATTTGGAAACAAACCAAAAAGTCAATCACTCTGCAGATCAATATCGTAAGGCTGTCCTTTCTTGCGTACATGTGCCGGCAATGATTAACAGCTCATTTGTTATATAGAACCATGTATGCATTACCTTGACTGAAAGGTACCTCAAACTCTCCAACAGATCAAAGACAATTACGTTACCACTGTACGGCAATATCTATCTTGAACAGGTAACCATCGTGTACGCTATAAACAGACTGCGCATGGCATGCTCATATTAACTGGTAGTGTCACGTCCAGCAGATGGTCGATATCAACAAGCCTTACGAACACAGCAGCTCTCTATTTCAGAGCAATGCCATTGAGTTAACATTAGAAAAGGAATGTTTCGACTTATGGCCGCATCTACTGATGCAGCAGACAGATCAAGAAGTTGAATTCTACCTGCTTGAAGCCAATTTTCTGGTCCATATATACTATCAGCAAAACGAACCAGCTTCTCCGTCCCTACTAGAACCTGATACCTACGATATATTGGATTTCGAAACGGTGATTAATGGCCAAGGTGAAAAAACTGGTCTTGAATAACACGGACTTGACGGACCGATTTACCATGTTTGGTAAAATCTATTCTCTCTCTCTCTCTCTACTTTGCTCATGACACACCACTACTTCCTGTTGATCTTTCGTTGCTATTATATGTATGTTTGAATAAAATTAGTTTTTATACACAGTAAATTGTTTAGTAAGCAAGCAGCGAGCAGTCTGAATTTGATGGTAAAATCAAGAGCGTGGCATCAAGGTTAGAGCGATAATGAAAGCTAAAGGACAATCAAATGCCCCTTCAGCGCCTCTGCTTATATGATTCGACTAAAAGGGGGCTATTTTGCTCATAGAATGGTATATACAAAACGTTTTTCTTTTAATTTAATGGCGATAACTAGTCTTTCTCCATTCTGGAGCATTCGGATTTAAACCCTTTTTTGGGGATGTAATATGATGATGATAATAGTGTTGAGATGAAGGAAGGGGACTATGGTATTGAGGAGAACCTACTCTGGTAGCAGGGGGAGACGCAAAAACAGAAGACGGATCTTGTTTGTAGTGGCTGTTATGGCATGTTTGGCTTGAAGGTATCTTGACTCTACAATGTGTGATTTCGCCATTCATGCTGGTTGTATCAAAGATAAGGTAGCCATCTTCCTCTCTATAAGCCTCTTTTTCCGTTACTTGCTCCTTCTTCTTCTCTGATGCTGCTGTGGGTGTGGATGCATGTCTTGTTGCTTGTCTTTGGCATGGCTGCTGCTGTTTCTCTGTGAGTAGTTTGATTCTTTGTTGATAGTAAGCTTCCTTTTCCTTTGTCTCGATTTGAAGCTGATTGTACTTTTCCAGTAAGGAGTGGTAAAGGTCCATATAGTTACTATCATCGATAACGACGCCATCATGTGGGTGATTTGCTGGATCATGCTGTTGCTTTTGTTGATGCTGCTGTTGCTGCATGATTTCCTGCCCGTGTTGATCTGGTTTCATTGGCTGCAACATGTTGTTTTTATTCTTCTCCAATACCTGTAGCCGATGTTCAAACCGTCTTTCAGACTCTTCCAACGCAAATAGCCTCAACTCCAAGCTGTCGTATTTCTCCTGTTTGGACCAAAGATGATCGAGTGATGTAGAGGCAGTTGGCTGAGGGGGAGAAGGCTTCTTTATAGTAGTGCAATTTAATTAAAATGTACATGTAATATTTGCACCCAATATATGTATCTACTTACTTGGTGCTGCATAAAAGGCGATGAAGCTATTGATGATGATATGATGCTATCGTCATCCTCCTCCTCCTCTACCTTTTCTTGCTGTGCTTGTTGTTGCTGTTGCTGTTGTTGAGGTAAATGATTCAAAAAGGCGGATGGAGAGGAAGAAGAGGATGGCTTTTCAATGAACCGAACGATGGCTGGATCAACAAACATAGTAGATGGTAATGTGTGTCTTCTAAAAAAGATTACACAAGTGTCAGTTGAATACAAATTTTGTGTAGCAGTCTACTAGTATAAGCTACTGCTGCTGCTGCTGCTGCTGCACTCACCTTATCGATAAAGGGTCTTCCATGGCGTAGATGAGAAAAGAGGGAATAAAGAAAAAGCGAAAGAAAAACAGAAAAAAAAAACTAAGCAGATCCTTATTTAATTGTATAGCATTGGCATTATGCATTTCCAAAATGATACTATGATCTATAAAATAGCAAACACGATTCGCCCCTTCCTTGTTTTTTCCCCCCCCCCTTGATTACCTCCTCATTTCAATACCTTTAACCAATTGCATCGTCTTGATTCAACGCATTTTGGATATTCAAAACCTTGCCAAAGCAAGACATGAGATCAGAAAAAGCCCATTCTTTTTTTTTTTTTTTTTTTTTTTTTTTTTTTTTTGCGAGTCAGCCACATTACCAGCAGTAGTGTCACCCTTCTCATCCCATCTTGGATGCATGCCTCTCAAGCACTTTTGGGTGGATATCTCGCAGCAAAACAATGCCTTTTCAGCCCTGAATAGCATTGCTGTTTATGGACTATAAGTTATTCTTTTTTGCGTTCTCCATGGCAAGCTCCCTTTCTCTGGAAGAAGCACTCTGTGTGACAATTGACTTTCAGGTGCTGTTGATTAAATTTACCCCTCAATTCTATTTGGGTAACTAATTACAATTTAAACTTGCCTCTCTTTCTCTATTAAGTCTCTTTTTTATCTTTTACTGCAGCTACCCACTCTTGACGAAGAAATCAAGCATGTCCATGTTTCTTTCCAAGTTTCTCTCTGGGAGAAATGTGGCCAAAACCAAACTAGAGCTGTTGGCAGAAGCCTGGACCAACATTCAAAAGTACTATGAAACAGCTGCTGGTAAATACAAATAGATTTGCTTAAGGGTGGTCTGCTCAACTAACCTCTTGGAAAAACTAGATCCCTTGAAAGATGCTGTGGATCTCACACCGATTCCATGCAGCTTGCAGAACATTGTCAAGTTAATCCAGGCAGAGGAAGTGGAGCACCAGCGAGCAAGTGGCAGTCTAGAGACTGGACCTTGTTTAGAGTATCTGTTACAAAAGCGCGTGTTGGAGGAATTGGCTGAATTTGCCAAAGTGGATGTAAGCCAACAAAAAGTCAAACCACTGCAAAAATAGCTCACCGTGTTGATTAGACACCGTATGGCATGCGAGTCCATTGTTTACGGTTTTTTTGCAGTCTAGTTACCAATGTTCATGCCCAACTACTACCTGAAAGAGCTGTTCATGTGCCGCTTCAAAAGTTAATCAGTTCATCGCATCGACTCATTAACCGCCATTACGAGGAATTAGCAAACGAGATGGAGCCCTGTTCAGAGGAGCGACTACTAGCTATCTCTGAATTGTCGCTCGAGCTGGTCAAGCTGATGCATGGCATTTTCTCGCATTTCAAAGGAGCTAATGCTGCATTGATGGATCTGTTCTTTGAAAGAGGCTGGTGTAGATCCAGAGGTGAGAATGTGTGGCGATGCTCCAAGGACGGAAAAACCCTGCACAAGCGACGAGAGAGCGTGGAGGAAAAGATTGCGTGGGATGTGTTTCTGACGGTGAGTAGCATCTGTTGGAAGGAAAAAGCACGGTGTTCATTTTTGATGTGTATGTAGCCTCGTTTTGATATGTTTCAGTATCTGCTTGATTTCATGAACATGCCAGGTGAAACTGGTGAAATTGCAAGGGAAGCCATCCTATTTGCTCTAAGATTGTTAGAAGGCGATCCTGAATATGTATGCTACATTGTGGAATACTCCAACTTATGTGAAGTCATGGTAAGTTGCTGCTTATGCTGCTGCATACGCTTTATTTCCAATGACCAATCTCTGTGTGTAGGCTGAACGATTAGCTCTGTTTTTCGCTCATCTGCCCAAGAACGCAGGCGCATTCACCATCTCCAGCAACAATCGCATCCAGTCAGTCAGACCATCACGACGACACATTCGATTCTCTATACCAGCTATGATAACCAACAACAGCCTCATCATCACAGTCAATGCACAGAGCAGCTTTAAAAAGAAGCGCAGAAAGAGAAGCCCCTTTGATATCAACTTTGTACGCACACTGGACTCGACGCACGACGGCGAACGAGTGATTGACGACTTTTACAGCTTCTGGGAGTATTTGAATGATGTGGCTCGCGTGGCAGAAAAGAGATTGATGACTGCACTGATGGCACAACTGACAACGAGCTTCTGGCATCCTGTTATTTGCACTGCACTGAGCTCTCCTTCTGCGGAGACAGCCACAGCAGCCATCGCCTACACTACTGAAATGATCCGCTCCTTGACAGACCAGCGTTTGTTGCATGTGTTTTTGGTGGTGTTGCTGGGAGAAGACAGTGGCATTGGGAAAGACATTGAGCCTGAAGTCAAGACACACATTCCTATACAGGACCTGATTGACGATGATCGAGACGATGAATCCAATGCGTCCATGCAGACTGCAAGCGACGATGATACAACCAAGATGTCTGATGAGGCAGCAGATGCCACGCGCAACTCGTTGGATGCAGACGAAGGACTGACGCTGAGACTGTTGCTGATCAATCGTATTGACGCAGATAACCATGAACTGGCACTGGCATCGCTTCGTTTATTCGACACCATTATGGAGACATACAATCAGTTTGCCATATACAACCTCGTTTTACGCAACTATCTCGACATTTCGCCAGAAGGAGAATACATTGAAGACGAGACACGCGATGTGACAGATACATCCTCGCTCGGATCCAAGATTGTGGACGACAAGGGAAGCGTCACTACAGTGGAAGAGCCCAAGGTAGATGATCTTGCTGTGGGTGATAGAGATGGGGTAGCCAAAAAGGACATCAAGACTGAGAAAGTGCGATGGCTTGTAGAGAGGTAGGTGTCTACATCATATGAGCAGTGTTATAGATATTGATATCCTTATGTAGAGTGCTATCATTACTGCCATTGGAGGATGAGTTGGAGCGAATGAAGACACCACACTTATCGTCCGTCATACCATCCGATTCGTTTGCATCTACCGTAAATGGGCAACAGCAACATCACCACCACCACCAACAGGATATCAATCCTTATGCAGTTGTGCCTGGCAACAGTTACGACGACTATTTCCACGAAGCACAAGAGAGATTCCACTATGCTCTGCTGGCTAAAAACTTTTGGCATACACCTTATCCACCCGTGAAAACGCGCAAAGACTTTGAGCGTGAAGCAGAGGACAGACATGGACGTCCCATGAGACCCATACACAGAGACGCGCCGCCTACTGAAGCCACTGCTGGAACAGATGTCGCTGCAGATCAAGCAAGCATCACCAGCACAACCACAACAAACACGTCCAAAAAATCAGAGTCCTATGAAGGCTTGTTCCTCAGTCGTATCTTTGATCAATTCCACCGCATGCTTGAATTGCCTATGGAGCAAAATCTGTTAGTCACCAGTATCCTACAAAAGATTGCAGGCGTCGTGGATAAGCGCATGGATGGCGTTATTTGCGATTGGCGTGCTGTGCGTGTGGGCGTGGATGGCGCTCTCTATGGCGGTGTATGGGCACTGCCTAGCGCCAAAAGCAACCGTCGCAGCCTGTATGCCTTGTTGGAGCAAGTGACATTTGAAGCACTCAAGAGAGCGCAACTGGTACCCAACTTTGAGACGCGTATTTCGATAGCCAAGAAGAGAGGCATACTACCAGGTGGAAACGGCTTTCCTCAACCACACAGCAGCGCATCGCATACTACGGAACATCAACAACGTTCACAGACAAGAAGGGACAATCTTTATCACAGCATGAATCATCATCATCACCATCACCATCATTCACAGCATAACAACAACAACAACAACAACAACAACACTATTGCCTCGCCGCGTACCAGTGAAAACATGGCTCGCAATCATCCCAACCTGACAAAACTGGTATTCAACAAGGGCTCCACCTCAACACTGATGCCTTCTTCTCCGCGCAGTCCATCATCGCCTGTAGCCACAAAATCAGCAGGCCTACTGCCCTTACGGATCACACGCGACATGGGCATCGGTGGAGGCGTAGGAAGTAGTGGTGGTGGAGCAGGCTCACCAAATGGACCCAGCTCACCGTCTGCTGCCTTTTTCCAAAACCCACAACGGTCCAATGCCACACCAGTGACAGTGACCAACCCCTACGCCAAACTATCCAACTTTGTGAATTCATACATTGTGCTGCAAGAGTTTTGCAAAGAGCTCGCTGCTGTGATCCTCGTGCGACATGCAACCAACTACAACGAGATTGGGTTTGTCAGATACCAGGAACAGCGCGAAATGATGATGATTGATCCAGGCCTCAACATGCTGAACCCTCACTTGATGAACAACAAAGATTGGATGTTGGATGACGTGGTGGATGAAGATGAAGACTACAAGCAAAAGAACTTTGATAAATGGAAGAACCGCATTTCTGTCGTGTCTACCATTGCAGACTGGAGAAGTGTTCGCAGCATGGACACAATTGATGAAGCCATTACGGCAAGAGTGCCTTCCAGAACCACAGGTTCCACAGATGAAATCAAGGGCTAGTAGGATTTTCTATGTATTATTTATGAATAAAAAAAAATCACTTCAAACTAAAACAGAGCAGTGGATATCAATACACCAGCTGCGACACCCACATTCAGGCTATCGACGGATCCATTGAACGAGGCATCTTCACCAATAGCACTAGGAATACTTACAAAGGCGTTGCAGCCGTTCTTGACATTAGTACGAAGTCCTGTGCCTTCGTTGCCCAGCACTAAAATGACGGGCTTTTGGCTGGTGTTCTCTCGGAATTGAGACAGATTCATTGACGGACTAGCATCGCCAGCTGCTCCAATGATTTCCCAGCCATTGGCATGCGATTCTTTCAATAGCTTGACGAGATTGGGTGTGGAATAAATATCCATTATTTCAACGGCACCAGAGCTCACTTTAGATACAGCAGGACTCAAGGGAGCACTGTTTTTGCTGCATAACAAGACACCATCGACACCAAAAAAATAGGCTGTTCTCATGATGGATCCAAGGTTCTATCAGAATCATGGCATTCAGTTTTAGACGTTTTTGCAACCTGATATCTCGATGACTTACTTGAGGATCTTGCACTTCATCCAATGCAATCCAAAAAGGCTTCCTGGATGTAGGCGCCTTGAATTTCATGCTGGCTAACGCAGAGGTGCTGCTGTTCTTTTCTCTGTCTTGTTCACTACCTCTTTTATTGATTCTGGGTAATGCTGCATAAGAGCCAGACTCATTGGGTGCAGATAGCACACTGATTTCAATCGGGTTCCTTGGTGAAGCCTTCAGCACTACACCTTGATGCGGCTTATTATCTGTCAGATTGTTGAGTCGTCCTTTATCAACAGCCATGGCATGTATGTTGTTGGCTTTGGCTATGCTAAGGATCTCGGATATCAGTGAAGCATCCTTCTTTTGTGTCGTCTTCTTTTCATCTGTCTCCTGAATGTATACTGTGTCTAATGTCTGTCGCTTTTTAGCTTTCAACGCAGACAATACACTGGAGACGCCATAGACATGATCCCATGGATTGCTAATGGCATCATAAGAAGATGCAGGTTTCGATTTGATGTTGCCAGTGTAAGGCTTGCGATAGCCAACAGAGGAGAAGCTACGAGCTGTCAATTGAAAGGTTTTCGCTATGCGGGTTGACATGGTTACTGGTATAAAGGCGGGGATGACATTTTGATGTGTGCACCCAAGAATGAGAGGTTTTACTCTCTCTCTCTCTCTCTCCTCTGACTAGTCACATTCAACAATGGTTTCTGATCATTCTAGCGAGTTTAAAGATCACTTCTTTCATCAATAACACGATACAGGGTCATGAAAAAAAAAACGCAATGAAAAAAGCGCCCACATCCATCATTTAGCGCCAAAAACTGTGATTTCAAACGTTGTTTATGAGCCCAAAAATTGTTTCTAGGGCTTGGGAGTTAGCGCAGTCGTCATTTCTCATCAAGTAGCATCTACTAAAGCAGTTTTCTCAATTTTTTTGTCCACTTGCAAAATCATCACTTTTCATTGATTTTGGATGAGGGTATACTCATGAAAAAATGACGAATTTCAAACGATCGTGATTTTGACCTAAAAAACGACGACTTTTACTAAGGTAACATTAGTTCAAAATGATCCTTAGAGTGCACTCTTCCATCTGAAACCATAAAATTTTGGATTGACTATACAAAAACAAGACTTTTGGTCAAAAAACTGTAATACGGTTTTTGGGATTGCGCTCGCTGGGAAATGCAGCTATCAATCTCAAATTAATTCTATCGAAACAAGCGTCCTTTTCTCCATGTGCAAACTTAGAGAATGTGAGCTAGTTGCATTACAACATTGGGCAGAAATTTAGAAAAAAACCTTTTTGGGATCTTCAGGATGGCTCCAAATCTGCCATGGAGAAATCATAAAATTGAAAGTCCGTGGCTCACTGCAAAATGTGTTTGATGCAGTGCGACAATTGAACGTTTTTTTGCTTGAGCTTCTTTCTATTCAAGGGCCAGTTCATCACTGCTGTTTGATTGATGCAAGCGCTCGGAACCAGGTGAGTCTTCTCGGAAGAAGAGGTTACTATTGACAATATCAACTGGAATGGCCAGGTACTCCACTGCATCTTTTAAACATGCTTCAAATATGACTTCGAGCTTCTTCAGACAAAAGGCAATATCGAAAAGAAAATTATTAGTTAGCGTGAATGTGGTCTTCATCAGTTGTCTTTTGGATGCCAAGTCGGATACTATTCAGCACAGTGGTGGGAGCTAAGGAAATTTGATTGATTGAAGAGAAGACGATAGTGGGCCTTCCAAATGCCAACCATCGCAATGATGACTATGTGATGGGAAAAGGGATAAGGTCGAGCTGCAGCAACCTGTTTCTACAAGCGCTAAACAGAGGTTCTTCAATTGCAAGTTGGCAATTGCCTTCGAAATAATATCAAACACATCCTTTGCTTGGTAAGAATTAAGAATCTGTGCTGAGTGGCCAGTGAATGTCACAGCAGCAGATACTACCAAAAATGTATGGAAACCCCCGGCTCTCTAACCCTAATTTTCTGCTTTTTTTTTTTTTTTTTTTTTCTTCTCCACAAAAAAAAAAGGTCTACAGAATGCTCAGATACATTACAGCGACATTAAAGAAGCCAGTATCTACCACATTCAAATGTAATTCTGTAATTAGACCCATCAAGAAGACACCTTGTCAATTTAGAACATATGCTACAGGTAAAAAGAAAGAGAGAAGATCCATCATCGAGCTACTGTCAAACTGAATCACCTTTGTTGCCATCAGATAGTAAGGATTTCACTATACCAAAAACTAGAAATATAGGCATTATTGCACATATCGATGCAGGTTTGTCATTTATAAACCACATGCAACTTCATGGTATTGACGTCAAACAGGCAAAACAACCACCTCTGAACGTATGCTATATTATGCAGGTGTGACAAAACGCATTGGAGGTATATTTCATGGGATAGCTTGACACATACACATACACACATGTATAGCTCTGTCACTGACACAACAGCCTAGATATCGATGACGGAGATACCGTTATGGATTACCTTGCGGCCGAACGAGAACGGGGCATCACCATCAACAGTGCAGCCATCACATTTGGATGGCAAGGACACCGCATCAACTTGATCGATACGCCCGGCCATGTGGATTTCACCATGGAAGTGGAAAGAGCTGTGCGCGTGCTGGATGGAGCAGTAACCATTCTAGACGGTGTAGCTGGTGTGGAAGCGCAAACAGAGACAGTGTGGAAACAAGCTGATCGATATGAAATCCCTCGTATTGCGTTTGTCAATAAATTAGATAGAACAGGCGCTGCGTTTGGAAGAACCGTACGAGAAATGTGGAAAAAGCTACGCACTCGACCATTGGTAGTGCAGTTGCCTGTCATGAATGAAGAGAGCATGGATGAAAGACACAAGGGTTTGAAAGCGGTGGTGGATTTGGTCACGATGGAGATGATTCAATGGGATGAAGCACATGCAGATGGATCCGTGCTCAAGAGAATACCCTTGGAAGCGGCGACTACAGATCGTGCCTTGTTGGAGGAGGCTGTCAAAGGACGTACTGCTTTGGTAGAAGCATTGGCAGAGATGGATGACGCTATTGTAGAGACATTTTTTGATGAAGCAGATGGAGACCATATGCGTGTAAATGCTGAGGCAGTGAAGGCAGCTATTAGAAGAGTCACTGTGGCGAACAAGGCCGTGCCTGTACTGTGCGGCGCTGCTTTCAAGAACTTGGGCGTACAGCCTTTGTTGAATGCTGTGATTGATTACCTGCCAAGTCCATTAGATAGACCCTCTGCCATGGTTACTTACAGCAGCGGTAAAACTGCATTGATACCCTTAAACGACAGCCATCTGTGTGCATTGGCATTCAAAGTAGTGCATGACGCCAAAAGAGGGCCCATGGTGTATGTCAAAGTATACTCAGGTACAGTGATGTGTGTCTTTACGAGAACTTACTCCTGACGCTTTACCCACAGGCAAAATCAACACGCGAATGACATTGTTCAACACCACCACTCGAGGCAAGGAGCGAGTCAACAAACTACTTCAAATGTATGCAAAAGATGTCGAGGAGATCCCATCCATTGGTGCAGGCAATATTGGCGTCATTGTAGGACTCAAAGACACACGCACTGGCGATACACTTGTACAATCCAACGACACCAATGCCATTAAAAAGGGATTGCAATTAGGCAACATTGATATCCCCAGCCCTGCCTTCTTTTCAGCAGTGGAACCAGCCTCAGTATCTGAAGAAGAAGCGGTGACCAATGCTCTCAAGAACCTTGTCAGAGAAGACCCTTCGCTCAAAGTATGGACAGACGAAGAAAGCGGACAGCTTCTGGTGAGCGGTATGGGCGAACTTCATTTAGAGATTGTCAAGGATCGTCTTTTGAACGATTTCAAGGTCAAGGCAGAGATGGGCAAGATGAGAATCAGTTATAGAGAGACTTGTCAATCCGAGGCCAATGCCAGTGCAGTGTACGATAAGGAAGTCATGGGCAAGAGAGCGCGCGCTGCCTGTCATGTGGAGATCTCTCCTATCCATGAAGATTTAGAGCAGACAGACGCAAAGCAGATTTTAGAAGAGGGATGGATCGCTAACGCCGGAAACCAGCTTGCTGCTGAAGTGACGCTTGCAGACGACGACAGCTCGCCATCATTCGCATCAGAGAACACGGCAACTCAATTGCATCCGGAAGACATGAAGCAGGCTGTCCACAATGGTTTATTAGCTGGTCTTGCCCGAGGTGCTGTGCTTGGCTTCCCTCTGACCAAGCTGAGAGTCAAGGCCTATGATTTACAGACATTTGGTCCTGACACTACATTAGGAGCCATCTCTGCATGTGTCTCTCACGGTGTCTATGAAGCTGTTCAAAAGGCAAGCCCTTGCTTGTTGGAGCCCATGATGGAGGTGTATACAGAGGTCAATGAGAACCACATTGGTAATGTGGTGAGTGATCTGAGTGGCACTCGCAGAGGCCATGTCATTGGATTGGAATCTTCAGCTTTGGGTGATGATCAGGACGGAACCATCTCTGAACATGCGCAAGTGTATGCACCTGAAGACTCTCTTCTAGTCAAATCAGATGTGGATGGGTATAAGCCCAAACAAGTGATCAAAGCACATGTGCCCTTGAGCTCCATGCTTGGCTACTCGAGTGCGCTTCGTAGTTTGACAGGTGGTAGTGGATCCTTTTCTATGCGAGTGATTGGGTACGGCGAAATGAGCAAAGATCGAGAGCGATCTGTCATTTCTGAAATGAAGGGATTCTAGTGTAAATAGATAGACGATAATAAAGCTTGGTATAGTAGCACACCTCTTGAGCAATAAGGCCACTCAACTCGTTTATCTACTGTTTCTATTGGATGATTTGACCTTGGATGCATGAGGTCTATTGTCAAAAAGAACACTGGTCTGGTTACACCACTTAAGGCTGAGATGTAATTACAAATATTGGTTCAAATTGACTCTTCTCGCTTCTCTCTCTCTCTCTCTCTCTCTTTCTCTCTCTAATTTACTTTTTTTTTTTCTAATCAAAAGCAACATGTCCCCTTCAGCTAGCAGTGGTGTTGGTATCGCCCATCTCCCCAATCAACGTCATAAGATTGTATCCAAGCGTGGTGCCAACTTTACCTTGATGGTGTGTGGTAAGTCAGACATTCAGGGGGCCCCTTTTTTTCATCATATTACTGTCCCGAGAAATGCGTATGTGTATTCATTGAGATGCTCTTATTTAGGTGAATCTGGCGTTGGTAAAACTACCTTTGTCAATACCTTATTTACTACTGGTATTAAGGCTGACAAGAACTTGAACAAGCGTCACGCCAAACAAATTGAAAAGACTGTCGAGATTGAGATCACTAAAGCAGGTAATGACAAGAGAGAGAGAGGAAGACATGGCAATGTGTGTGTGTGTGTGTGTGTGTGTTTAAGAAGGACATCAATAGAGCTCGAGGAAAAGAACTTCAAGGTCAAATTAACCATCATCGATACTCCTGGTTTTGGTGATTATGTCAACAACCACAATAGCTGGATGCCCATCTATGAATTCCTCGACGATCAACATGAAAGTTTCATGGCTCAAGAGCAACAACCCACTCGTAAGGGCGCTATCGATCTTAGAGTACATGCCTGTCTCTACTTTATCAGACCCTCTGGTCATTCGTAAGTAGTCTTGTTTTTCTCGGTTCCCTGTTGCTCAATGGCTGATAATACCATAGATTAAAGCCTCTCGACATTGAGGTCATGAAACATCTCGGCTCCAGAGTCAATTTAATTCCTGTCATTGCCAAGGCAGACACATTAACTCCTCGTGATTTAGCACAATACAAGCTCAACGTAAGTAGGACAAACATGAGGTTGATGGAGTAAATTTGACGCTGATCCAGTGGACATGAATTGTTATTAGATCTTGAACTCCATTGCTGCTAATCACATTCAAGTGTACTCTTGTCCTATCGAGAGTGAAGACGAGGAAGTGACAGAGGTCAATAAGAGCATCATGGCTTCCATGCCTTTTGCCATCATTGGCTCTACTCAAGACGTTACTCTTCCTGACGGACGTACTGTCAAAGGCAGAGAATACTCTTGGGGTGTCGCTGAGGTGGAGAACGAGGAGCACTGTGACTTTAAGAAGTTGCGAAAGCTCTTGGTCAGGTCGCACATGCACGACTTGATTTCAACAACAGAGGAGAATCACTACGAAAACTATCGTCAATCACAAATGGGTACTCGCAAGTTTGGCGAGCCCAAGTTTAAAAAGTACGAAAACCCTAAATTCAAGGAAGATGAGGATCAACTTCGCTTGAACTTTACCAAGCAAGTCAAGGATGAAGAGAACCGCTTCCGTCAATGGGAAGCTCAGGTACAGTGTTTGGCTGGATAAGGGAGGGAAAGCATGGCAGTAACATTTTGTATCCTAGTTGGTTTCTGAACGTGATCGTCTCAACAAGGATTTGGAAGAACAACATGCTCAAATCAAGGCTATGGAAGCTGAACTAGAGCACATGTATCAACTGCACGGCCGTGGTACTATTAGAAGATAAATGCTCCCCTGATTTTCTGTTATCCCATTTACATTTACCCCATATACAACTAATAAAAATGATTATTCTCGCGTAAAAGGTGGACACATCTTGTGGCCTGTCGAACGAGATTGCTATGCATTGTGCATACATACCATACACAAACACCATCTCTATCATTTGATTTGACACTTGAAGATGTAGTCTTTGATAACACCACACTCGGTTGCATGGCATTGCATGGTGATGGTGAACGTGGCTCCAGTGTGCAGGAGTGTTGGCTACAATTACAATTCATTTAACGAATGTTATATATGGCATATGTGTCCAGTCAAATACGCGTACATTTGGGTAAAGCACATGACGATGGACATATAAATGCCTCTTTTTCTGTGCGTTTTGCTGCAGTGTAGAAACGCCTCTCAGATTCGGGGTCTCTTGATATGGTGGATTTGACGAGGGAAACTGAGAACAAGACAATGTGGCCAGGTCCCGCTTGCTTTGTTGAGTCTATAACAACAACAAGGTTCTCCTTGATTGCGTAGAGAATTGATTGTTTCCTGCAATTAACTCGTCATGGTACTATTTCAATTTGCAATGTGCTTTTTATAGACGTAATCTGATGATACACTTTGCTGTACAATGAAATAAAGGAGATGTGTCATGGACAAAGGCTATGTCACTAAAGTGCGTTCAAATGAACAAGGCCTCTACGGCTGCTCATTGTTTGGAATCGGTAGAGGTGACGGATGTATATATGAAGAGCATGTAGTAGTTCATGTAAAAATGACGAGAAAACATGGCTTGGTCCCCTCTGTTTGGGAGCACATTGTGTTGACGTTTTCACTGTCTGGTAAGTCTTGGGATGTGTATTCCAATGAGAGCTAATTGTAATTTGTTTCAAAAAAGGAAACCAATCCTTGGAAAGCCAATACTCCAAGGCCTAGTGAGGGTTTAAGCTTTTTTTTTATTCTGGCCTACTGATCAGTGCCTAACCCCTTGATTTCTTTGATTTCTTACTTAAATAGGCCCTCTTTTTTTTTTGTTTTTTTTTTCTTTCTTTCTTTCTATCAATTACAAACAAGCACCTTCTCCACACTCCAAAGTGCATGATCCACCATGTTTGATCTTAAATTCAACACATCAAAGCTTAGTCAACAGCAATTATTAGACATTGAAAAGGTTTGGTTCTTGTTGTACGAGCTGCGTTCTCCTCAGAAGGATATTGACTCTCTCTCTCTCTCTCTTAAAATAGAAATTTCATCAAAATCTGACGCTGGACATGTCGCTTAAATTAAACGTTTTATCACTCAATCGCACAGACCTTTATGCCCACGCTTTGAGTCTGTTTGTTCGCTCCAATGTACACAAGGTGTTTGATCTCAGTGTATCTCAACTGTTGGATTTCCTGATTGACGTAGCAGACAGATACACAGAAGCGCCGTACCACACTTTCTATCACGCCGTTGATATCGTGACAATACTGTACTACCTCTGCCATGACCTCAATGCAGACAGGTATCTAACCGATTTAGACAAATCCATCTTGTTGGTGGCCGCCCTGTGTCACGATATCGGCCATGTAAGTAGAGCAACTGGTTGTATGAATTCTAGCACACATCCTTACAGTTAACATTCTAGCCGGGATTCACCAATTCTTTTCAAATCAACACCAAAACCGAGCTTGCAGAAAAATACGGTGGCACATCTACACTTGAAACCTATTCCGTTCATCTTACAATGGAATTGCTAAACAAACACAACACAGCGAATAGCCACGTGGTTCGAGATACCATCAAAGACTTGATATTATCAACAGACATGGCATATCACTCTGAGTTGGTCAAGCAAGCAGATCAACTGATCCATCTCATTGAGCAAGCTAGGAGCCCCAGCAGCGGTAACAAACGCAAGCACTCTACCAGCACAACACTGATGCCAACTGCCAACTTGGATGCAGAGAGCAGAACAAGTCTGTGTCGCATCCTGTTGCATGCTGCAGATATCAGCAATATGGCGCGCCCCTGGGTGATCTCTAAACAATGGTCTGATTTGATTGTCCAGGAATTCTTTTCTCAGGGCGACGAAGAAAGGAAGAGAAAGATGACGATATCACCAGGCATGGATCGTGAGCTCTGTTCACAGCCATCCATCAGCTTGAAATTCGGTCAACTCATTTTGCCATATTTCGAATCCTTGGTCAGCTTATTACCCAAATCACATGTGTTTGTTGACTTTCTTGTTGCAAACTCTACTCGATGGGAACGTCTAGACCAGCACACACAAGCACCTCTACCCAACACCACCACCACCACCATTAGAAGAGTGAGCAGCGATATCAGAGCTACATCCACTACCGTCACCACCACCACCACCACCACCACCACACCACCACCGCCCACCCTTATCACTGCCGCTGCTGCTACTGCAACTGCTATTAAATATAAACGAATTAGATTGGGATTTAGAAGCAAGAGCTTCCCTACTGTATTATACCATCATCATCAGCATCAACATCATTATCATAGCAACGTTATTATAGAGAAAAACAATTTGCTTCCATTAGTAAATTTCAAATCATCCCTCCTGTATGATACCACCAAAACCAATATAGAATCCATTGTACTGTATCATCCTTACGATCAATAAAATCATGTATTTCTAAACAAGTTATGTGATGTTTGTGTGTGTAACTTGAATCATCCAAAAGAAAAAAGGGGGCACATGGACGAATGATTTCAACATGGATCACCAATGAAAACCCTATATTACTCTTTGTGTCATCTTACAGCTTTAGTGCCATTTTCCATCTGGATGATCTCTTTTTCACCTTTTAAAAAAAATGGCTATTCAGCACTGCAAATGGATCAAATCTTCATTTCAACTGTGTCGTTTATTGTCGTAGGCCAAGCAAATGAATAAGAAAAACTTTAAAGAAAACAGTGATAAAAGAACGACATCCACAACCGCTTTGGCTCCCTTTTTTTTTATTCAGGTCGATTTTTTTTTTATTTATAGATCCCTTTTTATCACTACAATCTCCCCTCTTATTCCGTTATATAATTCACTGCCATTTATCTTGTCTTTCTTTTCCCTTCTTCTCACATTTTCATATCCAAATCAAGCATGTTTGGTACTGATCAAATCGTACCTTCATTAGAATCCATATTAGAAGACCCAACATCGGATGCGTTTAAAGAATTTGCCAGCTACCTACACCAATCATACTGCATCGAGAATTTAGCGTTTTGGATTGCAACGCAAGATTATTATGAAGAATGTAGAAAACAAGATCAGCATCAATTAGGCGAAAAAATGATCAATCTGTATATCCGTCCTAATTCTCCTCAAGAAATCAATATACCGTGTGATATGCGCCAGACAATACTGGACAGTTACAACCAAGGCAATTGTCATTTACACATATTTGATGATGCTGCAGAGGCCGTTCTGGAACTAATGAGAGTCAACTCATTTCTACCTTGGATTACGACTTGCTGCTCCACCTCCTCCACGAATGATTCCTCGTCATGCTCGTATTCCAGCTCCTATGACACCATTGAACATAGCAACAGCCATAGCAACAACCACCATCACAACAGCTGGCCTACACCAAAGCCTTCCACTGTACAGTGTAACAAGAAGAAATTCGGTGTGAACAATTCGCCTTCAACCAGTTCGCTGACTGCATTATCTACCTCATTTTCGTTCACAGACAAATGGAATTTGATGAAACTGAAGCAGATGTCTCGTCGTAGTTGCTCATCGTTAGACTACTCATCGTCATCAGCGTCCATGGTAGATGATGACAGATCTGCAACTTTATTTTTAGACAATACAACCATCTCGGTATCTTCGGCAACAGCATCGTTACCAACAAGCCGATATCATTATAAATCCATGTTGAAACGGGTAAAACGATCTCTACTGGGCGCTGCTGCTACATCTGCTCAGAACACTGTATTATTAGATGAGGGCCATACGCTAAAGTAAATGGGCCCTGTTTTGTGTCTTCTCCGAGAAAGCAGCTGTATTTCCCTTCGTTTTCAAGTCGTTCCTTATCATTATTACTCTTTTTACATATCATACATAGACTCTATATATATATATTCTATTACCTGCTATCTTATTTATCGACATCTTTCTATATGTACGTTTTATCAACCTCTCTTTCACTGCCTCCCCCTCCCCTCCCTCTTGCAGATTTACCAACTATTCTAGACTTTTTTTTTTTCCTTTGCCTTAAAATTATAGATATATTGCATTTTTACCAATGATACCTTCTTGTCCCTTATATAATCTTGCTCCATCAAGATTTAATAAAAAACCCTAGAACAAATGAAATGCTTTTCATTACGTTTAAATTGATCAACAAATAAATTTCATACTCCAGTTGAGCATGGATCCAATGACTGAGTCGTAATCCAAGCATTGTGAGATTTCCTACAGATGCAGAATGATAGCAGTGATTTCGAAATGGCATGTATAACATCAGAGAGTAATACTTGCATCAAAGCATGGCAACCGAAATTCTCGGTGATTCTCCATGTAGAAATTTAATTTGCCACTATGCCGAGGATTTGGAGAATTAATTTGTGCCATGTTGAATAGATTACCAGTTGTTTATTCCGAGAGAAAACGATTACAGCGTTTCTATATTCTGCTGTCCATCTTGTAGGCACAAAGACATATATTACATTTCGCTGTAAATTCAATACTTCAAAGCATTAAAACAACAGAGCTATCGCATTGCTGGCATGTTCTTACATTGACATTGGCAGATCAAAAGGGCTCATGGCCTAAATGCGAAATGAGAGCCAAGATTATTGGATTCAGGGGTAAAAAAAAATATATATATATGAAAGGTATCAAAAATTAAATGAGCAAAAGACAGGTACATGGCTTGATTATTAGCGCTACATAGTCAACCAATTAGCGTCTTGGTCTTGTTGTGAATATGTGCGTAATGGATAGCATGATAGGAGATGAACTTGGTGCTTGTTCTTTCAATGCGTAGTTTCGACATTGATCCATAGAAAGGTAAAATACTATACTGAAATTTGGTAATCTGGTGTTCAATTCGCATTGGTCAGCCTACAAGATGGCTTTTGCTCACATTATATTTGCTTGGCCCCTTTTTTATTCAATAAACGAAGCTTTTCTTTTAATTCTCTTATAATTTATTTGTAACAAAAAAATACACATATACAATGTCGACTCGATACCAGAAAGTAAGCGTCATCTAATTGTAAAGGGATATCTTATCGTCATGGATAGACTCGCTAATAGCAAGTATCATGTAGCTATCTTCAACAGACCAAGATAACCACCATTACGACGCCTCGTCCTCTGCTACAAGTCAGCAACAGAATGATTTGCAAGATTCGTTTGGGGAATCTTTTGATGACGATGAGCATACTGCTGCAACTGATAGATTATTACAATACCATCATAACGAGCAAAGCGACGGTGACGATGATGATCATGATCATATCACCTTAGCTTCTCTTACAAATTCTTCTCAGCCACATACACAATATACACAACAACAACAATCACATCAGCCAACAAATAACCAAAGAGGCACACCAGCCGTTTTGCCAGTGTCTACGGATGGTGTCTTTGCAAACATGTCAGCTAAACCAGAGACAGAGAGTAGTAAATTGGATGAAACTCCTCCTGTAAATATAAATTAATGGATATTTATACATTCAAGAAAGGAGCCACTGATTATCACTTGCAATAGACATATGAAGAAGCTGCTGCTGATGCGACACCACCTTATTGGCAAACTACAATCATTGCACCAGCAGGTATGGGCGACATTGTTCTTGTCGAGGGTATGCCTGTTGGAAGCATATTTGCTTTCTTTTGGAATCTGTTAAGTAAGTTTTGATTCCGTTCTTGTGATCATCATATATACTGACAAGAGCGTTTAGTATCTGCAAGTTTCCAATTTGTCGGATTCATGTTGACTTACTTGTTACATACATCGCACGCATCAAAGGTTTGCAAGCCTATTTCACGCCATGTTTTTTGATTATTCACATTCGTTTAATTCTAGCAAGGATCACGGGCAGGTCTTGGCATATCTCTGGTGCAAACTGGATTTTATATTCGTAGTCGTATGTACACATCAATTAAAGCATATCATGTGTGTAACCAGCATACTAATTTACTCTTTTTGATCCGGATAGGTGGTACATTAGAAGACGACGATTATTATTATGGAGACCAGCAAGATGGTACAACAAAATCAGATTCCTCATCATCGTCAAAAGAAGATAGCGCAGATGCTGATATCGTTGCTTATTTTCTAATGATGGTTGGCTGGTTTATTATTATTCGATCTTTGGCTGATTACTTTAGAGCAAAGCAAATGGAGAAGATTATCTGTTCAGAGCCAACAACAGGAGAAACTATGGTTTAAGCAAGTACAAATTCTGCATTGCCATGCAATGACTGGATGAATAAACGCAATACCACAGTTGTTGGAGCCGCCTGCTTACCAATGAATTACACATTTGGGATTTCTTTGTATGCTTCAAGCAGCTTACAATGGTCAGCATTTCAGTCAGATTCGAAAGTTTACACTTTCTAGGGAGTATTCAAAAAAAATTACTGCCTTTATAATGGCAGAAGGAAACATTTAGGCGTTTTCACAAGAAAAACTAAATGTTGCTTTCAAAGAGAAGAGCGACAATTTTCAAACATTCAACCTACAATGTTCCAAAGCCAAAAAGTGACACTCCATATTCCTTTTTGCGGAGTGTGAAAAAATAAATGCCTGCTAACAGAATCGAACTGTTGACCTTCTGCTTACTAGGCAGACGCTCTGCCAACTGAGCCAAGAAGGCAATTTGATGCTTTTGTCGTGCCTAAGTTTAGTTTTAAGCCAAATTTAAACAAAGCAACTAAAAGGCGCCAGCACATATTCGAAGGTTCTGGAAACTGATAGCAGCAGACATTGATCTGATTATCAGTTGCTATATCAAGTATTATATCTACTCGAAAGTTCTATTGATTAAGTAATTATCGATCGTAGAAATAGTATAAATATAAGTTGTAAATACAATCAATAAACAGTATCTTCGAACATAATCGCAAATCTATTACTTACACTCTAAGTTATTTGTTAACTCCTACCATTGGATCTATCTATCAAGACGACAACTGGTAGCAGCAGGACAAAAACAAATTCAAGTTACAAAGTTATTTCTCAAGGTTATTTTAAAGATTATCTCTCAAGCTTATTTTTCAAGGTTCTCTTGACGCTCGTTATTGGTTTCTCTACAAGTTTCTCTGGTTCTCTCTGATTTTCTCTGGTTTTCTACAAGTCTATGAACAAAGATATTACTATGGCAAGTGCAAATATTGTTGGTAACAACTCTGGTTACGTTCGCAAGGTCCGTGAACCCGATGTTTTTAATGGTGAAAGAGACGCTATTGTTCTAAACGCATGGATTTACTCTTTGGAGTTGTATTTCTCCTTGGTAAAGATTGAAAACACCCAAGAAAAGTTTTTGGTTGGACTTTCTCTGTTGCGAAATGATGCTCAATTGTGGTACTCACAGATGAGTGCCTTTGATAGTGAGCATACACCACAAGATTGGGAAACGTTCAAGACGGCATTGCGTGATGAATTCATACCAATTGATGCCATTGCCAAGATGCGCGATGGTATGGCTAATCTGGTCCCAGTCTCGAATGTTACGAGTTATATCAACGCATTTAGACGTCTACTGTTACATATCCCGGATATGACGCCTGGTGTAGCTCAAGACAAGTTTGTGAGAGGACTAAAACAACCTCTTCGTCATGCTGTGCGATCTCATTTTCCCAAATCGCTGGAAGAAGCTCAGCGTTTGGTTCTTACCGTCGAAGATGCTGATGAAGGAGAGGTAGTTCAACCTATTAGACCGAATGTACCTCAACCTCAGTATGAATCGATGGATTTGGATGCAATCTGTGAACTAGTCAACGCTATTAATGGTGTTCCTGGCGGTCGACGTAATTTTAATGCTGGTAACAAACACAGAAACAATACCAACATTAAATGTTACAATTGTCAAGGTTGGGGACACATGCAAGGTGAGTGCCCCAGCCCTCGTACTAATGGTCGTGGTGGTGGAAAACGCTATTATGGTGGCTCTTTTAAAAAGCATTTAAAAGAGTGAGCGTGTCTGACGAGGGGGGAGATCAGGCACGCTCTAATAAGAGATCCTTCAACAGTATCAAAGTAGGAGATACTGTTCCCAAGACTGGTAATAATGATGTTGATCTGTTAAATCTTGATAGCGATCACGAGGCGGACGATCTAAAGGCTGACAATAACTACTTGTTTAATTTAAAAAAGTTCAATAAAGCCACCACGGATTTGCCATTGTACTCTTTTAATCTTTACTTTAATGATGGAACTCGTGATTGCTTCAACAAGCCTATCAAAGTACTATTGGATACAGGTGAAGTGAACTAGACTAGATTCCCATCATAAACAAAACCCAAAATAAATGTCATCTCAATCAAACCATGCTACCATCAGCAGATAGACATGCATAATAATAGTATTAGCATGATGATAGCAAGGGTTAAATGCTCTAAAATAAGAGATGACAGATACTAAAGTAAATGTCAAGGGTATTGTAATGTGTTGTAACATAAATATACCTAAAAAGGATACAGGCTCAACAATAAAGAGCTATTCTTTACGCATGATTCAAAAACCATATATTGAAATACCGTTCTTGATCCATCAGATCAACAACTAAATGACCCAACAAAAATATATAAAGTAATGGAATCACTGGCAACTACTAAACTGCTGCCAGATAAGAGATATAAACCAAATAATATAAATAGAGACGTAGAATATACATTTTATTGCACATTATCCTAATTTCGAATAAAGAAGGATTTTAACAGTATTCTACCTGCTTTTTTACCCCCTTTTTACTGCATTTTTTACTGTTACAATCAATCATTGATTTCGTTATGTCGTCTGTTCTGTCTGGTAACTCCCCACTGTCATCTCGTGCTGGCTCACCTAATCCCATGGAAGAGGACGTCATCATGGAGGATGGCAACGCATCCTTACCTGCCTCAGTTTCTGCAACAACTGAACGCCTCAATGAGATGGATCTCGCGGCTGACCCGTATACAAACCTCGTTGGCACCCCGTCTCCTGCGCCCACTATATCCACTAAAGGTGAAGAAATTGTCAACCCTGACGCTACCTCACCACAACCTGCTCCACCTGTTACGAAGCCGCCAACGTTGACTGAAGTTCTGAAGAAGGTTCTACTCCAAAAGGAAAATGCGCAAATAGCATACTTGAAAGCTCTGAGCCATTCCAATGTCAATGTTGATGAAGCCAACCTACTCCGTGAAAAAGTAAACAATTTAGACAAGCATGTCAAAACACTTACCGATGGTCTCAAGGCTGCTGCTACTGCTACTGCTGCTGCCACCAAGGCTTCCGCTGCCGCTAACTCATCGTCCACTGGCTTAAAAATTTCCAAGAGAGATCTTCCCAAATTTCAACTGGAGGATAACAAAGCTAAACCATTTCCACATGAGGAGGCATATCGTTCTGTTGATCATTTCCTCTCAGAATTCGAAAAAATTGTGTATTCTTCTGGCCAAGACATCGAAACCGTATGGCGCAAGTACATTCCCCTCACGTTGTCGTATGAATTGGATGACTGGATGAAAACGGTGGTCATGAAGTGCAATGTCTGGCACGATGTCAAGTTGGTTTTCAGCAAGAAGTTTGGGACAGTAGTTTCAAGAATACATAAGCGTCGTGCTGTGATGAATATGGAAATTGGGTTCCATGAATCCGTCGATGAATATTCCAATCGTTTCTTCCGCACTGTTGGTGAGGCCGGCTATCATCGTGGTGATTTGACAATTGGTGATGTCTTTTTGTTGTCTTTACCCGAGTCCTGGCAACTGAACATTTGTACTGTGCTCCTTTCAAATACCAAGAGACAAGCCTGGACTACCACGGAAATTCACAATGCTGCCGTAGATCTTCTTGGTGAAAAGACTCCCCAATCATTGATGCTAGGAAAGGACACCAAGCGCAAGTTTGGCTCTGTTGAACCCCCTATTGTTGCTACCTCAGGCTCATCTGCCACCACATCTTCTGCTTTGCCAAAGGCAAGAATGCTTGGTGATCGAAATCTGCCCAATAGGGCTACTACCAAGAACCCTAACCCTTGCCGCCATTGTGGTCGCCCCTGGAAGCATGGCCATACTTGTGAAGAATATCGAATGGCCAAACGCCAAAAGGGCGCTGGTGATGGAATCAACGTATTGTCCGTGTCTACTACTTCTGATACTAAAGAAGAAAATGAAACTGACGTGATGACCCAAGCTTTAAAAGAAGCATATGAAAACGAAATTTACAAATGTAAGTCTAAAAAGACAAACGAAAGCAAAAACAACATGAAACTAATCACGCCTCTTCTATTAAATGGTAGAAGAATCATCGGAAAAGTGGATCCCGGATCGGATATTAGTTTCATCAATAAAAGCATATTAAATAAATTGTTTTCAAACATACAAACGTATAAAACAAATGGCTTTCTCAATTTCTTGTCTGTAAATGATGATAACAAGAACAGTACGGTAACAAGAATTGGTAAAACTGAACCTATGGAAGTAACTTATACAAACAATATCAAATTCGCTCATGAATTCGAGGTCATTAAATTTAATGATGAGTTGTCTACTGAATTTGATGTATTACTTGGTGTCGATATTCTACCCAAATTGAATATCTACCTGCAAGGAGTAGCATATAAATTTCCTGATTCAGAAAAGGACAAAGAAATGAAGCAGTTTGAGGATATAAATCACGATCAACAAAACAAATTCAATCCTGAAAAGGCTGATTATGGTACTCCAAGCGAAAGAAAAGAATTGCTAGCACAAATTCAATCAGCTTTGGACGAAAACAGGGTTATCCCAAGTGATGCAGCATGTACAATGCCAGAATCAGTTGTAAGAATCAAAATTTCGGATCCCAGTGATTGTTTCGTTCGACAATATCCATTAGCGGTAAATGCAAATGCAGAAATCAAATCACAGCTAGAAGAATGGCTAAAAGATGGCATTGTCGAGCGTACCAAACCTGATCCAACCTTTCACTCACCTTTATTGGCTGTACCTAAACGTGATCCACTCACCGGGAAAACTAGCAAGCTTCGAATCTGTTGCGATTTAAGAAGAATAAATGCTGCCATCTCGGATAAAGACTGTCGTGAGAACTTTGCTGTACCAAAAATAGATGAAATCTTCAGCAAGGTTGTTGGTAACGCTAATGTCATAAGTGTTTTGGATCTAAAGCAAGCTTATTTTGCATTTCCTGTATCACCAGAATCAAGACGTTGCCTCATATTTAGTCATAACAATCTGACGTACCAATGGACCAGAGCCCCTTTTGGATTAAAATTCCTTGTAAGCCAGTTTGTCTATACAATGAGCGTTTTATTCGATGGCATTGAACAAGAGTTGAAAGATGAAGTAAAGAAATTATACATAAAACAAAACAAAGACACCACTCAAATTGGCAATGAAATCCAAGCAGGAGTCTGCCACTACTTAGACGATATCGTGGTGTATGCTAGAAACGCAGAATTTAATGCACTAATGGTTAATTTAGTGGTAAGGAGATTGAGTAGAGTAAATCTACGTATCAATACAGATAAATGTTCATTCTTCCAAACAAGTGTCTATCTGCTTGGATTCATCATCAGTAAAGATACCACAAAAATTGATACAAAAAGACTATCAAACATTGAGACATGGGAAATCCCAAAGACAACGAAACAGGTCCGTAGTCTTATGGGTATTATCAGCCATTTAAGAAACTACTGTCCAATGCTGTCTAAAATAGCTGCTCCTATTGACATTCTACGAAATGAGAAAAAAATCACTGCAAAATGGACATCCTTACATACTGATAGACTCCAAAGAATCAAACAAATACTCATGTCTAGTCAAATCCTTTATGCACCTAATCCATCAAAGCCATACTTCATGCAAACTGACGCCAGCGTTCTGGGAATATCAGCCTGTCTATTCCAAAAGGATGAAATGGGACGCATTAAGCATATAGCATTCGCAAGCAGATCTTTGAATAGTGCAGAACGAAATTGGACTACTAACCGAAGAGAAACTGCAGCCATTGTGTTTGGTTTTGAAAAATACAAAGCTTTATTATGGGGGCACAATGATATAACTGTTTTATGTGATCATTTGGCCCTAACGTATCTTTTTACATCATCAACACTGAACAGCACTCTTCAAGGGTATCTGGAAATTTTAGGAGAATACAATTTCTCAGTAGCTCACATCAAAGGAATGGAAAACATTCTTGCTGACCGACTATCGAGATTGTACCCTGCCATAACCGAAGATGAAGAGCTAGCTGATGAATATGAACAACAGATTAAGAAACTACACAAGCTAATCCTGCTACGAAGAACTACCGGGAACAAAATCGTTAAACAAAAGGAAGTTCATTCCAAAGACCCCAATCTAAATGTCCTAGCGATAAAGCTCAGTAGCAAAGAATTTAAACAAACCACAACTGATTATGTTTGTCCACCTCAACAAGATCGTAAAAAGATCATCCAAGATGCACATAAGGTAGGACATTTTGGGATTGCGGCTGTGGTTAAACACATTCACACTTATCATGGTCTTCATTGGAACTCCATCTATAAGGACGCCAAAGAACTTTTGCTGTCTTGTAAGGAATGTCAATTGCATAATATTGCAAAGAAAGGATTCAACCCAGCAAGAAGTGTAGTGTCGTATGAACCATTTGATTTCATTAGCATGGATATGATTGGACCCTTACCAGTAACGGAAAAAGGCAATTGTTATATTCTTGTGGTTGTAGACATCTGTACCAAATACATCATTGCTCGTCCTACACCAAACAAACAAAGTGACACAATCGCTAACACCTTGGCCTCAATCTATGGAGATTATGGTTTAGCAGTGAATGTTACCTTATCTGATAATGGAAGAGAATTCAAATCTCAACTATCAGAATACATCTATAAATCATTAAACATTGGCATGATACAAAGCACTCCTTACTACGCACAGGGAAATGGTCATAGTGAAAATTCTGTGAAAACTGTAACTGCAACACTAAGGAAAATGTGTGGGAATGACACCAGAAACTGGGATAACCGTTTGCCTATTGTACAACTAGCTATAAACATGAAAGTCCGTGATCGAACAGCAAGCACCCCTTTCAGCTTGATGTTTGCAAGACAAGTAACATTGGACCCTAAGAAAATTAATAGAAATAACAGGAAAGCATTGACACTGGAAGAGCTACAAAAAAGAGCTGAAACTATGAATGACATTGTCTTTCCTGCTATACAACAACGAACTGATGAATTGGCTAAAATATATCGCGAGAAATTCAACAAGAAACACTACATAATCGAAGATATTCCAGCTGGTACACCTGTAATGGTACGTTACGCAGAAGGTCGATCGAATAAACTAGCCCCGCTATATTCAGGACCATATATTGTGGTGCGACGTACTCAAGCAGGAACGTATGTACTAAAAGATGATACTAGCGAATTGCTACATCGTGAATATACGCCCTCTGAATTAAAAGTTGTCTCATTAGACGAAACAGCATTGGAAGCGCAAGTATATGAGGTAGAAGAAATTCGTGATCATCGAGTGCTCCCCGATGGCACATACGAATATCTGACCAAATGGTGTGGTTACGGTGAAAGAGAGAATGACTGGCTTACCCCTGATCTATTCTCCACACCTACTCCTATTACCAATTACTGGAAGAAAATGAAAGAACTTGAAAGACGAGAGGCATCTAGAAAAGAAATCAATGATACTTCAATTAAGAATACTATCAACAAATCTAAGAAACGCCAAACAAAATTGCCTCAAACAAATACTCGCCGCCAAAAACGTGCAAGAAATACGAAATCTAAATAATATCCTACCTAAAATATCTCTTTAAATATATATATATATATATATATACATAATACATAATTTTTTCCTTTCCAATATCTCTGATTTCATTTCGAATTTAAGTCTTCTAAATTTGCTGCATACCGGGTCAACGCAAATCTTGTTTGCGTTTAGCGGGGAGGCATGAAGTGAACTAGACTAGATTCCCATCATAAACAAAACCCAAAATAAATGTCATCTCAATCAAACCATGCTACCATCAGCAGATAGACATGCATAATAATAGTATTAGCATGATGATAGCAAGGGTTAAATGCTCTAAAATAAGAGATGACAGATACTAAAGTAAATGTCAAGGGTATTGTAATGTGTTGTAACATAAATATACCTAAAAAGGATACAGGCTCAACAATAAAGAGCTATTCTTTACGCATGATTCAAAAACCATATATTGAAATACCGTTCTTGATCCATCAGATCAACAACTAAATGACCCAACAAAAATATATAAAGTAATGGAATCACTGGCAACTACTAAACTGCTGCCAGATAAGAGATATAAACCAAATAGTATAAATAGAGACGTAGAATATACATTTTATTGCACATTATCCTAATTTCAAATAAAGAAGGATTTTAACAGTATTCTACCTGCTTTTTCACCCCCTTTTTACTGCAACAGGTGCTAGCTCGAAATATATTCACTACGGCCCAACTGATGTTCTCAAAGAACATCGATGCGCTCTTTTGGGAACATCGATGTTCTCATGAGCACATTGATGTTCTCATTTGAGAAGGTGTAGTTTTCCACATGAATAAAATGGTTTTAATAGCTAAACTATAATATTGTAGGCAACAGAGAGACTTTTATTATCTGTAAGATTCATAAAATTACTAAACGTATTATATATTGCACGAGAAAATGGCAATTTAAAATTACCTAATAACTACTTATTAAAGTAAAAGAATATATTTCATTAAGATATTCGAGTAGTTTAGTGGGAAGAACGTCAGATCCACAACCGATAGGTTGTGGGTTCGACCCCGTTAGGAGCATTCTTTTTTTTCAAATTTCTGAAAATCGATGTGCTCATATAAGAATATGGATGTGCTCACATGGGAACATTTCGGATGTTCTCATAAGAACATCGGCCGACTTATAATAGATCTTTAGGAACGCCGATGTTCCCATATGAGAGCATTTTTCGCCTTTCGGGAACATCGATGTGCTCATTTGAGAACATCAAATAGATTCTCATATGAGCGCATCAATGTTCTCATGAGAACATCAGTTGGGCCGTAGTGATTAACCCTAAACTGGTTAATCCTATAACTATGAAAATCACACCATTACAGTCTAAACATGAGGTTGAAACTGCCAATGGACAAGTCTCTGTTATCAAGGAAAAAGTGGAATTCTCGGTCTCGGCTAATGGTGTTGGTCAACGTATACAGGCTTATGTGTTTGATACTAAATTTGATCTTATTCTTGGTCAACAATGGTTCAAACAGTATAAACCTGTTTGTTAAGCACAAAGAATAAAAGGATTATTATTTGTAGCTTATAAAAAATGTTCGATATTATAAAAAACAAGAAAAGACTTATTTGAATAAGATCAGACATAAAAACTAAAGATTTATTGATGAAGACAAGAGTTATTCTATTTATACTAAGTTCTGAATGCCAAAGTAGCAATTTATCTTGTACAACGCTTATCACATCTGGTGAACCTCAGTATTTAGATAGCTGAGATGCACTTCAATTATCATAGCTTGTCCATGTTGTTGCACAACACAGACATATCTACCCATCAAGAATACCTTAATCTTTATAGACAGTTGTAGCCCTTCTGGCACAACACAACTGTTTTATCCAGAAGAGCTTGGAATTCCCTGTTCTCAAGCAAGTACGGATTAAAACGCCAGCTGCCAGGACCCATCTTCACGCCAGAGGTGACCAGATCAATAGTTAGAAGACTGTGATCTGTCCATGCCGGAGGGATGTGATGAATCTGAGCATTGAGCACACGAGTTGCCATACGAGGAGGCGCAAAAATGTAATCAATGGTGGAACCTGCACAAGGGAGAGTCATAGTACCTCTTGGGGGGAAACAGTTAAGAAAATGTGTATTTAACCATTCGACAAAGGGTTTGATCTTTGGGCCACGAGCTTCACCCGCATCATGCAAATGGATATTGAAATCCCCAAGCAAAATCCACTGGAAGTTGAGCATATCAGACCAAAAGGGCATGGACAGTAGCTCTGGCAGGAAAGCATGACGACTGGCTGCCTGTGCTGGCATGTACACATTAGCCACTTGGCAGATGACTTGGTGAGCGTCCTTGACAGAGGCAGTGATGCAGCGTTCGTCGCGAGAGATGACAGTGTCCATGAGCTCTAGGCCGGGTTTTAGGCAGATGATGGCACAGTGTTTGGAGACGACAAAAGCAGACCAAGGAAACATATAGGAAAAAGTACACACCTTATCATAAGTGAGATGCTCTTGTTGACAATAATGAGAAACCTCCTGCATACATAGAATATCAAGCTGAAGGTTTTTGGAGTGTAAGAAGGAAGTGAATTCCCTGTGTGTTGATTTAGAGGAACCCTTAAAGATGCTTCGGGCATTAAGAGTACCTATACGCAATGATTTTTGTATCATTAAGCCCTATCGGCGGCACGATGCACTGGAGTCTGCGACATAGACGTCGAGCTCACGGAATGACGGCGGAAAAGAGGGAGCACATCAGACGAAAAACCAGTGTTCGCAGCACTACTACCTTGGGAATCCACACGCGTGTGGAGAGACACATCGAGAGGCGCATGCTTGGAGGCATAGCTACTCTGGGGAGCACGCTGGAGAGCCTTGGGATCGACATCCATTGCTTCAGTCGTTGAACTGCGTCTCGGGCGGCCAGTGGACCCCTTTTGCTTGTTGGCAGGCTGAGCGGCGGCGGCGGCTTGACGTTGCATTTGCTGCTCGGCGACATCATGGATGGTGGAAGTGAATCTATGGCGCTTCTCTCGGTTATTCTCGCGGGTACGGCGTTGAGCGTTGACAGTATTAGGTTCCTCAATGGCCTTCTTGCTCGATTCGTACTCATCTAGTGCCTCCTCAAAAGTAGTCTCCTCTTCGTTGCAAAACTTAGCGTTGTGACCAAGCTTGCGGCACTTGAAGCATTGGCGCTTCAATAGTACAGGGCACGCAGCGCGGATGTGGCCACTCTGGCGACAGAAGCGGCAGACGGGTGGGGCACCGCGATATGTGGAAGGCACATAGACATCCCAAGCGGACAGATACATCATGCGGCTCATTGGCTGGACGACATAATACTCCTTGCCTTCGGTGTTCTTGTATTTGACAGCAGTGTCAATCATAAAACTGATATGACCCTCAAAGAAGCCATCAATGGTGTATTTTTTGATCTGGTACACCTTACCATAGTACTTGAGCGAACTTTACAAATCCTCCACGAACGTCTCCATATTGGGCATACGTGTTGTATTCACACATCTAACTGTTCCTAAATCACAAACTCGTAGATTGAATTCAGTAATAAACTATGCACATATGGAGCATATGTAAATAAACTGTATCAACATATAAACGATAACCATGATATTCACATAAGCTAAGTTTCAGTAAGCTATTCTCTATATGTCAAAAGATAGCAGATAAGGAATGTAAGTAATTAACGTTGCCAAGAGCAACTAAAGATATTTAGACTGATCATCTATATCTGAAATAATTACCATTTAGCATAAGTGAGGATTGACACTAGAACTTAGCATGAGAACACCATTCTAGACGGGTGTGTAAACAATCCATGAAACATACATATAAATTGCAGTAGACATTCACTCTTCCCTCTCCTCTTCATCTGATTTTACGAAAATAAACTTATATCCATTCTCACGTACTACTTTCAGATTTACAACAATGCGGACGATAGTCATCTGGACATGAGTCAGCCTGCCCTCGCTGTTGTCCTTGGCGGCCGTAGTCTTGTAGACGATCTTCTGGTGGGTGGTACCAAGACTGATGGCGAGTTATGCATCCTCCGCGTTGCCAAACTTTGTCTCCAATAAGAAATCGCTGTTGGCCTTCTGGTGGTACAAACTCAGGGGCCTAAACTGAACCAGGGGAAGATTTGTTCCTTTATCAAGCGATAAGCTTCGGTACGATGCGCAAATGTTTTGCTTGGAAAAGTAAACAAAACAGATCCAGGCGTCAAAGCCTGCTGAAGGATGGCTGCAGCCTTCCGGGTAAGAACTTCGGCTTTCAGATCGTCATGTTCGTACAGAACTTCAGGAACTAGTTGGAATTGATCATCTTTAGCTCGTTGAGGTTGAGCATTGATGACCTTCTTGGACTGGCCACGAGAGAGAACCTGGACCCAAGAAAGGTCAGCGGTGGTTGCCATGAGTGTGGGAAGTGTAACGCTGGAAGTGGTAAAGCCTTGGTGTGATTTAAGCAGTGGCATAATTTTTATCTTAGGGGTAGTGATGGTTACGCGAAAGAGCCTATATTAAATCAAATTGTTGCTATCGATCCAACGCAATCCCTGAAGCTATTTTTGTAGGACCTTTATATGGAAAATCTCGACTTTTTGGCCAGAAACCTCATTTCATATTTTCATAATTTGCTCAGTAAATTTATTCAATACATTTACCTTACTTGGTACCATTGGATGCGTCTTGAAAAGTACTCTGAGATTGTATTGAGAAGCAAAGGATGATCTTCACAACTTATATAGTCGAATCTCACAAAATAATTGAATCAAGTCGAAGAAAGACGCTTTCTGTCCAATCTTGAACAGAAATAATGATCTGGATTTGAATCAATTTTGGCGGCTGGTGCGGCCGGCTGGCAGACTCAATGCCCTCCTTTCCATCAGGAAGGCAATACAGTAATAGATACTTTTGAAGCGTATGGAAAGTAGGCGGCAGATCATATAGCATTATCGTTAGCTATGCTGCTCTTTTTGAATCTATATTTGGTAACGCCAGTCTATCAAAATACTTGTTAGATCAATTTCTTTTCTTTTTGAGGCTTTGAAAGTGTTTAGGGACCATAAATTTATCATGTTATGATATTACATACAGGCAAAATCTCTTGACGTTAAATTATATGTATAATATGATTAAATTATGTACAGGATTTAAAATACATTGGTCATAGCAATCAATGGACAGTACAAGCTTTGAAACAAGATGCAATCATAAAAGAGCATAATATTGAAGCTAATGACAAGACGTGGTTGTTTTTTTATTAATGTGTATTTGAGTTTATGAGATCACCATACTTGATGGATTAAAATATTTAAGATTTTTGAGGCTATTTTGACTTGTATAGATAGAGGTAGCAGAGATATAAGAACGACTTGGCCTTGTATAGATGTCAGGCATTAATTGTCTTGATAATTGATTGAGTAAGAGGAAGCACAGATGAGAGTAGGGCTTGACCTTGTATAGATGTAGAGATGGCATATTTGAACAGTCTTGTCATTTTAGGAGCTTGTAGGAGGCACAGAGAACTTGGCTTGATAGCATTTGGAGAGGACAGCTTGCTTTAGATGAGATAGAACATGAGATGGCAGAGGCAACTAGATAAAGACGAGATGAGTACACAAGTACTGTGGCATGAGTGCGTAACAAACCATTTGGGCAAAGAAAATTGACCATCAATAAAAGGTACCAACACTATATAAACAGGTACCAAGGTGTAAACTTGCTTCACCTATCACAAGATTATCGACACGCTCAAGACACCTTTATCTCGGATCATAGGGCTGAACCCAATTCTCGTCGGCAATAAAGCCTGTGGTCATCCCGTAGCATGACCAAAGGATTTGTCCTGCAGTCTACTCATGATTATGAAGCTGTGATCCTACTCAGTCCCTACAAAAAAGTAGTTTTTCGGCACTATGTAATCAATAGGTTAGTCAACATGGCTCGTACGTCCAACAAGATAATAACTTACTCGCACAGTTCACCAAGGTCTGCATGTATCAAAGATAGTGTGGCCTTTTTCTAGCATGGACCAAGAGACGTAGAGAGGACCATGGATTTGTAAGGCATTGTATGTAGCAGTAGTAGAGGCCAATAGACAGTAGAGTATTTGATTTAGATGACCATATGTAGAGAGAGAGAGCCCAAATGTCTTGTAGAGAGTTTGTATGTATAGAGTATTTTTGTTTGTTGTAGAGAGATGAGATGAAGAAGAAGAGGGAAAAGCTGTTGAAACAAATCCCTATTTATATCCTTCTCATCGACTTTTGTGTGAGTCCAGTATCCTTGCCACACTCAAATTCGTTTCCTTTTACTTTTCTCCACGATATACTACTTTGAGCGCGTGAAAATAGTACCATTTTGACGCTTGACACTTGCTCTATTTGATCCGCTTCGTCCGAGGCTTTCAACTGTTGTCTGTCTCGAGTTATGTCCATTTTGCTACTTCAAAAAGCCCTTTTTCCACCTTCACATGAAACGAGTTCCCCCATCTCTTCCTAGATTTAATTAACAGAAAACTTCTCACAGGCTCAGCCTCATCAAAAAGTAAACAAAAAATGTCATTTGACACTGAAACAAATGCAGCTGGTTGCTTGATTAAGTAATCTTTCTCTACCTCCCCTTAATTTCTCTCTCTAAAATTACAGTTCTCGATCCATCTCTCTTGTTGTTTACATCAGTCATAAACTGTCCATCTAATTGGACAATACGAGTGTTAAGGTTGGCTTACTTGTCGTTTACATTACATCGGAGCCAGCATAACTGATTCTGGACCAAGAAACAAGTGTACACCTCGGAAAACAAGCGTGCCATATAAGTATTACTGCGGCAATCTCCATGGAATGGAACATAATGGATTGTTTTCGAACCAGTGCAAGTAAATCTTGTTTCCAGCTATCATGGTTGCTGTCAATGATGTCAATCAAGTGTATGCGCTACTAGATATCATCAATATGCCCACATTTACATAGTGAGTTGGTCATTCTTGTGTATCATTCCTGCAACCTGTTTGTAGTTCTTATGCCAAGAGCATGCATCCCATAAAGAGTCAACACGTTTCATATCATTTTTTTTTAGTGATCTTCCTCTTTTAGAAGGTATTCGGATCTTCCAGATCAAAATAATTCATTTGCTAGGCAAAATTAAGCTTTAAAAAAAATCACATGTAAAGTAAACAAAAGGACATGAATTGAAGAGAGATAAGCAAGTAAATGGCCAATTTGTGGTCAAAGAGAGGATATTTTATTAGAAGGTATGTACATCATTAGAAAGCAAATTGCTTGAGGAATTCAATGGTACTATTTTCAGGGTTCTAAGTAAAGTACACATTGCGAAATTCATCAAACAAGGCCGTGGGATTTCCAAAAGAAGGAGGTTTCTGAATTAAACTTCACCTGCAATATCATTTTTATCTGTGTGCTATTCTGTTTCTTTGGATCATGTCACGCTCCTCCTACGTCTCCAGCCTGTCCTTTTTGGGTCTCACGTTGGGTACGCTATCCATTTGAGAAGGAGTCTCGCTTTCTCGTATAATCGTTTCTGTGGGTATCATTGCCGTTATATTATAGGGCTTTGAGCAATCAAGGAGAGTCTTCTTTTAGCCAGCCAAAACGGATTACAATCCCGCTCGACTTTCTGTCATGATTCGTTGATTTTGGATCCTTTTGCGATTTGATCGCCTTATTTTAGAAGATTCGACTATGAAAGTTGTTGTGATCATCCTTTACAACCTTAAGATATCTAGAAGTGTTGCATACAAGCATGCATCTTAGGCTACATTCACTTTCTCTTCAAGCCACCTTTTACAGTGTAGCAGCATAGATGATGTTTATCGTATCACATCACATCTATGTTTACAAGTTCAGTCAATTGTGTGTGCACAGGTGCCTCAGGAACTACAATACATTCAATCTCCCCAATGTCAAGATATAGAGATCCACCTACACTACATGAAACATATCGACTGAGGCGGCCTCTCAACAAGCTATACCAACAATCCATAAGGCCCCAGTGGCCTGTTATTTATATACCATCTCATCGTAGTAGTCATTGACCAGGAATCTACCATATTTAAGCGAGTTAGAAGCCCTGTGTTGTGCCAGAGGGGCTACAACTGTCTATAAAGATTAAGGTATTCTTGATGGGTAGATATGTCTGTGTTGTGCAACAACATGGACAAGCTATGATAATTGAAGTGCATCTCAGCTATCTAAATACTGAGGTTCACCAGATGTGATAAGCGTTGTACAAGATAAATTGCTACTTTGGCATTCAGAACTTAGTATAAATAGAATAACTCTTGTCTTCATCAATAAATCTTTAGTTTTTATGTCTGATCTTATTCAAATAAGTCTTTTCTTGTTGCAGTGAAATCAGGTTTAAATAGATTTCACAAAAAAAATAAAGCAATAGTAAAATACAATAGAAATCAACTATATTTTATTCTGTGTATAAAATGAACTGAAGATCCTGGAATTGAGTAAAAAAAAAAGAAGAGTATTTATACATTTGCACCTAGCTTGTAGTAGGATTAGTGACGATAGAGAGCAATAAGTGCTGCTATTGCGATATCTGGCAAATGTTGTTGATGTTTGATTTAAAGTGGTAATCAATGCAGGAGCACTGGCCATAAGGGTCGATTTGAGTAACCTTGATGGGCTTGGGTAAGCTATTGTCATAGCATGATTTAATCTAACCTTGATGGCTTAAAGTGTGATGTTTGTTATTGAAGTATGGAATCCTTTATCTGGAATATTGTGCAACTATGGCAGCAGGGCATAGTTGTCATATTTGAATATGCTTGTTATTGATTTGATTCTACTGTAGGGGGAAAAACTGTCCCGTTCGTTCAAATAATCTTGACTTTTACCCAGTATATTGCCAAAACTCAGAAAACAAAGCTACCCCATACTGCGTTCGATAGAACAGCCTATAGGAATTACAGCAACATAAAAATCTTATGGCTGGACTATATTTTAATCCCAGTATAACCAGCTAAAGTGAGACGTGGCAAAAATGTTAGGTGGGTAATTCTAGATGATATAAAATGCTTGATATCTTTACTTCCAATAGACGTATTGAAGAAATCTAAAAACCTACCCGCGGTATGCTCAGGATATTTAATATCCCAGTAGCATTCTAAAAGATAAAAGAAGCTAGTTTTTTCATATTTTTTTCTTTATTTCTTTGCTTTCTTTTTTTTTCAAAACTTTCATTATGCCTGCTCGTTTAACACAAGATTTGCGCAACACTCTCCAATCTTTGCTCCAACGTGGTCTGTCGTTCTCAAAGATAAAAAGTTTATATCCAGGAGTGGGTAACTCTACTCTTACAAGGCTCAGAAAACTATATTGCCCTGACCCAGCTAGACCTCTTGGCGGAAGACCGAAAAAACTTGGTGCTAAAACTATGTCCCTAGTGTCAAGAGGACTTCGATCAGGTGCTTTAGATAATTCCGGAGCAGCGCAAGAAAGTTTAAGATTGATGGGGCATGATATGTCAATTAATGGCATCCGCAAGTCATTGAGACGAAATGGACTTAAATCTCGTAGAAAAGTAAAGACCAATTTTGTTAGCAAGACAAACAAGCTGCTTCGATTGGCGTGGGCTAAAAAGCATAGGCATCTTACTATTGCTGATTGGAGTCGTTGGGTGTTTTCGGATGAAACAAGAATAAACCTTTGGGGCTCAGATGGTAATTCTTTTTACTGGACGAATGGTGGCCGAATCATGCAGTCGTATTAAGTCAAGTCTCAGTTGCAGGGAAATGACGGTAGGGTCATGTTCTGGAGTTGTATAACAGCGGAGGGGCCTGGTTATGGTACTACCATTATTGAAGGCTCAGTAAACTCGGACTTGTATGTCGATATTTTGAAGACATCATTGGTCGACACTCTTGAGCACTTTGGGAAGGCACCGTCTGATGTGCGATTCCAACAAGGCAGGGCAACACCGCATACCTCAGGCACTACTAAGCAATGGTTCACCGACAATGGGTTCAACCCAGACGAAATTATGGATTGGCCACCCCAAAGTCCCAATCTTAATCCCATTGAACATGTCTGGCATCTCCTAAAGCTTCGTCTTAATAAGTATCCCAATAGGCCCTCTACAAAAGAAGAATTAGAGTGGCGTATTAACATTCAGTGGTACAAAATAACAGAAAAAGAGTGCCAGAAATATATTGATAGTATGCCTGCCCGAATCAAGGCTGTCATCAAGAGCAAAGGTGGTTCAACTCACTATTAATGATTTTATAATAAAATGTACATTTTTCTATATTTATTTTTTACCCAATAAAATCATTGAATTTTAGTTTTTGAAAAAGTTATAATTATGTATAGATAGCACTACTTTCTCTCATTCAAACGATATATATTTCGACTTTGTATACAAAGAAATGACCAAAAACTTGTGCAAAAAGACAAAATTTTAAACGAACGGGACAGTTTTTCCCCCTACAGCATTTGGATAAAGATACCATCACTTATTACGACCATCATGGGTGTGATTGAATACACTGTGATCAGGAGTGATTCATTCACACGATGTGCGATATAAGCGTGTATCTTTACTTTAGTATTTTTAAATGGGTTTTTGATGTACATTTGAGCGCTTTCATTAATAGATCCAAATAGCATGAATTTGAATGAGTGCTATTTGATGAACTTTGGTTTTCAATTAAGTTGCGTTTGGGTGGCTATTTCATTACACTTGTTTTTATAAGATTGAACATTTTTTATAAGCTACAAATAATAATCCTTTTATTCTTTGTGCTTAACAGAAATTATTGTAGTCGCGCATTTCAAAAAGGAAGACCTGAACCTTCTCAGAAGTAGAATAAAAGCGTTAATCGCTTAGATATTGATTTCCGTACAATGCAGAACATCGGGGTCATCAGGAAGAACCGCGATTTACTTACTCCTTTGACAACACAACCTACTACGCTTTATTTTTGGTCAGACTCTGTCCAGATTTAGACATTTTGAAGCACGAATAACTCATGCTACAAAGCATTGTGGAAGCTCGGTATAGGGCCAAACGCTTCTCCTTGCCCACGCTTTACTTACTGATGCTTTATTTCAAAATGTTATAGGTCGTTGCAAATTCATGAAAATCCTCATGATTTTCATGTGTATTAGTAAGGAAAAATTCTTGAAAATCAAACGACCGCGTTTTTCACCCCAAAAATGACGACTTTTTCTATGATATATATCGAATCAAATTGATTATAAAGATGCAACGCAACACTAGAAGCTGTTTATATGAAACTTTTATATGTTAGATTTTGACACATTCACAGAAAACCTGTTTTCATATTTTTGAAAAATGCTCATTATTTTCGGTCTGAAAGCTGCATGTAATTAGCACCATTCGATGCGGCTTTTTTAGATCTCTAAAGATGAATTATAACGTTGGATGTGACAATGACGATTTTCATTATTAAATTTGGCAAAAACCTTCAAAGGATGTCAAATCAAGTCAAGTTTGAAGACGAAAATACCCTCTGCACAATTGCAAATTAAAGTGCAGCATTTACGGCTGCCACGATGGCAGAAGACTGGGACCAAATCTACTGGTTGTGACGTCGGATAGGTTGCTCTCTCATTTTTCCATGCCCTCCTTTTTTTTCCCTTTTTGAAAAACGCGTTTAGTATCAAACCACATTGGCTTTGGGACCCTTTTGATTGAAAATAACACTCTAGCTTCTGATAACACGATCTTGCACTGTTAAAAGCACTTGATAGTGTTTATTTTAAGTGGAATATAGCAGATACCGTTCGACAACGAGCACAGAAAGACATAGAGCAAGCACTAATCAAATTTTTTATTGGGTTTCGATTATTCTTTTGCCTGTTTGCCGTGGGCGCTGCTGCCACTACTTCTCTGCTATTCTGCTGTCTGCTTCTTTGGTTTATTATGTCTGGTAGCTGCTTCTTTGGTCTCCATCTCTGACAGTTGCTTCGTTAGTCTTTATCTGGTCTCTGGTGTCACTCGTTCTTCGGCTTTTCTACGCTGCTGGTGTTGCCGCTGGTGTTGTTGTTGGTGTTGTTGATAATCTGGTGTTTCCTGGTCTACTGTCTTCGCTGTATGCTTGTTCTCTGGCCTATCCCTGGTGATTGCCTATAATCTTCTAGTCTATCCGTGGCTGTGGTAGGTTTAGTAAGCAATTTCTTTGGTCTTTGTCTGGTCTCTGGTGTTGCTGCCGCTGCCGTTGTTAATATATGGTCTTTTATGGTCTACTGTCTTTGGTGCATGCTCGTTCTCTGGTCTATCTCTGGCTGTGGTAAGTGGCAAGTATCTTCTTCTTTTGGTCGCAATGATATAAACCTTCTTTGAACGTTTATATTGTTACTTCCTTTCTCGTGATAATGCATTCATGATGTTTGCTTTGTTGCGCTTTTTTTCTTTTTCTTTTCTTTTCTTTTGTTGGTAGTGTTTCCTCTGTGGCTTCACACGAAACAACCTTAGTCACTATGTTGTATTGCAAACTTAAAACGCCACTGTTGCTTTTGCAGTTGTGTGTATTTGTGCCATGCTGCTTTACACCCGACTACTACTATCATGCACGTTACTCATTTATGCAATTTTATTGCAACAACAACGAGTTTCTTTGAACACCTTTAATGTTGTGTTTGTTACGCTTTTCTTTGACTCGCCTCGTGTGAGTGCTTCTTTTTTTTTGCCTACATACCACTATACTCTTATAGTAGCATGTTCTTTTCTTCATTCTTTTATTATTATTATGTTTCTTTGAAGCATACCTTTTTTACGTTGTGTGGATGTGCCTATCCCTGAAGCTCAACAAGAACTTATCCGAGGCTAGGAGGTAGATAGGCCGCCTCCACTTGGTTATTGCTACTTACTTTAGTGATGATTGAGGGTCTCAATGCCAGAACTTAAAAGCTGGGTGGTGTAAGTAAGGCATGCTCTAGCACCTGGGGGAAATTTGATGATAGTGACAGCTATATTGCTATTATAGCGGCGCTTAAAATTTTGCCTCACATCAAAACAGAGGGAAACCCTCGCAATTTTTTTTTAGGTCAGCGGAGTTTTCAAGCAATCTGATTGGCTCAGAGGTTGAAGTAGCAAAGGATTCCAACTAGTTGATTTTTCTATTGATTTGTCGTTTAATATAATTTAGTGTTTGTAATAAAAGGGGTATCTAAATAAATAAGATTTGAGTTCTTCTTTATTCAAAAGATAAGGTATAAACATTCGATCTAGCATTTATTAAACAGTTTCATGTGGTGAGGGACATTTTAAATTTATTATGTTCTGCCAAACTATATAGCATCACCTCTTATATGTATCGTACCATCTAATAAAGCTGAGCGCTCATAATGAGTATGATAATGCAATGATTCCTAACTTTTCTAAATCAGTGTGGAAGTTTTCAATTATTTAACACTCTGAGTACACATTGAGAATAGACCGAAATATGTTAGATCAAAAAAAAGCATTTCCATCGTACAACGAAATGAAAATTGGCAGAGAAATCTTCAATGTCTGGTAATTATACTTCTAAATAGCATTTATGTATAGCTCTCCAAAAAGACAACTCATAAAAATCGCCTTTTATGAAAAACTTAGTAGAGGTATGTTTATTCACTGCTTGCATGTATTATTCATAAATCTCTTAACTACAAGTTACAGTAACAATAAAAAAACAGCCCCTACATTCCTCGAATTACTGCTAATAAAACTGATTGTAATCGACAATTATTTTGAAAGCGTAGTAGATATACGCCAAGCCAACATACGATGGATATCTTGTAATGGCAACATAGCTACTTGAGCCTTATATCACTTTATACACAAATTGATTTCTTTATTGTTTGCTTGCGGGGTAACATCAATCACGACCTAATTACTTTACAAAACAATAAACATACTACGTAGCACTCAAATCATCAGTGCAATTGATATAAATTTGCATTTCATTGTGAATCAGGAAAATCACCCAAAGACGAGCTGATGTCAGTTGATCCGATGGCTCCCATGAAGTTTGCAAACATTGCTTCATTTCGTCTAGTTCAAAGTGAACAGGATTGAGTACACTTGAGCTGGTAGTACGTTCGATAAAATCGCGAGTGTGAGTATGCGAAGAATGAGATTCATCATCTAAAGCTCTCATACATGGGGCGTACCCAGCAGTACATCTACAGTCTTCTGGTGGACAGGCTCTAGCTTCCTTGATGCAAACAGAGTAGGTTTTTGACTCGTTAACTGGTAGGATGTCTTTCAAAGTGATGGTATGCTTCCAGTTACCACCAAATTCATAGAGATAAACTTGTCCTTTGGTTTCCTCAGCAAGGATCCTGCAACTCTTCATAACTAGATACCTAGCTCTTGTTGCGATCCATTTTTTCAACGATATTCTCGAAACTATTGCTAGGGCACATTTAATGGAGGTGAGAGTTGTTCAATCCCATGGCTTTTTAACAATACAATGGAAGGTTCGAAAAGGCGTATTGGAGGAAAGTAGCACCGTTCCGTGTATCTTGGGCTTGAGATTAGCCAAAGCAATTTCTATTTGATAATTTTGAGCCATTGTTTCAATTTAATATCATCAAACGAAACGATAAGACTGGAGACGCCTACCAGTTTAAGGCTGATTATAGCTTTTGCCTCCGATGCCATTCTACCTGTATTACACTCGCTCTATTAAGATTCTGAATATGTAACAAACAAACATATATTCATTGTAATTAGGCACTGAAATGATATTACAGCTTTTCACGTGTCACCTGAATGCTGATTAACTTCAAATCACATTTGATCTGTCAACATCCAAGCGGCTCTTTCACAGGGTAATGGCACCTGCTTGATAACAGCAAACGTCTTTCGGAATCACAGAATCCATGCTGAAAAAAAAAGGTGATTTCTATCTAGTCAAAATACTGAAATCGGCATGAGCCTTACTTATATAATGATCGTGTGCCAGATGTATGCGGCATGTCCGCAGGCATTGCGATCGAGGAAGATGACATTTGAATATGCTTGAGTCGTTTCAAGTAAGTGAACAGTGAATAGAAGGCTTCCATGCACCAGCCCAACGTGTCTCATCATGTGAGATGAGTGTTGCACAAAAATCTCCACAAAAACGGTCGATTTGACAGGTCAACACTGCAATGCACATGTCTAATAGCAATGTTTTTATTATTGTATAATTTTTAAAATGAGAAAAAGGTTAGGGAAGAACAACAAGCAAAGAATGACAGGGTAAAATATAACAGATAGAAAAAGGCGGCGATGGTGTTGGTTGTACGTAGTATATGTATAAGAGAGATGTGTTGTTCTAGTTTGTCAATGCAACATTCTCGTCCTCCTTTTCTTCTTCCCATTCAAATTGATCCTCAATATCTTCAATATCAGATTCATCTTCGAGATCAGACACAAATTCAATATCCTAACAAGCAATGATGATTAATACTAAATGTATCACAATGAACACATCCACAAACAAGCACCAACCTCATCTTCGTCCTCGTCCTCCTCTTCGGGTGCATTTTCATCGTCTTCATCAGATTCGTCTTCCTCAGCATCCTCAAGTTCTTCATCCAAAATCTTTTGCCAAATTTCTTCATTTACATTCAATGGTGCATCTCCGTAAGCCTTGCTCTTTAATCTGTCGATTAACTCCTTTTCGATCGATTTCTCTATTCGTGCAGCTGCCTCTGCCTTACGCTCACGATTTGCCTCACGTCTCTCCAATTTCTTCTTGATACCAATTAATTGTGGTCTATCACTAAGAGTAGCAGTAGTTGTTAGATATGATTTATCATACAAAACCAAACACTTACTTTTCTTTAAGCTTCAATTTACGCATACGGATGAGATATTGAGTGATCTTGGTAAGACGTTGTTTACACTTGTGCGACAAAAAGTTGGGCCAGTATTGTAATTCTTTGTCAATCTACACATGCAATGCCATTAGTCATCCACACCCAAACGAGCAGATCAATGCAGCCTTCTTACCTGTGCTAAAGCTTGCGCATAGTTTTTGGAGAGCTTCTTTCTTTCCCACATTTTAGCAGGAGAGTGAGCACGTTCGGGTGTCTTCATATACAAATAGATAATACCTGTCAAATGTTGGATTAGTCAAGCTGGGACATCGGCCTTTATAAACGTAGATTCATACCCTTCTCTTCTCTGATCGTAGCATATCTGCTGTTTGCAAGAGGGCAAGACTGACGATTACAGAGGCCAGTAACATTGTATTGGTTTCGACAGAAATTGCCAGTAGCTGTTCTAAATCAAGACATGTCAAATCGTTGATCCCGGTCACTTGCCAAAGGTGCACTTACTTGACTTTGTAAGAACAAAACTGTTGGTTAATCACCTGCCAAATAACTTCGTCAGACTGCATGTTTTACGATTATTGCAAGAAAGAAATGAATAAAACAGGATAATGTACTTCCAATACAATTATTTTTTTCGTTTGAAAAAAAAGACTTGAAGAAAAAAAGGCGTGACCTTCTTTACCAGCACAAAAGTAGAAAAAAGCCACTGGCTTCAGGCTCTTCCATCCACCTGGAAATGGAAATTCATGCTTTGCGTGCAGTGTCTCCCTTTGAGATGCTTGCTCTAATTGTAAATTTGTCACCATCATTGCAACGGCAACGATTGACAAGTGTGATTTAAAGTCATTTAGTAGTCATAATTTGTGTTGCAAAAAGACATCTTGAAGCCATCCAATTCATTGTAAATGAGAGCTTCAAAATTACAGTCGAGAATCTTGACATTTGTATACGGAAGCATTATGAAAGCTCGAGAACCAAGCAGAAGTGCATATACAGTATAGATGCCGCAATACTAGTATTAGTTTTACCGAATTTTTGAAATGATCTTGATCTGGCAACAAATGTATCTAATGGCTCTTTGATCCGCTTTCTACGATGCTATGGAGAGCTATGCGAGGGACCATTTTAAGAGCGAGGCTTGCCTACTAGTCTCTGAAACCCCATAGATACCTAATTTCAGCGCAAGTGCATGTACGTTGATGCTTACATCTTTGTTGAGAACCAAGTCATACAACATTTAGATCCCATGAATTCGAAAAAAAAAATCATATAATGTGCTCAAATGCTATGAAAAAAGCGTTTTGACTAAGCAGAGGCACACAAATTTAAACATTGAGCACCAGACAAGACTCAAAGAACCTTTTGTTCTTATTTACAAGTATGTTCATGAAATCCTAAGTAAAGAAGAAGAACTACAAGCCCGAAATTATATCAACGAGGATGCTCTCATTCAACGCAACACTCAAATGAGATTGGAACTAATTATTGTTGAAGATAAGCGCATTCAAAACCTGCCAACTGCCAACAGGATTGCAGCTATCATTCCCAATGAATACTCTGATGCAGGCTTTAGAGATATCTTCATCGCATACCGAAACAGCTTTTCAGTCAGTGGCAATAGTCTCTTTTAAGTGAATCAACCAAACGCATATTGATTACATACCACGTTGAAATGCTGCATATCGCGATTAGAAAGTTGCGATTACATATACTTTGATGATGAGCCAGGCTGACTGGAGTTGTCAGATAGGAAAATGTTCAACAAAAGTAAAAGACAGGTATTCAGGCTAGGCGATAGTCCTTTCAATCCCATGGTCCCCATTTAATCAGCATCGCAATCATCATTGTCATTAACAGAAAGGCATTTAGGTCAGCCAGCAGCAATGCCGCCGCAAAAAACAATTCAAGCTCAGTCTATTTTTGCTTTTTAAGATTGGACAGATTTTGTTTTTTTTTCGACTTCTTTAATCTATTCTATGATATTCGACTATAAAATTTTGATAATCACCCTACACTTCCTAATACACTCTTGGAGTACTTTTCAAGGCGCTTCCAATGGTAGTAACTGTAATAGGTGTTTTGACTGAAATTATTGAGCAATTCAATAAAATATGAAAAGAGGTTTCTTGCCAAAATGTCGAAATTTTACATATCAAAGTCCCACAAAGGTGATTTCAGAGGTTGCTTTGGATTGATAGAAACATTTTGATTCAAGATATACCATAGTAAAAGTCTTCATTTTCAAGGTCAAAAACGCGATCGTTTGATTTTCGATGAAAACCATGAGGTACCCCTCATGGTTTTTGGTCGATTTTTGGCCATGTTTTTTTTTTGGCCCAAAAAGTTGAGCAAAGGTGTCAGGAAGTTACTACTACTCAAGCACAATTGTTTGGCGTCATTCCGGTGGCTCATAAAGGTCTACATGTCATGATATTGAGGCTTGAAAGCGTTCGAATTTGGCTGTGCTTCATACATTTGCTTGTAAGATATGTATTAAAGTCTGTGTGTACATGTTGGGTTGCATCATTTACTGTGCTAAATGCTATCAAACAAACGGATGTCAGGGTCATATTGACTACAAACATGGTTCTACAGATATAGGCAGGGCTCTCACCCATACACACCTGAGTACATATGTGATCTTTGGACAGCGGTAGCGAGAAAAGGTAGTAGCTGAATATTGTTTCGTATTTTTGAACATCATCATAACAGCAATTCACTTAATAAATGATCATTTCATCATTGAGAACTAAATGAAACTAATAATTGTATATTTCATACATTTGCTTCATTGTACGTTTAAGATGGTGGTTAATGGTAGTTGCATAGAAATAAACTTGTCATATAGCAACCTAAAGATGCCACCTTGATGCTGCTCAGTTCATTTTTACATTGCCAATGAATGCGTTAGGCATTGATTAAGATGTGATGAGCATGTGGGACGCGACTTTACTCAAGTCACAATAAGCGACCTGTTGTGAAAACCCTAACAAATTTACATGAAAAGAATACCCACCTTCTCTTCCCTTTTCTGCTACAACTTGCATAACTCTATATCCAAGCAAGCACATCTAAATACACCGAAAGACATGAATGAGAACGAGAGCGGGCTGAAGAGGCCACAAGAATCAGCTCATATCACTGCAAATGACGAGCATAAAAAGCAAAAGACTAATAGCGACGATGAACCAGCAGCAGCGTCTTCACCACAATCACCACCACAACAGCAGCAGCAGCAGGATGTGCCACTTTTGCCTGCTACTTTGATCCTTGACAAGGTTCAAGAGGAGACTATCAACGACCTTGTCAAGAATAGCAATGCAGTTGCTTCTTTACTGCAACAAAGCACAGGTAACTGAAGAAGTATTCTCTATGGCTTTATAGTCGATACTCATCGTTTTTGTACTCGAATATAGATGTGGCAGATGAACAACAGAAACGTAAGCCTGTGATGGGAATCCTAGATGATGATGGCAATGATTAACTCTTCAAATCGTAGCAACAGCAACAACAGCAGAATCATACAACCCTACTGATACGAATGTAGAAACTGAAATACCATCAGCAGATTCAACCAAGGCCGTCACAGGTAATTAATCCATATCTCTCATCTCCCATCCATTCATTTCAAAGCAGCATATTTACATTTTGGGCGTACAGGCACTGAGAACGAAAAAGTTGAAGATGCGTCAGCTTCCATCACTAGTGAACAGCTTTTGTTTGCACTGACATCGATCCCATCGTCCGAGAAAGAAGCAGAGGAACAGCAAAAGAAGACGAAAGAAGATATGGAGGAGCAATCGGTTGTTGCTGAGAATGCAGACCACGATAAATCCAATGCCCCTCCTGTACCTCAACCCACAGTGCCATCTTTGCCACAAGCATCATTGCCAATGTCTTCATTACCACCAACTGGTCTTGGTATCACACCCAAAACAACACAGCCACCATTAGAGACGGCCCCACCATCTGCTCTACCAGCTGAAGTACCATCTGATCCAGTTGTAGGCTCCATCCCACTTCCATCTTCTACATCCAATGCGCCCGAAACAGTACCAACAACAACAACAGCAGCAACGGCTCCCGTCTCTTCATCTGCATTACCACCACAGACATCCCTCGCTTCTACAACAGCCAGCGCATCCAACACATCTACTATACCTTCTCCTTATAAGAGCAATATCAATACAACAACTACTACTACTAATCCCACTCTGTCTTCAGGAGCATCAGCAGCAGCAGCAGCAGCAGCGGTAGCAGCCTCCTTTAGCAACTTTCCAGAAATCAGTGCGGCATTGCGTCGGTTGAGCACCACAAATCCATCTGTGATTGAGCAGTTGTCATCATCAGCCTCGTCCTCGTCTCCTCGATTATCTTCCAACATGGGTGGGCATGTGGGTGATCGCAAAGGATCTTCTATCGATGTCTCGCCTCATGAGATATTTGGCAGTGCGTTGGCTGCTGTAGCTGCCAATGCAGCAGCAGCCCGATCAGGCCCTCACAGCAACACCAATAATGTGGCATCACCTAAGCAACCACAACAAAATACTCAGTCGACAACATCCAACACAGCACCACTAGCAAACAACAATGCACAGGCCACAGCAACAGCGATAGGTAATCTGGCTGCATTCACAGCGAACATTAGTAACTTACTGCATTCTGGTGGATTTCATCGCAATTCCTTCAGTCAAGAAGACACGCAAAAATTGGCAGCTGTTGTAGCGAATGCGCGTAACCCTCAGCAGCGCCGCAAGAGCTCCATGCAGGTTGTGGGTAACGCATTTTCTAGCATGATTGATCAAGCCTATTTGATGGGAAGAAACAAAAGCTTTAGTGAAGCCGCTGCCGCCGCCACCATCAATAGATCAGTGCCGCCATCTACATCGAGCACTTATTTATCATCCACCACATTACCACAGACTCCTCCACCTGTAGTGCCGAAACCGAAGCTTATTATCAAAAATGAACAAGTATGGAAGTCAGTGGAAGGCATGGAAGAGAAATTGCTGGGCTTTCAACTGTATTCGCCTCAATTACTATTACCCAATTTGGAAGGCAGTGTCAATGGCTTGATGGAGATTCGAGTGCCAGCACGATTTTTGACATTTGAGAATGTCAAGGTCAAGAAGAGAGCCTTGTGGGGGACTGATATATACACAGACGATTCTGATATTGTTGCAAGTGAGTATATATATATATATAAACAAACACTGAGTCGTTGATTGACATGTCTGTATAGTGGCTATACATTCTGGCAAATATCAACCTCACTTTATCGAGCCAACAATAGAGCCAACAGATCCCTTTGCACTTGCTGTAGCCGGTAAACAGAAGGAATCGATCGAGGCAGCAAGAAGACTGGCATTGAGTGGCAAAAAATATACACAACACGATCAGCACTGGATACCTGACCATGACTTGAAGGTTACTGTGCGAGTTTTACCAACACTGCAAAGCTATGCCAGCTCCATCCGACACAGACTCAAATCAAGAGAGTGGGGCAAACATGACGGCATGAGTTTATTTGTAAATAAGGTGGAGAAAATCAAGGTAACTGCTCGAGTTGTAACTCAATCGCTGCACATGTACTTACATACTCTTGGGTGGCAGAGAGGAGATGCTCGATTGAAGGGCCGTGGTACACTAAAATCCAACATGTTTGCGTATGAATCTTACCGCAAACAAGCATTGGGATTGTACCAAGATAAAAAGACAATACCTACATCAAGCACAGCATCATCTTCTACATCATCCTCATCATTCCCACCTATTCAAAAAGGTCGTATCAAGAAGACGCGAAGAGTGATGCGCATGTTTCAGGTAAACTAGACAGGCGTGATGGCATATACCACTGCTAGACACCTACTAACATCTCTTGGTCATCCTACAGATACGCTCAGAAATGAAAAAGCAAGCTTAATAAATAGATGACACTATAATTTTTATTTCCAAGCGAGAGAAAAAAGGGTATTTCATTTTCTTTACAATTCATCGAATTGGCGAGCCAATTCATCCAATTCTGCTTTGGAGGCCTTGTATTGCTCATCAAGTTGCTCGTACTTTTCCTCCATTTCAGCCAGCTCCTTTTCAAGCTTAATGACCTTACGCTCAGCTTCCTCTGCCTTTAAATCAGCTTCAGTGTAGCTAAAATGTAGAGATGAGTTTGCAGGTACACACACATATGCCATAAACAACTTACTTTTCGGTGGTTGCCTTGAGTTGCTCCTCAGCAGTTTCCAATTGCTCTTCCAAGAGCTTGACACGGTTTTGAAGAGACAAGAGTTCATGATCCTTGGAGATGTGCTCGGTTTCCATTTGTTTGATTTGTGCTTCCAGTTCATCAGCACGTGCAGTTGCATTTTCTGCTTCTGCGCGAAGAGATGTGATTTTCTAGATTGTATTTATTTCATCAAACAAACAATCTTATCATGGCGATGCTTCCAGTAACCTACCTCCTTGAACTTTTCCATAGTGTTTTCAAATGCGTTATTTGTGGAAGAGAGAGAAGAAAGAAAAGGGTGAAATAGAACGGGGGTGGGATATTTAAAAGGCTGCCTAAATCATTATCATCATCGCTTTGCCGGGATGTGAAAACCAAAACGTAATAATAGCAACACACTAACAACGACAACAACAACAATAACAGCGAAATACCACTGTGCTTTGATGTAATTTAGTAGACTTGACACATTTCGTTGCTTTCTCCAATATTGTCGTTGTACAACTTGAACTTTCTTATGTGTGCACAAGATGTAAAAAAATCACCTCATTCAACAGAACATGTCAAATGGTTATAGTATTCCATGTTTTAAGGGCAGTTGCTTTAATTAATTGAGATTTGCCTTATTAGAAAGGGCATTTGATGATATCGTTTTTTTTTTTTTTTTTTTTTTTTTTTTTTTTTTTTTTTTTCTTCTTTCAAGCAGAGGAGTTTTTAGCTACATTGGCTTTAGGTGGTATAGGTGAAGCAGGTCGACTTGATCGTCTTCGTTTCTCTTTTTCAGCGACAACGCCAGGAGGCTCTTGAGTAATGACAACCAAGTTATCTCTTCCACAGTTAGCTGGCGGCGGTGTCAATACGTGATGAACGTGCTTCTTGCCTGGTTCATGCACTTGACACACATCAATCTGCTGTACCCATTTGTCCGCTAAAACTGTCTGCAGATTCGATCTTCTAGTGGGATCAATGTCCAAGATACCAGCCATCACGGGTCTCGCTTCACGTGGTAATAATTTAAGGAGTCTAAATTGTTGTTGATTTTGGTTTGTAGCATAAGCACGGAAGGAGGGGTCTGTTAAACGAGGTATTCTCCATGGGAATCGGCGTATCGTCATACACAAAAAGACGATACCACAGGACCAGATGTCAGATAAGCGAGGATCATAGGTGGGTTGCGTGTACTGTTCAGGTGCAATGTATGGATCAGATCCGTAAATGCCTTTGGTGTGCGTAATGGTGTTTTCAAATGGGTATTTGTACACAGTGGAGCAGCCAAAGTCGATGATTTTGAGTATACCGAGGTGATCCAATACCAGATTATCCAACTTGATGTCGCGATGAGCAATGCCCATTGACTGTAAATACTCGAGGCCATTCAGTAACTGACGCCAGCAGCATGCCACTTCTTCGCGAGACATCATTCCACTCATCACCACATTGAACAGATCATTGGGTGCATATTCCATAATTTCAAAATAGCTGGAACCTTCTTGGATGATGTCCAGTGTTTCGATGACATTCGGGTGATGAAGGGTGGATCCAATACAGAACTCGGCAGTAACTTTTTTGATGTAGTCCTTTTCACTCTCATGAGCTAATCTCTTCCGAAACTGTTTAACCGCAAATGTCTTTTGATCTGCCGAACGCCTTATCAATCTCACTGAACCACCAGCACCTTTTCCAATATATCTGCCTATAATGTACATATCATGTTAGCACCGAAATGTCACAAACAAATGAAGCGCAATACATTACCCCATGTGCCATATCTGCCTCCAATGTCTTGTCTGAACTGATTTGCAAATGTATCTGATTTGACCGTACTTTCTGCAGTGGTAGGCTGATGAGTAAATGATGATGTTGAGTGAGTAGGTGATACAGGGTATTGTTGTGATTGTTGTGTATTTACAAAGAATCGACGTAAATCAGACCAAGCCAGAAATAAGTCTTTGCGATCTTGAGATTGCTGTTGCTGCTGTTGCTGTTGCTGGTAATAGTCATGCTTGTTGCTTCTATGAAAATGCGTTTGATGATATCTTTCATCGTATTCAGGCTTTTTGAAGACAAATTGAGATGGAGTGGAACAAGTGCTAGCTGGACGGTGTGACAAAAGAGGGCGGGGTTGCTGTTGAGAGAGAATGGGTGCTGCTGCATTGGAATTAGTACAAAATGTAGGTTCTGCAGATGACGTAGAGAGAGTAGGCGATGGTGGTTTGGACGATTGAAATAGCTGTGAGCGAGGTCGAGGGTTCTTTTTGGAGTTATTGCTTGCTAATAGCTTGGATAGTTCAGACAAATCGACAGCCGAGGGATCCCAGGATCTTCTCTGAGGCTTGCTACTGGTTGCAGTTGTATGGGTTACAACAGCAGGCGACAAAGATGGACTAGATGGAACAGATCTCTCCGGCGTCACAATATCGTACCTCTGATTTACAAGGTGAATCATGATGTCTGTATGCTCTTTTTTATAGATATATACAGTAGAGAACAACGAAACAAAAAGGATGGAAGAAAAAAGGAAGGAAGAAAAAAGGGAAAATTTTTGTTTGGATCCAATACTTTATAAGCTCTCTCTCTCTCTCTCTCTCCTCTTATACTCGGGACACAAAAAAAAATAATAACATGTCGTATATGGTTTAACGGAGTTGTATCAGATTTATGGGCATATCATTATACAGCTTGTCTATGATAGAGGATGCTGATAAAAGAGGGGGGTGGAGATTGCTAGGAGCAGCCTTCTCCAAGGTTTATAAAGGAAAAGGCGCTTTGTTTCCAATTCCTCTTCTTTTTTCTCTGGATCCATTTAGACAAGATGTTTCGTAAATCTGTTTCCATTGATCTGGTGGAACCGATTGTTTGTTTGCGAGGACAGCCTAAAGATAAACAGACAATCAATATTCTTCGTGGTGCAGTTAGATTGCAATTATCGCACAGCATGTTGATTCACATTATTACTATTCAGTTTGTGGGTGTATCCAAGACGTTGTGGCCGGAAGGTGTGTGTCTGTGTACTGAAGTGTATACAATAAGACTCATTTTCTCTCTCAGCTTCCCAACATTGGGATAAACACATTTTGGTAGATTCCACTATTCCCGTTTGCAAAAATTCAGTACTACTCAAAAAAGGTACACATTCATTTCCATTTGAGATTCTGTTGTCCAATGCACTCTCAGAATCAATTGAATGCGGACTAGGTAATGTTCGTTACAAACTCCTTTGCCAGGTGCATGTGAAACCAAGGTTCATATTCATCAATAAATCAATCCTTCACACTCAGAGACCTGTTGTCTTGGTGCGATTACCAACATTGGAAAGTCAACAGCAGTGCATTACTCAAACGCATGTCATAAATGATCGTGGTGGCCAGTTGACATTAGTCATTGAAAAGTCGCATTTGATTCCGGGCTCTCTGATACCCATTTCGTTCTATTTTAGTTCTTCATCTCAGGTAGTTGCAGTAGAACAGATAGACGTAAAACTGATTGAACGCCAAAAGTACAGAGCTCCCTCCAAACAAACAAACCGCGTTTTACATCATGAAATCGCGCTGTCATCGCCATCATCAGCGACACCACCATGCTTTCTAGACAACGAGCTACGATGTCTGTATGCAGTACCCAGTAAACAAACTATCCAAGTGCGTGCCTCCACATCATATCCAAACATTCGTGTTCGCCATTGGATTCAAATATACCTAAGGTTGGAATTAAAAGACCAGTCTGTAAAGGACCTGCAGATGGATGCACCCATCTCAGTCTTACTAGAATCAGTGGACGACTATTTGAATCTACCTGTTTATACCAGTAAAAGCAACTATAGTAGTAGCAGTAATGCACTACCTACATCAGCATCTAGTACAACCTCTTTCTCTTCCTCCGTATGGCTGCAGAAATTATATCCCATCAAACAACATGCTAATGATCCGCTAAAAGTGTACACAAATCAAAAACACCATTTGATGAAGCTCATCACTGCACCTCCGCCATTGTATGAAGAAATTCTCGCGTAAATGGATAATAAAAAGTCTATATTTGCCACTCGTAAACCCATCTCCAAAATCTTGCGCAGTGCATTGCAGCTTTTTGCCAAGAGTTTTACTTGAATCAGACAGACTTTTAAGGAGTTCTTTTATTCATATCACAGATTAGAGGGTGGTTCGTGCACTCCTACGTGGCAATGACGATCCTATGACCACAGAAATACACAAATCAGGCGCATCGCAAGATGTGAAAGCTTGGATGCAGTGACTAAACGAAACCATCAGCTGGAAAAAATCTGAATTAACCTTCAATTGCTTTTGCAATAATTGACATGTTGTAGCTATTTTCCTTGATGCCATCATTCTAAAACCTTAATGTTTGGTTTTCTTTTGATGAATAAAGGTTTCTGCCTCATACCTGACAAGACTTTATTTCGCCTTTAATGGATAACTGATAGTCTGCGAGCCTTTTAGTATTGATATGCTTAATGTTTAATTTTGGCCATTATTAAAAGAGACATTTGACTAAATAGAGCACTACTGTATTCACAAAGTGAATTAATTAAACATTACTTCATTGTCAGTAGGCATGTTTATATCAGTTAAGCCAACAACTAAGATGCTTAATATTAAGATTCGTATTTAGGTAAAAAACCACCACAAATGCAGGTACATTGTTATGTCAAAATACAATGTAAAATTGAATCTGCCAAAGAAGTACACTTTTATTGAGAATGCATCCCAAGGATGCATTTATATACTTTTCATTATGCTAGGGTTTACAGCATGATGATGAAATATAATACAAATAGGTTTACTATCTACCCAACAATTGATTTGTAAATCATGATTAGCATGATTTACCCAAAGGACATAAGAATAGCCTAAAACCTTTAGTGTGAGACCTTGCTATGACATTTGATATACATGACGACTTTTAGTTGTGTGATAGTCACTATGGCATTTAGCACTATACATACTGCACATTCTCAAAAACTGCATAATTTCAGGCAGCTCTTCAACATCTGTTCATGACCTCGGTGTACCCTATTTAATAATTGTCATTTAATTGACAAATCTTCAACTTCATAATATAAAAAAAAAAACAAACGCATAATTAAATGCAGATCACGTGACTCAATAACTTAATACTTGGAATAATTAAAAATTACAGACTAATATAATATGTCGTCTTGATAGATAGATCCAATGGTAGGAGTTAACAAATAACTTAGAGTGTAACTATTAGATTGAGATTATGTTTGAAGATGCTGTTTATTGAATGCATTTACAACTTATATTTATACTATTTCTGCGATCGATAATTACTTAATCAATGGAACTTTCGAGTAGATATAGTACTTGATATAGCAACTGATAATCAGATCAATGCTTGCTATCAGTTTCCAGAACCTTCGAGTATACGCTGGCGCCTTTTAGTCGCTTTCTTCAAATTTGGTTTAAACCTAAATTTAGGCACGACATCATTCCCCCCCGAGATTGTTGATCGACTCTGATCAACTTGATCGACAGAGCCAGAAGTACCAGAGAAACTAGAAGTACAAGATACAGCCTGATTACTAGAGTTGAGGCCCATTTCTTCACGCCAAGCAGCACGAGACACAGTGGGGTTGTACCAAGGAGTATCAATGGATTCAGCCTTAACACCTTTTAAGCGATCAACATGCACCCAAGAAGAGTAAGGTTCGCCACCAACAGTTTCCAATCTGTAAACATGCGTTTCCGAGTTTTTACCAATGACAATAAAAGGACCAATCCAGTTGTACTCGAGACCATACTTCTGTTCGTTTCTAAGCAGGACATGATCACCGATTTCTGTGGAATACATCCACTATGATCTGCATTCCGACAGTTCATCCAGTTACCAGATTTAGATATAAACTGTATGTACACTGGATTAGATGTACGATATCGATTTATACTATGATCATGAGAAGATATGGACTTCAGATACGCTAGTACTATAAGATTCATACTATATAAGATATAGGCTATAGATGGCACCACGGACATGGATGGCACTATAGACTTATACTTGTATTCCGACATTGACTACGGATGTTTACCATATCTGGATAGGCACCAAGATTAATGCAATATGAGCTTGTTGCTTCAGATGTGCACTTCATGATCCACGCTATAAGACACATGCTTATATCCGTGATACTAGCTACAGATACTTTATGTACTACAGACTTGTACTATATATGAGACATGCTATAGACATGCATACGATATGCTATAGACATGCCATATATCCAGATACATGCTAAAGATGTATGCTTAGCGATATACACTCAGATATGTACTATTAATATAGACTAAGAAGACTGTACCTATCGGATACATGCTACTAGATCGATATTAATTATCCTTATGGAAAGGATAGATCAGGGTACTTCGGATGAGAGTCTAATTATTCATCCAGACAGAGCTAAATCATGATTAGCTTGCTGGAGTTGTCTTTTAGCATGATTAGACATTAGTTGATCTGAGTTGACTTATTTGTCAATCTAATTAATAGAACTTTTATCCATTGTTATAGTATATAAGAAGGATCATCTACCTGGCCAGTAGAGAGACTTCAGTTTACTTTACACCTGTCAGTTTGATAATAAAACATACCTTTATCAAGTTGACATTACTGTTTTTTTATTCTTTTTTTTCCGTGAATTTTAGTCTGTAAAGCCTCAAATTCCACATTTTTTTCAACTCAAAGGTTATCACTTTTACACTTTATCTTATACTCTACATTTTATTATTCTACTTTAAAAACTATTTTTATCATGTCTCACAACCAATACAACGCTACTGAAAACACTCAAGAGGATATTGCTCAAGACTCTATCCGTGTTTCTTCTCCTTATGACTCATCTATGCAAGTGGATGAGCACGCTCAACTTTCTGCAGTTGATCATCTTCTCAAGAAGATTGACACTGCTCAGGCTCGCTTGGATCAGATCCATCGTAACGCTGGTGATACTTACACTGAGGAAGAACGCTTGGCGGCTGATGAAGCATCTGCGTCTGTCGAATGGCTCAGCAAGCAAGTCAGTGCAATTACTAAGAGGGTTGATTCCAAAGCAAGACCTGTCAATCTCAATGAGATCCCCCGTTTCCAGGTGGTAGGACAAGCTAAGCATTGGCCTGACCATCCTCGATTCACCACAGTCGATCATTTCTTCAGTGCTTTTGAGAACGTCATCAGAGCATCCGGTAATGAAATAAATTTGGTTTGGAAACGCTACGTGCCTGTTTCACTGCCATTTGACTTCGAATCATGGACCAAGAATGATCTTCTGGCATGTAATGATTGGGATCAAGCCAAGGCATTGTTCCGCAAACATTTTGGTGCTCCCATCAACTCTGAGGAATCCATGGCCAAACTCTTCAGCATGCGCATGAAGAACAATGATACTCTACAGGACTATACGAATAAGTTCATGAAGTACGTCAAGGATTGTGGCTTCCCTCCTAACAGCAACATGTTAGCCAAGTTCTATCAGTTCACGCTGTTACGCAAGAATCAGCAAATGATGGTCAACCAAATGTCCGTCAAGCATGGTTCCAACCACAAATGGACTATCAACGAGATCTATGAGTGTGTGTTGCCTTTGTTCCTTGTTGACGAGCAAAATCGTGGTGATGATAATGTTGAGGTCGACATCAGAGGTAAGCGTAAGGGTGGTTCTGGTGGTTCTGGTTCGAGAACAAAGATGGCAAGGGTATCTGCCACTGGGTATTTCTGTGCGAAGCATGGCGGAAGCAATGCCAACCACAACACCATTGACTGTAAGTCAAGATTGAAGCACTTTGGCTCTGACAACAAGCCTAACCGGGCTACTACTGCTGCTCCGTATTCTATGAATTCCTCATCCTCTGATCCCAAAACCTGCAACTTTTGTGGTAAGCCCCGTGCTTACGGCCATCGTTGTCAAGAGTTCTACGACTGGAAGAAGGAGAGAGAATCAAGGAAGAACATTGGTGTGCATACTGTACAAACAACCACTGTTCGCAAGGACAACAAGTCTGGTTCTGGTTCTGAGACCAATGATGTTACCATGGAAAGTAGCACTGATTCTGACATTGGTGATGCTATTGGAGATGTCACCATGGAGGAAATAGATGCTTGCTTGGACGAGATTGAAGCAGAGGATGCCTCGCTCAACTGTAAGTCTAATGTGAAAAATGTACCTGAAAGTTTCAATCCATTTCAGTTACTGACTCCTATTATTTTAGAGAGCAAAGAAGGAAAACCAGTCCGTTTGATCGCGAAAGTAGATACGGGATCAGATTCCACCTTCTTAAATAAAAACATTTTTCACAATAAACTACTATTCACTTCCCAAGATATTATTTCTGTTGAAGGCAATTTGAACTTTCTGAGTCATTCAGTAAAGAGATTGGGTAAAACACCAGCTATCAAGATAAGATATCTTAATGACATTGCATTTGATCACTCGTTTGAGCTATCCAATTTTATTCAGGACCTAGGCGATTTTGATGTGCTACTGGGTGTAGACACATTGAGTCGACTTAGAATTGGGCTAACTGGCGTTGCTCACAAGTTTGCTGATATTGGACATCTTACAGAGGAAGAGAAATCAGAGCTTCTTGAAAGCATCGATTTCGAAAATGTCAATTTTGATACTAAACATTCTATTGATCCAGAAACCGCATCAATCTTTGAATCCCAAGCTGAGGAGAATAAGTATATGAGCAACATCCAAGATGCTATTGATGAGAATCAGAGAATCAAGCCTGGAACGTTTTGTAACGTGCCTGAATCTGAGATCACTATACCAATCAAGGAGAATGTTGATTACTATGTCAAGCAATATCCGATCGCACATCATGCAATGCCCGAAATCGAAAAGCAATTGAATGAATGGCTGGATGCAGGAATTGTAGAACAGTGTAGACCTAACGGCTTATTCAACAGCCCTCTCATTGCAGTATCAAAGAAGGACAATGATGGCAAACCCACCAAAACTCGAGTTTGTATGGATGTGCGGAGGATCAACCAGCATATGCCCAACAATACAAACCAATTTGAGATACCAAATATACAGGATATCTTCACCCGGATCAAGCAGAAGGGGACAATATTTTCGAAACGGAAAAACCTCGGTCATGAACATTTTGTTTTCTGATATGCCCAACGTGGAGGTCTATGTGGACGACCTATGCCTCGTATCTTCATCCTTATCCAGTCATTGCGAATTGATTAAGGAGGTGCTGAGACGCTTGACACATGCCAACTTAAAGATTGGTGTTGAAAAGTGCTCCTGGTTTCGATCTAGTATCTACTTGCTAGGCTTTGTAGTTGGTCCTCATGTTTCCAAGGTTGACATGCGACATCTCTCTGACATTGATCATTGGGGTCCATGCAAATCTGCCAAACAGGTTAAACAACTAGCTGGTGTTATTTCATATTTGAGACCACACATCCCAAATCTGTCAAAACTGATGGCGCCTATTGATGCTCTACGAAATGATCCAGATGCTGGTAGCAAATGGACTGAGGAGCACACCAAACGACTTGAGATTATCAAGAAGGTCTTGTTATCTGAAGCTTTACTGACTGCACCAGACATGAATAAGAAATTTTATCTTGAATGTGATGCTAGCTTATATGCAGTTGCAGTCATTTTGACGCAGCGCGACGATCAAGGACGCACAGTCTATGTGGCGATGTTGAGCAAATCTCTGACCAAATCCCAACAGAACTGGCCTGTCCTGAGACGAGAACTGTATGCCGTGTTATTCGGTTTAGTTCGTTTGCGACCCTTATTGTACGGGCATCCTGAGATTGAGGTTATGACAGATCATCGAGCTCTGATTTATATCTACACATGTAAATGTCCTACTAGAGTCATTCAAAATTACATGGAGATTTTAAACGAGTATCCCCAACTGCAATTCACTCATATCAAGGGCTTAGACAACATCTTACCTGACAAACTTAGTCGCTTGTATGAACCTTTAGAAGATCATACAGAGCTGGCGGGAGACAGTGATAAGAAAATTGCTAAATTACAAAAGAATATCATGAGAAGCAAAGGCTCCAAGAAACGATTCATTGGCAACAATAAGCAAACAAAGCATTATCTAACCAAGAACAAAGTAGTCTATAATAAAGACAAGCACTTGAATGTACTTGCCATGAAGATCAAGGAGGGCAATTATGAAAGCGTTGCTTACATTGCACCACCTGACAATGAGAGAGACCAACTGCTTCGTGAAACTCATGAATTTGGACACTTTGGTGCCGCTAGTATTGTCAAGAAACTACATGAAGAAGGTATTCATTGGACAGGTCTATATGATGATGCAAAGGCAATTTGTCAATCATGTATGGAATGTGCAAGACACAATGTAGTTCAAAAGGGTTATCATGAACTGAGAAACGTTGTAGCGTATGGTCCATTTGATCACATAGGCATTGACTTTCTTGGTCCGTTAACTCCAACCAACAATGGCAATATATATATATTAGTTGTATACGACATTTGCACCAGATTTATTATAACTCGTGCATTGCCCAACAAACAAACCGATACTGTCGCTAGAGCTCTGGCTACCATCTTTGGAGACTTTGGCGTAGTACAAATACTACAATCTGATAATGGACGTGAATTCAAGAGTGCTTTGATGAGCGAGATCGGTAAAGCACTTGGCATCAATCAAAGATACTCTACGGCTTTCCACGCTAGGGGCAATGGTGCATCCGAATCAGGTGTTAAAAATATTCTTAATGCACTTCGTAAGATGGTCAGTGAACACATCTATGACTGGGACTCGGTTCTACCTGGAACTCAACTGGCTATAAACACAAAAATTAGGTATCGCACTGAGAGTGCACCTTTTCAATTGATGTTTGCTAGACCATTGAATAGATTCGTAGACTACGATGATCCTAAGATCAAGGACAACTTACCAAAGAAGCCAATGACTCTCGGTGAGCTACGCAAGAAGGCAGAGATTATGAACCAGGTTGTCTTTCCAGCTATAAACCAAAGAACACAACGCATTATTGAGGAGCAAGCAACGCGATTCAATAAGCATCACAAGATTACACACTTCAAAGTTGGTGATTGGGTTATGGTAAGACTTCCGCATAGAGAAAGCAAACTTGAGGCCGCTTATGATGGACCCTATCAAGTTGTTCAAAAGAAAAGATCTACATATGTGTTGAAAGACGATATGAATGAACTACTACATCGCGACTATGTGCCATCTGAATTGAAGCTGGTAGCAATCGACGAGTCTATCATCGAACAAGAAGTATATGAGGTTGACGAGATCAGAGCGCATCGTGGTCCTGAACACAATAGAGAGTATTTGGTAAAATGGAAGACATTTGGAGAAGCTGCCAACTCCTGGGAAACCGCTGCATCGTTCAACAACCCTCAAACCATTCGTAAGTACTGGGCAAAGATCAAGGAATATGAGCTGCTTGAGAAGAGAAGACAGGCACTAAATAGTGACACTGCTTCCTCCAAATCAAAGCGTAAGCGTGATGATTCTGACAAGCGTTTGAGAGGCTCTAAGAGACTCAACGTTGCAGAACAGTAAAGTGATGTTTGTCATGGGATATATCAGGGCAACATGCAAATTGCAGTAGCACCTTTAGACTATCACATTGCGTTATATCTTTGTCAGCGAATGCGAAATACAGATCATTGATCGTTTACATAATTCTTTGAATTAGTCAACATGCGTTGAAACTGGTGGGGGCAAATGTGGAATACATCCACTATGATCTGCATTCCGACAGTTCATCCAGTTACCAGATTTAGATATAAACTGTATGTACACTGGATTAGATGTACGATATCGATTTATACTATGATCATGAGAAGATATGGACTTCAGATACGCTAGTACTATAAGATTCATACTATATAAGATATAGGCTATAGATGGCACCACGGACATGGATGGCACTATAGACTTATACTTGTATTCCGACATTGACTACGGATGTTTACCATATCTGGATAGGCACCAAGATTAATGCAATATGAGCTTGTTGCTTCAGATGTGCACTTCATGATCCACGCTATAAGACACATGCTTATATCCGTGATACTAGCTACAGATACTTTATGTACTACAGACTTGTACTATATATGAGACATGCTATAGACATGCATACGATATGCTATAGACATGCCATATATCCAGATACATGCTAAAGATGTATGCTTAGCGATATACACTCAGATATGTACTATTAATATAGACTAAGAAGACTGTACCTATCGGATACATGCTACTAGATCGATATTAATTATCCTTATGGAAAGGATGGATCAGGGTACTTCGGATGAGAGTCTAATTATTCATCCAGACAGAGCTAAATCATGATTAGCTTGCTGGAGTTGTCTTTTAGCATGATTAGACATTAGTTGATCTGAGTTGACTTATTTGTCAATCTAATTAATAGAACTTTTATCCATTGTTATAGTATATAAGAAGGATCATCTACCTGGCCAGTAGAGAGACTTCAGTTTACTTTACACCTGTCAGTTTGATAATAAAATATACCTTTATCAAGTTGACATTACTGTTTTTTTATTCTTTTTTTTCCGTGAATTTTAGTCTGTAAAGCCTCAAATTCCACAAGTACCACAATTGAGCATCATTTCGCAACAGAGAAAGTCCAACCAAAAGCTTTTCTTGGGTGTTTTCAATCTTTACCAAGGAGAAATACAACTCCAAAGAGTAAATCCATGCGTTTAGAACAATAGCGTCTCTTTCACCATTAAAAACATCGGGTTCACGGACCTTGCGAACATAACCAGAGTTGTTACCAACAATATTTGCACTTGACATAGTAATATCTTCGTTCATAGACTTGTAGAAAACCAGAGAAAATCAGAGAAACTTGTAGAGAAACCAACAACGAACGTCAAGAGAACCTTGAAAAATAACCTTGAGAGATGACCTTTAGAATAACCTTTAGAAATAACCTTGTACTTTGAATTTGTTTTTTGTCCTGCTGCTACCAGTTGTCGTCTTGATAGATAGATCCAATGGTAGGAGTTAACAAATAACTTAGAGTGTAACTATTAGATTGAGATTATGTTTGAAGATGCTGTTTATTGAATGCATTTACAACTTATATTTATACTATTTCTGCGATCGATAATTACTTAATCAATGGAACTTTCGAGTAGATATAGTACTTGATATAGCAACTGATAATCAGATCAATGCTTGCTATCAGTTTCCAGAACCTTCGAGTATACGCTGGCGCCTTTTAGTCGCTTTCTTCAAATTTGGTTTAAACTTAAATTTAGGCACGACAAATATATAACGTCTTCGGTAGTATAGTGGTGAGTATCCCCGCCTGTCACGCGGGAGACCGGGGTTCAATTCCCCGCCGGAGAGCTTTTTTGCTTCTCACATTTATAGTGTATGTAGTCTTTAAGCTTGCCATTTTTTTGTTCTGGTAAACAGAAATAAATTTTATATTGTTACAAATCGATTTTGGTTTTGTAACTGAATCTCTCTTTTTTTGTTGTAAATTGCCTACACTATCGTATAAACTACGTTTCACTGCTTACTATATTGGATTCTACTTCTGTTACTACAAATTGACATTAAACTCTTAAATGTTTCTTATATTCGAATATACTCTGAATCCTATTTCAAGAATGACAAATCAGTTACTACTCAGCCTCGTATCATTTTGACAGATATATTCAAACTCTCAAACATCTCTCTTTCCTAATGGAAGCACACAAATGGAAAGCAACTCCACATTACCCATCCTTTCATCCTCTAGTAACATTATCAATATCATTGTTATATCAAATGTCATAGCAAGGTCTCACACTAAAGGTTTTAGGCTATTCTTAGGTCCTTTGGGTAAATCATGCTAATCATGATTTACAAATCAATTGTTGGGTAGATAGTAAACCTATTTGTATTATAGTTCATCATCATGCTGTAAACCCTAGCATAATGAAAAAGTATATAAATGCATCCTTGGGATGCATTCTCAATAAAAGTGTAATTCTTTGGCAGCAGGTTCAATTTTACATTGTATTTTGACATAACACTTTTTTGAATCCCATAAATTTTTTACACTTACTACTATGAATAACGCAAACCCTACTACTGTTTCTGTTGGAGCTGGTGTTGGTCATCGCTCTGCATCGGGAGATGCAAGTTTTGGTTCTGGTTCATCTTTGTCGTCTCTACAAAATGAACATAGCAATGCATTGAGCAATGATGCTCTGCATAATGGTATTGATGCTTGTAGCGAAGACGCTCGCATTGATCAGGCATTGAGCGATGACGCTCTGTCAACTCTTGATAATGATACTATCATGAATGATAGTGGTGAGCTATTGGAATTTGATTTCGATAGTGAGATCCAACCCTTGGGAATGGATCATCAGGCTAGCATGGCCAGGGACATCAAGATGTTGAGGAGAAGGCTTTTTGAGGCTACAAGGCTGTCTATCACTATGCCTGAGGATGGCACGCTTGCATCCAATGCTGGGGCCCTGAAACGCCAATTGATCATGGCTAAGGAAAACTACGATTTGTTGTTTGATGATACTCCAATGCTCTCCCCATCTATGGCCTATTCCAATGCTGCTAATAGCATAGTACCTCCAGATACGCCATATATTCAATGGAAAGGACACAAGTTTAACAACAAGAAGTTTGTCTATCCTACCATGGATGCATGCCTTCAACAATTCCAGGATGTACTGGAGTCTCGTGGTGTGTCGATCGAAGCAAACTGGAAGAGAATTATTAAGCCGAAAATGTCCACGGGTATGTCTGCCTGGACAAGAGAAATCATACAAAAGTATCCCGAAATTACTTGGGGCCAGTTCAAGAGCAAGCTCAAGGTGAAATATAGCCCTTCGGAAGCAGAAGAAAGAAAAGCTGCACTCAATAAGCTAAAGACGCTTAAATTGGACAACTGTGACAATCTACTGTAGGGGGAAAAACTGTCCCGTTCGTTCAAATAATCTTGACTTTTACCCAGTATATTGCCAAAACTCAGAAAACAAAGCTATCCCATACTGCGTTCGATAGAACAGCCTATAGGGATTACAGCAACATAAAAACCTTATGGCTGGACTATATTCTAATCCCAGTATAACCAGCTAAAGTGAGACGTGGCAAAAATGTTAGGTGGGTAATTCTAGATGATATAAAATGGTTGATATCTTTACTTCCAACAGACGTATTGAAGAAATCTAAAAAACTACGCGCGGTATGCTCAGGATATTTAATATCCCAGGAGCACTCTAAAAGTATAAAAGAAGCTAGTTTCTTCATGTTTTTTCATTTCTTTGCTTTCTTATTTTTTTTTCAAAACTTTCATTTTGCCTGCTCGTTTAACACAAGATTTGCGCAACATTCTCCAATCTTTGCTCCAACGTGGTCTTTCGTTCTCAAAGATAAAAATTTTGTATCCAGGAGTGGGCAACTCTACTCTTACAAGGCTCAGAAAACTATATTGCCCTGACACAGCTAGACCTCTTGGCGGAAGACCGAAAAAACTTGGTGCTAAAACTATGTCCCTAGTGTCAAGAGGACTTTGATCAGGTGCTTTAGATAATCCCCGAGCAGCACAAGAAATTTTAAGATCGATGGGCCATGATATGTCAATTAATGGCACCCGCAAGTCATTGAGACGAAATGGACTTAAATCTCGTAGAAAAGTAAAGACCAATTTTGTTAGCAAGACAAACAAGCGGCTTCGATTGGCGTGGGCTAAAAAGCATAGGCATCTTACTATTGCTGATTGGCGTCGTTGGATGTCTTCGGATGAAACAAGAATAAACCTTTGGGGCTCAGATGGTAATTCTTTTTACTGGACGAATGTTGGCCGAATCATGCAGTCGTATCAAGTCAAGTCTCAGTTGCAGAGAAATGACGGTGGGGTCATGTTCTGGAGTTGCATAACAGTGGAGGGGCCTGGTTATGGTACTACCATTATTGAAGACGCAATAAACTCGGGCTTGTATGTCGATATTTCGAAGACATCATTGAACGATACTCTTGAGCACTTTGGGAAGACACCATCTGATGTGCGATTTCAACAAGACAGAGCAACACCGCATACATCGGGCATTACTAAACAATGGTTCACCGACAATGGGTTTAACCTAGACGAAATCATGGATTGGCCACCTCAAAGTCCCGATCTTAATCCCATTGAACATGTCTGGCATCTCCTAAAGCTTCGTCTTAATAAGTGTCCCACTAGGCCCTCAACAAAAGAAGAATTAGAGCGGCGTATTAACATTCAGTGGTAAAAAATAACAGAAAAAGAGTGCCAGAAATATATTGATAGTATGCCTGCCCGAATCAAGGCTGTCATCAAGAGCAAAGATGGTTCAACTCACTATTAATGATTTTATAATAAAATGTACATTTTTCTATATTTATTTTTTAACCAATAAAATCATTGGATTTTAGTTTTTGAAAAGGTTATAACTATGTATAGATAGCACTACTTTCTCTCATTCAAACGATATATATTTCGACTTTGTATACAAAGAAATGACCAAAAACTTGTGCAAAAAGACAAAATTTTAAACGAACGGGACAGTTTTTCCCCCTACAGTAGAAGACTTCATTGACAGGTTTAACTCCTTGAAGGACTTAGCGGGAGTCAAGGAAAATACGTCTCTGGTAGACTATCTGCTTCGTGGTCTGGATATCGACTTGTATGGACCGGTGTCTATGGGCATTTCACAAGCCCGTTCCAAGGGAAGCGACACTTTGGATTTTGCTATCTCACAATTGCGCAGTGCCTACGATTTGTTGAGAAGAGATGATTATTATAGGCAGGAAAAGCAGAGAAAGGATGCTGAACTGAACAATACGATCAAGGATGCGATCAAGGCACATCAGCGTGCTGAGGGCTCTGCTTCGTTGAGCAGCAAGAAAACTCGTCGTGCTGGTCGCCACCACGACAAGCAATCAAGAAAGAGGAATGATAGTCCTGGTGAAGTTCTTAAATGTTATGATTGTGGTTTCACACCATTTACGTATGCGCATAAGGCATTATGCAAGAAGAACCCCAAAAATATCAAAAAGATAACAAAGAAGAAGAGCAAGTTGATTGTGCCAAGACCTGCTTCCAATGATGATACTGATTCATCATCCTCTGATGAGGAAAGTGATCAAACTTTTGCTGTTGCCACAATTTCTACAAAGGACAAGCAAAAGGAGGAAGTCGTATCCATGGATACTGATAGTGAATGTAAGCATTTGTATAATGAATATTTCAAAAAGATGCCTAGTAATAACATGGACACTAATGGACTTCTTTATCTACCTGTGATATTAGAATCAGAGAGTGGTGTTAAGGTTGACACATGGTTTTTGTTGGACACTGGTTGTACATTTAGTGCAATCTCGCCCAAGTTACTTGATTTCATGCAATTAAATGTTGTAAATAAAAATGATATTATTAAGCTGGCTCAAAGTAACACTGTTGTTAATCGTAAAGGACAATCTGAAGAGGAACTAAAGATTAATTATGGTTCCAAAGTTGTCTATTCCAAATTTGAAGTTTTTGACTTATTTGATGATGTCCATTGCGTGTTTGGCATGGATCTATTGTATAAAGTTGGTAATACATTGGGTAATATTGCCGCAGATTGGTCTGATCGAATTGGATATGAGATCCCTGATGTTAAGCACAAAGAATAAAAGGATTATTATTTGTAGCTTATAAAAAATGTTCAATATTATAAAAACAAGAAAAGACTTATTTGAATAAGATCAGACACAAAAACTAAAGATTTATTGATGAAGACAAGAGTTATTCTATTTATACTAAGTTCTGAATGCCAAAGTAGCAATTTATCTTGTACAACGCTTATCACATCTGGTGAACCTCAGTATTTAGATAGCTGAGATGCACTTCAAATATCATAGCTTGTCCATGTTGTTGCACAACACAGACATATCTACCCATCAAAAATAATTTAATCTTTATAGACAGTTGTAGCCCTTCTGGCACAACACGGGTGGTTTATGAGCTTTCACGTAGCACATCTTCGTTAACTGGTTCAAGGCTTCTACACTTATCCAGTATTCAGGATTATTAAGGCTTTATTGCTTTGGCATTTTCAAATAACTATAAACACATTCGAGATTTACATTAGTTTTAACCCTCATTCAATCGAAATAACATGATAAATATATTCAGTTTTAATTATATTTCTTCTCCCTATATTATTCTTAACGCATTTTTTTTCTCGCTAAATTTGGCTGTACGAACATGCTACTTTCAAAACTCTGATGTAAATAGTCTAAGATATGATTGTGGATGGTGGCGTAAATTTTATGACAAAAGATACTTTTATACATGTGAAATCGTTGATATAAAGCAAAAGTTAGCAACCCATTACATTGAGACATGTTGGAAAATACTGATAAACAACGCATGCTTGGCGGCGGGGCATCTGTTACTAAGTCCTCCTGGTCCTTAAAGTAGTATTTGTTTAGAATAACGAAATATAGACAGAGTAAATACAATTAGAACTGAATATATTTATTATGTTATTCCAAGATTGAATAGGGATCAAAACTAGTGTAGATATCAAAGGTATTTATAGTTATTTGACAGTGCCGCAGAAATAGGACCTTGATCTTGAATGCGGGATAATTGTATAAGCCTTGAACCAGTAACGAGGATGTGCTGCATCAGAACTCATGAACCACCAGTCAAGGATAAACAACAAAGATGATCCAGGATAGAATGTTCCTCCTAATAGCTTTGACGGAAGAACATTTGTCGGAATTGAAACCCACTTCCAGGGACAAAAGGCCATAGGCTACCACTCTCTAGGAACCAGGATATAGATTAGCCATTTGATGGCACCACTCATGTTCCTTCGTGCTGCTTGAATAAAGACCTCTCACTTCTACTATGCATCTCAGCTCATTCTCAGATCCTCTTATGTAATAAACGACGCCTAATACATTTGCCTCTCAGAGATGATCTATATCCTCAACAGATTGCACCTTATTTTATAGTTTTAAACAAAAAACGACATAAATTGGATCTATTTGATACTCTTTTTATTACAAATACAAAATTATAATACATGACAGATCAATCGGAAATCAACTAGTTGTAGCCCATCGTTGTTTCAACCCCTGAGCCAATCAGATTGCTCGAAAACTCCGCTGACCTAAAAAAAAATTGCGAGAGTTTCCCCCTGTTTTGATGTGAGGCAAAATTTTAAGCGCCGCTATAATAGCAATATAGCCGCTGCTATCATCAAACTTCCCCCAAGTGCTAGAGCATGCCTTACTTACACCACCTAGCTTTAGATTCTGGCGTTGAGGCTCTCAATCATCACTAAAGTAAGTAGCGATAACCAAGTGGAGGCGGCCTATCTACCTCCTAACCTCGGATAGAGTCTTGTTGAGCTTCAGGGATAGGCACATCCACACAACGTAAAAAAGGTATGCTTCAGAGAAACATAAAAATAATAAAGGAAAGCATAAAAGAACATACTACTATAGGAGTATAGTAGTACATGGGCAAAAAATGGATACTCACCACACAACGTGAGTCAAAGAAAAGTATAACAAACACAACATCAGAGATGCTCAAAAGAGCTCGTTGTTGCAACAAAATTGCATACATGAGCAAAGTGCATGGTAATAGTCGAATGTAAAGTAACGCAAACACACAAAACTGCAAAAGCAATGGTGGTATAAGTTTGCACTGCAACATAATGACTAACGTTGTCTCATGTGAAGCCACAGAGGCAACGTAACCAGCGAAAGAAGAAGAAAGCGCAACAAAGTAAATATCATGATAAAATGCATTATCACGAGAAAGGAAGCAATAATACAAACGTTCAAAGAAGCTTTATATCATTCCGACCAGAAGAAAGAAGATACTTACCACTTACCACCACCACAGATAGACCAGAGGATACGCAATCACCGGATATAGACCAGAGGATACGCAATCACCGGATATAGACCAGAGAAAAAGCATGCACCAGACACAGTACACCAGAGAAGACCATATTAGCAACAGCAGCAGCAACACCAGCACCATGGAAAAACCAGAGACCAAACGACACCAGAGACCAGACAAAGACCAAACAACAAGCAACACCAGCAGAGACCAGACAAAGACCAAGAAGCAGACAGCAGAGACAGCAGAAAAGGAATGGCAGCAGCACCCACGTCAAACAGGCAAAAAAATTATCAAAACCTAACAAACAAATTCAGCTAGTACTGATTCTACGTCTTCCAGTGCTCGTTTATTGAATGGTACCTATTATATCCCTCTTCAAAAAGGCAGTGTCAAGTTCTTTTAGCAATACAAGGCAGTGTGATCAGAAGTTGGAGTGTTATTATCATTCGAACGGTTTCCAAACCAACATGGTTTGATACTAAACGCATTTTGCAAAAGGAAAAAAAAACCAGGGATATGGAAAAATGAGAGGGCGCCCTATCCGACGTCACGGCTAGTAAATATGGCCTCAGTCTTCTGCCACAGCAGCTGTTGCTGCGGCACTCAAATTTGGATTTGTGCAGTTGTCATTTTTGTTTTCAAATTTGACTTGATCTGACATCCTTTAAACGTTTTTGCTAAATTTGACTATGAAAATTGTCATTGTTATACTTTACTTTCTATTGCGTTTATAAAGAGTCATTAAAGGTGCATCGAATGATGCTGGTTACATTTAGTTTTTATACTGAAAATAATGAGCAGTTTTCAAAAATATGAAAACAGGTTTTCTGTGAATATGTCAAATTTTAGCATATATAAGCCTCATAGAAATGGTTTCCACTGTTGCATTCCATCTTTACGATCAATTTGATCTGATATGTATTATAAAAAAAGTGTTCATTTTTGAGGTGAAAAACGCGATCGTTTGATTTTCAAGAATTTTCCCTTGCTAATACGCATGAAAAACATGCGAATTTTCATGGATTTGCAATGACCCAAAGAAATTTGAGATAAAGCATCAGGAAGGAAAGCGTGGTCAAAGGGAGGCGTGTGGTACTGATCCAAGCCCTCAAAACGCTTTGTGGCATGAGTTATTCGTGCTTGAAAATGACTAGATTTGAACAGAGTTCGACCTAAAACGAAGGGGGTAGTCGGTTGCATTGCCAGAATAATAAGTCAATTACGCTTGCGGAATACATCCACTATAATCTGCATTCCGACAGTTCATCCAGTTACCAGATTTAGATATAAACTATATGTACACTGGATTAGATGTACGATACCGATCTATACTATAAGAAGATATGGACTTCAGATACGCTAGTACTATAAGATTCATACTATATAAGATATAGGCTATAGATGGCACCACGGACATGGATGGCGATATAGACTTATACTTGTATTCCTGCATAGACTACGGATGTTTACCATATCTGGATAAGCACCAAGATTAATGCAATATGAGCTTGTTGCTTCAGATGTGCACTTTATGATCCACGCTATAAGACACATGCTTATATCCGTGATACTAGCTACAGATACTTTATGTACTACAGACTTGTACTATATATGAGACATGCTATAGACATGCATACGATATGCTATAGACATGCCATATATCCAGATACATGCTAAAGATGTATGCTTAGCGATATACACTCAGATATGTACTATTAATATAGACTAAGAAGACTGTACCTATCGGATACATGCTACTAGATCGATATTAATTATCCTTATAGAAAGAATAGATTAGAATACTTTGGATGAGTGTCTAATTATTCATCCAGGCAAAGCTAAATCATGATTAGTTTGCTGGAGTTGTCTTTTAGCATGATTAGACATTAGTTGATCTGAGTTGACTTATTTGTCAATCTAATTAATAGAACTTTTATCCATTGTTATAGTATATAAGAAGGATCATCTACCTGGCCAGTAGAGAGACTTCACTTTACTTTAAACCTATAAGTTGACAAAAAAACATACCTTTATCAAGTTGACTTTACTGTTTTTTTTATTCTTTTTTTCCGTGAATTTTAGTCTATAAAGCCTTAAATTCTACAGTAGCGACTGAAAATCCGTCCATATGTATAGCAACCCTTCCAAGCGGATATATAATAACCCTAATATAAAGGTTCTAGCATTAACATAGAGCTTGGAATAGCTGTTCTACCTTTTTCGTAAAATGCGCAGCACAGCTTTAAACCTTTGCCATTCTACAACGAAGCAAGTTATCACCAAGCGGTTTTGAGTACAGCATTTTCCAGCATCTGACCCATCAATCTATTACGCGTAATTATTCGTAATCAGCAGGTTTTTTTTTATGAAGCTCATTACCCAAAGTTGGCTTATTTCGAAAACCTTCTATTTCTTAACAGCAAACCCATCCAATCTAAAATCCAATTACACTATCGTTTTTCTCGCTTCAAATGGGTATAGGAACATGCTATTTTCAATGCGAAATTCAAAATCGAATTCAAAATCGAATTCAAAATCGAATTCAAAATCGAATTCAAAAGAGAAAAGGGGAAGAAATAGAGAAAAAAATTGAGAGCGATGGTTCCAAGGTATAGACGCTTCTTTCCTTTGTCGTAAATAAACAAGTCATCCTGTGCTCACTGCGAAAGTTGATAATCTTTGGTTCCTGGATCATGTGGTACTATGGACGATGGTGAAGAGATCAAAGACGGGCTTCTTTAACAAATCTCATTATATGAAAATATGCCTTGTCTTCAACAGCATCTACTGCACATGCTGAATTCATATATGTTGCGCATCCATGGCATTGATGTCTTTGTTATGTCAAAATACAATGTAAAATTGAATCTGCCAAAGAATTACACTTTTATTGAGAATGCATCCCAAGGATGCATTTATATACTTTTTCATTATGCTAGGGTTTACAGCATGATGATGAACTATAATACAAATAGGTTTACTATCTACCCAACAATTGATTTGTAAATCATGATTAGCATGATTTACCTAAAGGACATAAGAATAGCCTAAAACCTTTAGTGTGAGACCTTGCTATGACATTTGATATAACAGTCTTAACGAAACGTGTCTTCCCAACAATTGTACAACTTGTATAGCAGCAGATGCATTGTAGTATTAAACGAAAAGAAGAATGATGTTTATTTGGCATAATTACAATTAGAAGAACTGTGTTGTGGTATAAAGATTAACTTTTTGTAAATGTTATAAAATAATGATAAGCAGACAAGGAGTACTAGTTCCATCTAGGGTGATGTGAATGCCCTAAATCACTAGGCATGTTACAAAACAAGAAAGGTAAGTCAAATGCATCACCGTGTTTTCACCCGTACAACACTTACACACGTTTGTGCTCCTCTATGGCAAAGTCTTCATCGTTATCAGATAGCAGAGAATGATGTCTACATGTTGCCAGCCGCCGCTTTATGTTAGTGTAACCTGTAGACCATTCTGCATGGATTAAATACCAACCGTTTCAATGTTTGTTGATTGCTGGAATGATCATCTCTACTGTTGTATATCCCACTGTGATTGCTGCTGCTACTATGCCAAAGAAGAGCCTTCAGTCGCACTGTACACAGGTATCCTCCGTTTACAATCCTACCTTTCAGCTATTAGCACAGGACCATCTGAATCGTCATCCAAAGTCTGATCGTCGTCGTTGGAGTCATCTTCATCGTTGTCGCCATCTGAATCATCCAACACAATGACATTGCCTGTTCGTCTTGGTTTTTGTAGTGCGGCAGCAGCTTGTTTGGTGGCAGCAGATCCAGCTTCAGCGAGTTGAAGTTTGATTTTCAGCCGTTCAATCTTTTTTTCCATATGTAAATTGCTTCTTTCTAGTTGGGAAGACTTCCTAACAGCATCATCACGTTCTCTACAATCGAAAAAAATTGCAATTAGATTTTAATGTGGCTGTCAACAAAAAGAAATGCAATCAATTTGTGAGATTTACGTATGAGCTTTTCTTAATCTACTCTGCATAGCCCTATTCTGTACAAGCAAGTCTTCTTTAGAGTATGACTCTAAACTCTGAAAAAATGCTCTAGAAGTGGGGCTATTCATGAGATCATCCAACTCTGCTACTCTGCTATAACAGTCAACATATCATTTTGCAAAGGGAGAACCGGATATTAGAGGTTTACCTTCGTATCTGTTTCATGTATCGAATTGCTTTGGTGGCTCCACGAAGGTCTGATGCCATTTCTTGCGACTTGACCTTTTCATCCAAGAGCTCTTGTCTGGTCAAATTGTAACGCTGTTGAACCGTCTCTTTCTCTTGCCTAAGTTGAAGTACTTCTAGTTGTAACACTTGCGCTTGCTCGGATGTATCTGCGTGGGCGATTTGCATTTGTTCGTCATCGCTGGATAGGTATAGTGGAGAAATGATCTTTTGTTGCGTGCAGGCTTTTTTACACAGTGGGCAATTGCGATGTTCACGGATCCAAGGTTGAAGGCTGTGTGAATACGGATTCTTTAGACATCATTTCAAATGTTTGATCTTTTGGGATACTCACCAGCTTTTATGATATACATGGCCACAGGGTATGGCGGCTGGATGATCCCCACCTGCTATGAGAGGCTGTAAGCAGATAATGCATTGAAAGGGCATAGTTTGATTGGAATTGAGGGAAGGTTTTGTTCAAGAAGAGAGGAGAGAATTAAATGGGATTGCACACACCAGCCTTTGTCCTCTTCAGAGGACAGTCCATTGTGACTCTATGAAACAGGTAAAATTTTCCAGATTCAAAAGTTTCCCTTCCCCTATGGAACCTGATCCATTTTTCACCTCTTTCGCATAAGCATGTCCAACAAAAATCAACAGGCCGAGAAGGTGGTCAAAGGAGGAAAGAGCGATGCGATTGCACAAAAGAATACCATCGTCAATCTTCTCAATCGATCCATCAAATTCAGAAAATCAAGATATGTGGACCAGAAATTGGAACTCTTTAAAAAAAAATTTGCACCGGTCAATGGTGTTTCTGGAGTAGTGCATGCGACATCAGCATATGACAATATCAGCAGTGGAGCAGGGGCAGAGAACGTGGCGGATAAAGTGGATGCCAATGGGTTTACCAGACCTTCCAAGGTGCTGTTTTCCAAGGACAAGTTGAATTCGGAATGGAATGACATTCATCCCGTTGGATCTGGTCTGAAAGATCTGGGGCAACTGTCCTCTCTCAATGCTGTATTGCAAGTATTGACCTATACACCTGCCTTAGCCAATTACATGCTGAATAGAACGCACAGTGCTAATTGTAAGTCTCGGCTAATAGTTGATCTATGCTATACCTTAGCAGCAATTGAACATGTTGTGCAATCATAGGTACGATTCAAGATTACTGTTTTGTTTGCGCTGTGGAAGAGCATATTAGAACAGCCCTCAAGGGATCACCTTACGCACTTCAGCCTCGAGTGTTTGTTGGCAAATTGAAAAGTAGGTCGTTTTGAATTGATCTTTTCGATCGGATTCGCTCATTTATTCTATTGCTTGGTAGAAATGCAACATGGATCTTCCAACAAGGACGCTTTTGACGTGTGGAAATATTTCATGGAGCAAATGCAATCATTTTTATTATCTGAAAAGAGATCCAAGGACAAGCTCGTACAAGAAACGACAGCATTATACCAGATTTTTGGAGGTTATATTCAGAAGAAATTAGAATGTCCCTCATGCAACAAGTTTGACAACGTGTACGACTCCTTTTTGGATCTTAGTTTGGATCTAACGCAATGTAGCACAGTCGAGAGATGTTTGACCAAGCACTTCAAACAGCAAATAACAGCTTCTAGAGAATGCGCCAGTTGTCAACATGAAGGAGGACAAAAGGGGACACACAGTATATACAAATCGCCAATGACATTGGCGCTTCAGCTAAAGCGATTCAACACAGATGCTGATACAACAAAGATCAACAAGTTTGTGAAATTTGAGGAATCTATGGATATCAAACGAGTGATTACAGCGAACGAAACTGTCAATACAAAGTACAACTTGTATGCTGCCATTGTGCATACTGGACAAACAATCAACGATGGACATTATATGGCATATGTCAAGAGTTCCAACGGTATCTGGTATTGCATGGACAACGAAAACGTACAAGTGGTCAGTGTGAAGCGACTTTTAGAGGAAAAGCCATACATGCTGTTCTACAACATGTCTCCTCCTGCGGTTGCTAAGCGACCCAAGACATCTGCTGATAAAGCAAAGACACAACAGCAAGAGATCACAGTGGAAACCGAGATCAAGGACACGCTCAAGGACGACTACGAGGAAACCCAACAAGAGATAGACGAGGATGTCATTATGCCTCAAATAGATAATCGAGAAGAAGAAAAAGAATTAGAGGCTCTACGACTAAAACAAGCGATGGAAGAGGTGTCTGTCAAGGAAAAGGTGGAGAATACAGCTGCTATTGTCGTGGAGCACAATGCCAATATGAAAACCAAGCGAGAGAAGCTGGGAGCACTCATTGAAAAGGAAAGCGCACAGAGTAAAAGTGCTGAGGTTAAGGGAGCCTTGTTGGCCAAGACACCGAACAATCAATTTCAAGATGACATTGGTACCTGGGAAGAGGATGCTGTTGCTGGCACTCATGCAGACAAGAGAAATCAAGTGCTCAAGCAGATCAAACCCAAGCGAAAGAGAGTGGACATGTACGATCTCGACTATGATCGTGGTAAGGTGAAGAAGGTCAAGAATAAGCAGCAGGACGATAAGTTTAGCAAGCCTAATCTTTTCCAAATCACGGCTGATATGAAGCAAAGCAAGAAATCAAAAAAGCATCATAAATAAACGCTTCTTCTATGAGCTCATTTTCGTAAAGTGCAACATCAATGCTGTTTAATGTTTGTTTTCATTTCTACTTTGATCATAAAACCTTTCGTCTTTCTATATAGTCTTTACCATGAGTGAAGCAACTCACCACGCGGGCGATGCTCTGCTGAGACAGTGTGTAGGAGCATTGGATCGCTTGTACTCTTGCACTAGTAATAGAGATCACTTAACCATATTGAACACCGCCGTGGAAAAGCTGCTCCAAGATCAATTCAAGAATTTCGAGTCCTTCAGGGCTGAATTATCTTGCATGAATGACCCTTTGTTAAGCACACTGAAATCAAGGTAAACATCGCTCATAAATAGCCTACTTAACAATGTGAATTGATGCTTTTTTCATCTGTAATCTTGATTGCTATCCAACTATACTAGCAACAAAGCAGGGATGGTCATTTTCAACGAGGAAGAAGAAGAAGAAGAGAGGGCAAGATTAGGGGCAGAGGGAGTAGAAAGAGAAAAGGCAGAAGAAGTGAATCAGGCGACATCTAGTACAGATGGAATAGCTCCTACTCAGGCAACATCAAGCACACCCGATACCCTCACAAGCACATGTGTGGATGCTGCCGTACAATTGGAACCTACTACTGCCACTACAAATGTCTTTGAGATGCCAGCTCCAATGGATGGTTTGCCAAATGTGATAACAAACGGTCCTTTGACAGAAGCTATTGTCCAATAAATACTAAGTAAAATGGTCAATCCAGATTGAACCTGTTGCTTGATAATAAAGGCATATAATGAACGAGCGTTTTGATCAAGCAGCCATTGAAGCATGTGGGATTCTTTATGATTGATCGGCTTGACTCTCATTTCGAAACACAGTGACTCACTTTACTACGGCAAATGATAGAATTTAACCCAACTACAAACTAAAGTCTGTCAACTTTATCCATTACAAAATACATAGTAGATATCAAAAGGAGATTTCTCATCCATTAGAATCATATCTTTTGTATTTCGTTCTTTTTCTTCACTCATCAATCAGCCAGAAACGGAAGAAAGGCATCTCATATACGCATTCAGTCTCGATCAAATCCACATTCAGTTAAACCCTCTTTTTCCACCCCCAATAATTCATGTCTTTTACTCAATACGATCATAATACAACAGATACAGAACACGAATTTATAAACCAAAGCGACAACAACGACAATACTACTCAAATAACCCATGATGATTCATCTCTATTCAGAAAAGGAAAGAAGAAATTGCATCGCCTGCCAGAAGTGGACCCAAAGTAAAAAAAAAAAAAAAAAATAGACTACGTAAATGAAATAACCATCTATTGACACAAAGACCACTTTAGTAAGCCTTGCTTTGTACATCAACTCTCGGTAGAGCTCATCACCCACATTTTCTCCAGACTGGATCCAGCTAGTTTGGCTACTGTAGCCAAGGTCTGCACCTATTGGAGACACATTGTTATGGACGACAGTTGCTGTAAGCATATTTATCTCCAGCAGTAATGCCATATTTACCAACACTGTTCATAGGGAGAGATGCCTTTGTATCTTACTTTGGAGGTTTGCCATTCAAAAGACTTTCAGTGGAAAGTTGGAAGACAGAGTACATTCTACGAACGCATCTAGTCAGGTATATAATCAACCTCATTCATGGAGGACCAGAAAACTGATCTGTTGCTTTTTCTCCAACAGAAAATGGACAAAAGGCCGTGGCAATGTCATGACATTTAACCCCAAGATTGGGTCTCTTGAAGCTATGCAAGTTGATTTCGACGACACCACCATGTTGGTAGCCAGTACAGAGCACGGCGTAGCAGCAAAATGCAACCCCATGACTGGAAAGGTATCTCATCGACACTTGCTGTACAGCACAAACGAAAGCGTTCGTCTGCAATTGACAGCTGTCAAAATGGATAAGGATCGTGTCTTGTGGGGATTTGGTCCTGGATTCATCACACTATCCACTCGCACGAAATCTGCCGGTCGTCTCAAAGTGTTTTCTGAATTCCATCAAGGATCTGTGCGCATCTTGTCGCTGCCACAGCATGTTCAGGATATTGTGCTGAGTGGTGCTGAGGACGGCACTGTCAAGATTTGGGATGTCACAACCACCTCTTGTGCTTGGACTCTATTACCTGCTTCTGCGTCTGCTCGTGTGCCCACCTGCTTGGAAGTAACGGCAGATCATCGTATCATCATTGGCTATGATGATGGCTCGATGGTTGTTTGGCATGTCAACTTGAATCATCTGGTGCAACTGAGTCGAAACCGACACCAAGAGGACTTTGAGGAGAAGAGGGCTATCTTTAAAAAGAAATTACAAGACGAGAAAGTGGTCTTGAATGCGCCTACGAGTGATTCGCGCTTGAGCGTGACATGTGCAATCTACGATGTCGATTCAAATATGTTGGTCGTTGCTTATCAGGGTCATCCAGATGCCTTGAAATACTGCACCAACACAGGCAGTGTTGTTGGCACCTTTAGCTATGGACATGTAGCAGGTTCGTCGGTCACTTGCATGAAATGGGACACGTCTCCTATCTCCACCACACTGTCATTGGAATCCGCGTTGAAGCCTCGACCTGCGACTGCAAAAAGAAAAGGCGGTGGCATCATTGATTTATCGGCATCCGCATCTTCATCGCCAGCAAGTAAATCAGGCCAATCTTCTGGACAAGGCACCCCATTATCAGTATCATCTGTCAAGACAACTCGCTTACTTGTCACTGGGGACGATATGGGACGCATCTGCTTATGGAATGGCGATGATGTAAACAAGGAGGGTTATTCAATCAAACCGATTCGTATCCTCGATGGTCATTTGGTTGGTATCAGCGCCATTTACATCGACGCTTGCAAGATTGTTACTGGCAGTGATGACGGTTGGATTTACATGTGGGATCCTTTGACTGGCGCCAACATCAACACGCTCGGAAACAAGATACCCAAGCATGCACCTGTCGATCGCTCAGATATGAGTGTGATGCGCGTCAAAAACCTCTGGTGCAACGATTATCAGGGTGTAGCGACCATTGGACATCAAGTCAAGACATGGGATTTTTCTCCTGGCAAACAGTTCTTGAGTAGACGTGCATTGAAACAAAAGGGAGGAAGATCTGGCAACACTGTGGTCAGAGACAGAATTCGTTATGAAATTGGTCGCGAAGTCAAGGAATCAATCAGTAAACTAGAATCCGAGAAACTGGAGCGAGAATTGGAGGCAAAAGAAATCAACAAGCTTTCACTGGGTGGGTTGTCTGACGAAGAAATGCTGGCTTATGCAATGATGCTTTCAGAGCAAGAGACAGCAAATACGACGACAACGACATCTCCACGCAACACATCTGATTTCATCGACGAGGATGATGAGGAGTTCATGAAGGCGGTGATCGCAAGTTTGGAACAACCTACCTTTGATCAAGCAGCGGTGTCTGATGAGAGCTCGAGTAGTAATCAGGGTGCAAGCAACTCTATCAGTGCTGCTGTTAGTAATGGTAACTCATCTTATCTCAACAGCCAAAGTGGCGTTGCTAATGACGATGATGATTACCATCAATGGCCCACAATAGCAGACTCTGTTGCAATACCGTCATCAACTCCTCAGCAACAACAACAACAACAAGAAGAGGACCTGGATGAAGAATTACGCTATATATTGGAATTGAGTAAAACGGATAAATAGTTTTAATGCATACAGCTCGAAAGAAATAAAAAAATTACCTTTACAATGTATAAAACGAAAGCCATCTACACTTGCTAATTATCAGCGAGAACCTTGCTCTATCCTGTTGTTATTCGATTGTTTTATGAGCTTTCAAAAGCATTAATCACCTCCACAATGGCCTTTGCTGGCCAAAAATATTTTAATCACCGAACTGAACATTTCCTCTCCAAATGGCAAAATTGTGTTCTAAAAACGAACTCGATTCTCTATTTGGGGAATTTTACTATAGACACTGTGATAATCATCCAATACCTCCTTAAGCTTTCCTCAAGTGCTTTTCAGGACGCATCCAACGGTGCTAAGTTATAAAGGTGTTTTAATTGAATATATCGAGTAATCTTGGAAAATATGAAATGAGGTTTTAGGCCAAAGATTCAAGATTTCACATATGAAAGTTTTACAAACAAACTTTCGATGAAAACCATGAGGTACCCCTCGGGGGGTGGCTAACGTACCAACAAAAAATTTCCTTTTTTTCTTAACGTACCAACAAAATATTAAAGCTCATAAATGCACACCCTGTCCGGCAGTGCTGTAGCAGCGCTTGCTTTGTCTGCTATTTTTTTCCTTGGGTTAACGTACCAATAAATTGTCTCTAGACATTGATAGACTTGCAAACTTCTCGTATTGCAAGTAATATGAATACAAGACGATGAATGACAAAAATGCAAGTTTCTGGTTCCTATTAAGTATAAATTTGTCAATATAGGCTTTCAGTTTGAGTTGTGGTGTAATTTATTGATTTACATTACTGAGGAATAGTTGTAAATTTGTGCAGTCCAGAGAATGATTTCGAGCTTTACCAAAATTAATATGCCTCCTATTCAAATTAGAAGTTGCACAGATTACAGAACTGCCCTCTTAAAGAATTTCAGCTATCTATCCACCAAGATGCGATTCACGCTGTGTAAATAAAAGCTGTAAAGCAAAAACATTATAAATTTTGACAGCTTTCAAGCCTTCATATATTGACATGTAGACCTTTCTGAGCCACCGGAATAACGCCAAACAATTGTACTTGAGTAGTAGTAACGTCCTGACACCTTTGCTCAGCTTTTTGGGGATCCAAAAAAACATAGCCAAAAATCGACCAAAAAGCATGAGGGGTACCTCATGGCTTTCATCAAAAATCAAACGATCGCATTTTTGACCTTAATAACGAAAACTTTTACTATGGTATATCTTGAATCAAAACGTTTCTATCGATCCAGCGTAACCCCTGAAATCATCTTTGTGGGGCTTTGATATGTAAAATTTCGATTTTTTGGCCAGAAACCTCTTTTCATATTTTCACAAGTTACTCAATAAGTTTATTCAAAACATCTATCTTACTTGGTACCATTGGATGCGTTTTGAAAAGCGCTCCAAGAAAGCTTAAAGAAGCAGAGGATGATTATCATATTTTACTTAGTCGAATCTGCAAAAAAATAAATCAATCGAGTCGAAAACCATCAATATTTGGCCAATCTGGAACAGACTATAAACCTGGGTTTGAATTGATTTTGGCTGGTGTGGCTGGCAGGCAAATTCAATGCCTTTTTCATAAGTACAGTAATAGATGCTTTTGAAGCGTATGGAAAGTAGATGGCAAGTCATAGCACTATCATTAACATGCTATTTTTCTTGCATTATATATTTAATAGCGTCAGTCTATCAAAATGCTTGTTAGATGAGCTTCTTTCCTGTTTGAAGCTTTGAAAGCGTCTATGGACCATAAATTTATTACGTTACGATGAGCCTTTTGACTCTTTGGGCGGTTTCCTGAACTAAGCTTCGCTTTGCTGGAACCCAACCTACGTTTAGGTGGTTCGCGCTGCCGCGGGCCATTGGCCAACACTGCAAAGTTAATAATAACTAAAATGTTAGATGAAACTTGATTGCTGATTGACAGTAATTTAATATAAAATCTCAAATCATATTAGGGTTGTAAAAGCGTCCATGGACTATAAATTTATTATGTTATGATGTGGTATATGCTTAAAGTTATATATATGGTAGGTATGGCAGAGATAATTACAAAATCATTGTCATTGACCATTTAGTGTTCTTGGCTCAATGGGTGAATGGAAGGAGGGATATCTACAATAGAAGATGTGTCAAGAATGGGCGAAAGCTGATGTGGCTGATAGTGATGAAGGTCTGTTGTTGATGATACTCCCTGAGCAGCAGCAGATGCGCCATTGGCATTATCTGATTCACTCTTTCTAATGCTACAACGTATAAGAAACCAGTGAAAAGCAGAAGCCAATCGAGGATGTTTGTATGGTACCAAGATGCGATGATCAGAATAAGGATCAGGTATGATGTTATTTTGGTGAAATTAACTCCGAGAAGACCTGTCGAGAACTTCAAATGCAGTGCTGGATGTGGATAGAGGTGATGAAGGCGCTGTTGGGCTTTGGTTTGTTTCACTGCGATGGACACGGGAGTAGACTGAGGCTGGTACGCTCAGACGTCTCATAGAAGCCGTGCTGAAAGGTGCGCTGCTGTCGTGACTGGAGCGGTTACCCTTGCTTTCCAAGTCAACATTAATGAATTCGTTATCGGTGGTTTCCATTGACAGCTGAGTTGTAGCTGTTGTTTGACTTTTGTAATAAGTGACAGAAGGCTTGTGATATGTTGGGGTAGACGAGGAAGAAGGCGAGGCAGAGGGTGTGATAGAGATAGAAGAGGATTGGCTGTTGGCACCCTTTTTATGACATGTATTATTCAGGGACAAGATTTCCATTTGGCCACTGCTGTATTTTCGGATCTGACTGAAATTATCGACATACTTTTCCTTGCAGAGACTTTACTTTTCAGAAATATAGCGCGTCATTGCTGGATCACTAAAGAAGACAATCGATACAAAGAAGCCTTGTAGGCACCTGAAGACAGCGTCCGTTAGCGAGAAACTAAAGCTAGGCACTCCGTCGAGGGGATTGTTCAAGTAAATTTGAATGATGAACCCCCCCCCCCCAGATATTGCTAATAAAAGGAACTACATATATGTAAGTGACAGGAGCTAAATTTTGCATGAATATTAGACAAACTGTATGCATACGTTACCGAGAGGATACAGTATACATCTGGATATCACTCGCATAAAGATGTTGGATTGCGCTTTGATACGTTGCTCAACATTGGATTGGGCTGATTCGGCTGTTTGTGACATGGAGGCTATATGGATCCACTTTCCAATCAAGGTATGGTGTTCGTATGTTAATTTGACGAGTGCAATGATAGAACAAATAATGGCAGTGATAACAGAGAAAAACAAGAAGCCATAAAACCACATCTATATAAAAATAATGAGCTGTCAAGTTTTCATCTTTTTTCAGCAAGAATAACTTACCCACAGCAGACTGCTGTGGCCCAGGAACTGATAGTAATATATGAAATAGTAGCATTTAAGGTCGGTGCGAGTCGATAAAACATCATCCGATGACTCTACGATGAGAATGGCGATGGCGATCAAGCCGTATACAAAGGCACTTGGGCAGTAAATGTGCTCCAGTCATTTCGCTGATGTGCCTACATTGCAAACAAAGACAAGCACCAAATTGATGCCTACCAAGGCAAGAAAGACAGCACTCATCATCCTTGTAAACATGGCCACAATAGCACTTGCTCTACAGACGTATGTATCACCGTACATTAGGACAATAGCAATGTCAAAGACTGAATTGATGAGATTCATTATGCTTGCCATGAACACACATCGCAATAACACTTGGTTGGCTTTGTCGGGATGTGACGCTCGCAGATGAAGATAGCAAATGGAGAGGATGAGCGAAGAAAGCATAGACATGGCTGACGTTGCACAGTATGCTTTCAACAGTTTGATGTATTGCTGCAGGTCGTAAATGTAGTCAGATCTAGTTACAAGATTTTGTATCGATTGATCAGTTGGAAGCATTAAGGGCTATTGTTTCTTTTGAGAAGGTTCAAATAAGAAAGTGAATGATACCAGGGAAAATAGAGCGCCATTTTATATATAGGCATAAATCATCTCCTTTGAAAAAAAAATAAAAGCTTAAAAATGGAAGGATAGATAGAAAGCTTGGTTTAGATGTATTTTACAGTGTTACAAGAAAGCGGGCAATTTCTTTAGCACTCAGGATACGTATGTGTCATTGTACTTTCCAGATTTTGTACATGCGCATTGATGGACCCTTCTTTCCACAAAACTTTTAAAGCACGGCATAGTCTAATTCATCCATTAACTCGCCATTTGACTAGTCTAGTTTCATTCCCTGGATAGAATACTTGCTAAAAATGTTCCATTTTCGATTTTTTTTTTCCAAACATTTACAGAAATAAACCTATTTTTTAACAAGAAAATATCCTTTGCATGCTTTGGTTAGAGATATAAAGTCAGTTGGTATATTGAAAACGTTAGTTTTGAGGGATTTGCCATGTATTACCAAGATATTTAGAGTACTTTACAGCAGCTATATTGCGCCACCATCTGTCATTTCAAAGACTCTGAAATGTCAAAATGTGGCACACGTTAAGGCGTGATGAGAAAACGTCTTGATTGCGTAAAATGAAACCCGCTATCTTTTGATCGATTTCTTATATTTGTGCTGATATCCGAAAGCTATGTTCCTTGAATGCTATTCTGGTGAATTGCCATGACTCCATTTTAAACATTCCGGGTTTTATTCTAATACTGATGGCAATGCTCGGGTTTGCTTTCTCCCTCTTTTGTTATTTGCAAGAGAAATGTTATGGCTCTAATTTCCTTCAGATCACAAAATTATAAAGACATTGTGTGTATGTATACACCGTTTGACGTATATCCTTCCTTTATTTTCTAAATATGCTTTCTCTTATCATATATTGTATACTTAAATCAAAATGTGTACCGAATCTTCGTTCTAGGCAGTTACCCTGTTTGGCTACATATCCGGTTCTGTGGATATTGAATGGAAATTCTAACGCCTTCTCTTTTCCGCTGAGTTGTCTACAAGAAATACAGTGATGTAGCCATGAAACATATTTTGTGGTGCGATGCTGATGCGTTTAAGCGCTTAGATTATGCTGTGCTTGATCTCATCTTTTGCTAGTGCTAAATTAGGAGTGCCATCTTGCCCAAATCAGATCATATCGACCTTTCAATGTCAAGCCACAGAAATAGCCACCACAACAATCACTAACATCAGTAAGATGTATGAAAGTTTGAAGCATTCTAGACCTATGCTAAGCATCTTTTTAAGTCTACCAAGCCATAATCGAGGTTGGCGTGACCTAGGCTGTAAATGATGGTATTTTCTCCACTTGTAACTTTTTCTCGGGTATTTGAGAATCATTCTATCCATTATGTGAGCGTTTGCCACCCACAAATCCAATCAAATGACATTCTTCAAGTTCGCCAGCTCAAAATCTTTTTATTCTCTCATCCCTTTTTTGTTTGTTTAACACAAAGCAATGCTAAACCAAGTCGTTCTTCCAGCGTATATATACCACCTCATTCTCACACATGCCTATTCAACAGAAAAAGTACTACAGTTCATGTAAAATCATACAATAGCATGGCTGACAACATTTTACTAGGAAGAGATTATCGGCATGCTGATAGGATGCTGGGAGGTAGTTGGTCAAACATGCGCAATGGCCAGGAAAAAACAAAAGCTAATATTCAGATGTAGACTGCGTCTAGCAACAATCCATACCAAAAAACAAAATCAGTAGCCCATGTAAAGTACATTTCCTTCCTGACTCGATCTGATAAGCGCAAAGACAGAGTGGAAATAGCACCCGAAAGTTTGCATCTAGCAGCTCTCGAGGCAGAGGCAAGTTGTTGTGAAGATGCTGGATCCCTGCTGTGTGATATTGATTGTGTTTATATACAGGAATTTGGCAAGAAGATTGGCAAGCCTATGATGGTCATTGGCTGGTACCATAGTCATCCGCATATCACAGTGTTTCCTTCGCATGTTGGTGAGTTGCTTGAGCAAGTAGTGCATAAAGGCCAACACCTTATTGACTTTGACAGCCTAGATCTAAGAACGCAACTATCTCAACAATTGATGGATGACAAATTCTTTGGGATCATCGTTTCCTGCTTTGACTCGCATAATGACAATGTAATGTGAGGTGTATATTTGGTATGCACACTGAAATGACTAAAATACATCGGCAATTGACAGACTGAGAAACTCCAAATAACATGTTTCCAATCAGCACAAGACAACCAGCGACTCAATATACCACTTTTAATAGAGCCTAGTTTAGACACGGACAGCGACGTTAGAGAGCTTTTATTGAAGCTTCCAGAGCACATGTACGAGGAATACAAAAAGGAATTTACAGCGTCTAACGAATGTATCAAGTATGATTTGAGATCCATCAAGAACATTGATACCTCCAGTTTACCGAATACCATGACCCAATTATACAATGCAGGTGTCTATGGCCAATTATTGACTAGCTTAGTTGATAATATGATTATTCCAACAACGCATATATTGGACCTGAAGGCATTGGAATTGACTAAAGAGATTGAAGACCTCAAGAAATTCAAGCAGGCATTGTCGCTATCCACCAGTAATGCGTCCTTAGCTACTCCGTCGCCCAAACCACACAGATTACAGAAAATAGACAATTACCTGATTGAATTGGAATAAATGTAAATTTATCATGCATCTGCATCCTTTTCTATCTTTTTTTTATTTTTCTTCATTATTCTGTCTTTATCAAAAGAAGGATGGCATTCATAAGTGAGGAGGAAAAGCTATTAAAACAGAACAGATATTTTAATATTGCGTGGAAAGTGTCATTTGATGCATACTTTACATCTGCAAACAAACCCTGAAAGTAACTTCTTTTATAGGAAGGCAGCCGGCCAAAGACGGTTCACAGGAGCCTACAATATCAAGCAGAGACTAGGGCGTGATATCATCTTGACATATGACACTAGCAAGCTATGGTATGTGTATGCACATACAGTCATCCTTTTCAAATGCATGCACTTATACAGTATATACTGTCTACAAGTCAATTGATTCAAGATAACGAAGAGGCCCTCAATTTCAAGACTAAAGCACAGTTACTCTATGGGGCTTCCAAAATAATGAGACAACAGTGCTACTTCTTATATGGTATATATATATATATGCATTACACATATCATTCATATTATATGAATGCATCTTACACACGAGCAAAATAGATGACTCGGCCAAGCTTTGGAGTGAATTGAAATCTGATATGCTCAACCCCACACTGTCTTCCTTTATTGATATGGACAGGGCCATTCCAAAGCAAGTATCATGTAGCGGTTTATTTTTTGAACCATATGTGTTGATACAGTGTCATTAGATTCGGTGCTATTACGTTATCTGATGCGGACACCTTGTTGCAGTTTCAAACATCTAAAGAGGCTCCTTTATTCTCATCATTGGTATGTACGGTATATGCAACACGGGAGTCTGTTTCATTCACTCATTGGGCCTGCCGTCTACATGTAGTTTGACTTTGCATTCAACCGCCAAATCAATCATCATCCTATCATGGACGACTCTTCTGTCGTCTTGAGGGTAGAAAACTCTCGCAATACAGGTCTGAGTTCGCTCGACTTGCTCGAAAGCTCTGCTTTCCAACATTCATTGAATGATTCATTGATGCAACAACAACAACAACAACAACAGCAGGAAAGGGAACAAGGAGGCTTGCAACAGCAAGCGTATGTATATGATAATATTGATATTGGAGTCATGGGCCATGATATGATGGATTATGACTTGTAAGGCACGAGCGCTTGATTTGAATATGCACTTGTCATTCATATGTTTTCTAGTGATGAGCAAAAGCCGCAGCAAGATATTAGTGCTATATTAAATGGTCCTTCAGCAAGGCAGCCAGAAGCACAGGATGACAGTGTATTTGATTTTCCTCTTGTTGCTGCAGACATGCAATTGCGACAGCATCCTCAATGCATTTCTCCTTTAAACCAGGCAATTTAACGCTTTTATTAAACATTAAATCACAAGCTCTCTTTCTAACAAAACTTACCCTTATTCTAGATGTCCCCGCTCATTACCCCTCCCCACATTGCAGCAGAAGCAGCTGCTGCAGCAGGTTACCATGGTCTTGGTTCTATTCGCAATTTAAGTAGACCCCCATTATTCATACAAGAAGAAGAAGAAGAAAAGGAGGAGGAGGAGGAGGAGGAGGAGGAAGACAACTTGAGCACTTGTTCAGTTTCAACCAGTCATTTGAGCACATTACTGCCAATTGAAGCAATCACCAAAAACCAAGCAGCACACTCCAGAGCAAAACGCATGAAACGTATGGTGGTGGAAAACACAATGCTTTCTTATGCAACCGACTATACCATAGATGACATTGTAGCGCGCACACCTATCCGAATTGATGTACCAAATGTGCACAAACAGACAGAAAACCAGAGGTTGACATGCATTCGACTCAATCTTCGCTATCCTTCTATCGTATTCAACGCGATTTATCACAAGGGCGTCTTATCAACTGAGCAAGGAGTAGGAAGACAACAGCAGCAGCAGAATCAAGCGTTGGCATTTTTTAATAGAAATCAATTTTTTACTGACCAGGTAATGTATGAATTGCATAAACTTACCTTGGTTTCGTTTAAATTACAGGAATTGCCCTAATTTGGGAATATGTGCATGGTGCACGTTTATTGATTAAAATCTCATTTGGGTCGATAGATTGAACAATCAAGGCGCTACAGCCATTACCGCGTTCGCAATACAAGTGGGTCTACCTCATCTCAATCCAATGTTCCTGGCATTCGACGTTTATCCCATCAAGCTCCAAGCAGCGGTGGTGTTTCGATCCGTTCCAATTCAGGTACCGCCACTTGTGATTATACCATCTGAGCAGTGCAATATAACCAATGTGATATGTAGATGTACATAATACTCCTGAGATGCACAATCTTGACCTTGATGAAGATATGGAATTAGAGCGTGTGTAAATATATACATTTATATCGATTTGAAAATGTAGGAGATTTACAGGTAGTATACAGGCAGGAGGAAAATACGAGTATCTGGCAGCAACAGCATCAGTTTCAAACTATGGATGATGATGTGATGGACTATGGAGGGGATAACATTGATTTCGGTGAGTATATTCTAGTCAACTTGGATGCAATGTATTTCAAATTGATGTAATACATGATACTAGATACAGATTTGAATGTTGGTTTCAGTGATGATCTTTTACAACAAGAACAACAGCAACAGGCCCAAGAAGAGGAGATGCACGAATTTATGGGGTAAGTATGCAAATAGCTGATTTCTTGATTTGAAACTAATGAATTCTCAAGACACATCAGACAATTGCCCAACCCATTCTTCTTTAATGAGCAATTCCAGCTTGCGCACTCTTCCTCATTGATGGTCGCTAAATCATTCACCAACATCCTCGGTAGGTTATATTTCCCTTTCTTTTTCTTTTGTTTGTGTGTATTCCATATGCAGTAACCGTGGATTTGCCTCCTTGCGTGTTCAATTTGGGTTTTATTGGGTCCTCCTTTAAAAAAATGCTTATTTTCAACATTAGAGTTAGCCTCAAAAAGTCAGATTCGTGTCTCTCAAACAGAGCCCTATGCACCAATTGAGGTTTCTTATTTGTTTTAGTATATCGATGTCCCTCGAATAGGAAAACTGTAATGTAACAGAATGCCTATGACTTTCTTCTAGTACTGAATTTGTTTATTGATTAGATGAACAAAACTCGCTTCTTTATATTTTAAGATATGTGATGCTATATATTAATTGTAAAAGAGAAAAATAAATTGCACATATAAAGATGTTTGTTTGCTGTAGTACACGAATGTTCCAGATGGTAAATAAAGGGGCAGAAGGGGCAACTTTTTAGGGCGATTTTGATATAAAGAGAAATGTATATATTTATATGAAAGAGTAGAAGAATAGTAATGTATAAAAAAGAAGCATAACTGTATAGAGAATATCGGCGAGAATGTGTTTGCCCCTTCATATATAGCTTTGTGTGTGTGTGTGTGTGTGTGTGTGTGTGTGTGTTAAAAGAGAAAAATGAATGGTAAGAGTCTTGCAAGGTGGGTGAGTGATGAAAATGTTGGGCTGTCGATTGAATGAGTGAAAGAAAAAAGCGTGGATGCGATCAATTAGAGATTTCTGTATCGTCTGCTTCCTGTGTTCTTCATTGCTTGAATGACTGGGCTCATTCTACATGCTTCTTCCATTCGTAAGTGTCGCTTTAAGGCATCCGTACGTGCAAATGCCTTTGTGCAATTAAGACAAGAATAGGGTTTAGCACCTGTATGCACTCTAATATGACGCTGAAGATCATGCTTACGAGCAAATGAACGTGGACATGCGCAACATGCGAATGCCTTCACTTGACGTTGCGGATGCTGATGGTGCTGCTCTAATGACAATCGTGTTTGTGGTTGCACTGGCGCTTGCTGTTGTGGTTGTGGTTGTGATTGATAGGATGGCTCCAATGTTGAGATTTGATTTGGTAAGTCGGATAGCAAGAATGACTCAATATCATTTTGTTGTAAGTTAAAGTTGAACACCTTTTCAACATCAAGCGAAGGTGACGAGGAACAAGATGACCATGTTGTAGAGTCTGAACAAGGCGACGATAATGAGGCATTGAATGCCAAATCCAAATCTTGATCTAATGTTGCTGATACTGCCGAGGGCAAATTGAAGTACAGATGGCCAATTTGATGTGGAGCAATGTCTGTAACGGCAGGAAAGTAGCTTGCTTGTAACAGCAATTGATCTTGTTCCAATGTAGTGTTAGTTTGGTTTATGTAAAAGCAGTCTTGATACATTTATAATGATATGTTATTGTAACAGAAGGAATAAGAAAGAATAAGAAAGTATTGTTAGAAGAGCTAAAATAAAAAAAGAGAGATTAAAAAAGCAAAGGGTTTATATACGATTGACCATAAGAGGCAGAGTTTATGGGGCTCCAACTGTGCAAGATGACAACGATCATTGTAAATCTGTATATTTCACACACGCACTTGAACACACACACACACAAACATACACACCTAAACATTATATACAGCTCTCCTTGTTAGGCCATGTACATCAAAATAGGCCCTTTTTTCATATATCATTGTTCGAGTCAAAATCAAAGAGGGGACACTTATTTCAAATTTTGCACAGCAAGAAAATACTAAATCCATAAAATCAAGGGGAAATATTAGACATTTCAAAAGAAAGAGGGGTTATTTGGGGGGAGTGTACAAGACATTTCCTTTTTATAAAAGCTAATATGTATGTAGGTGAGACATTCAAATTTTATTGTAGCGAGTGAATGGTGCCTGGATATAAGAAGTTTTGATTACGCGTTATTATGTATTACTGTCTGGACTAATGCGTTTAATTTAGAAAAAATAAGGGGATCTGATACCTTCGGGAGCAAGGAGAGCCCAAAGACACATGAGATTTATAGGAGTCTGCAATTATGGTGGGAGCAATTACAACACCAAAAGCAGCAGCAGCAGCAGCAGCAGTTACAATCAAGTATGTAACAACAGGTGAGACATATGTGATTTGCACCAAATTAAATAAAAAGGAGACAGGAAAATATATTCAGATACTCACTTATTTCGCGTAATAGAATTGCTTGCATACACATAATCCGGTTGAGATAATACTTTCTCGAGTTGATATGAAAATGTTTCTACAAGTTTCCATGTATTCATATATTGCTAGGTATAGTAGTAATCGCTGATATTTGTGCTATTTTAATTTGCTTTGATATGACATGTAATCCAAAAAAGTAAGAAACTTTTAATGATATTACTGTGGACAACTTTAAACGTGTCATGGACATATGTAAAACATTCCAAAAAGTAAATTTGTCCATCGGACATCTCACATGTATAGCAAGTTTATACAGTGCAATGTTGCAAGCACAAATCTTATGAGAAAATTCGGCGAGGACCCTTTTTTTTTCTCGATTCTACATGGAACTTATTTTCGATGGAATACTGTATCATGCGATGCTTAAAACTAGTAGCAATATCTCCTAAATAGCAGGAATAGTAAAGGAAAAAAGTTACATAATCTTCAGTTTTACATACCATGTATATATACACATTTTAGATTAGCATCATTTCTAATCTTTAGGTATTTATGATACAATCAAGTTAGTAACAATGCCATTATCTTTCTGTAGCACACATATATCTCGAATATAACGAGATGTAAATGATATAATACCAAGGAGGAGATCATGCCATGTAAAAATATTTATTGATCAACAAATGGAAAAGTACTATTTTCTTCTCAAACGTTCTATGGTTTACAAGCCCCATGTATATCTAGAAACCAAGAGGATGGGTAAAGAAGTATAATACTTACTGTTTGAATCCAGAAACATGGCAAAACTTGTCAGATCAGAAATGCTTTTCTATTTATGTATATATGAAGATCGCTGGGTACCGATCTTGGCGACATGTGAGTTCTGATTATGTGCTGTTTTGTTTACAATTTAAACCATAAGAAAAAGATCTACCACGACAATCGAATCACAAAGCTAGTAATCGATTTTGAGACAATCTGTGATGGCTATATATCATATATTAACATTGTCTACACTTGATTCGATGAGTTTGCTTGCTTTTATTCTCAATGATCGTCCATCGTGAAAGATAATTTCTTTTGTTGATATGTTATTGCAAATGTCAATCAACAATATGAAACTCGACGCTTGACCCCTTTATGCCATGAATTAAGCGACGGTACAAAATTTATCGAACATGATGGATTTTCTCTGTCAAGACTCAAAAACTTTATACACGTTAAGCTCAATTAATTTGACGATTTATTTATAGAATACATTTTTTGGACGATAGCAACACTCTTAAGGTTACAAACGCTATCACCAAGATTTAATCGCAAGTGATATGCTTCAAAAAAAATTGGATTATAGTATATATGCCTGAATATCATGCGTTATGAAGGCATGTATACCTCATCATCGTGGCATTTTTGTTATTTCAAACAGTAGTTCGCCGTAAAAAAAAAAAAAAAAAAAGCAGGAGATTATCTATATATCGTCGAAATTCCAAGGGCAATTATAGTATCAATACGTAAGCCTAATTGCTATGGATCTTTTCTATGCATATTAATTGACATAGGCTACGACAGGCCTTACTTGTACATAATGATGTTTAGATCAGAGATCTCTTCCTGTCAAATCAGCGGAATTTCAATTTTATTTGTTGTGCCTGAATGTAAAATTTATCACCATGGCAACAATCAGAAAATCAGTTTAACAGCTTTTTGTCAAATAGAAACGCTTGAGTAGAAGGCCGTAGATGTTCAAGTATTGTCATGAATAGAGCTGGGATAGTTTGCGATAGCTTATGCATTAAATATTTCGTCTTATTACTAGAAGATGCTGTCATTATTACCAAGATTTTCTTCTAAATGTTGGATGTCAAAACTATAGCTTCAAGTTAAAATGTCAATAAGCCGACTCTCCATGATTTAGTCTTGTTTTTATTGACGCCTCATATTTTTGGCATTAGTCTCAAAATGGGGATACAGAAGTTGACCCTCTCCTTTTCCTGAAGAAGAAAAAGAACATTGGCAGATACATGTTTCTGAAAGCTTCTGCTTCTCTTTTCTTGTTGGTCCCTAATTCTTGGATTGTCTATAGGCAAGAACAATAGATAATTTGCTTACGTCACAACCCTGGTATCCTCAGTATCTGTGGATGCGGGCTTCATAATCAGAGATTACTTGCACCAAATCTTTTGCGGGGAGAACAAGGGTTGAAAATAGCAGTGTTTTTTTTTTGTGTGGGGAGTTTTCTTTTGTTACCACTATTGAAAGTCCTGTTATTTATTTTTTCGACAGCACAAACCTCTTTTTTTCTACCTTAAACCCCCCCTCCTCTTTTTTATATTAACCCCCCCCACTCCAATAACTATAATAACATGTTGCGTGTCATCAACAAGACAAACGTAGCAGCACGCAGAGCAGCAACACCAGCTATTCTCAAAACTGGAGGTAACATCTCATGGACAATTTGGACCTCATACCCCTAGTATTGTTTATTTACGTATGAAATTTCGTATCATCTAGTCAGAGCTTTCGCTGCATCAACAAATGTCAAGGAAGAAGTCGAAGTTTTCATTGATGGAAAGTCAGTTATGATTGAGCAGGGTGCTGCCTTAATTCAAGCTTGTGAAAAGGCTGGTGCTGATGTATGTATCACTCTACCAACATTTGACCCTGCAAAACCCAATCTAGCAACATGAATTTAACACATTTGTATCATAGATTCCTCGTTTCTGTTATCATGGTACGATATTTTCAACAATGCAATCATATAAAAAACCAAAGCGAATGGAAACAAGAGGGATAGAGATGATGATTCGTATGGATGACGATACCTGCGCTTGATATCAACATTTTCATCAATCTCAATCATCATTTTTTTTTTTCCTTTTCGCTCTGTCATTTGAACAATTGATATTAACAGGATATTTTAATAGAACGTCTGTCAATTGCTGGTAACTGTCGTATGTGTCTTGTCGAAGTCGAGCGTGCACCCAAGCCAGTTGCTTCTTGTGCTTATCCCGTCATGCCTGGTATGAAGGTTAAGACCAACAGTCCTTTAGTCCACAAAGCTCGTGAAGGTGTTATGGAATTTTTGCTCTACAACCATCCTTTAGATTGTCCTATTTGTGACCAAGGTGGTGAATGTGATCTTCAAGATCAAAGTATGCGTTATGGTTCTGATCGTGGACGTTTTGCTGAACCTATGGGTAAGCGTTCTGTCGAGGAAAAGAACTTTGGCCCTCTCATCAACACTGAGATGACTCGTTGTATTCAATGTACTCGTTGTGTCCGTTTCGCTAACGAAGTTGCTGGTGCTACTGAACTCGGTACCAGTGGTAGAGGTAACGAAATGCAAATCTCCACCTATATCGAAAAGACAATTGATTCCGAGATGTCTGGTAATGTCATCGATCTTTGTCCTGTTGGTGCTCTGACCTCCAAGCCTTACAATATGAAGGCTAGACCTTGGGAATTGAAGAAATACGAGACTATCGATGTTTCTGACGCTATTGGATCCAACATTCGTCTTGATACCCGTGGTGTTGAAGTCATGCGTATTCTCCCCAGATTGAATGAGGAAATCAACGAGGAATGGATCTCTGACAAGACTCGTTTCTTCTATGATGGTCTCAAGGTACAACGTCTTACTACTCCTTTGATTCGTGATGGTGATCGTTTCGTTCCCTCTTCTTGGGAAGCTGCCTTGAAGCGTGTTGGTCATGAACTCGCCAACACCAAGGGTAACGCTGCCAAGGCTGTTGCTGGTCACCTTGCTGATGCTGAATCCATGGTTGCTCTCAAGGATCTCTTCAACCGCATTGGCTCTGAGAACTTGGCTATTGATGCTCCTAACGGTTCCAAGCCCCTTGCTGTCAATGCTGATTTCCGTTCCAACTATACCTTGAACTCTACCATCGTCGGTGCTGAAGAAGCCGATGTTGTTCTCTTGATTGGCTCCAACCCTCGTCATGAAGCCCCTATCTTGAACACTCGTTTCCGTAAAGCATGGCTCCACAATGGTCAAGATCTCGGTTTGATCGGCCAAGCAGATGATTTGAACTACGAATACGCCCACATTGGTGATAGCTCCAAGGATATTGAGAAGATTTTGGATGGATCTCACCCCTTCGCTAAGCGTCTTGCCGAAGCCAAGAAGCCCATGATTGTTGTTGGCTCCAGTGTTATTGAGAACTCCAAGGACAGTGAATACCTCCTTTCCAAGGTCTCTGAGCTCTCTGACAAGTTCAAGAACACCTTGTTCCAAGATGGTTGGAACGGTGTCAACATTTTACAACGTGCTGCTGGTAGAACTGCTGCTTACGAAGTCGGTTTTGTCCCTACATCCACTGAGGCTGCTGCTGAGCCCGTCAAGTTCCTTTATCTCTTGAACGCTGATGAGATTTCTGCTGCTGATGTTCCTAAGGATGCCTTTGTTGTCTACCAAGGTCATCACGGTGATGTTGGTGCTCAATATGCCGATGTCATTCTCCCTGGTGCTGCTTTCACTGAAAAGAACGCTACATTTGTCAACACTGAAGGCCGTACACAAATCACTCGTGCTGGTGTGAACCCTCCTGCTGCTGCTCGTGAGGATTGGAAGATCATTCGTGCTTTATCCGAAGTTGCTGGCCATACACTTCCTTATGATGATCTCTCTTCTGTTCGTTCTCGTCTTTCCGATATCAGTCCTGCTCTTACTCGTTACGATGTCATTGAAACACCTTCCATCTCTCAAATTGGTTTATCTGCTCAACGTAAGCCTTCCGCACAAAGCTCAGGCGAAATCTTGACTTCTGTCATCAAGAACTTCTACCGCACAGATCCCATCTCTCGTGCTTCTAGCACCATGGCTAAATGCACAAAGGCCTGGGTAGCAGGAAAGGATGTTGAGGCTGAACTCAAGAGTGTAGCTGCATAAATTCATTAGAAGCGTGAAGAATCAAAAGGATCAAGAATCGACTAGAATTTGGGAGATTGTATACAATATAAACTATTACTGACGGATATACAAGCAATAAAAAAAAAGAACAAAAATAGTATAAAAAATACATCTTATTAATTACATTACACATCTTGCTTCTTTGCTTTACTGTAAATTGACTCATTAAAATGACATTGATAGTCTAGACGAATCTTGATGTGGCCAAAATTGGCCTCCTAAGATTTTGATCCGCAAATAGACATTGGTGTATATCATTAGGATGTCAATCTGGCCCACGGGTACAAGTTTATTTTGTAATGATGTAGATATGATTCTACATTTCGACAAGAATGCAGGATAGCATAGGAGCTCCTTACCTTTCGTGTGTGTGACATGTAGGCCTCCTTTTGACAATCGGTATACAGCGCGCAAATAGGCAACATGCAACCTGTGTCTCTCTTGATTTTTTTTTTGGCGCAATTGGCAATGTTTGTGTGTGCATTTGCGTTCGATGCAAGTAGAAATCACCTGGATGTGCATTCGGTCATCGCGGATATACGCACATTGCATTTCAAAAGCATAGCAGATTCTTTAGCACAGACGTTCAGCATGCAGCATGTATCAGTTCCTATGGTCCAATATCTCCATTTGCAGGACCCAATGCGCATCATTTGACCCTGTTGCCTAGTAGCCATCCACTTTGTTTAATTGCCGCGATTGTTTGTGTTGTCACATTCCCGCATTCGACCTTCAAAAATTTTCTACGCCTTTCACATTACCCTCCGTCTTAATACATCATGTCAACCTCAGTAAGTGTCTGCATTTACCAACACGAGATTTAAGCCATTGATGGGAAGCCTAGACAGAGCAAGCCGAACTAATGAAAAAGCCAGAATGGTATACTAAGGCTCAAGACTATTGGAATGGAGTAACTCCTACAGTAGATGGCATGCTCGGTGGATTCTCAGTCGTAGATCCTGTTGATGTCAAGGGCTCACTGGAATTCGTGGATGAGTTTGTCCACGGCAAAAAGGGGGTAAATAATGTGATGAAAACAGAGCCTGTTATTACCAACGGCTATGCTTGTGATTGTGGAGCTGGCATTGGCCGCGTTACAAAGAACTTTTTGCTACATGTGCCTTTTGAAAAGGTTGATCTTGTTGAACAAGCTCCATCGTTTGTTGAACAAGCGAAAGCAAGCTACTTGAAGCAGGAAATAGAACAAGGCAAGATTGGACAAGTAGTGTGCCAGGGCCTTCAAGATTTTGAGCCAGAACAGGGCAAGTATGATCTGATTTGGTGCCAATGGGTGCTGGGCCACTTGACAGATGGTAAGCCATTCATCTACAAATGTCCATTGGCAAGAAAAAAAAAGCACTCATGTCCACTTGAAAAGATCATTTGATTGCCTTTTTTAAACGCTGTATTCAAGGATTAAAACCCAATGGCCTCATTGGCGTGAAGGAGAACAACGCATCCAAAGAAGCATTGGTGGACGACGAGGATAGCAGTATCACAAGAACCAGCCATGAATTGAAGCAGTTATTCACAAAAGCAGGCTTGGAATGCATCAAAGAAGACATCCAGCGAGGCATGCCTGCTGGCTTGTTTGCTGTTAGAATGTATATGTTGAGACCCGTGCATCAGCAAAAGCAATAAACCCGTTTTTTTTTTTATTTGAATCAAGACATTTGAACTGTGGTTGAGCTGTGGTTGCTGTTTCTGTCTTGACTTTTCACAGAATCTGCTGGAGTAGGCGCATGTGATCTAGTCAGTGTGAGGGTATTTGTAGCTACTCGTTCTTGCTGTCCCGGATCATGGGAAATCCAGATACATGTCTTTGATTTGAGTGTATTTTCCACGAGTTTGATTGATTCTGGATCCAATGCTGAAGTGGGTTCTACCATGAAGATCATGTCATTATGTGTGCAGAACATTGTATCATTGTGCAAACTAAATTACCATCGAGGAGCAAGATGTCAGGGTTCAAGGCAAGAGCAATGGCCAGAGCACATCTTTGCATTTCTCCACCAGACAGGTTACTCCATTTCTCTACAAAATGATCATGGGATAGATTCCATTCAGTGCCAATTTTGACCTACACGATTGAGTTAGGTGTGTGTGTGTGTGTGTGTGTATCATGCTTGATTCTTCTTACTGGATCGTCCAATGTCTTGGATTTCTGGCTTGCGTACTTTTTAACCATATTGAAAAAGTCCATTGGTGTTCCAGGATGCACAGAAGGCCTCTGAGGCACATACATCACACGAGACCTCCAGACAGGAATCGTATAGTCATTTACATCCTTACCATACAACGTACAGTAGCCCTTCTCATAAGGAATCAATTCAGCGATACACTTTAGCAATGTCGTTTTGCTATTTTTGAATAAATTAGATTGTTGTACAAATTTAAAAAAAAAAAGAGATGGATGGTTACCCAACACCACTTGGTCCTCGCATTACCAACGTATCACCCTCCTCTAATTCAAAAGAAATGTCTCTGAATAGCCACCTGCCGTCTGGTAGTTGCATTGATATATCATGAGCTTGGAACATTGACATTTTCAAGAGAGGAAAGAAAAGAAAAGAGAGATGTCGTGCCCAATCAAACCAACCATGGCGTTTTATTTGTAACAAACAGATTGCACCTCCAGTGACGTCGTTTATACAGATATGTGATGAATACGATGCAAATCATCCTAGACGATGCTGGCAAGAAGCATTCATTTGCTCATATGCTTGTAGCCAAAGCAACAGGATGAAGTGAGAGATGCATGAGAACAGTCAAAAAAAAAAGGATGTAGAGGCTTTGATCTCGCTGGCTGCCATGTCCATCAGAGCAGATTCTGAGCAACATGTGCACTGCTGCTGTCAATGGCATGAGCGACAGATGGAGAGGATGGTTTCATGAATCGAGACGCACGCACACAAGCTCTTGAAGAAGTACATTTGATGATCCAAAACAGCTTTAAAAAAAAAAAAAATCTGACTTTTTCAAATTTTTTTTTTTTATTGGCCTACCCACTTTGCTTGAGAATATATAATAATCTAATACTCACCACTTCTTCTTCTCTCTCTCTCTCTCTCTCTCTCTTCTCCCTCCTGCTCCATATCCTCGCCTTTGCTAGTTTAAAATCTTGCATCTTCAGCCCTCTCTCTTTTATTTTGCAAGGGGAAAAAAAGAATCAGATACATTCCAGCTTTCATCTTTCAGCCGAGAAACAAGCACTCCAGATACAAACCTTACATGACAGAAGCAAAGCAAGATTGGAAAATCGACTTTTATAAAAACGGTGTTCCAAAGGAAGTGATTGTGATAGAAGATACACCGCCACCATCGTCCACAGGGAACAGCACATCAAGCACGTCAAGCTATCATGTCCAGCAGCAAAGTATACCTTACTTAATTGGCCCTCCAGCGGCATCTACACGTTCAAAACGCCCTAGAAAAGACACTGTCCAGAACAGCAATGGTTTACCGCCTCCTCCACCTCCTCAGCAGCCGGTAAAAAGGAGACGCAAAGATGTAAATGCTCCAATGCAACCAGGTAAGTCTTAATGTCCTCCCCCTCCCCCCCCCCAGCGACTATGGCTGATTTGATGGATCGATTTGCTCACACAATACAAAGTTTTAAGAAGGCCTAATCCGAATACAGTATCAAATGTATCGACATCCGCTGTGCCATTATCCACGGTAAAATAGAGACGTTGATTGTTTGTCCCAGAATGTTTCTGATTTGCGTTTATCTGTATAGTCGTGTGATGATAAAGATGGGCATTACATTATCAGGCCTAACGAGTCCCTCACACCGAGATGTAAATACAAAGGATCTACATGTGGGGAATGTGCTGTTGTACTAACGCAATGTTGACCCAGACAAAATGATGCGGTTGCTGGGACAAGGCACTTTTGGTAAAGTAGTCGAGTGTTATGATAGAGTCAAGAGAACATTCTGCGCCATCAAGATTATCAGAGCAATACCGAAATACAGAGATGCAAGCAAAATTGAGATTAGAGTGCTAAACAGTCTAAAAGAGCACGATCCCATCAATTTAAAGTAAGGTCGAATGGTTATTTGCGAGAGAGGCCGCGGCTAACACCAGTTGAACACATAGCAAATGCATACACTTAATAGAATGGTTTGATTACCACAATCACATTTGCATGGTGTTTGAATTACTGGGCCCTTCCGTGTTTGACTTTCTGAAATCAAATGAATTTCGACCGTTTCCAATCCACCACATCCAACAGTTTGCAAAGCAGATTCTGACAAGCGTTGCCTGTGAGTTTTCCATTGGAAGAAACCGTTTGGCATGGAGATGATTAACGCTAGATTTGCCACCCTTAGTCGTACATGAATTGAAATTGATCCATACAGACCTAAAACCTGAAAATATCTTACTAGTGGACAATACCAGCGCAGAAGCAGGCAATGTATGTTGCTGACATGGCAGTGCTAATGGAACATGGCTTAACATGATACTGTAGATGTACGGTGTGGACCCCAACTCAAGAATCCTGACCAATACAGATATTCGTCTCATTGATTTCGGCTCTGCGACATTCGAACAAGACTATCATTCGAGTGTGGTATCAACGCGACATTACAGAGCTCCAGAAATAATCTTGGGCATAGGCTGGTCCTATCCTTGTGATATTTGGTCCATTGGTTGCATCTTGGTAGAGTTTTTGACGGGTGATGCGCTATTCCAAACCCATGATAATCTCGAACATTTGGCAATGATGGTTGTGGTGCTGGGCAAAATACCTGCAAAACTAATCAAAGCGGCAAAGTATGTATATCCTCTCAACAAACCCAGGAAAAGAGTTATTCACCTGTCTATAGTCGAGATGCCCAAAAATTCTTTAAAGATGGGAAACTGAAATACCCAGATGTTGATACCACCAAGCAGAGCAAAAAATATGTGCGAGCCCTAAAGTTGCTCAAGGTAAGTCAATGGCCAACAGGCAATGGACTGGTTAGACTACTAAACACTCTGCTTGAACAGCACATTGTCAATCCACACAACAATGCTCGCTTCCAATTCCTTGACCTGTTGTCCAAAATGCTCGTGTATGATCCTGCGGCACGAATTACTGCAAGAGAAGCACTAAGGCATCCCTTCTTTCTGATCCCTTTTGATGAACTTGGTCAAGAAATTGAGGAAAACCGATAAACCATCAACACTTGTACACACTTTTTATGCCTTTAAAAAAATATATTTACATACGATATGCTCTCGCTCTTTCTTCTTCATACTTTTATATATATATATATATAATAATTCCCTCTAATTCTAATCCTTGTTAGGTCCTCCATTCTTCTTGCTCATCACATCAATCACAGCATTTCTCTCACTTGCCATTAAAAAGTATATACGTTTAGCCCTTTATTAAATGCGCACATCTATTAAACCAACAGGATGGCTATTTCTGTTTTGTAGAAAACGGGTTTTTTTGCTGGCAGTAATTGGAAGATTGGTGTAACCTATCTTGACCAGCATTGTAAATCAAGGTACAGCAAATCAAGTGTGATTCAAAATGGCATCAAATGTACGATTACTTATCAGCTGTAATTGCAAATAGGTTGATTTACTAGTACGTTTTATTATTTCAACATGGAGAAATGGATATATTGTTTATCATCCTCCTTGCTAAACGAACGTTTCATTGGGAGCTGGTATATCTTGATGTGAGTGTTTGTGTGTTGGCTAGATGGCAAATGAACATGAAGGACACCAACTAAAGCTATAGTACTTTTTGTGTTGAAAGCAAAAGCTCTGTGTGAATAGCTTCTGAGCAGGAACAGCTGCGGCACCTGTAGCCACCATATCGGATGAGTTTCCAAATGTCCAAGATAACGGTGCAGAATGTGCTATATTGATCATTTTGTTCTGACTATCACTGAATCCAGATAATGGAGACCTTTTTGTGATTCGATTTGGTAGTAAATATGTTGGTTTGGCCATGATGATTGTTTATTATAAAGGGTGAGAGAGAGAGAGAGAGAGAGAGAGAGAGAAAAAAAAACAAAAAAAAAAACAAAAAAAGAAATAAAGTGCCTGTTTCCTTTATGGACCAAAACAAATTTTTCAGTTTAATATGTGTCAAGCATCTAATTCGCCCAATTGTTGCGCCAGTTCCAGATTCTTGCTATACAAAACCAGTGCCTCCTTCTCCAGACTGGTTATCTTTTGATCTGCTATCGCCAGCGATGTTTTGAGCTTGTTCTCATCCACCTGCCACTGAGTTGATTTGAGCTTCCATTCCTTTTCCAATCTTGCCAGGCTTTGCTCATGCTTGTCAATGATGTTGACATCCTGTGCATGTTGACGTTCCAAGTCTTGTAGTTCAGTTTCAAGCTCAACCATTTGACCTGACATGTTTCGTAGCTCTCTCGTAAGCTGCACTTGATAGGTGTCAACATCTTTTCTGTATTGTGATTTTAAACTCGTTTCCAGTTCGTTTAGCCGGGTGTTCAATTCCAATTGCATTTGTCTCTGGTTGACCTTTTGTAGCTGCTCACGATGGCGTTGAGATTTCTCTAATTCAAATCTTGTTTTGGCCAATTCGCCATCTCGCTCAGCAACCGTGCGTCGTAGTGCTTCTTCCAATTCGCTATTGTCCACTTGTACTACTTTTCGAGATTGGGCTATTGACGCAGATTGCTCCGCTTTGATGAGTCTTGCACGCAGCTCTTCTTTTTCCAGAACAAGTGCGTTGACCTGATGGGCGTGGGTGGCATGGATGCGAGCCTTCTCCTTGGCAAATTCTGATTTGATTTGCTCCAGCTTGTCCATCTGCTCTTGATGATCCGCCTCCAATTGATCTACTTGAGTCTCTGATTCGCGCAACAAGCTTTGCAGAGCGAGAAAATCTGGATCTTGGATGCTAGATGTTTGCATGGCCTTGAGATCATTTTGCAATCGCTTGGATTTCTGTTCAGACCGCTCTCTCTGCTGTTTGATCTGATTCAGCTCTTCAATCATGGCTTCCATCTCTTGTCGCATATCGTCTACCACTTGCTCCATTTCCGCCTGCTCTTCTTTGCTGTCATTCAGCTTGCTCTGCATATGCTGTCGCAATTGCTTCTTTTGCTTCTCGAATGCTTTTTGCACAGCAGCAATGCGAGTCTTTGTGTGTGCCATGGCATCATGATGAGCAGCTTTCTTTTGTGCACTTAATCGGCACAAGCCTTCCATCAATCGGGTGTTTCGCTGCCTTTCTTTTTCGGCTGCAACTAGTAAGGGAATTACCACGTTTTTCAAATCTTGTTTAGTTGATTGTTTGTGCTCTGTTACACCATCAATCCACTTTTCAATTGTCTGAGTGGATAAACAGAGTTGAGATTGGATATCGCTCTCTGCAAAACAAGCAGTATAAACATGTCAAATTACGAGATCAGAGCACAACAGCACATTGAAGCTCTTACCTGGTGGCTGATCCAATACCAACGAACCGGCATACTTATTTACAATGTGTTTTAGTTCTATTAGTTTGTCGAGCACCAATCTCATTGCATGATGCTGGGAACTGCCCTGGTCTTTTTCGATTGATTTCTTATTATCTGTGTCACTTGGTGCTGTTGTTGTGTGCAACACACTACTACTAGTAGCAGCATCTTTGAATGACGCTGGTTCTAGGTCATTGACTTTACGTCCTTCCAAAAAGGTCTGTATAGATTGAGACATGTTGTTGATAATTGCTTCGTTTGATTGTCTTGATAATCGTATCTGTTCCTCCAGCCATTCGATCCTTCTGTAGGCTGCTTCTTTTGTGGGGTATAGAGCATGTGTGTCTCCATTAGGCGGTGGTAAGCTTTTGCAATGCTTTATTCGGAAGCTGTGGCTCGTGGAGAAGGAGTATGAGGTGGATGATGTTGATGAGTAGGATGATCTTCGCGAGGAGTCCCAGCTACTGGTTGGGGATGTTGCCAATGTATTGCGATCATCTTCGGTTGGGTAAGTGGGAATGGAATTAAGCGTAGTAGTAGTTGTGTATTTTGTATGAGGTTCCTCGTCAGAGGAGATGGTATGAGGCAATGTGCTGTATAAAGGCACTGCTGTGTCTAGCTCTAGATGTGTCATGATTCAAAGAAAGTAAATGTATATATAAAATGTAGAAATAAAGAAAAGAAAAAGTACAAAACTGATTATCAGCCAAACTGTCAATGTGCTCATTATAAATGGGGGGGGTTTTTTTTTTTAACGGATTTTGTTGTTACATTGGAACGCAATCATGATACAACACAATCCGGTTGAACATTTAGTGGTGTAACCTGTGCCTTGTAATAATATTTGCACTAAATTTTCAATTTAATTTCGTATATTGAGCAAGCATGGCAAACATGAAGTGAATGCTAGTGTGGCCATGCTGGATCTGTTGCTCCTTTCAATGGATCAATACAAGAAACTTGCTCTTATTGGCAATGTTTCGTACTGATCTGTCCAAAACAAGTCTATTTATCTGTGACTCTTTGCTTACATTGGAAAAAGGGGTTTTAAGAGCATCGACAACTCGCAGTCGAATGTTTCTGTTCTTTTTGATTATTCACTCAACATTTTTATACTATGGGAAACGACGGAGGATCCATCCCTAGACGTATTGAACTCGTTAAAGAGAAGGCCAAGAATATTGTCCTCAATCCTGATCTTGAGAGAGCCGCTGCTTGGCTCTACTGTGCATTGTCCAAGGTAAAATCCTCTGCTCATTTATCATGGCTTAATTGTAGCTGACAGTCTGAATAAGCTTTTACTGGAACAACCTGTAGTGTCAGATGGATTAGGGAAACTATACAATCAAGATGCCATCATTGAATACCTTCTAGATCCTTCCATCTACGGTGATGGCGACAAGATCTGCTCCCATATCACCTCTTTAAAAGACACAACCAAGTTGAATTTGACACCTAATCCAGCTTACAACGAGAAAGATTCTCACTTGGATTCAGCGACCATGGGAAGCCTTGATAGAAATCTCAAGAGTAAATTTGTCTGTCCCATCTCAATGAAGGAAATGAATGGAAAGCATCGATTTGTGTATTTAGATACTTGCGGTTGTGTTTTTGCTGAACAGGCCATGAAGGAGATTCCTAGCAAAGAATGTGTTACTGTAAGTTGACTTATCAAGTAGAAATAGACGATGCTTACTCATCTTGCATACATTGTTAGTGTGGAAAACCATTTGAAGGTCAAAATGTCATTGTCATCAACCCTACAAAGGAGGAACAAGACGTTATGAGAAAAGTGATGGAAGAGAAAAAGGCCAAGGCAAAGGCAGAAAGAAGAGCTAAAAAGGCAGAAGGCAAAAAGAATGGTGTGGTATCCGAGAAGAAGAGAAAGAGAGATGATACCGGCTCACCAGAAAAACCAGCAAAGAAGGTGTCGTCTATACAATCATCGGCCGCTGCTGCTGTCATGGGTAAAGTAGCGCAAGACTTGGCTGAAAAGAAGAAGAATTCAGCATTGTCAAGTGCTGTCAAAAGTATTTACGGATCAAAGGATAAAAAGGAGACTGGCAATTACCTCACAAAAGGAACCTTTAATCGTTATTAACCATCATACACGTAGCACGTTTTGTATATAGAAAAAGCACAAGAAAAAATAAACGACTTGATTGAACATAGAAAGTATACGAGTTGTCAGAATTAAGAGGATGATTTGTGAGATTGTCAATTAGTTGGCTGATGCCAAATGGAGCATTATTTTTTGTGAAAAAAAGCTTCACTGCTGTTGTAAAGTAGACGTTATCCAAATCTCAGTAAGAAAATTGAGCTTCCAAATCATAGTTTGATGGTAAACCGTGTTAAACTGGCATTACCAGATATCAAGCTAGAAACCAAAATGGGCAGGCTAAGTGCAGGTGCTATCAAATCCGTGATCCCCTCCTTATCAGCATCACAAACATCGATTTTCTTCATCAGAAAGACGGTGGGCCAGCCAGTCAGCCAGCCAAAATTGATTCAAACTCAGCTTGCGCCATTGTTTCTAGATTGGACAATTTCTGTTACTTTTCGACTTGATCGAACTATTTTGTCACATTCGACTATGTAAACTGTGAAAATCATCCCATACTCTTTTAAGCTTTCTAGGAGTGCTTTTCAAGGCGCATCTGATGATGCTAAATAAAGAATATATTCTGGTTGAACTTTTTGAGTAATGCTTAAAAATATGAAATGAGGTTTATGGCCAAAATGTCGATATTTTACATATGAAGGTGTCACAAATGAACTTTCAGGGGCTGCTTTGGATCGAGGGGGACACTTTGAGTCAATGTATGCCATAGTAAAAGTCTTTGTTTTTGAGGTAAAAAACGCGATTGTTTGATTTTCGATGAAAATCATGAGGGATACCTCCTGGTTTTTGGTCAATTTTTGGTCGATTTTTGGTGATCCCAAAAAAAAAGTCGAGCAAAGATGCTAGTTATAGACTACTGGATGAGAGAAACTGTTTGGCGCTATTCTGGCGGTCTAAATCGGCTTCTAGCGCGAGAAAACACGGCTCAAATGCGCCCAAATTTTGCTGGTTGTGCATATGTTTGAGTAACAAGAGGTAATGGCAGTATCCTATCTGGCCATATATAGTTTGTTCCAACTGATATAAATGTGGAGCATAGTAAAAGATCCATATCTACAGTTACTGGCTGCTGATGAAAGGTTTTCACGTAATAACGTAGGGTTGAAAAGTGACATTTCTGTACATACTGATAAAACGAGCTGAATAGTTTGTTTTCAAGGCATTTGCTGTATTCTCAGTTTGTGGATGGTTTAAGACACATATTATAAACATATTGATGCTATAGGGGTGCATTTCTAACATGCATCTTGGAGAAAAGAAGGGGGGTGAGGGACCATTTCGTTGTAGAGATTACGTGGGATACTCTACAACGAAAACCTGTGAATAAGCTGCAATGTGTGATTTTGAACCTTATTGTAACTTTTCAGAAAAGATGCCGAAAATTGATGTATAGATGAATCATGGAGGAAGGCTTTACAGGTTTCTTCTTGGAACAATAGACTTACAGAGTCAAACGACATGTGGCTCACGCATTTACACAAACAAACAATGGCCCTGTCGATCATTCTATTTGAAATTCATATTAGAGGAATGTCATTCTAGTAGCCCTAAATCGTCAGCATGTCGATCTATTTCGGTGTGTTTAAATGTAACCACGAAGCCTTTCTGTATTCAAAGACTTTATTCGTTATTCAAATGAACAGGCACTCGATGTGCAAATGCAGATGTCACACTCGTTGCGTGTGTATATCGTCTATGCACTTGCAATGTATCATGACTTTATGTTTTCAGCATTCCTGCATAATAAATGTGAAGTCTCAATAACAAATGGGATTGTTCACGCTTAAAAATAGAGAGCTATCATGCATCATATATATACTTTCAAGATGCAACTAGTTATTTTGTCTCTTTTTCTTTTCTCTCTTTTTCTTTTCTCTCTTTTCCTCCCGTTCCTGTAAAAAAAAAATTGTATATACTATGAAAATTCCACTTTATAGACAGGACGCCAAAACTACAACACTAGCACCACATCAAACTAATGCAGCGTCTCCAAAAGCCACTACAAAACCAAAAGTGTCATTTATACAGTTATTTCGATTTGCCAGCCGACCAGAACTATCCATTCTTCTAGTTGCTGCTATTTTATCAGCCATCTCAGGAGGCCTACCACCTTTAGCCATCTTAATCTATGGATCTTACATCTCTAAAATAGTTAGAGCGCAAGGCAACGAAGCAGTCTTGGCAAGTATCATGCCAACTATTCAACTGATGTTGGTCATGGGCACGGCAGCAATTGTCACCACCTATGTTTCCACCTGCCTATGGATCCGAATGGGAGAACGACAGGTGCGACGTATCCGAGCATTGTATCTGCACTCCATTCTCAAGCAAGACATGACCTGGTTTGATACAGCCAAGGACGATTCGTTATTGACTCGATTAGCTAGTGATACACAGCTCATTCAAGACGGTATATCTGAAAAACTCGGTTTGTGTATCTCCTTTTGTTGCCAATTTCTTGCCGGATTTGCAGTTGGATTTTATAAAGGTATACAGACTCCTCAGGGATCATGATGTCAGTAATGTCATTAAGCTAATATACAATTTATAGGCTATAAGATGGCATTGACCATGTTTGCCGTGTGTCCACTATTAGCCGCCATCATGCTGACTATGATAGTGATGATCAAAAAGTATGTCATCCAGACGCAAACATCCTATGCACAGGCTGGTGCAGTGGCAGAACAAGCGCTACAGGCTATCCGTACAGTGCATGCATTTTCGCTTCAAGAGAGGTTTTTGAAACGTTTTCAAGAAAAACTCAAAGTAGCTGAACGATACGGTGTCAAGCGAATCTACGTAACTGGTATTGGGATCGCAACATTCACATTCTGTTTCTTTAGTTCTTTGGGATTAGCTCTCTGGTATGGATCTCAATTGGTCTTGCAGGGCACATCCACAGCATCCTCTGTGTTTGTTGTATTTCTGGCTATGATCATGGGTAGTATTTCCATGGCCAAGATGCTCCCTCATCTCACAACCATCACAAATGCATGTGGTGCGTCTTACAAAGTGTTCAAGGTCATTGATACGGTGCCTACCATCCAATGCAACCATCACAGCGGCAAAAAACCTGCGCAGGTAGATGGCACCATCGAGTTTAAACATGTCAATTTTGCCTACGCCTCCAGACCTGATGTACCCGTCTTACATAACCTGTCACTCACCATTCACGCAGGCATGACTGTAGCGTGTGTTGGTGCATCAGGCTCTGGAAAATCAACGCTTGTTCAGCTTTTACAACGGTTTTATGATCCCAAGGATGGCAAAATTACACTGGATGGCCATGATGTCAAAGACTTGAATGTCCAATGGTTTCGTCAAAGCATTGGCGTAGTAAATCAGCAACCTGTCTTGTTCAACACGACTATTCGAGAGAACATCCAAATGGGCAGCCCTGTGCCTGTCTCGGATGAGGCTATCATTGCAGCAGCCAAAGAAGCCAACTGCCATCATTTCATCATGAAGTTGCCTCAAGGATACAGTACCTCAGTTGGAGAGCACGGAGACATGCTGTCAGGTGGACAGAGACAGAGAATCGCTATTGCCAGGGCCACAGTGAAAAATCCAAGTATATTACTGTTGGATGAAGTAAGTTGTTGCGTCATTTTTATTACACTTTATGCTCATCCGTGCTTCTGTACGTTAGGCAACCTCAGCACTAGACACGCAGTCTGAACGACTAGTACAAAATGCGCTTGATAAAGCGTCAGCTAATCGAACAACGATCATTGTTGCTCATCGTTTGTCTACTGTAGCCAAAGCAGACAAGATTGTAGTGCTGGATCAAGGCAGCATCATTGAAACAGGCACACATCAAGAGTTGATTCGTCTCAACGGAAAGTACGCGGATCTTGTGCGGAAACAATCCATCAGCTCTGGAGAAGAGGAACAGCAAGACACATTGTCGATAGAAGAGGAGATTGGCCATGAAGTATCGGTCGGTGAACAGAAGATAGATTATAAATCGCAGCTGCACAGTGATCTCACCAAGGTGAATACGATCGATTCCAATGGCAGCACTGATATATCTGTTTTCAGCGATACCAACACCAAAGCCTCTATTTATGACGAAAAGGAGATCACTGCACATTTAGAGAACAACAAAAGCAGCACGAGGCGTCGTACCCAGTACCCTAGCACTTGGAGCGTTGTCAAGCGAATGCGGCAGGAATGGTGGTTGATTCTACTCGGCGTTTGTGGAGACCTTATCAAGGGTGCCATCTTACCGCTGTACGCGTACACCTTTTCCAGCGTCATTGGCATTCTCTCTGATCCCAACTATCAGAAAGCAGCACCTTTGCAAGGCACAAATCTCTATGCGTTTATATTCTTTATTATCGGCGTCGCGTCCTTTGTGGGAGGAGGCCTCAGCAAGATTTGCTTGCCTCTCAGTGGTGAATACTATACGCACAGACTGCGTGGTCAAGTATTTGAAGCATACATGAAGCAAGACATCGAATTCTTTGACAAGAAAGAGCACAATACAGGCATTCTGACAACTCGGCTCGCGTCTGATGCTCGCAATGTAAGCGACATGGTCTCTAAGGTGTGGGGAGACGTGGTTGATCTGTTTGCAACTCTTACAACGGGTCTCATTATTGCCTTTACGCACAGCTGGGCCCTGACACTGGTCACCATGAGCATGTTACCACTGATTGTGCTGTCGACTACGTTTGACATGTACCTGCAGCGTAGTTTTGATGACATGACCAAGAATGACAACATAGCAAGTAGTCAGGTAGCTGGTGAAGCGATTCGAGAAGTCAGAACTGTAGCAGCGCTCTGTAAGCAAGCTTATTTTGAGGAACGGTACGCCAAAGCCACGGAACGCTCCCATCAGCTAGCGATAAGAAAAGCTTATTTCTCATCCATTGGATTCGCATTCCACCGAGGCATCACAATCTATACCAACGCCTTGGCATTCTACTTTGGCACCCGATTGCTTGTCGATGGCAGCATCGAATTCCGTCAGTTATTCACCAGCATGACAGTGTTGATCCTTACTGCCGAATCAGCTGCTCGAAGCAGTATGTTTGCCACTGTGCTTACTAAAGGAAAGGAGGCGACTCGCGCCATATTCGAACTTCTGGACTCAGCGTGCTCAAGTCGAATCGAATCTGGACTTGAAGGAGCAGAACCCGAGGTTGGGACATTGAAAGGAGATATCAGATATGATGGTGTCAAATTTGCATACCCCGCAAGACAAGATAACTTAATCTTTGATGGCAATTTCAGCCTGGATATTCAATCTGGGCAAACAGTTGCTCTTGTAGGACGGTCCGGATGTGGTAAATCTACCATCATTGGGTTACTTCAGCGATGGTACGATGTGATGGAAGGCTCCGTCTCGCTAGATCAGCGCAATGTCAAGTCATACTCTGTGGACAACCTACGAAGCCATATGTCAGTCATTGTGCAAGAGCCTATTCTGTTCAATGTGTCCATTGCAGAGAACATTCGCTATGGCGTCTACGAAAAAGGGACGCTTGTCACTCAGCAAGACGTAGAGAATGCGGCCAAGGCTGCTAACATTCATGGTTTCATCACCAGTCTCCCACAGGGTTATGCCACACTCGTTGGTGTCAAGGGATCTCAACTGTCAGGTGGTCAGAAGCAAAGGATAGCTATTGCCCGAGCCATTTTGAGAAAACCAAGAGTGCTGTTACTGGATGAAGCGACATCTGCCCTCGACAGCGAGAGCGAGCGACTGGTGCAAGAAGCGCTTGATCAGATTATCCAACAAGGAAATCAGACAACGATTACCATTGCACATCGACTGTCCACTATAGTCAATGCAGATATCATTTGCGTACTAAAAAATGGTAAAATCAAGGAGCAAGGCACACATAAAGAGCTGTTGGCATTGAATGGCATGTACTCTAGATTGATTGCTGAGCAATCACTGAGTATTCAATGATGTTGCTTGTTCCACAACAGGTGCTCACATACATCAATCAATAAGTTCTAGGCCATCATCAAAGATTCTTGCAAACGCAAAAATCATATTTCTCATCATCAACAATTAAAGCATTGCTCCAACAGCGTAAATAAATGTTTATTTTGCATCCTAGATGCCTTTGTCAATGATGCCTAGACATCTATTTTAGCTGTTCTGTATACAGCCATTGTTCAGGAAGTCCCATTTCTCATTTGATGAATTTTAGTATTACTCACTGTTTGCTACCTACCCAATCAAACCAAACGGAGGATGACGCTCCCGGTTGGTTTTCTTTCCTTGTTCTATTCTTTTCTTTCCCTGGTAAATTTTTACAAGAAATGACCAAAGAATCAAGCGTACAAAATGCTCCCAAAGTGGGACGCCATCGAGTCTATTCAAACGAGCAGCGCAAAGACCGCAATAGACAAGCTCAAGCAGCGTTCAGAGATCGACGCATTAAATATACGCAAACATTAGAGAATGCCATTGTCAATTTTGAAGAAACGATAAAGAACCTCAAAGAATCAATGAATCAAACCATGAAGCGCGCCCAAGTAGCCGAAGAACGTTCACATCATCTTGCTTCCCAAGTAGTGTCGCTGCAAAGATTGCTAGGAATGGCGTTGGCCGACAATCAAAGGCTACAGACACAAGTCGCTCTTAGTAGTAAGTGGTATTCTATCATGAAGCTATAATCCCGCTAACAGTCTACTAGACGGCATGCTCCCTCTATCGCCCAACAGCGACAATTTGGCACCTAATAAAATGCCTCTCACAGATTCTATGCTTCAACTATTTGATGCCAATCCTACCATGGCCAGTCCAATGTCATCAGCGGCTTCAGACGACCAATTCGACTTGATCAATGCGTCCATGTTAACAGGCGAGTCTCACAAACTAGCAGCCGTTTTATAAAGAACATTGATCCTAGAGATTTTTTTCTAATAGACCCTACACCCTACATTTTCACTGATAATTGCAACGAATTTAGTCTTGGCAAGTATATCGATTGACATGATTTAAACTCTCTGATCCTAGTTTGCTCCTTTTTTTTTTTGTAGATTTCTTATAGATGAGAATCAAGGTACTCTTGCTCTTACGTAACATCGCTCTATCATTTATCCTTTTTTTTTTTTTTGTCGCTTGTCAATAAAGTCTCATAAACCCTTTTGGGTCGAATTAATTTAAAAACAGACACAGTGTTTAATACAAACATATGTTTAAGATGGATCATTGATAGATTACAAGAGAAGAAGAACGGCTAATTTACAGATGGTGTTATTAATTGGGATAATAAGCATGCTGCGGCACATGGACCACAGAGGTTGATAGTGGATAGCATAGGTTTTGATTTAATGTAGGCGTAGGGTTATGGATATTGACATTCATTTGTTGTTGTTGTTGTTGTTGTTGTTGTTGTTGTTGTTGTTGTTGCTGAGAAGGTTGTATGTACGTAGGTTGAGGGTTGCTATTTATATGAGATATGTTTTGATATACAAGCATAGAGTGGATATGATGCTGTTGATGTGGTGAAGTTGTGAGATGATACTGTTGTGGTTGTGGATGCTGTAGTTGTGGAGGCGGTGGAGGAGGCGTGTGCGATATGATGGGATCTGGCCAGATGAAATCACTGGCACCACAAGGACTTGACCATTCAGAATTAGCAGTGGCAGCAGTGGTTGGTGGAAATGTTGCATTACTCATTGTATCTTCTGGTGTAGATGGTCCAGAGCCACTGAAGTCATAGCTTTGCTGAACAGAGGCGTCCAATGCAAACTCCCATAGCTGTCTTCGATCACCAAAGTCAACGCCAATGCTTGTGCCAAAGGCTGCCAGGTTATTGAAAGGAGAGCTACCCAGCATGCTATCCATATTTTGGTATTCAAAGGATCCGTTAGGCACATCTGCACGGTAGGGATCAACAAGGTTCACTTGAGTTTGATGTTGTTGTTGCTGCTGATGCTGCTGATGTTGCTGATGTTCTGGCGTGAACTGCGCCATGTTGCCATTAGCGTCTACTTGTTGAAACGTCATGTTGTTGGCATATTGATGAGGTACTGAGTCCAGGGTTGCGGCAGCATTGATCGCAGCAGCAGCAGCAGGATTGAGCTTGGACAGCGAAATATCAGAACAAGCAGTGTGCTTTCTAGAGTGCTGGTGAATAGCAGAGATCTTTTGCAAGACGGCTGTACACTCTGGAATGATAGCATAGTGCTGTAATTTACGAAGCAATTTAACGCACAAGTTGAAAAAGTACAGAGATTGGCCAGCCACTTCAGAATCTTGGTCACTAAGGTATCTTGCATGGACACGGATAGCAGCAATCAAAGCGTGGGCAAGAAACTCGTATCGTACCACCATCGTGGGCTTGTCACACGTACTTTCTACGCATCTTGTGAGCTGAGCAGCGTAAATACGATGTTGAATGGACGTTTTAGCGTTATCAGGAAGACAGAACAGTGTGTCACTCAGCATAAAGTAATACAACGCGAGGAAGTAGCCTATTTCGGGTGGTTTTCTTGGCTCATTCATCACATCTTCAATTGTGGCACAAGGCCGTATATTCCAGATGTCAGGCGAAGGTAGATTAGCACTCCAATGTAGCAGCTTGATACGGTATTGATGAAGCTGTTCATAGAATCTAGCATTATCGATATCGTCACGAATAGCAAAGGAAACACGGATTTGAAGACCTTCTTCACCAAGCAACGATAGTTTGATCTTTTGCTGAAATGTTTGTACGATCCAACGCTCGGCTTCATCGTCTTCAGGCAATATTTGGGGTAGCGTTGTTTTTGCCAAGGAGGAAGGAATAGACCATAATCTTTCCCATTCTGCACTCTGCATTTTGTCTAGACAATAACAGGACCAAAAGACTCTTCTGCGAAGTTCAATACACTCTAATGGCATGTTGTCACGAGAATAAGGTGTATCCATATTCAAACCGAGTTCAAGACACATGCGAAAAGCCATACCACTGTACATCCAGGAGCGGCAATGTTGATCGACCGCTGATTTCGATTTAGTGGGGACAGGCTCGTAAAGAGATAAAAGACACAGTGCTGCAACTGTGCTAACTCTTGGCACATCGAGAAAATCATCCAACAGTCTCTTGGCGCGATTGAAAAAGACGATAGATTTGGGTACATCTTTCAAGGTAGAGGAGCTGCTGACGACGCAGTAGATGGCGTTCAGCAGCAGTGGTGTGATGAGAGGGCCCTTGGTTCGCAATTGTTCGTAAAAGTAGCGTTTTGGTATGATGGGCGATACCTTGTAACGAGTTTCAAAAAAGTGGTTGATGAGATGCATCTGGATATCGCTTGATGGCATTTCAATGGCAGTAGCGTATTTGGAAGGCAATGGTGGCTCGGGTCTCCAACGAACAAAGCTACCAAATGTGGGAAACTCGCCTATAGGTAGCTTTTGTGATTTAGAATAGGCTGCAGTGGTTCGTGTGGCTGCATCGCTAGTCCAAGTGTCGCTGAATTTCGGCATGGATCGATTGTTACTGATGCTTGGTTTCGAGCGGGAGAACAAGATGGAATCGTCATCGGAATCAATGTTGCTGTGAGTGCTGTCTGCTTCATCTTGGTTATCACTGGCGGCACTGTTGTCATTTGAGCTGTTTTCTGCTTGTGTTTCTGGATTGGATGATTGACAATTTCGTCCGCGTGCTATGAAGTAAAATAGATATCACATTGTTTTTTTAGCCTTCAAAGCGTTTTATTTTAGATTTAGTGTAACATCTACCTTTACACTAATGTCAATTTGTAATGAAAATTGATTTGATTACAAGGAGGGGTAAGAAATGGGTAAGTACGGCTGCAACATTGAATTGTCATACGACTATATATCTAACCTGCATACAGGGCCTTAATCCATCGCACTAAAGCGTCACTTTTTGATTAATACACACACATTCAAGGCACAGAAACTATAAAATGAAATTGTATCACACCTTGATTTTTTTACTGCGACACACATAGCAAGCATGTCCGACCTTGAGTCGCTTATATTTTAATTCTTGGGTAGCTTTTGCCATTATAAACTGCAGAAGATGATGTGAATGTAGAGAAAGATGAGAGAAATCAAAAATGGCAAAAAATGTAAAAAGAAAGAGGAATGAAAAGAGAAGGAAACAGAAACCTCAACATTGCTTATTTGAATATATACAGTCAAGATCCAGGATAAATCAACGCCGTGTGTCACCCAATTCGGATGGTAAAGGTTATTTAAAGAAAATGTGTATGAAATCTGCTTAATCAAGTAAAATTTACTCTGCTTTACGTGGCAGTTCCATCATATTCCATGACTTTTTTAAATGTGGCTCAATGGGTTATCACTGCTTGGCCGTATTTGTCATCTTTTGCTCACTTCATGCGGCCTACAATCAGCATGTAATTATATCAAGTGTCATGTCTAATTCTGCTGACTGAAGGACGACAATGAAGGGAGGATAAGCCTATTGAACCTCCGTATTTATGTAATGAATAATGGTTAATCGCTTCGTCCCTCCCCCCCGGAAATCCAAGCTTTTTTTATCAATTGTTTTTCCATATGGATCATTATGATCTCAGTTGATATCTATTTAGATTACTCGAGCACAAGATACCGCCAAGAAGAGGTAGTACGCTCTGCGGCAAGCCAACAAGATGCATCTTGACATTTGAAATGTACAATTTCAACCTGACAGACCAAATAACACTGTTTGACCAAATTTGGACATTTGAGGAGACAAGAGTCGTCGTCGGTTGTAAATCAAGTAGAGATAAAAAAGAAAAATGCTGAAACATGGCAAGTCTGGTGGCTCAAGAAGTAATCTCGATCATTGTCTACTGTCCTTCTATTGACCTCTCCCCCAAAGTAAAATATGGGTAAATGAATAGCAATCAGGCAATAAAAAAAAAATTATGTTTGAAATATTGGATATCATCCTCTAGATGTATATGCTAGCAATTTTCCATGTGTCATCTTCCAACATAAAGCACAAATGTAAGTACCTCAAAAAATGCAAGCAATAATTATGGCACTATGCGTAATGGATTCAACGGAAAGCTTCAATTGATGGTTTACATAAGTAACCAAAAATGGACAAATTATAATTATTGAAAATTTCGGTAAAATATAGGCACCGTGCCGTAAGATACAGCAGCATATTATATTGCTTATTGATAATGGCGATTTGGAATTGACAAGCTGAAACACAGCATACACATCTTTGTATTCCCTGATCTGACCACACATTAAAAGTTTTGTATACTTCAATGCTCTGAGTATCAATTGATTTGTAAAGGCAATCAAGGATAAACCAAGATTACATGTAATCCAATCAACCAACATATAAAATTTTTTCCATGTTCCAGGTTTTACCAATTTTCTGTAAGCGAACCGTATAAAAATATATCTTCTATATAACGTAAGACACTAGACAAACGGATGCCAGCATTGCCTGGTTTCAAAAATCACGGCTAATGGTTGACGTTTCGTTATCGTTGCAATTGTAGGCACGACATGCGTGAGAATTGACGTTAATGCTACAGCAACTAAGCATAATGCTTCAAAGCTACGATGTGCTCTTTGATTACGTATTTTAATTTAAACACTTGCAAGCCATCATTGGCCAGGGGAAGGACTAAAAACGGTTGCTTAGATCATCATTCATCATCAAGCTAATCCTGGATCGACTCCCCATCATGACGCCAACGATAGACGCATCGCATTTTAGAACATAATACAATACAATTTAACATGTGTAATTTTGTCTCCGTTGAAAAATCGCATTTTGCTGAATAATTGATAAACGAATGAGTGGGGTTTATCATAAATCAGTTTATCTATTTGTCACCTCAAACAAGTTTTATGCAGTTGAATCTAACAGGTATGATAATATTAATTGTGTATATGATCCACTCTTCAAGGACGGTCAGTGTGCTTGTATGTCAATCTCAATGGCCATTGTGCATCACTCAGAGTTTACAAAGAAAAAAAAAATTATAGGCGTACAAAGTGGATCTCGGTAAGTATCGCTCAGGGCAGTGTCATTCCATTGTATTCATCAGGTGTCATCACTCCTTGTTACACCTGACTTGACTTGCTAGGGTTTGTGGTCGCATTTCAGCGCACATGGTAAGGACACTAGACAACATGTGAGTAATCCTATTTTGTAATTTCCTCTAATCATATTGAAGGTTGTACAGTTTAGCCGATGAAAAAGCCCAAGATGTTCTTCAACATGTTTGCGGGTCACTTACAAATCTAATTTGGAGCTTGAAAATGTTATCCAATTTGAAAGGTTCTAGAATCCTAGCAGAACAGATAGAGGTTTGCAAATCATTATTCATCACTTTCTTTACACACTTCGATTTTACCGATGTAATTATTAATGCTCTACCAATTTATTCTATCATATGGATGACATTGTTGCATCTCCCACTAGGATTTGCATGCATATGAGTATTTCACACCGAATAACTCTACTTTATAGATATGGAAATATGCAGGAAACGCAACAGGTAATGTTAAGGCTAAGCTATAGTACTTTTCAGATCGTAATCCCTTTCGTAATGACCTCAAAACATCAATGCCCTTGTGATTAGCAAGGCAATAGTTAGCCTTCCAAAAATATTTTAAACATCGCCAAATCTCTACTCATGATTGGTCAAATCTCGGATTTGATTTAACTGTTTTGAAAAGTTACACTAAGTAAAATATGACGATCATCCATTACTTAAGCTTTCTTGGAGCACTTTTTGAGGCGCATCCAATGGTGTTAATTAAACAAAATGTTTTGAACAAGCTCACTGAGTAATCCTAGAAAATATGAAATGAGGTTTATGACCAAAATGTCGACATTTAACATATGAAGGTGTCGCAAATGAACTTTCAGAGGCTGCTTTGGATCAAGGGGAACATTTTGAGTCAATGTATGCCGTAGTAAAAGTCTTCGTTTTTTGGGCGAAAAACGCAATCGTTTGATTTTTGGTCGATTTTTGTTTGATTCTTGGTGATCCCAAAAAAGTCGGGCAAAGACGCAGGTTATAGACTACTGGATGAGGGAAACTGTTTGGCGCTATTCTGGCGGTCTAATTCAACTTCTAATGCGAGGAAACACAGATTAAATTTCTCTGAATTTTGCTGTGTTTTGCATATATTTGGGTAATAAGAGGCTCTGCGAGTATGCCAATTACCCGCACATAGATTGTTCCTATTGACACAGATGTAGAGTAGCGTAAAAGAATCAGATCCACCATTATGAAGATTTGTTGCATAATATAACAGGCGAAAAGTGGAATTTCAGTACGCATTAACAAGATTTGATGTATGGTATATACTTTTGCAATCACAGAAGACAGAACGGTGCAACTAACTGTGTTCATGTAGCTCACTTGTGAACTGCAAACATAAGCTGCATTCTTAAACTACATTTATTATTAGCTAACGATGCTATCGTCATTGCATACCAATATTAGTTGCTGTAGAATGAGATTTGGCATTCAGGTCAAAAAAAAGATTGAATACATAGGCTTATAAGAATCTGAAAAAGCAAATATTTTACTGACAAAATAACCATACGATTAGCATAAGAGTTAGCTCATAATTCCATAGATACAGTAAGGATGATGGCTGTACCGATCATATCCTTTTAAAAATGCACACTATATTGCAAGTTGCAATGTATAATACCTGGAACTTGTATCTACTGCCAACCTATTGAGTCCTATTCGGTCTCACAAAAGCGTTATCCCAAGATCTTACAGACAGCATCATGATATTTGATCATCAATAGCACTGGATCGAATTTTGGAATTAAATGTTTTGATTTTAAAGCTTACTCATATTGCTCTGACGCATATCATAACATATTTAATATATGTTCCCTAGACACTTTTAATGCTTCAAAAAGGAAAGAAGCTGATCTAACAAGTTTTTGATAGACTGGCATTATTAAATATATAATGCAAGGAAGATAGCATGGTTAACAACAGTGTTATGTAATTTTCCACCTACTTTCCATACGCTTCAAAAACATTTACTACTGTATTGCAGTATGAAAAGGGCATTGAGTTTGCCAGCTGGCCCCACAAGCCAAAATTAATTCAAGCCCAGAATCATAGTTGTATTGTTCAGGAATAAAGGAACCACTATAATATGTAGGAAGAAGAAAGACTGACGTTTATTGATGTGGATGCTTGGATCTTTATACCATTGATATGGTGTTACACGACATCCCACCGCTGTGATAAGATATAGAATTTAAATAAGGACTATGATATAAATGTATGAATGAAAATCGCGTTAAAAAACCTAATATAGGAAAAAGCTTGATGATAGGTAGAAGTTGATCAGTGAGATGGTTTCAGAAAAGACACATGGGTGTTTTTGTGTTTTTGACCTGTGGCATCATTGATTACATCGTATCTTGTGGTGGACAGGACCTTCTGTATTGTGCAAGGACCTATCCAATCTACTTGTAGTTTTCTTGGATTGTTGCGAGT